AAAAAATATACGACTTTTTGTGGAGCACTGCAGTGCGCAATTGGCTGCCATGTTTCGCATGCAAAATATACAGTCAATTCACTTTACAGTATATTCTATGAAGCGCTTTAAGACGTCTCGAAGATATGATAAGGCACTATATCAAATGCAAGGATTATTATTATTATCGGAAAGTTCTCAAATCGCATTCTGTATTGTAATTTTGGTACAATGTTACACAGAATTACGTATAATGATACAGAGAGTATTTTTTTGCTTAATATTTGTTTCCGTTGTAGGCTTAGTTACGAAGGAGAAATAAAATCTGGTCTCTGCTAAATCAGAAACAAAGTTCTAATGATGGACATTTAATGAATAACATCAGGTCTAACTCATTCAATGTCCTATTCTTAGGTCATCAAATCCACTATTTATTTTACTGTAATTTGAGCATAATCATAGAAACATTTATAAAATAGTTACTACACTTTATAGTAAATCTTTGAAGTGCTTTGCGACATCCTCCTGGCATGAAAGACATCACATAAAATGCAAGGATTATTATTAAAATGACTACAACAACAACAATAACTTGCACGTATATAGCACCCTCAACCCAGGGTGGTGTCTCAGAGCACTTAAGAGTTCTGAGACTACTATCAAAATATTGTTGTTATATCTTCGGGCCTCTGGCTTCCATTTCCAAATATCCCTAAATGGTAGCCAGTTTTCTAAAGATATTAAAGAACAGAAAGTGCTTCAAGTTGCAGTAAAATACAGAATTTTTAAAAAATCTTTGCATTAGATATAGTGCCTTTTACGTCAAGAGATTGTCACATAATTTACTGTGAAGTTGAATGACCATGTGTTCGTAGAATCAATGCGGTAGAGCAATGATCCTCTAGCATTGACTCCAGGTCCGCCGATGTTCTATCAACTTGCTTGGGAAACATCAGAGCCTGGATGACAGCAACTTCCTGCAGCTGAAAATGGACAAGACGGAAGCCATACACTTTGGCTCCCATCAATGTCTTCACACCTGAGGATCTCAACCTCCCCGGGCTCTCCCTCAGAATCACCAAACAAGTGCACAAACTAGGCGTCCGGTTGGACCCCCAGCTGTCCTTCCCCCCTCACATCCGGTCCCTGACTAGGTCCGCCTTCCTCCACTTCCACCACATTGCATGCCTCCGACCGTACCTTACCCCAAATGCAGCTGAAAACCTTGTGCATGCGTTTGTCACCTCCCGCCTGGATTACTCAAACGCACTCCTCGCTGGTCTCCCCAACTCCATTATTCAAAAGATCCAGCTCATTCAGAACTCTGCTGCCCGCATATTTACCCAGACCAAACTCCGTACCCCCATCTCACCAGTTCTGGCCAGACTCCCCATCACCCATGGATCAACTTCAAGATCCTCACACTCGTATTCAAATCCCTTCTCTCTCTGGCAACTCCCTACCCCTCTGACCTCCTCACTCCCCAATCCACCATCTGAGGCCTTTCGCTCGACTGGCACTGGCCTCCTGTGAATTTCAGGGGCATACTGTACTATCCTGTACGACCCCGAGCGTGCTTGAGATGCGGACAGGTGGGCCACTACTTTGCAGCCTGCACACAGACTGTGTGTTGGAACTGAAAAAGTTTTGGTCACTTGGCAAAAGAGTGCCCGACAAGCAAAAGGTGTGACCTGTGCGGTGAAGCGGGACACCTTTACCACACTTACCCAAGGAGGAGTGGACAGAAACCAGTCCAGACCCATCACCCCAGAGACCAGTTGAGGCAGCAGGTAATAGAGGGAAAGCTGGTAATCACACAAAAAGGGATACTGCAGCACAACAAAGTCTAAGGTGAGTCTACGCAGATTAACAAAAAAGGAGATACGAACAACTTGTATGAGGAGGGAACCGGAAACAGAAGGAAAGAATAAACGTTTGGTCGGGGGTCCTGCCAGCTCTCCCAAAGGCATTGGATATAGATCCGAGCAGGAGAAGGGAAAAGCAGGGGACAAGGAAAAGGTGGTAAGTATAGGGTAAGATGTCATTGAAGATAGGTATCCTGAACGTGCGCAGTGTATATGATAAAACGCGCTGTGTTGGGACACTCCAGTACCTGTCCAAGATAAAGGCCGATGTTCTGTTCCAGTAATGGTGGATCCTGCAGTCCGACAGCTACAGAGCCTGGTCCAAGTGGTGGGATTCTTACGGACCCTCTGCGTGGTCCGGGGGCAGTGACAGCTGTGGCCCTGGAGTGCCAGTCCTACTGTGGGGGAAGAACCTCACTATCACTGACCGTAAGGAGGTGGTGAGGGGGAAACTCCTTGTGGTGGATGTTCTGTATAACGGAGCTCCGATCAGGCTTACTAATGTGTGCACCCCAACAGGGAAGAATGAATGCCTGGGCCTGTTCCAGATACTTTCTCCTATGTTGGTCACATCCAGACCAGTGATTCTAGGAGGGGCCTTTTTTTTATTCATCCACTCAACACCCATAATAATAATAATCCTTGCATTTGATATAGCGCTTTTCACGTCTCCTAGACGTCCCAAAGCGCTTCACAGAATATACTGTAAAGTGAATTGACTGTATATTTGTGGGCGAACGTGGCAGCCAATTGCGCACAGCAGTGTCCTATAAACAGTCGTAGATTGAAAATGACCAATTTATCATTTGGTTTGTGTTTTGTTTTGGAGGGATTATTATTAGGCGTGTGGAGTAAGGAAACTTGGAGTCTGTAGCTCAGTGGTTAGAGCAATCGCTTTGCAAGTGAGAGACCTGAGTTCAATTCCAGACAGGGCGAAACCTTGGGCAAGTTTCCTTACTCCACACACCTAATAATAATCCCTCCAAAACCAAAAACAATAATAAAATTGGTCATTTTCAATCTGTTTGTGGGACATTGCTGTGCACAATTGGCTGCCACAAATATAGTCAATTCACTTTACAGTGTGTTCTGTGAAGCGCTTTGGGACGTCCTCCCGACGTGAAAAGCGCTATATCAAATGCAAGGATTATTATTATTATTATATTATTACTTGCCCAAGGTTTCGCCCGGCCTGGAATTGAACTCAGGTCTCTTGCTTGCAAAGCGAGTGCTCTAACCACTGAGCTACAGGACTCCCATCTCTTAGGTGTAGGAAGATTTAAAAAGTTCCAGGCCGAGGCGCTTTGTTGACTATGAAGTAGATGCGTGTTTTTTTCTGTTTTTTCTGTTATGGTTGTGTTTTTTTCTTACACGAGGCAAGTGGAGTGTATTGTGCATATAGTTGCTTGGGGAACAAAAGGGCGCGGCCATTTGTGCTTTGTCACGGGTTTGAAATGTTTTTGGTTGGCGAAAGTTTTCTTTGTTCTGTCACGGGTGTGTTTTTATTATTATTATTATTATTATGAGGAAAACTGAATATATTTTTTACGTACCAAATAAATATATCTTGTGTATATATATATATATATATCGTTTAAAAAAAAGCGAGCTGAGAAAAAAGAGTTTTCGACACATTGAGTGGGGAGAGCATAACATGCGTGTTTACGTGCGTGTCAGGGGGAAACGTGTGAGAGCCCAGCACCTCTCCGCTCCCTGTACGTTCCCCGGAGCAGCTTACCCCCCACTGCAGTGACCACGAATTTATCGTAGCCTTTCCCCTGAGCCTTACAAAGTTCTGCGATTCTCATACAAATCTACAAGCTGTCCCACACGTTCCTCACGGGAATCAAAGCCAGCGCGCTTGATCAAATCAAATCAAAGCCTGATCAAATCACCAGCTTCCAACAGTAATAATAATAATAATCCTTGCATTTGATATAGAGCTTTTCACGTCTTCTCGACGTCTCAGAGCGAATTGACTGTATAATAATAATAATAATAATCCTTGCATTTGATATAGCGCTTTTCACGTCGGGAGGACGTCCCAAAGCGCTTCACAGAATATACTGTAAAGTGAGTTGACTGTATATTTGTGGGCGAACGCGGCAGCCAAATGCGCACAGCAATGTCCCACAAACAGTCATAGATTGAAAATGACCAATTTATTATTGTTTTTGGTTTTGGAGGAATTATTATTAGGTGTGTGGAGTAAGGAAACTTGCCCAAGGTTTCGCCCTCTGCCTGGAATTGAACTCAGGTCTCTCACTTGCAAAGCGAGTGCTCTAACCACTGAGCTACAGGACTCCACGATATTTTATATTTTGTGTATATTTAATAGTGTATATTTTGTGAGCAATACCCGGCGGCCAATTAATCACATACCACCAATAGCCGTCAAGTAAAAGACCAACACAAAATAATGGCGTCCTGTAGCTCAGTGGTTAGAGCACTCGCCTCGCAAGCGAGAGGACCTGCGTGTGATTCCTGACCCGGGCGAACCATTAGGCGGTTTCCTTACTCCACACGGCTCAATTTACCCGGTGACTAGCGATCCTGTGGTCAGTCAATCGGCGGATTGCTTTTCCGGGGAGAATTCCTTCAAAAAAAAGTTTTACCGGAAAAAATAATTTGGTCACTCAATCCACCACCGTTTGCGGGACGCTGCTGCGCGCAATTGGCCGCCGCCTTTCGTCCGCAAAATATACAGTCAATTCACTTTACAGCATATTCTGTGAAGCGCTTTGAGACGTCTGGAAGACGCGATGAGGCGCTCTACCCGCCCAAAAACCCGTTATTTCCCGCACAATACCACAAAACCCGCCCAATTGAGCGTGAAGCCGCCCAACCTGCCCACATGGTCCTCACTGTGGCCTCGCGATAACCAACTCAGACCAGACCATTCCTCTCCCCCCCCCCCTCTCCGGCTAAATGTATTCAAACTCGGCCTTTTAACTAAATCGTCTTTAAATACTGCTGTTGGATACCTCGTTTCTCGGGAGGGGGGGAAAAAAAACGAACATCGAGTGCAATCTGCACGTATTTTTGGATACTTGACATGGCTTACCCCGCCCCCCTCCCGCGCTGGCCAGTGGTGCGCTCCTCATCGACGGTTCCAGAAGGCAGAGCCGTTGGGGCGGGGCGCCGCTACGCAGGCGCAGTCGGACACTCATCGCCTGAGCGGAGCTGAGCGGCCATCATGTCGGCGATGGGAACTCTCGCTTTCGATGAATATGGCCGTCCCTTCATCATCCTTAAGGACCAAGACACCAAGTCCCGGCTCACAGGCCTGGAGGCGCTTAAGGTAATTCTGTGTTTTTCCCCCCAAAAGAGGGAAGCGAGGGAGAGAGAAAGCGGCACTTTCCTGCTGCCCATGTGCTGCCGTGAGCCGGCGTCAGGCCTCACAAAGTGCCGCAGGCCGATATGTTGCCGTCATGGCCGCTCAGCCTGGCCTCCAGTTACAGCAGGCCGAGGCCCTGGTGTCCCGGAGGGGGCTGTGCGGGAGCCGGGCAGGGGCGTCGTTGAGGTGCGTCCACAGAGTGTCCTGGTCTGGCCCGCGATGTGCGGTGGTGATGAATGAGCTGAGCACAAGCCCGACCCCAGGTTACTCTTTCCCTCTGGGACTGGGAACCAACAGCGGGTTTCGCTCCAACACAAGGACTTGTTCTCCTCTCCGCCTGATGCGGTGAGAAGGGGGAGCCGCGTGGATCTCACTCACCAGCACGTCAGTTGTATAAAATGGAGATTTTACAGTCGAGGGCTGGGCAACTGCTTGAATGGCAGTTATCCACCGCAGGCTTTTGTTTAGCTAATACATGCAGAATAATATTAAATAATCATACATGCATTTGTTATGGCGCCTCATCCCGTCTTTGAGACGTCTCAAGAGCGCTTCACAGAACACACTACACTGTAAAGTGAATTGGCTGTATATTTACTGTATATATCGACTGCAAAATAAGAATAACTCCCATCTAATAATTTAGCATTTCGATCTTGGAAATGGGGGAATGGATTTTTTTTTGCGCCACGGTAAAATGTTCTGTTAATTTAGTGGAAACTTAAATTTAGTAGCTTTAACCACCAATTTTCTTACATTCTTTTGTTCTATTTAATATCAATAGAACATGAGATTACAAAACATTGCAAAATTGTAAAGGGTTGTAAAAATACAGGATAAATTTCCTCCGGAATGCTGTGGAAGTACAATTGAGTGAGCGATATTTAAAAAGGCGATTAATAGTGGAAACCTGGAACAACAAACAAAGTTATATTTGTAAAGTGCCTTTCACTTTGGGAGGACGTCCGAAGGCGCTGAACAGTCAGGGATGGATTTTTTGATCTGAGCGTGAAGAGGGTAGGGTTGGGATAAGGGAGGACAGAGTAGAAGGGTGGCTGAAGGCATGGTCGAAAAGGAGGGTCTTGTGTCGTGCCTTGAAGGAGGCAAGGGAGGAAGCAAGGCCAAGGGTGAAGTTCCAAACGTTGGGGCCAGAGAGACTGAAAGCCCAGCTGCCAATGGTAGGGTGGGTCAGGCGGGAAATATGGAGCAGACCAGAGCATCTCCCTTATTTGGAAATTAATTTGATATGGAAGGGGGTAATATTATTAAATTGATCGTTGCATTTTACAGTATACCGTGAAGCACTTTGGGATTTCCTAATTTGAAAGGCACTATACCAAATGCAGGGATTATAAAAGATTTATAAAGAATGTACAACATGAAAACAAGCCACTCAGCCTAACCACACCGTGCCAGTGTTTATACTCCACATGAGACTTCACCCATTCCTTACTCCCTTCCATTTCTGTGACATGCTGTTCAAGGGATGTGTGCCAACAGTATTTCATTTTGTGAGAGAGATAACTGAATTGTCGGCGTAGACTTTGTGATTTCAAAGCCTGATGTAAGCCTTGAACCCACAACTACTGATTGAGTCAGGCTCAGACAACTCCCTTTTCTTTTTAAGTATTTATTTTGTGTGTTTTACTAGCCCTCTCATTTCATTGAGACACATTTTAACTTGGGAGAGCTTCAGGATAACATTTTTGGGCTGATATTTTGGACTGAAATATATAAATCCTAATTTTAGTTTTTTCATTACAGTCACATATCATGGCAGCAAAGGCAGTGGGATGCACATTGAAGACATCCCTAGGACCCATGGGTAAGAATATGTTTTTATGAAAAAATAAACAATTCAAATTCACAAAATTTAAATAATGAAAAGAAGTGTAATTCATGTTTTCCACAAGTATTGACTGATGCTATGAAATGTCTTTGGACCAATTAAGTAACTTTTTGGGCATCAATTAGCATCAATCTCATGTGAAGCTATTATTGACAAAGCACACTGTCAAATCTGGCTCATAAGTAATTCTTACATGTTTTTATGATCTGCAAAATGAGAGGGAGAAGAATGGATAAACCAATAATTAATACAATATTTATATGTAATTGTTGCACATGACACATTTAAAGTAATTGCTGATTTTAAAGTGGTGGAAATAAAATGCAAAATACATTGTGACATGGAAATTCTATGTCCCATGGTGTGTCTGATGTGCTTTTAAAGCCTAGTGACAAGAAACCAGGTTCACTTTCCAGCTTCAGTTGAAAGTGAAGCCAGTGGCTCTCATTGGCTTAGTGGTTAAAGTGCAGTTTGGTATACAGATCAGACAAGTGCCAAGTTTAATTTTGCTTAACTGCCACACTTTTGGTATTATAGGTTACAATGTAATTGTGAAAAACAATTCATGTATTAAATTAATATTTGCATGTGGGTGTCTCTAAAGCCAGACTACAATTTTCTTATGATTGATTTGGATTTTAATAAATTTAATCTATTGGGTATTGAGCGCTGTCCATTATTAGTGGTGTAAACAAAATGACACATTGCTGTTGCATTGTGTATTTGTGATCGTATTCCTTTTCATTCTAAATCTATTCATCTATTGTAGGACTTGATAAAATGATGGTCGACAAGGATGGTGAAGTGACGATCACTAATGACGGGGCAACCATTCTGAGTATGATGGATGTGGAACATCAAGTTGCCAAATTGATGGTGGAGCTGTCAAAATCTCAAGATGATGAAATCGGTGATGGAACCACCGGTGTAGTTGGTAAGCTGAGAACTATTTGTGTACATGTTTTTCCTTATCTAGGAATTTTTTAAACCTTCCTACACATAAGAGATGGGTGCTGAGTGGATGAAAACAAAAGTCCTACTGAAGAGCTCTGGCATTTTGAACATTTGAACATGTGTGCTGAAGAAAATAACATGAGGTGTTTTTTTACTTGCAGTTATATGAAATCACCATAGTGGTTTCACTTTTAATTTCAATTGTATTACTTCTTTGCAGTTTTAGCTGGTGCCTTGTTGGAACAAGCAGAAGGTCTACTGGATCGTGGTATCCATCCCATACGTATTGCTGATGGTTATGAGCAGGCTGCCCATATTGCTATTGAACATCTGGACAAGATTAGTGACAGTTTCCCTGTTGATCCAGACAAAAAAGAGCCCCTGATCCAAACTGCTATGACAACACTTGGATCTAAAATGTGAGTGACCTTTCTATCTTGCTTCTTTCCTCCCCTTCTGAAATGTATTACTTCTGTACTTTGAAAGGAAAGCTAATGTATTTACCTTGACTTCAAGATCCTCACTCTAGTGTTTAATTCCCTCCACGCCTTGGCACCCCTCTATCTTTCCATCTCTCTCCTCACAGCACTACCTGCTGCCTCCACTCTACTGGCTCCAGCCTCTCCGTATCCCTCTGATCCTCCGTTCCATCATTGGCAGCTGTGCCTTCAGCCACTACACCTCGAAGCTATGGAAGTCCCTCCCTCATTCCCTTCACCTTGCCTCCTCTTTCCCCATTTTCAGGTTGCGCCTGAAGATCGTCCTCTTCGACTGTGCCTGTGATCACCTTGCCCCTCCCCCGACTCGGAATTGAGGTTCTGCCATTGTTTAAGTGCTCCGGGATGATGCCCGGCATGGAGAGCGCTATATTGTTGTAATGTGCAACAAACTACAGATTTTAGCTGGAAGGGAAAAACTAAGAAGCCATCCACAGAGAGAGGAAATGGTGGTTACATTACCTATGCTGTGCATTTGCAGTAGCAATTTCAAAAATGACAAGGGGAGGGCTTGAAGTATATTATAATAATCCTTACATTTGATTATGCTGTAGCACCTTAGGATATTACTGTGAAGTGTAGTAACTGTATATTCAGGCAAACATGGTAGCCAATTGGCGCACAGCATGAAAACAGCCATGAATGAACATTTTTATCTGGCAGATTGTTAACCAGGATACCTTGGTTGTTCCTCTCCTTTTTTTCATGCCAGCCTCAGATAAGACATTGATTCAAGGTTGTTCAGGTGGACATTAAAAATCCAGTGGCAATATTTGAAAAGAAAAGGGAGTTTCTGCTGGTATCCTGGCCAACAATCCCCCGGACTAAGTTGGCAAAAATATAACAGATGCATTACTTTTACTTCATGGTTGTTTGTGGGATATTGCTGTGTAAAAATTTGCCTAGAAAATACAGTCATTACACTTTATTGAAAATCCTGTTAAGCGATTTGAAACGTCTTAACAAAGTGATGAGGCACTGTAATCAAATGCAAGTATTATTATACCAGTGATTTCTATTAAGCCAATAATAATAAAAACTTCTATTCTGTATCCTGAGCTGTCCTTTCTTCCTCATGTCCGCGCCACAACTGGCACCGCCTTCCATCACCTCCGAAACATCGCCAGACTACGGCACTACCTCACCCCTCACGCTGCTGAAACCCTGGTCCACGCCTTTATCACCTCAAGGCTGGACTATGGGAACTCTCTCCTCGCCGGCCTTCCCGGCACCTCCCTCCACAAGCTGCAGGTCATTCAGAACTCTGCAGCTCGTGTACTGTCCCGCACCAGGCTTCGGGACCACATCACTCCCACCCTCGCTCGCCTCCACTGGCTCCCCATCCCCCAGAGGATCGAATTCAAGATCCTCATCCTCACCTACAAGGCTATTCACGGCCTTGCTCCCTCCTACCTCTCCGACCTACTATCTCCCTACCTACCTGCCCGTACCCTCCGTTCCTCTGGCTCCGGTCTGCTCCACATCCCCCGCCCCAACCGCCCTACCATCAGTGGCCGGGCCTTCAGTCTCTCAGCCCCGAGGCTCTGGAACTCCATCCCCCAGTGCCTTTGCCTCCTCCCTTTCCTCCTTCAAGGCCAGTCTCAAGACCTTTCTCTTCGACCGTGCCTTCAGCTCCCCTCTCGACTCTCTACCCCCTCCTTGCTCCCTCCCCTCACCCTGACCATTTCCCCCCTGCTCGGGTCCCAACCCAACTGTCTAGCGCCTTGGGACGTCTTGTTGTTGTTGTCCTCCCGACATGAAAGGCGCTCTATAAATGAAATCTTGTTGTTGTGTAATGCCTTACTATTTTATCAAACTGTCTTGGAGCTTCATAGGAATTACTGTTCAGTGTAGTAACTATTTGTAGGCAAACCCAGCAGCCAATTCGTGCACAGCAATATCCCTCAAACATTCTGATAGTTCAGCATTAAAACTGCAATTTCAAATTCCAATCTCCTAATTGTTTTCTTATGGATTCCTCCTTTTCTTTTTGACTGGCCTGCTCCGTGTCCTCTGCGCCATTCGCCCCATCATTGGTGAGCTGGCATTCAGCCACTTGGCGCTCGCTTTCTGGAACTCCGTTCCCGGATCCCTCCAACTTACTGCCTCCTCCATTGTAACTTTATGGGCTTGTATACACTGATGATGAATATTGAATTTTAAACTTATCAGGAAGCTTTCATTCCATGAATCTGCACTAGATTTGAACTAAGATCCCCAAAGTGACAAGTGTCAGTCTGTTGATTTCTCTTTCTCCAGCATATTCACAAACATTTAACTTTTTTATGTTTATTCACTTTCTATAGTATTAACCGTTGCCATAGGCAAATGGCAGAAATAGCAGTGAATGCTGTCCTAGCAGTAGCTGATATGGAGCGCAGGGATGTAGACTTTGAGCTGATGAAGGTGGAAGGTAAAGTGGGTGGAAAACTGGAGGACACACAGTTGATTAAAGGAGTTGTTGTGGACAAAGAATTCAGCCACCCACAAATGCCAAAGGTGAGTTATTTTAGTATGGTAACATATAAATGAGTTAAATGGTGAGGCATAAGAGCTTATTTTTAAAAGTGCCAGAATTTAGTATCCTTTGTGAAACCTTTTTAACAAATGTTCAGCAGAAGTGCATTTGGGACATTAAAAAAAATTTAAATAGTAACTGGAACTTTATTTTGTATTGCATTTTATCACACTTCTATTGCATCTGTACATCAATGATTGTTTGGTATTCTTTTTAAGGTTGTGAAAGATGCAAAGCTTGCCATTTTGACATGCCCATTTGAACCACCAAAACCTAAAACCAAACATAAGCTTGACGTGACTTCTGTGGAAGACTACAGAGCGTTACAAAAATATGAAAAAGAAAAATTTGAAGAGATGGTCCGTCAGGTCAGTACTTAAATTTAAAAGCCCTACTGATGATGTACAGTGTGTTTTCTTTGGTCTGATTTGTCCAATTGCATTGTTAACCACCGCATTCAGTTCTTCTTTCTAATGGACACACTTATTTAAGCTTCTCATACATTAACCACTTCCCCAGAGAAATAAATGGCAGTAGCTGATGTGCAGCACATGGTTGAAGACATTATTTATTTTTGTAGGTAAAAGAGACTGGTGCTAACCTGGCTATTTGCCAGTGGGGATTTGATGATGAAGCAAACCATTTGCTTCTCCAAAATGAGCTGCCTGCAATACGCTGGGTCGGTGGACCTGAAATTGAGGTGAGTGTGATTCCAGATTTTGGTGCAAATTATAAGTAGTATGTTTTTATTTAGTAAAAATCAGTTTTTGTTAATTTTGTTTCAATATTCTCTAAATTGAGAGAAATAAATTAATTTTTATCACTTTTTTTACCAATGGTTTGAAATATGCAAATTGCTAACTCTTGGTTGTAAGGGCTCAATGGATATCACCCAGAAATGGGTCATGTTTGTAGTCACTGAAAATTGGGTAGGAAAATCAAGGTAAAATAAACATTCCTGTCTAAATTTTTAAAAATTCCAGTAAGTCTAATGACGTGGATGAAGCGGCATGCAAATATTTATTCTATAGAGCTTTATATATTTATTCTATTACTATTTATTTTAATAGAAACCCCTGCCCCTCACTAAGCTCTATAGAAAAAAAAGTTCCAGTTAGGGTATTAAAGTTAGCCATAGTACCTCTAGGTTTGGAGGAGGGAGATAAACCGAAGTTCCCACTTTTAACTGCTATTCGGGACCTGCCAATTCAATACNTTTTTTGAAGTTCAATATGCGAACTTTGTATAAGGACAGGATTAGGCTTGGCTATGGTGTCACTTGGCCCAGGGCTGAATAGCATATTAATTCACTGTCAAAGCTCACATGTGAATAGTGGCCACTTGGGCAAGGCGACAGTCATTCATGTAGTTGTACCATGGTAGAAGAAAAGGGGGACCAAATTCCTCAGGAGAACATTTTAAATGAGTTTCTTTTCATGATTCAGCTGATTGCCATCGCCACTGGAGGTCGCATTGTTCCGCGGTTTTCTGAACTTACAGCAGAGAAACTGGGCTCCGCTGGTATTGTCAAAGAAATGACTTTTGGAACCACCAAGGATAGGATGCTTGTGATTGAAGAGTGCCAGAACTCCAGGGCAGTGACCGTTTTCATCAGGGGTGGAAACAAAATGGTAAGTTTTACGTTTGAGCTTCATAATCTTCCTTTGAAGATAGAAGTTGACTTGTTTTTTTCTTCGCTGTGCATTTTTTGTCTCAAATTGTTTTTTTTTCTAACCATGGGAGAGTTGGTTGGCCTGTTAAAACTGGGGTGGCAGAAGATCTCAGCAATTCTCCCAGTGTGATTAACTAAAATGAACATAGCAAATTAGGATTGTGAGGCAATCCCATTCCATTACAGACCATGGCCCACATACTACAAACGTCTTCTAGTCACATATTCCTTAATATGTTTACTTGCCAAGTATCTATGCATCTTGCTTTAAGTGCTTCACCCAATTTCTCACCTATAACTTTCTGGAATAATGTCTTCCACATTACTGTAAGTTGCATTTACATAGCACCCTTCATTCAGTGTTGCGTCTTGGACCGCCTGATAGTGATTATAAACAGCCTGATTATAATGAGAAGAATTTTTTCTCATCTTGGTCCTTTGGCTCTAATTTTAAAGTTATCATTTTGAACCTGATAGACTCACTTGGAGGTAAAATGTTACAAACTGACTTATTTATTCCTGATCTTAGACTATTCTATACCAGGATGTTACCTGACCCAATTGTCCAGCGCCTTGTGACGTCCTCCCGACGTGAAAGGCGCTCTATAAATGGAATCTTGTTGTTGTTTTCTGTATTTGGCCAATACTGCATTTCATTTCTCAAGTGTGTGGCTAATACAGTAAAACTCTGGTCATATCAGTCGGGACCATAGCATTTAATATGACTTGCGTGAAGTCCAAGTTACAGGCAAACTGTATGTCATATAAAATCTGATTTAATCAATAATCTACACTGCGTAATGCAGTAGCTAATTGGGGATGTGATACTTCGTCACATCAGCTGCTAAGTGCGCATGCGGAGATGGGTCAAGACTATGTTGCCCACGATTCAGTGCACTTTGACCCGCCAACCAGATGCATTTACCGGTAAGCATTGAATCGAGGTAAATGAAATTCGACTTCACATGCGGCGAATGATCAAGATTACATTTCCCAAGATACAATGCAGTTGCCCGTTAACTTTGCACGTATTGGCCGGTCAAATTCTGCATTCTCAGCTGTTGCCAATACTTTGTTGGGGAAAAGAGAGATTCTATAACTCTTGACTGTCTTAAATGTCAGTATATCTTAGTAGCTTTAAAAAAAACTGAAAGATTTATTATTCCAAGATAATAAACATGTGTTTACTATTTTTATATATATATATATATATATATGTATTATGTGCTCCACAATGTTAATGTATTTATTCTCATCTTTAATTTTTTAAATTTAAATGTTTTATCATTATTTTTATAAAACAGAATATGAATGGACATGTCAAATGCATGATACTGCACATTTCTTTGTGGATAGTTTTATGTGATCTACAGATTTAAATTGCTGTAAGAGCATTAATTCAAGCTAAATGAGGATTTGGTGCTAACAATGTCTTTTTTTTCAGCTACTTTTTTTTAATACGCCATGCAATGTTTTTTTTTCTAGATCATTGAAGAAGCAAAGCGAGCGCTTCACGATGCTTTGTGTGTAATCCGCAACCTTGTCAAAGATAATCGCATTGTATACGGTGGCGGTGCTTCTGAGATTGCTTGTGCTTTGGCTGTTAATGAGGCAGCAGATAAGGTATAAAAAAACTTTCATTTGATATAGCGCCTTATTCATTTTGTCAAAACGGCTCTTAAGTGGATTATGAATTTATAATAATAATCCTTGCATTTGATATAGCGCTTTTCACGTCTTCTCAACGTCTCAAAGCACTTCACGAATAGACTGTAAAGTGAATTGACTGTATATTTGTGGGCAAAATGCGGCAGCCAATTGCGCACAACAGTGTCCCACAAACAGTCGTGGATCGAAAATGACCAATTTTTTTGGGGAGGGATTATTATTAGGCGTGTGGAGTAAGGAGACTTGCCCAAGGTTTCACCCTGCCTGGAATTGAACTCGGGTGTCTCGCTTGCAAGGCGATTGCTCTAACCACTGAGCTACAGGACTCCTGTACTGTATGTGTAGTGACTAATTATAACCAATGATAATTATCAAATGGATTCTAAATCTTTAGAATGAGGATATGATGCTAAACTCAAGAAGGCTGAGGATACAAATAGTTCTTACTTTTTTTCAAGTATCTATAAAGGTACAAGAAATTGGAAATCGGTTACATTTTGAGAAATATAAGTGAGCCTGAAAATTGGGAATTGCCAGACTGCAAAAAATGGGATTTCATTGTATTTTGTTTGATATTTTAAGTTTAGATGAAAGTGTTTACTATGTTTTGAATGTTCTGATGTACAAAGGTTACGTAATATTCAACAATTGCAAATTAAATCTATTAAAGAAAAATAATATGTAACCAGTCATATTTTATACCTTTAGCTGATCCATTATTTTTACTTTGCAAGAGGAGTTTTTGGATGTTAATGACTACCTTGTTCTGCACAGTGTCCCACTTTGGAGCAGTATGCTATGAGAGCTTTCGCTGATGCCTTGGAAGTGATTCCAATGGCACTGGCTGAGAACAGTGGCTTTAGTCCAATCCAGACCATGACAGAAGTAAGAGCTAGACAGGTGAAGGAGAACAACTCTGCACTGGGTATAGATTGCTTACACAAGGGCACATACGGTATGTAATGCTTTGTTTTTTATACCTTTTCTGTTGGACTTAAATTAATACAATGTAATCTGCTTAAATTTAGTCATAGTAACAAATTTACATCAGTTTTTTTATATAAAATTAGAAACTAATCTCAAGTTTAATGATCAATAATTAGTCTGTTGTGACTAATTTCAAGAGAAACTTGTGACCTTAGCTCACAAAAAAACTTAACGCTGCATCACTTTTGACTCAAACTAAGGTTATCTGGTTGGTCTGTTTGGTTTTAGTAGTAGCAATTGCAATCAAGTGAACATGTCAGTCTGGAGAGCTGGGCCACATTTTATCCATTGGCATTCAATATTGGCTTTCTGTGTTCACAAACCGCATAGAGCATATTATTCCATAACGCTAACTTTGCAAAGCATCTGATGACACCATGTTTTCATTTCTTATACCAACTATGAAACACCCTGTCTTGCTTATTAAAATGTAAATAAAATGCATGACTGAAACTTGTTACTACAACAACAACTTGGATTTATATAGCGCCCTCCACGCCGGACGGCGTCTCAGAGCGCTTACAAAGCATTGATCCAATTGAGAGTTTTGCTGCCAATTGTAATCTTGGGTTTTGAGTTTCAAAACTGCCTTCTGCATGCTAAACGGTACCAGGCTCTGCACCCCTATCACCCCAGTTCTTGCCATACTCCACTAGCTCCTTGTTGCAGAAGGATCGGATTTCAAGATCATCACTGTCACTTTCAAATCACTTCATGCCCTGGCACCTCCCTACCTCTCTGATATGCTCACACTCCACTACCTGCTGCCTTCACTTAGCTGGCTTGGGAGTTCTACACATTCCTCATCATCCACTCCGATTGGCAGCTGTGCTTTCAGTCACGATGTCTCGAATCTAGAATTCCTTGCCCCAATCCATGTGTCTTGCCCATCTTTACCCACCTTCAAATCATACCTGAAGACTTTCCTCTTCGCCCTCCCTTTCCAGCCCCAAGACATTACCCATGTTAAGGGTGTTGTATCAATGCAAATTATTGTTTTTTGAATTGTCCTGTTGCCAGGACCAAGTTTTTTTTCTAGTTTATTTAGTTATGGCTGAATTTGCTGGTGAGATTAATTGATCATTGATTAATACAATGTAAGATTTATGTGAAAAATGCTTGGAAATGTACAATGGTTACACTAGCCAAATGATTGAACTGTATTAAATGTTCTGATTTTGAATAAGTAATTGCAATAATATGCATTCAAGCCACTAATTCCTTGGGTGCTTCTTGCAGATATGAAAAAGCAACACGTCATAGAGACTCTCATTGGAAAGAAGCAGCAGATCTCTTTGGCTAATCAGGTGGTGAAAATGATATTGAAAATTGATGATATCCGCTCACCTGGAGAAACACATGAGTAGACGGGAGGAGACGAGGAAGTACTGATAGCAGATTTAATGTGCAGAACAGTTTCTGTTGACGATTCTGTATTCGGTTTTCTGTTCAGTTATTTATTTTTGCATTGCCTTGTAGGCTCAGTGTATTAGAAAGGCTGAAAAATAAAAGCTCACTTGGACCATTTCCTGATTTTCTTTGCCCTACTTATTGAAGCTCAGAATTGTCATTTAAAGGGTTAACAGTTCACATTTTAGTAGGTTGGTATTTCAAAATACAATGGTGTTTACAATACAGATTTTCTTTATACAATACAAAATTACATTTGCAAAGTGTCTTCCACGTCAGGAGAACATTCCCAAGGTGCTGAAGAGTCAGGGATTATGACCCAAACGGGGTGGGGAGGAGGGTGGCTGAAAGCATGGTCAAAGAGGAGGGTCTTGAGGTGTGCCTTGAAGGAGGCAAGGAAGGCAGTGAGGCGAAGAGAATGTAGGATGGAGTTCCAGAGTCTGGCAATGTTTCGGAGATGGGGCAAGGCAGAGTGGGTCATGGCATGGATGTGGGACAGTAAGGACAGTTGAGGGTTGAACAAGATGCCTGATAATAATAAATAATAATCCTTGCATTTGATATAGCGCTTTTCACGTCAGGAGGACGTCCCAAAGCGCTTCACAGAATATACTGTAAAGTGAATTGATTGTATATTTGTGAGCGAACGCAGCAGCCAATTGCGCACAGCAGTGTCCCACAAACAGTGGATTGAAAATGACCAATTTATTATTTATTTTTTTGGAGGGCATATTATTAGGCGTGTGGAGTAAGGAAACTTGCCCAAGGTTTCGCCCTCTGCCTGGAATTGAACTTGGGTCTGTCGCTTGCAAAGCGAGTGTTCTAACCACTGAGCTACAGGACTTGACTGCCTCAGTGAGATGGAGTGTGCATCTGTGGATGCTGATGCTGCCAGTGCCTGAGGTGTGGAGGCGCTATCAGGAGACCCTCGGTCTTGCTGATGTTCAAATGTAGAAAGTTAGCTCTCATCCAGGACTTGATATCTGACAGACAGACAGTGTGTCAGGACATCAGTTGTCCTGGCGTCGAGGGTGGACGCAGAGAGTTGAATGTCATCTGTGTATATGTTGAAGTTAACCCCATGTCGCGGATGATGTCACCAAGAGGACTGAGGACAGAACCCTGAGTAACACCGCATGAGACGGTGTGAGGGCTGGAGGAGAAGCTGTTTGTGGAGGCAAAGTGGAGCTGGAGTGAGTTAGGATCGAAACCATTCAAGGATAGAACCTTGAAGGTTGAGAGGAGAGGCGGTAGAGGATGATAGAGTGGTCCACAGTGTTGAAGTTAGCAGAGAGGTCTTTGAGGCAGGGAGCCCTGGTCACAGGTGGACAGATTATATACATTTAAATTTATATAGCATGTTTCACATTCGGAGGGCATTTTTAACTAATACCACAAGATGTGAGTACATTTTACAGAATGCTTTTTGATGCTCTACAAATAATACACTAGCTGATAATTGCATTTTACTCTAATCATCAACACTACAGAATCCAGCATCATGAAATTTAGTTCTGCCGACAATGGGGCCACCTTACTCATCCCACACCTCGATTTCCCAATGAAGTCTTTCTAAAGCACTTTGAGACATTCTCTCACTGAAAAGCACTATGTGAGTGTAAATTGTATCTATAGTTCATTCAGAACTCTGCAGCTCGTGTACTGTCCCGCACCAGGCTTCGGGACCACATCATTCCCACCCTCGCTCGCCTCCACTGGCTCCCCATCCCCCAGAGGATCGAATTCAAGATCCTCATCCTCACCTACAAGGCCATTCACGGCCTTGCTCCCTCCTACCATCCCCCTACCTACCTGCCCGTACCCTCCGTTCCTCCGGCTCCGGTCTGCTCCACGTCCCCCGCCCCAATCGCCCTACCATCGGTGGTCGGGCCTTCAGCCTCTCAGCCCCGAGGCTCTGGAACTCTAACCCCCAGTGCCTTCGCCGCTTCCTCCCTCTCCTTCAAGGCCGGTCTCAAAACCTTTCTCTTTGACCGTGCCTTCAGTTCCCCTCTCGACTCTCTTCCCCTCCTCGCTCCCTCCCTTCCCTCCCCTCACCCTGACCATTTCCCCCTCCTCGCTCCCTCCCTTCCCTCCCCTCACCCTGACCATTTCCCCCCTGCTCGGGTCATGACCCAACTGTGCAGCGCCTTGGGACGTCCTCCTGACGTGAAAGGCGCTTTATAAATGGAATCTTGTTGTTGTTGTTGTTCAGTTACTTGTAATGAGTAGAAAATATTAATTTAAGTATCTACATCTTTTTTACTACTTTATAAAATTTATATAGTTAATCTTGGAGCGTGATTTACCTATTCCTTTCTCTTTCTACCCCCACCCTCCCCCAGGAAATTTCTCTTCTTACTGTAACCATGAATGCAATTTATTTGTTTTGCTAGGTAGCACAAAGATAAGTTTTGTGTGTCAGTCTGGCTCAGGTGGTAGCACTCGCCTCTGAGCTTAGGCCACATCTGGTCCACGACCAGGGATGCCTTCCTCCACCTCCACTGCAATGCCCATCTTCGAACCTATCTTACTTCAAACACTACTCAAACTCTCATACGTGCTTTTATCACCACTCTCCTAGCCTGTCTCCCCAGATCCACTATAAACAAGGTCCAAATGATTCAGATCTCTGCTGCCTATGTCCTCACCCACACCAAGCTCTGTACTCCCATTATCCCAGTTCTTGCCAGGCTCCACCGACTTCCTGTTATAGGAACAAATCAATTTCAAGATCCTCATTCACTTTCAAATACTTAACACTGTGATTTCTACCTATCTCTCCAATAAGCTCACACCCCACCACTGCCAACCAGAACCTTCACTCAGCTGGCTGTCTTAACATACCCCTCGTTCTCTCTGCTTTCAGCCACTATGCCCCAAATCTCTGGAGCTCCTGCCTCAAACCCTCCACTTGCCCATCTTTAAATTACACGAAACTCCCCTGAATTTCTTACCTTTACCCCTTTTCTGAAGAGGCAAAGAGAAATTCTGAATTACAGTCTCTATGATTGCAGTAGGCCTCCAGTAATAATAATACTTGCATTTGGTGTAGCACCCCTTGCATCAGGAGTACGTCTCTTTTTTTATGTGTAATTGGCTGCCGCGTTTAGCCCACAAAATACACAATCAATCCACTTTACAAAATATTCTGTGGAACGCTTTGAGATGTCTCAGTGATGTAATATGACATATCAAATGCAAGAGTTTTTATAAATATTTAAAAAGATACAAAAACACATTTATTGAAATAAATATTTTAAATAATTCTCTTCAGGAAATTTCTAAATAGAACCTTTGTTAGCTGAAGTCAATTAACTTGCGAGTGCATTCTGATCAAGGAAGCATTCACTTCCCTAATCTAATTCTTTTCTCCCATCTTATTATTGTCACAGTTTTTGATAGGGAAAATAAAGTATCAGTGTTCAGCATTAAAGAGGAAATTCAAAGGAGCCCGGGAGTTCTATTTCAAATAAGAGACAATTGTGAGACGACAGATGTACTAGAATTTCTTTTCTGTTTCTTTTCTTTTCTTTTCCGCTGGAAAAGAACTATATCTTAGTACAATGGAGTTGCTGTCCTTCGGATGAGACGTTAAACTGAGGTCCCATCTGCATGTTCAAGTGGATGTTAAAAGATCTATGGCACTATTTGAAAAAGAGAAAGGAATTTCTCCCAGTGTCCTGACCTACAAATCTTCCAAATAAAATTGGGTCACTCACTCCATTGCTGTTTGCGGGCTGTAGGATGCCCCGTGCCCTCGTTCCATAAGTTAGCGTGACCATACGTCCCCAATTTCCAGGGATAGTCCCCGGATGAGGTATTGTGTCCACGGCCAAATTTGCGTATTGAGCTCAGCAACAAAACTGAGCAAGAAAATTTCTAAGAGTGACACCCTAATCAGCGCAAAACCAGCCATCAATGTAAGAGGCTTCTCCAGTACACCTGCAGCAGCAATCGTGATGAGTTCAAAAAGGTGTTAAAAGATATGTCCCCAGGATCTGGTTTATGAAGCCCTGGTCCATCCCCAGCTGTTGGCAGCAGCTGCAGTGAGAGCAGCGGCCGGCACCAGGGCCCAGGAGACAAGCACACGGTCACGTGATCCCATGGCCCGGGCCGCGAGCTGATGGCGTCATCATGGTCCGCCGCACAGGCAGATAGACAGGAAGTGACGCAGTTCCTACTCGCGACTCGTGGGCGGAGTGACCGCAGACAGGAAGTGACGAGTTTGACGACGACCATCGCAAACGGACTGGTGAGAAAGTGTTAGACAGAGATACCGACAGTGTGTCCACAGACAGAGAGACCGACAGTGTGTCCACAGACAGAGACCTGCAGTGTGTCCACAGACAGAGAGACCGACAGTGTGTCCACAGACAGAGAGACCGACAGTGTGTCCACAGACAGAGAGACCGACAGTGTGTCCACAGACAGAGAGACCGACAGTGTGTCCACAGACAGAGAGACCGACAGTGTGTCCACAGACAGAGAGACCGACAGTGTGTCCACAGACAGAGAGACCTGCAGTGTGTCCACAGACAGAGACCCACAGTGTGTCCACAGACAGAGAGACCGACAGTGTGTCCACAGACAGAGAGACCGACAGTGTGTCCACAGACAGAGACCTGCAGTGTGTCCACAGACAGAGACCTGCAGTGTGTCCACAGACAGAGACCTGCAGTGTGTCCACAGACAGAGAGACCGACAGTGTGTCCACAGACAGAGAGACCGACAGTGTGTCCACAGACAGAGAGACCGGCAGTGTGTCCACAGACAGAGACCTGCAGTGTGTCCACAGACAGAGACCTGCAGTGTGTCCACAGGCAGAGAGACCTGCAGTGTGTCCACAGACAGAGACCGACAGTGTGTCCACAGACAGAGACCGACAGTGTGTCCACAGACAGAGACCTGCAGTGTGTCCACAGACAGAGACCTGCAGTGTGTCCACAGACAGAGACCTGCAGTGTGTCCACAGACAGAGACCTGCAGTGTGTCCACAGACAGAGAGACCTGCAGTGTGTCCACAGACAGAGAGACCGGCAGTGTGTCCACAGACAGAGACCTGCAGTGTGTCCACAGACAGAGAGACCGACAGTGTGTCCACAGGCAGAGAGACCGACAGTGTGTCCACAGACAGAGACCTGCAGTGTGTCCACAGGCAGAGAGACCTGCAGTGTGTCCACAGACAGAGACCTGCAGTGTGTCCAGAGACAGAGAGATCTGCAGTGTATCCAGAGAGACAGAGAGACCTGCAGTGTGTCCAGAGACAGAGAGACCTGCAGTGTGTCCACAGACAGAGAGACCGACAGTGTGTCCACAGACAGAGAGACCGACAGTGTGTCCACAAACAGAGAGACCGACAGTGTGTCCAGAGACAGAGACCTACAGTGTGTCCAGAGACAGAGAGACCTGCAGTGTGTCCAGAGACAGAGAGACCGACAGTGTGTCCAGAGAGACAGAGAGACCTGCAGTGTGTCCAGAGACAGAGAGACCTGCAGTGTGTCCAGAGAGACCTGCAGTGTGTCCAGAGAGACCTGCAGTGTGTCCACAGACAGAGACCTGCAGTGTGTCCACAAACAGAGACCTGCAGTGTGTCCACAGGCAGAGACCTGCAGTGTGTCCAGAGAGACCTGCAGTGTGTCCAGAGACAGAGAGACCTGCAGTGTGTCCAGAGAGACCTGCAGTGTGTCCAGAGAGACCTGCGGTGTGTCCACAGACAGAGACCTGCAGTGTGTCCACAGACAGAGACCTGCAGTGTGTCCACAGGCAGAGACCTGCAGTGTGTCCAGAGAGACCTGCAGTGTGTCCAGAGACAGAGAGACCTGCAGTGTGTCCAGAGACAGAGAGACCTGCAGTGTGTCCAGAGAGACCTGCAGTGTGTCCAGAGACAGAGAGACCTGCAGTGTGTCCAGAGACAGAGAGACCTGCAGTGTGTCTCGAGAGAGAGAGAGACCTGCAGTGTGTCTCGAGAGAGAGAGAGAGAGAGAGAGAGACCTGTAGTATGTCTAGAGAGAGAGAGACCTGCAGTATGTCTAGAGACAGAGAGACCTGCAGTGTGTCTAGAGAGACAGGGAGACCTGCAGTGTGTCTCGAGAGACAGGGAGACCTGCAGTGTGTCTAGAGAGACAGAGAGACCTGCAGTGTGTCTAGAGAGACAGAGAGACCTGCAGTGTGTCCAGAGAGACAGAGAGACCTGCAGTGTGTCTCGAGAGAGAGAGAGACCTGCAGTGAGTCGAGAGAGAGAGAAACCTGCAGTGATTCGAGAGAGAGAGAAACCTGCAGTGATTCGAGAGAGAGAGAAACCTGCAGTGATTCGAGAGAGAGAGAAACCTGCAGTGAGTTGAGAGAGAGAGAAACCTGCAGTGAGTCGAGAGAGAGAGAAACCTGCAGTGAGTCGAGAGAGAGAGAAACCTGCAGTGAGTCGAGAGAGAGAGAAACCTGCAGTGAGTCGAGAGAGAGAGAAACCTCCAGTGAGTCGAGAGAGAGAGAAACCTGCATTGAGTCGAGAGAGAGGGGAACCTGCAGTGAGTCGAGAGAGAGAAACCTGCCGTGTGTCGAGAGAGAGAGAGAAACCTGCCGTTTATCGAGAGAGAGAGAAACCTGCAGTGTTTATAGAGAGAAAGAAATCAGCAATGTGTCTGTAGTGATAGAGAGAAAGATACCTGGAGTGTGTCCAGAGTAAATAGGAACAGAGCAGTTATTATGCTTGATTTAAGTATTTAAAGAGAACAATATTTGCTTGACATTTGTCTTTTTCGACAAAAAATAGATTTGGCCTCAGCAAGAAAATTATCTAATATTATTGCTTTTTACTTTTCTATAGGTTTCGTATAATAACATGAGTGAATATGTTGCCAAGTCTCAAGCTAACCCTGGAAATGAAATAGATGCGAGTGATGGAGCTGTTACACAGCCTAATAATGGAAAGGAGATAATTAAGGGTGATGAAGACGAATCCCAATTGCAAGCCAACAGTGAACAGGACACAGCTAATATTGATGCAGACATTGTGCAACCTCAAGCTAAAACTGCGACAGACGTGGCCAAGAATGACCAGAGCCCAGCCCTACCTCGAGGTAACATCGAAATGCACACAGCAAAGGGTGCTGCAAGTAAAGTCCAACTTCAAGTGAACAGTGAAACAACTACGAGTGAAGCTAACAGTGGAATGGTTATAACTAAGAGCGACTCGGACAAAACCCAACCAGAATCTAATAGTGGAACAGACGTAACTAAAATAGACTTGGGTAAAGCTCAAGCTAACAGTGAAATGCACATAATTAAGGGTGACCCATGGAAAGCTCGCTTTCTAGCTAATAGTGGAATGCATGTGGCTAAAAGTGACCCAGGCAAAACCCAGCCTAAAGCTAGCACGAGAACTGTTCTGGCTCTGGGGGATGAAGATAAAGCCCACTCTGAAGCTAATAGTGGAATGGGTGCAGCTAAGAATGATGCCCACCATGAAGTCAGCAGTGAAATAAATGTTGCTGAGAGTGATTTACACAAAGCCCAATCTCAAACGTGCCCTGGAATGGATGGAGCAAAGAGTGATATAGCCCAGCCTCACGCTAACATTGGAATGGACATAGTCCTGAGTGACACAGACAATGGCCAAGCCAACTGTGGAATGGATGTAGCTAAGATTGGCGCAAGCAAAGTCCAATCTCAAACCAACACTGAAATAAACATAGCTAAGTGTGCCATACACATAAATCAACTTAAAGTTAACCCAGGCAAAACCCAATCTCAGGGTAACAAAGAAGTGGGCATACCTAAGAGTGATGGAAGTATAGCCCCACCTCAAGCAAGCAGTGAAACAGAGGTGACTAAGAGTGACTTCAGCTATGCACAAACTGAAGCTAATGGTGGACTAGATATAGCTAAAAGTGGTTCAGACAAAACTCCAGCTCATAGTGGAAGGAACACAGAGAGTGATAAATGCAAAGCCCATTCTCAAACGAGCTGTGTAACAGATATAGTTAAGAGTGATGGAGTCATAGCTCAAACAAGCAGAGAAATGCATATATTTAAGAGTGATGCTGGCAAAGCCAAACCCCAAGCTAACAGTAAAACTGATCTATTTGAGAGTGACTCTGGTATAACTCAACCTCAGGCTATCAGTGGAGTTGGTATGGCTGAAAGTGACTCAGGCAAAATCCAACTTCAAGCAAACAGTGAAATAGATGTCAGCGAGGGTGATTTGGGTACAGCTGAAGTTAATGGAAAGGAAGTAATTAAGAGTGATGGAGACAAATATCAACCTATCAGTGGAATGAATATAGCAGAGAGGGCCTCGGGCAAAATCCAATGTGAAAGAAGCAATGAAGCAGAGTTACCTAAGGAGGGTGATAGTCAATTACCAACTTACTGTGGAATGGAGATAGCTAATAGCTCCAGCTTAACCAAATCTCAAGTTGCTGAAGGTGAAAAGGATGTTCTAAACAATTATGCAGGAAATGCCCAACTTCAAACTAACACAGCTAACAATGATCCATACAAAGGTGGACTTCAGGTTGGTAAAAGTGGAAAGGTCCAACCTATGAATATTACAAACAAAACTCAGCTTCAAGTTACTAAAGATACAAAAGACACTGCTACAAGTAATGAAGGAAACATTCAAGCTATTTCTAATAGTGGTGAAAAAGGAGTAATTGTAACTGTTGGAGGCAATATTCAGCCTAATAGTGAAAATAAACCTATCAACTTTGGAATTAAAGTTGATCCTCAGATTCGCAAAGTAATCAATCCTAAGAGTGAAAAAAAGATTCCTGGGAAAAGATTCATAACTTATACTGCAAAAATGTTTGGTAAAAAAGCTGGAACAAGATTCCAAACTTATGGTGGAGATAAAAGATATGAAAATATAACAGCTTCCAATAACTCCCAATACCAAACTTACAGGAAGTTTGTGAGTGGTGGACCTCAGAATGATCCAGATGAAAAATATGCGAAGATATTTAGAAAAGATGGAAAAGATGTGAAGACATTTTGGTGTGATGTAAGTAATCTCTCACAGGGAGGTTTTTGTGCATTGGTTGTAATTTTTATTTTGATATTTTGAATATGATTATGTAAGATATCACACAAAAAAAGTTTCAATGAACCTAAGCATAAGAACAGTGGACAAGAATCAAAATGGCAAAAATTTAGAAGTCAGCAAAATCATGGTTGAAGCAAGGGGTATTTGGAAGATTTTTGAAAGCAGAGAGCTGCTGTAAGACAAAGTGGTTATGGAAGAGATTAGGTTGAATTATTGAAGGTGACTACATGAGGGAATTGAATTGATGGAAGATTCAGGTATCCGGTAGCTCAGGTATCTCAGCTCAGTTGGTAGCACTCCCATCTCTGGGTCAGAAGGTTGTTGGTTCAAGCTGCATATTTTACCCTGAAACTTTGAGTTCATAGTCTAGACCGACGTGGTTCAACAGGCATCCAGTGGGTTGCATCCGGCCCGAGATCCTTTCCAACATTGCAACTCCCTACCTGACAAACATCCTCCCGTGGCAGCAGCAGGAGCCGGCAGTTGGGGGGAACGCAGCGGGGAGAGTGGAAATAATGCCAGCCGTTGCTGCAGTCTGTACCTGAGCTGAGGGGAAGGCCAGCGTGTCTCCTTATCCACCGCATCTTATCTTCTGGCTTCTGGCACTGCAGATAGTGAACTGCACGGCTGATTGGGGGAAAGGGGGAGATTGAGTGATTGAGTGAGAAAGAGAGTGTGAGGAGAGAGTGTGAGAGCGAGGTGAGAATGGGGGAGTGAGAGAGTGATCGAGAGAGGGGTGGGGAGGAGAGATACAGTTCTTTAACATTAGCTTTTGATTTTTGTTCTAGATTTGCAAAGTGTTCTGCACGTCTGCTGTGAATCTCCAAATGCATTTCCTTGGCAATAAACACAAAAGGGTAAGAAACTTTTTTAGTATGTTCCTACTTTTTAATTGAACAAATCTGTGTGTTGACTGTATTGATGATTTCATTCCTACTTTCAAGAAGAGATGATCTCCGAAGATGGAATCAATTTAAATGTTTTTTCCTGTGTGTTGTCATAAATTACATTTACAGATTTGAAAAGCTCATTGTTTGAACCTCAAGCTTTCTGTACATCATCAGATTGAAGGATAAGATCCTAGTGTTTTTCCTCTAATCAGGTTCAAGAACTTAGGCTGTGATGCTTTATAGCACTTTGGTGGGTGATTTGCAAAGTGCAAGTTTGAATGTTATGCTTTACAAACTTCAACAAAGTTTGGAGATACAAGTTTATAGTAAATTTGGAGTTCATACGTATTGTAAGCATGTGCATACTCACCAGCAGAGCTAAAAGAGGTATTCGTTTACATTTTTTGATTGCAAAGAGGCATAATACTCATACAGCTCAGTAATGGGTAACACAACTTTGATATTGTCTTCGAAGGTGAAGCCGTGTGTCCTAGCCGCTAACTTACCAAATGATGAAAAGGGAAGCTTCAATCTTTGTTGCCAATAGACTTATATTTTCATATTGTTGTCTAAAATATTTCCTCCGGGCATCATTGCTTGGTCCCAAATATAACCTGCAATTCTCCAAGGAAACCGAGAGGCCTTTAGATTTTTTTCTATCTGTTGTATTTACCGTATATAGCCCAAAGTAAAATTATTTCCCTATCATTGCAATTTTTTTGCAAACTTACAGTAATCATGAAACGTCCATCAGCCAGCACTTCACTGCGATGTTAGAATGCTCCTGTTTGGTAAATTTGCATGTAAACATTTATGTTTAATTGTGAAATTCTATTACCTGGGAGTGTGTTATAGGCTGTAATTTAATTTTAGAGTTTGAATGATTATACATCACTTTTGTTCATGAAACCTTGTTAAATTACAGCCTTTTAATCTCTATTATCTTGGCCAACAAAAGTCTGATTTGAAGGATATACATAAGTTGCCTGGTAGCTGCAGTATCATAGCACTGGCCACTCAACAGGGAGACCAAAGCTTGACAAATATTCACAATGGGCTTCCCCTACAATCGGGAGGACGTCCCAAGGTGCTGGACAGTCAGCGATTTGGATCTGAGCGGGGATGGGGGGCTGGGATCAGGGATATTGGAGGCCAGGGAGGGGTGGCCTATGGCCTGGTCGAAGAGGATGGTCTTGAGAAGTGCCTTGAAGAAGGTAAGAGAGGGAGCAGGGCGAAGAGAATGTGGGATGGAGTTCCATAGGTTGGGAGCAGAGGCTGAAGCCATGAATGCCATTGGTGGTCCAGGCGGGGGACGTGGAGCAGGCCGGATCCTGCTAAGCGGAGGAGCGGACAGGTGACACAATAAGGTTGCCCGATACACCAAGGTTGCCAGTTTTGATTCAATCATCGGGGGAAGGAGGAAGAACCTTCTTAGGAAGGTTCTTGTCCATCACCCTGGAAAGAGTTGACTAAGAAGCAGTAGAAACGGCATCTTTGAAGATCTTCGTGGGTGGACCATCCGGGCTTCCCAGCCGTGGAGGATATTACGGACATGTGGGGAGGGACGAAGAGGAACAACACGACTGGATTATTAGCCAGTGGAAGGCTGGATATCCCTGAATGTCATCACAAGACTATTATAGTAACCCAGAGATTGCATTATTAATGGACCCCTCGAAAAGATGATTTGGGTATCTGGTCGTCGCAAAATATTTTTCTTTGGCTTGGACGCTGAACAAAAGTACATGCGAGACAGTTAAATATTGAATATTGTCATTTTCAACAAACTCACTGACGTTCTTCTCTTGGGACTCAGTTCACTGGGGCTTACAATTTAGTGCGCATCATCCCAACTTTTAATTATTGCTTTGATAATTGTTTTTTTAAAAAAAATGATGTTTCTGTAAAATATACATTTTAAATACTTAAAATTAGTTTAATCTAAAAGCTCAAGGAAATGTTTGAATAAGCCTCTAGTATTACTATACCTTTATCTACACACCCTCCTCCACCCAATGTTGGTCTTTTTCTCATCAGAATTGGTGATTTATAGGGCCATTTTCTTTCAAGGGCAGTGACCACCTGTTCTGCCTCAATACTTTGACTTTCTGTTACAGGACAGCAATATGGCTGTACTGCCGATAGCAAAAATGTTCATTTGACTTTTCTTTGAGGGTTATTTTTGAAGTGAAGACGTTACTCAAAAGGAAAAAATGCCTGCTATGGATAATATATGCATAAATATTAAATCTGTCATAAATAAAACAAAATATAACCCAACCACTGTCTTGTTGGCACAGAGATATTTCTGTGTTGTGGTCTTTTTAAAAAGCGGATGCTGCCTTGATATTCATTGCTATGCTACCTGGTCAGTTTGAAATGTCAATTTCATGTCCAATGTGGGGTTGTCTTGCTCAGCGATCCATTCAGGACAGATGCCTGAAGGAAAACCTCGTCCAATTTCAACAAAGAAAATGAAGGGCAAAGTCTGCAAAAGATGCATTTAATGAAATGTTTCAGTTTTATGTTCCAACAGAAGCAATCTCGCTAACTTTTTTCTGTTCATTTTCCTGGATGATTCTCTCCAAACATCATAATGACAGATTGAAGAAGTCTTAAAATGGAATGGTAAGTATTGAAGGATTCTTTGGGGATCTTGCTCCCATCTTTGTAGGTTTACAAATATAAAATGGTGATGTTTTTAGGTTTCATGTAACGTGTCAGTGAAGTTATTAAAACCAATGAACATTTATAAATACCGAAATTTTTAAATTTAAAGACGTTTTGTAAGAATGCGAATAACATTTAAACTGAATGAGTTATTTTCCTTGACAGACAGTGTTCTGCTCCACTCTAAATAACCCATTTATTTTCAGTACAACTTTTCCAGCAAGTCTTAGCATTGGACTTTAATTGGTCATTTTCTGATGGTTGGGTTTGGTTGACATTGTTTGTGCTTAATTGTCCACTTTTAATGGTCAAAGATCTGTGAACCATAGAACATAACAAATTTAAAAAGTTGCCATTATTCCATCCCTTTTTGTTCTATATATCCTAATTGGACTTGTGCAGTGTCCGGGGTAGTTGCCTGACGGTACAGATGCCTTTTCCCTGAACTCAGCCTCTGCCAGCAGCAGCTGTTTGACTGTGGAGACTTTACTAAAGTTCTGACTTTACTCACTCAATAGTTACATGTTCAGTCTGTTTATCCCCCCCCCCCCACCCCTCCACCACACATACAGCTCCAGGTCAAGGATGTTGAGAATAATTTCAATACTGCCCCAACATCCAACTCAATGCAGATAGATCAGGAATTACATGTATAATACTGTGTCTTAGTCTGAATGACTTCAGAGCCTTTAACCACTAGGTCATCAGAGGGGTCATAAATTGGACCATTTGAAACATTTATTAAGTTGGAGTTTTTTAGGATGTGAGCATGCAACATTTTGATATCAAATTTATATTTTTTCAAATCTGAGTAAGTCTGGTACTTTTCCAAGCATAATTTTCTGGGAAAGATGGCAGAACTATATTTAGACCTATTCTCTGTAAAATTGTAATGGTTAGCATTATTAAATGTGCTGCAGTTAAACTTTCTGTTAATTGTGCAGCCGTTCTAAATGCAATCAAAATATCCAATTCCATTTTACATTCGGTTGCAAAATGATTGCTGGAGTATTTAAAGCTTATAGAATGTTTGTGTAAGCAACATAACTTTTAGTAAATCACTGAAAATTTGTTTACAAATATTGTAAAGATGTATTCATTTTATAGTGGAAAATGGTAATATTGTTAATACAAAAGAATGACAATATTGGCTGAAGTTTGAATCTGACCAGTGGATGATAACAGAAATTGCATATTGAATAATTTGGAGCATAAGTGAAACATGTGTCTACTGGTGAGCATCAAGAGCCTTTGGAGGTGCTCATGAATCAAGACTGGAACAAGCAAAGATCATTTTGTCTATCCACCAGCTCTTTCCACAAACTGTGTCCTGTGTACAAAGTACTATATTGTTGACCATGTCCAAATATGTTACAGCTGGAAAATTCTGCATAGTTTCCTAAAACAATCAAAACAAATTCCAGAATATCCCATTTATTGCAGCGGGGCTTTGATTAGCTCCACCCATCTCGTCTCAGTCTCCACGTTTGAAACATAATAACGTAAGAATTTGCTAGGCAAAAGAAGACCAAGGTCCATTTAGTTTGTCTTCCACCATCCTGGCAGTCGCTTGACATGTCGTGTCCCAAACTATATACTGTATCTTGGGATATTATTTTCTAGCAGAAATCTATCTAATTTGTTCTTGAAACAAACCTTCAATCAACTTTGGAGGACATTGGCTTTGGAACTGAAGAACTACGTCTTTCATAAATGAGGGGATATGGAAGAATGTTTGGGTTTTGGACTTCAAATGGTTGAGGCTGGATTGTCAAAAGTCAAAATGTTGGCATTGGAGACTAAACCAGTCAAGAAAACCTGAAATGGTGTGTTCAGATAATCTGAATCTCACTGAAACTGAATTCCAAGTGCTCATTCGTTCAGTGTCGTCACCGTGAGGAATTTGGATGCAGTGTGGTGTTTGATGCAGCTTAGAGCTAAGCTGTTACAATTGCTGCTGCATCTGAGTCGCCTCTTCCATAATGCTGTTTCATGCAAGATGTGTTGTACAAGTGAGAAGTTGCTGTTGCTTAATGAAGATGACTACTACTTCCATTAAATGCCGAATATCTGCAGGAGAATGTATTGAAAGCATCAACATCATCCACAACAATCTTTGTTATTGATAACATATTTGCAATATTTTAATGAATGGATTATTGATGTAAAGTGACCTCACAAAACCTGTTGAAGCTGTTGCCATATTTTACCGAACTGCAAATTCTGGATGTTAAAAAGCGTTCTTACCAATCTTACTAATTGTGCTTCATTGATGTTTATAAAATTGGGATTTTGTTTTATTACACCTCCCTTTCTAGCTTTCGTTTTGGTGATGGTGATGAGGGGAGAGAGGGGGGTTGAGTCTTAAGTTTTAGTTGAACTAAATTTTACTTATTTAAATAATTGTAAATTCTTTAGCTGAGCTGCTAACAACACATATGTTGCCATTGAACATAAATGTGAAACTAAAATCCTTAGTCCTAATCAGAAGTTACTAAACAATTAATTGTTAAAAAAAACATTTGTCGGAAAATGGAAGGGTGACCAGAAATGAAAGGTTTTTCTTGTTTGTTAAATTGCTGGTAACCATTTAGGTTGTATTAGTGTTAAATCCTTTATATTGGGCTTTTGTGGTTTATACAGTTTGTTTAAATTAACCAGTTCAGTTCTGGTTGCTGATTTATAATAGATGCAATATTTTAATTCTGTAGTCTTCCTCTTAATATACAATACAAATTTACATTTATACAGTGCCTTTCACGTTGAGACATTCAAAGCCACTTAACAATAATGGCTTGGCACCCGAGCTGGGGGTGGGAGCCTGATGGGGTGGGGAAGGAGTGTACACCACAATCTAAAATTGAATTACCTGATTCTTGGAATAGCTGATGTGGTGGAGCTAAATACTTTAATACTTTGTAAACCTGATTCAGGTTAATGTAAAAATGCAAAGAAGTACAGCACGGCAATAGGCCACTCAACCCAAGCAGTTCAGGCCGATGTTTATATTTCACCTATTCCTTACTCCCTCCCATACGTTTCTATTCTCTACTGCAGGTGAAGGTCTAGCTTCCTCTTGAATGCATAATAAATGTAGAAACAAAACTCCCAAGCATAAAGCAGTCCAGTGTTAGGCTACGGTATAAGGTATATTATATAATTAATTAATATAATGTAAAGGGTGATAATAATAATCCTTGCATTTGATATAGCGCTTTTCACGTCGGAAGGACGTCCCAAAGCGCTTCACAAAAAAACACTGTAAAGTGAATTGACTGTATATTTGTGGGCGAACACGGCAGCCAATTGCGCACAGCAATGTCCCACAAACAGTCGTAGATTGAAAATGACCAATTTATTATTGGTTTTGGAGGGTATATTATAATTTACAACAGCCAATAGGAAAGTCTTGCTGTAGAATATTTATTGAATGTAGTTGAAGAATAACATAAAGAATTGTTATGGGTTCTAAATGAAACTTTCGATTTCTCCATTCTCATTTCAGCTACTGTTTTGTAGGTGCACTTGTCTAGCACTTATGAGTGACTACAGGTGTTTTGGAGTTTCTATTCTCTCCTTTGGGTAAACACCCAAGCTTTCTGTAGCTTTTTCCTGTCAGAACAACATATATCTAGACTTGCTTGTTGAGTAACCATCAGAATTGTATTTAGGGCTTTATATTGCATCAATCTACAGTGGGAATCTTAGGTGGCAATCTACTTAGTGTAGTTTATTCTGATGGAGGTTAATTAGTAACGACAGAGTAATAATGGAGCACAAATTGTTTATAGACCACAACTGAAGACAAAAAAAATCAGGTACCTGGACTGTTTGTTTAATTTTTTCATCCTTTTCTATTATACTTCTGGAATAGGATACCTAAGGCAGGAAAAATTAAAAGGGAACTGTGCAGCTTTAAACTAACTTTTATGCTATTATATATGATTATCTATATTAGAAGATAACCCATTGAGTAACCAAAATAATGTGGCAGCTTAAATGTGGAATAAAAACAGAAATTGATTTTATATATACATATATATTTTATATATTTCTGTGCATGCAATTTATGCAAATTAGGGCTATGAATATATGGAAGTAATAATATGATAAGGGAACCAATTTGTGCCACTTGATTTTCCTCGTCCCCACTGGCAAAAGTAAATACCATCACAAGTGCACAAGCATCTTACATGCTTTTAAAATATTTTGCTGCAAGATACTAATTTCAATAAGACCCTGATAGATTTAGGACATAACTATTGGTTATAAAAAATAGTAAAATTTCCTGCATTTGATACAGTGGCAGGAATGTTTCAAAGCGCTTCACAAAGCTTCTGGGGTAATAGAATGTATAATCCATAGGCAAACATCCAGTAATTTGTAAAACTGATGCAGAACAGCATTTTGTATAACATGCTAATGATTCAACTGGGAGCACCAACAAAAAGATTTTTAAGTAACTTTTTTAAACGTATTTGCTCACACATCTTGTGGAGTCACTGTACGTTTTGATTGCAATGTGTTTGAAAGAGGTGGATGAAAAGCAAAGTGGGAGCCGATAAATAATTGTTAGATAGAGAATTTTAAAATGTCGCAGTTAAAACATTTGTTCAATTTCAAATGCTGAGCATTGAAATTTTCACTTGTGTGATGGAAACAGATGGATGTTGTGTTGGCATTGTTTTCTCAGTAGCAAATGTTTACATTGTTCCACATCTACAAGTACTAACTTCAGTACTATATTTGGAGGAAGAGAAATGCATACTTATTGTTTGCCCCTTCTGTAAATGCCATGTCATATTGCCTTGAAAGTTGATTGTTTTGAAATAACCTTTGTCGTACTGGAAAGTAAATGCCCAAATGCATTGGTTGATTCTTGATTAATATTTTGTAGCCTTCATGAAATGCGTTGCAGTAGTGATGAATGAGTAATACTTCAAAAATGAACTGTGCTCTGTTACCATGTATGTATGCCATAGTTTCCAAATCTTAAAAAAAATCATAATTTTGAAAAACTATTTTGGGATGATTAGTGGATTCAACAACGTTAGAATCGTAAATCTATTGGTATTGAACAGAGACCACGTGTAATACATTTTGAACTGTTTGCTGAGGAAGCATTGGCTTTATTATATTGGTTAGTGTTGATAAAATAGTCCTTTTAAAGATAACTTACAATATGTGAGTGACACAATATTTAAAAAAAGTAACTTAATTGTAAATCATGATCAAGCTTTTTATACCAAGTTCGAGAAGATGACTGATTTGATGTATAGTTCCAATGCTTGGTTATTACTTGGTCCTTCGTTACTCTTGTAACTGTATAACTGTGTAACAGAATTAACATAGATATTTTGAATTCTATTTCAAGTTGCTGAAGGAGTTGTTAAAAAGGTTGAGCTGCTACTAACAGAAACTACGGAGCCAAAATCTGTGGAGAGGAAAATTGTGGTGACAAAAACTGTGGAGAGGAAAACTGTGAAGCCAAAAACTGTAGAGAAGAAAACTGTGGCATCAAAAATACAAATACCGACTACAGTGCTGAAACCCCTGGAATATTACCTCAATAAATTGAAGCTAAAGAGGGCCATAGTTGGTATGTTTTGAATCTGATATATTTACAGTGCAAAACTTTCTGTCTCTTGATGTTTGTTTTCTTGTCAAAAAGCAAATCAATTAAGTAGAAGTTGCATAAAACAAATTACTAGTTTTCTCCACTTTTAAACTTCATAAATTTTCTTGAGTGAAGCTTCAGAGTGCTAGAAAATAATAATTGAATTACAAACATGACATATAGTTTGTGATTGATTGTGTAGAACAATGGTTGTTATTTGGAATGGAGATAAATTGTGGTGTCTTACAGGGGTCCATGTTAGGACCATTGCCTTTCTTCATCTACAACAACAACAACAAAATTACATTTATAGAGAGCCTTTCACGTCGGGAGGACGTCCCAAGGCGCGGGACAGTAAGGGGGCAGGACCTGAGCATGAGGGAAGGCAGAGAGGTGGGAGGGCTACTGAAGGCACAATCGAAGAGGAGGCAAGGGAGGAAGCGAGGGGAAGGGACTGTGGGATGGAGTTCCAGAGTGTGAGGGCAGAGAGGCTGAAAGCTCGGCCACCGATGGTAGGGCGGGTCGGGTGGGAGACATGGAGCAGGACGGAGCCCCCTGAACGGAGGGAGCGGGCGTGTTGGTAGGGAGTCAGCAGGTCAGACAGGTAGGAGGGGGCAAGGCCATGGATGGCCTTAAATGTGAGGATGAGGATCTTGAACTTGATCCTCTGGGGGACGGGGAGCCAGTGGAGTCAGGCGAGGGTGGGAGTGATGGGGTTGCGGAGCCTGGTGCGTGAGAGTACGTGAGCTGCAGTGTTTTGGATGATCTGCAGCTTGTGAAGGGAAGAGTTGGGAAGGCCGATGACGAGGGAGTTTCCGTAATCGAGCTTTGATGTGACGAATGCGTGGGTGAGGGTTTCAGCAGCCTGAGGGGTGAGACAGTGACGGAGTCTGGCAGTGTTGCGAAGGTGGTGGTAGGCAGTGCCGGTCATGGTGTGGATGTGGGGTGAAAGGACAGTTCAGGGTCAAACAAGACACCCAGGTTCCTGACTGGCTGAGTGAGGTTGTGTGTGCAGCCGCGGAGGCTGATGCTGTCGGCGCCTGAGGTGTGGAGGCGCTGGTACGAGCCAATCAGGAGGGCCTTGGTCTTACTGACATTGAGTTGGAGAAAGTTGTCCCTCATCCAGGACTTGATGTCGGACAGGCAATCAGTCAGGATGCCAGTAATCCTGGAGTTGAGGGTGGAGGCAGAGAGGTAGAGTTGGGTGTCATCCGCATACATGTGGAAATTTACCCCATGTTTGCGGATGGTGTCACCAAGGGGAGCATGTAGAGGGTGAAGAGGAGGGGACCGAGGACAGAGCCCTGAGGAGTGATGCGCGGGCTGGAGGAGAAGCCGTTTGCAGAGATGAATTGGAGGCAGTGTGAAAAGTAGGACCTGAACTAGTCAAGGACAGAACCTTGAAGGTTGAGGTGGGAGGCGAGGCGGTGGAGGAGGATTGAGTGGTCCACAGTATCAAAGGCAGTGGAGAGGACGAGAAGGCAGAGGGGAGCCCTTGTCACACATTATGTCATTTATAAATTATATATAATAGATAAATTATCTAGATTCTAGTATAAAAGGTAACATTTTTAAATGAAAACAAATAGGGAGCTAATAGTTAAGATGGTGATGAACATCTGGAGAACACAGACAGACAAGTAGATTGGGCAGAGGATGTAGATTAAATTTAATGCACAAAAGTGTGAGGTAAAAAGACAAGTAAATAGGACTGAATGGATTCATCTTTCAAATAACTAGTTGACATGATGGTCTGAATGCACATCTGTACTGAAAATTTCTATCAAGGGTATGGGATAAGGGAAAATGCTGCCGAGTCTGTTATTGAGAGCAGTAGAAAGCTCGGACCATTCATTGTGAAACTGCACAGAATGTTTTGGTTTCTTAAGGTATCACAAATGGAGATCCATGTTTTTCTACCTCCTTGAGTTTCTAAGTCCATGCTATTTCCTTGAGCACTACACCTTAATTAATGTACTGTCACATAATTTCTGGCATAGTAAATTTTCTTTTGATGCTTTCCTTATATTGTTAGGGTTGTCAAAATAGTCCTTTTTAAAGATGATTTATGATGTGTGAGTGACACCACNTTTTTTTTAAAAGGTAACATAATTGTAAATCATGATTGTAGTTAGAATGAAGCTCGAGCTTTTTATACCGGCAAAGAATTCCAAGTTAGAGAAGATGACTGGTTTGATGTGTAGTCACAATGCTTGCATCATTCTTTGTCCTTTGTTACTGTTATAACTGGATAAATGTGTAACAGAATTAATCTATACATTTTGAAATCTAGTTCAAGTTGTGAAAGGAGTTGTTATATTGGTCATCTACTTTTGTGTGCTATTTTTCATTTTTTTTCAAACTGTATAGGGCTGAACTATGTGGTTGAATACCATCTTCAACATTCAAAGAGACAATTTGAGTGTGAACTCTGCCACCATACATCGGATCTCTCTATTTTTATTCAACATATCATTGGGAGTCGACACATGCTGAGATATTTGGTAAGTTTCGTAAATTAGTATTCAATGATCAACGGAGATCCTTAGAAAATCGAGTGTCTCTTTCAGTTGTGGTCAGACTTGCTATAATAATTGTGCAGTTTAATCACACAGAGGGGGGTAAGAGCACTCTCTCAATACAGTTTTTCCCCTGGCAAATGAGGTAATAACCCAATTTTTTTTTGTAAAAAGTAGGCTTATTTTAGCACATCAAAAACTCAAGAAAGCAAACTAGATATTACCTAAACAGTTGCTTATTCGATGAACACAATTATTGTAGAGAACCTATTATCAGCACTGTTTACGACTGGCCTCTTTGTGAATAATCAAACTATGTATAATTGGATAACTTGCAAAATACCAATGGGCTAGAGTTTGTTTATTGTATATATTATATAGTTGGTTACCCTCCTCAGTCTGCCACAGTCCCTTCACTTCACTCCCTCCCCTTGCCTCCTTCAAGTCTCGTCTCAACACCCTCCTCTTCATCCGCCTTTGGTTACCCTCCTACCACCACCCTCCCTGCCCTCCACCCCTCCTGATCCCAACCCTCAGCTCGAGTGCAAATCCATGACTGTCCTCCCGATGTGAAAGGTGCTATACAAATGAATACACAGTAGACAGTGTTGAGGAGTTATACTGTCACTGGTATTGTTTGAGGACTTATACTGTCACTGTGATGCACATTGTGCATCTTTCTTTCTACCTCTTTTTGCTTTTCGGTGACCGAGTGATTTTTAAAAATATACTTACATATCCATACACAATCCACGTTTTTGTGTGAGGTTGCAACAAATGCTTAAATTGCATCACTGGTATACCTAACTGGCTGCAAGGTGACATGCTTGGAAACAGAATGGATTTAACCCTCTGTGGTGGTCTTGGTAATCCAGTTTCTGAGCCAGGTGAGTCCATAGTACTCCAGGGCACTGCTGATGACAGCACATCCAGCCTGGCTCATCTGTAAAACTTAGGGGCACACCTGTTGCTGGGAGCAGGAATTCTTCTCATTCAGCTTCTGTTAACCGTGCACATTCCACAAGGAAATTTCCATGTGTTAAGCGGCATACATATGTGGATCTCTGTCTGTGTTGGATGTCCTCAAGTACGGTGATGGATTTCCACACGTGTCAGGTAACCTGACTGACCAAAACGAAAAGAGAAGGGGGTAAAAGGTGATGGAAAGGAGGGTGAAAGATAGGCCTTAAGGTGGGGTTTATAGGTGAGGAGGCAGGGTGTGAAGCAGAGACAGCCCAGAATAGGATTCCAGGGACCACGGGCCAAATGACAAAGCCAATTACTGATCCAAAACTGACCTATTGAAAATCATGCCAAGTGAGTCATTTTATGCCATTGTATTGCTGTGAAATAAGTATCTGTGTTATTCATCTAATTTTGAAAAAATCATGTACTATTCATACTTCTCCTGAAGTAGTGGTGTAATTGTACATTCTTAATAAGATGGCCCATATGTCATTATTAAACTTCAAACTTCAAGTGCCTTGACATGTGGTAATATTGCACCTACTCGTAGGACTCGTCAAGATGTAAACAATTTATACAGTTTCATGTTACTTGTATATTTCACCAAATTACTGTGTAGCATTGTATCAGTGCTCGTTTGTGTTTCTATTTAGAAAAGACGCCATCCGGATACTTTAAAAGGCCAAAATTGGATTCTTTGTAAAGCTGACTGTAAACGACTAAACAGAAAAGCATTAGAAATTGAAAAATTGTATGGAAGAGGATCAGTAACTGTAAGTACAAAATATGTTTTCGCTAAAATGTGTTCCTGGCTTCTTTATGAAGCTAGACAACTATACATTTTTATCCAGGCTTCTGCTAACATTCTCCCTTATCCAATTGTCGATATACTTTATGAATTTAGGAATGCAAAGCAGGGGAAATTCAATACAGAGAACTGTCTCTTTTTAAAAAAAATTCTGACAATGTGTCTAGGTGGGCCATGATTACAAACATACAAATGCCACAGATATATTGCTAAATTGCGATGTATAGAATGCATTCAATCATGGAGTTGATTGTGTGCCATTTGTAAGGCATGTGTATTGTGTGCCATCATTCTATATCTGCAGAAGAAATTACAGATGCCTTGATTATGTAATTAACCAATGAAAGATTTGGTTTATTCTGGTAAATTATACAATGAAGGGAATCCATTATTCCCTCTGCACACATGCTTTTGCTCTTGGTGCATAATGTACATATTTTCTTATAGTTTACACATGGGGCATAATGGACCTCAATGTCTCATGTGTATGGCATATAAAACAAAACACTAATTGTTGAACATTTGGATTACAACTTTGTTTTTAAAGTTATTTTTGCTTAACTTTATGCAGCTTAAGCAAATTAGTTGAACTGTGGAGTCTTCGGTCTTTATTTTGTGGGGATCATTTATCATGTTCTTTTGGAACATCCACAAAAACTTCCACTGGTGAGCAGAATTGGAAAGTGGGTTTGGCTTGTTTTCTTTTCCTTCTTCAATTTGGGAGCAATAAGGCCAACCATACCCATCACCCCATTTATTCTGTCCTGGCTGCAATCAGTTAACTCAATTCAGACCACCAAATAAACTTGGAGATTCTGCTGGTTTCACTTAAATACCACAATGCAATGCATTTATCCACTGAGCCATCAAATGTTACATAGTAAATTTCGGATTGCCATCCTGCAAATTTGGCACATTTGTTCTCGCTCTTACAGAACACTAGCCTTACCGTCTCCCAATATTACGTGATGATGTATTGTTGTGTAACAACTAGCAAGGTCACTGACCTGTTGGAGGTATTCTTATATACATCTCTAAATTCTGAGAGCAGTCTTTTCAAGGTTGAAGAGTTCTATTTATCTAGTTATTTCATGTGTAGTTAAGTGCCTCAATCTCTTATTGCTATGCTTTCCTGCTAATTTGCACTATACAACACCACCATCAACAGAATAATTGATGTGTTGTGAAATGCTACAACTGTTAATTATATTTGAATTTCAGATTGTCCGTAAGAAAGTCATACCTAAAGTTAATCAACAGAATACTGCAGAACAGAGTAAGTTATTAACAGTGTGTACTTTTGAGGCTTAGTAAACAATATTGAAATGATTGTTTACAATCACTCTCATTTTTATAAACCTATTAGTTTCAGGTTGTAGAATGGATCAATGGGCAATCTTGATCTTAGTGGGAAGCTCCCCATTTATAGCAATTATCGGCCAACTATCTATATATTTAGGTTATATTGTTTTTGCCAATTTCACCTCCACCTCTTAATAGTGACTCGAGCATGGTTAAATCGTACGGCACCAACGACAAGCTAATGGCCTTTCTTTAGGTGTTGACCATTGATGTCAACAGATTATTCGACTGTAGTCAACATCACAATAATACCAGGTCCTGTCTTCACCTGATATTCATAAGTATGCACTTTTGGTTGAATGGCAATGTAGCACAGTGAGATAGATTGATTATTCTCTCAAAGCCATCCTTGATGCATTCAGCTAAGTCGTAGATTGGGGTCATTGGTTGTTTAGTTTCAAATATATCTCCAAATATATCTCTTTACATTTTGACTGTTATTAAATCCCAATGTTTAGCAACAAAGAGGGTTTCTATTTTTTTTCATTTACACATGTTTTCTAGTTTAAAAGTGTTTTTTTAGTTTAAAAGTGGTATTTCAATCTCATTTTTTAAGGTGATTGTATGATTAGTGTTTCTTTTTAATACTTTTGAGTCCGTGGTAAACTTGCCTTTCACAAAAACTGCATGATTGTGTGTTTCAGCGGCTGTGGAGTTGAAGCCTGAAGCAGAAAAATCTGAAGCTGCTTCAGGTGCGATTATTGACATAACAATTATTTAATATTTAACTTTACTCTATGCCTCTCTTCTTCACCCCCCACACAAAAAAAAGGATTTGATTGCTTTACCTTTTAGAATTTATTTTGATATGACATCATGCAGTACAGATGTTTTTGTGGGTTGCACTGGGTACATAGGTATTGTACTTTCTAAGTATAGGCTGCTGTGGATATGTCCTGAACCTTTATATTTATGTTACTTTTCTAATGCACTTTCAACTCCTACAGAACTAAATCAATTGTGTTAACTTTTAGATACATTTAAAAGTTTTAATACAGTAGAATGCTCTGTGGTGTATACAGGATGATCCCGTTTTACTAGTATTTTGGATCAAAAAAGTTAACGACTGTGTTATAAAGGGTCTGCACAAAATGGCCGCCAGTCCTGCTTCTAGTTTGTGAGGTCACTGCTAATGTTGGCACAGACTGATTGGCTTCCAATACATGCATCTGGCTTATTTTCGGTCTTATTTTGTGTTTTCACAAAAACTCTTATGGGTCTATTTTAGCTGCTGTTAAGCCTGTGGCATAACCAGTAGTTATGGTTGCATGAGAGGTGTTCCAAGTGGCCCTGTGGTACAGGATAAGTTTGCCAGGATTCTTGCTCTCACAATACAAATTACATTTCTATAGCTCCTTTTACATCGGAAGGATAGGATGAGAGCCCAAGGGGGTGGGGAAGGTAAAAGATGTCCAAAGGCTCAGTCAAAGAGGTATCTTGAAGCAGACCTTGAATGAGGGGAGGGAGCGAATGATTTGGACATACTCTGGAATGGAGTTCCAGAGAGCAGGACAGAATGGCTGAAAGCCCACTTGCTGACGGTGGAGCTGATAGGGGGGGGACCTGAAACACGCTGCATTGCTCTTGATTGCTATGTGATGATCTTTACTTATACACATGAAGATTCTGGCTTACGTCCTCTCCTGATCAGGCTCCGTTACTCTATCACCCCCAACATCGCACAGCTCCACTAACTCCCTTTCCCCCAGAGAATGGAGTTCAAAATCCTCATCCTCTCTATCAAAGGCCTCAACAGCCTTGCTCCTCCCTACATCTGTGACCTGATAACCCCATACTGGCTTTTCCGCTTGGCAGACTCGCTCATTGGCGCCATTGGCCAATTGACCACCATTGGCTCCATTGGCCAATTGAACACCATTGGGAGAACTCCAACCCACAGTCGCTTCACCTTACCCCCTCCCTTGCTTCCTTCAAGACCCGTTTCAAGAAATACCTCTTTGACTGTACCTTTGGTAATTTTCCCACCTCCACCGCCCTTGCCCTCTACCCCTCTTGATTCCAACCCCCAACTCAGATACAATTCCTTCACTGTCCAGCGCCTTGGGGCATCCTTCCTATGTATAAGGTGCTACATAGATACAATTTGTTGTTGTTCACATAAACTCTTATGGGTCTGTATTTCAGCTGCTGTGAAGCCTGAGCCAAAACCAGTGCCCTCTGAATCCATTCCAGGTACATTCACTGCGCTGGGGTTGAGAGCCCAAGGCGGGTGGGGGAGGGCAAAGATGTCAGAAAGGCTCAGTCAAAGAGGTACGTTTGAGATAGACCTTGAATTAGGGCAGGAAGCGAACGATTTGGACAGATTCTGGAAAGGAGTTCTGAACAGCAGGACAGAATGGCTGAAAGCCCACCTGCTGTTGGTGGAGCTGATAGGGTGGGGGACATTGCTCTTGATTGCTATATGATGACCTTTACTGAACTTGTGCACGTGAAGAACAGAATCTGGCTTACCTGTGAAGCTGCACACAATTGAAAAGTCCGCTCTCTATTTGGTCTCATTTAAAGAATGAGCAGCTGTTAGCTTGCTTATAACTGTAGCTTAGCATAAACAAATGGATTCAGAACAAGTGAGAGGAAATTTAAAGGACTAGAAAAAACCCGGGGTTACGACAATAACTTGCGTTTATATAGCGCTGTTCGTGTAGGATAATATCTCGCAGCTCTTGACAGCGGTGGGGTTGGGTGCTAAGAAGGGGAGATGACCATGCGCATGGTTGATGAAGCAGGCTTTAAGGTACATTTTAAAAACAAGTAAAGGCGATATGGCAGGAAATTCCAGAAATTAAAGGGTGAAATGACAAGGGTCGGTGTGATTTAAGGGGCAGCTACTAACGATGTGGAGCTGGTGGGGGAAGCACAGCAGGCTCGACTAAGGAAAGTAGAAAAGTGAGGTCAGAGAAGCTCATCGAGATAGGGAAATTACACTTACACCTTGTTTGCCGGTCTTCCCAACTCTTCCCTACACAAGCTGCAGATTATTCAGAAACTCGGCAACTCGTGTCATCCTGCTCCAGGCTCCGTGAATTCATCGCCTCCATCCTCGCCCGGCTCCACTGACTCCCCATCCCCCAGAGAATAGAGTTCAAAATCCTCATCCTCCCTATCAAAGCCTTCCATGGCCTTGCTCCTCCCTACATCTGTGACCTGCTAACCCCATACCGGCTTGTCTGCGCACTCCGCTCGGCAGACTCTCTCCTGTTCCACCATCGGCGGTCGGGTCTTCAGCCTTTTAGCCCCAGCTTTAGGAACCAACCCACCGTCCCTTCGCCTCGCTCGCTCCCTTGCCTCCTTCAAGACCTGTCTCAAGACCTTCCTCTTCAACCGCGCCTTTGGTCATCTTCCCAACTCCACTGCCCTTGCCCTCCACCACTTTTGATTCCAATTCCCTGCTCGGGTACAATTCCTTCACTGTCCAGCGCCTTGGGTTCTTCCGACGTGAAAGGCGCTACACAAATGCAATTTGTTGTTGTTCACACAAACTCTTATGGGTCTGTATTTCAGCTGCTGTGAAGCCAGAGCCAAAACCAATGCACTCTGAACCCATTCCAGGTACATTCACAACGACATTATTTTTCTGTAAAATGGTGACACTGATGCATTTCAGAATGTAGATATTTGTCAAATATGTAAAACGCGCATTTCACATCGGGAAGATGTCTCAAAGTGCTCAATACAGCATTGGGGGCGAGAGCCCAAGGGAACTGGGGGATGTCCAAAGGCTCAACAGTAGAGGTACGTTTGAGACAGAACTTGAATGAGGCGAGGGAGTTAATGATTTGGACAAACTCTGGAATGGAGTTCCAGAGAACAGGGCAGAATAGTTGAAAGCCCACCTGCTGGTAGTGGAGCTGATAGGGTGGGAGACATAAAACACTGCATTGGTCTTGATTGCTATGTGATGCCTTTCCTGAACTTGTGCACGTGAAGAACAGAATCTGGCTTACCTGTGAAGCTCCACACAGTTGAATAGTCTGCTCACTATTTGGTCTCATTTAAAGAATGCTACTTGGATGAGCAGCTATTAGCTTGCTTATAACTGTAGCTTAGCATAAACAAATGGATTCAGAACAAGTGAGAGGAAATTTAAAAGATTAGAAGGAACCTGTGGTTACAACAATAACTTGCGTTTATATAGCGCTGTTTGTGTAGGATAATATCTCGCAGCTCTTGACAGCGGTGGGGTTGGGTGCTAAGCAAGGAAATAAGGAGAAGGGGAGATGACCATGACTGAGGAAGCAAGCTTTAAGGTACATTTTCAAGACAAATAAAGAGGATTAGGCAGGAAATTCCAGAGATTAAAGGATGAAATGACAAGGGGCATTGTGATATAAGGGGCAGCTACTAATGATGATGTGGAGCTGGTGGGGAAAGCACAGCAGGCTCGACTAAGGAAAGTAGAGGAGTGAGGTCAGAGAACAACAACATTACATTTGTAAAGTGCCTTTCACGTCAGGAGGACGTCCCAAGGCACTGGACAACAGAGTTACGGACCCGAGCTCGGGGTCAGGGTGGGGTAGGGTGGAGGGTAGTGGAGGAAGTAGGGAGATCGAAAGCACGGTTGAAAAGGAGGGTCTTGAGGTGGGTCTTGAATGTGGCGAAAGAAGGGGCAAGACGGAGGGACTGTGGTCATCTTCCCACCTCCACTGCCCTTGCCTCCAACCCTCTTGATTCCAACCCCCCAACTCGGATACAATTCCTTCACTGTCCAACGCTTTGGGACGTTCTTCCGATGTGAAAGGCGCTACACAAATGCAATTTGTTGTTGTTCACGTAAACTCTTATGGGTCTGTATTTCAGCTGCTGTGAAGCCTGAGCCAAAACCAATGCACTCTGAACCCATTCCAGGTACATTCACAATTACATTGTTTTCCTGTAAAATGGTGACACTGATGCATTTCAGAATGTAGATACTTGTCAAGTATGTAAAACGCGCGTTTCACATAGGGAAGATGTCTCAAAGTGCTCAATACCGTACTGAGGGTGAGAGCCCAAGGTGGTGGGGGAGGGGAAAGATGTCCAAAGGCTCAGTCAAAGAGGTACGTTTGAAAGAGGGAGACGGCTACCAATGATGGTGTGGAGGGGGTGGGGGCAGCACGGCAGGCTGGAATAAGGAACGTAGAGGAGTTAGGTCAGAGAAGCTCATCGAAATAATAATATAAATAATAATAATAATCCTTGCATTTGATATAGCGCCTTATCACGTCATCGAGATGTCTCAAAGCACTTCACAGAATATATTGTAAAGTGAATTGACTGTATATTTTGTTGGCGAAACACGGCAGCCAATCAGTCGTGGATTGAGTGACCCAATTATTATTTATTTTGAGGGGATTGTTACCCCCGGAAAAGTGATCCGCCAATTGACTAACCCCAGGTTCTTACTTACTGCTAACGGCTTTTCCTCCAGCCCCCGCACTGTCTCGTGTGGTGTCCCTCAGGGCTCTGTCCTCGGTCCCCTCCTCTTCACCCTCTATATGCTCCCCCTTGGTGACATCATCCGCAGACATGGGGTTAACTTCCACATGTATGCGGATGACACCCAACTCTACCTTTCCTTCTCTACCCTCAACTCCACGACCACCGATGTCCTGACAGCTGCCTGTCCGACATCGAGTCCTGGACGAGAGACAACTTTCTTTAGCTCAACGTGCGTAAAACTGAGGCCCTCCTGATTGGCTCACGTCAGCGCCTCCGCACCTCAGGCGCTGACACCATCAGCATCCAAGGCTGCACTCTCCACCTCTCAAAGCCGGTCAGGAACCTCAGTGTTCTGTTCGACCCTGAGCTGTCCTTTCTTCCCCACATCCACGCCACAACTGGCACCGCCTTCCATCACCTCCGGAATATCGCCAGACTACGGCACTACCTCACCCCTCACGCTGCTGAAATACTGGTCCACGCCTTTATCACCTCAAGGCTGGACTATGGGAACTCTCTCCTCGCCGGCCTTCCCGCCACCTCCCTCCACAAGCTGCAGGTCATTCAGAACTCTGCAGCTCGTGTCCTGTCCCGCACCAGGCTTCGCGACCACATCACTCCCACCCTCGCTCGCCTCCACTGGCTCCCCATCCCCCAGAGGATCGAATTCAAGATCCTCATCCTCACCTACAAGGCCATTCACGGCCTCGCTCCCTCCTACCTCTCCGACCTACTATCCCCCTACTTACCTGCCCGTACCGTACCCTCCGTTCCTCTGGCTCCGGTCTGCTCCACATCCCCCGCCCCAACCACCCTACTATCAGTGGCCTCTCAGCCCCTAGGCTCTGGAACTCCATCCCCCAGTGCCTTCGCCGCCTCCTCCCTTTCCTCCTTCAAGGCCGGTCTCAAGACCTTTCTCTTCAACCGTGGCTTCATCTCCCCTCTCGACTCTCTACCCCCTCCTCGCTCCCTTCCCTCCCCTTACCCTGACCATTTTCCCCCTGCTTGGGTCCCGACCCACTGTCCAGAGCCTTGGGACGTCCTCCCGATGTGAAAGGCGCTCTATAAATGCGATTTTGTTGTTGTTGTTGCTAGGTAAACGAGAGTGTGGAGTAAGGAAATTTGCCCAACTTTTCACCCTGCCCCGGAATCGAACCCACATCTCTTGCTTGCAAGGCGAGTGCTCTTACCACTGAGCTACAAGACTTCACAGATAAATTAGTGAAGGCAGCAAGATTGGGAAATTACGCTAACACCCTGCCCTCCATCCCTCTTGAGCACTTGCCCTCCACCTCTCTTGATTCCAACCCCCAGTTTGGGTACAGTACCTTAATTGTCCAGCGCTTTGGGATGTCCTTTCGACATTTAATGCGCTATATAAATGTAATTTTGTTGTTGCTACTCCATTACTGAATCTAATTGTGGATTTTTCTTTACATAGTTCGAGTAGTTACTCGCAAGTTTCCTGCATCAAAAATTCTAGAAAAACAGATCAATAGTTATGATGTCAAAGAACGAATAATTGGTATGTTTCTTTCTATATAGTTTGTAGTGTGATTTTTGGACATCCTTCCGGTGTGAAAGGTGCTATACAATTGTGTTGTTACCTCTTCCGCACATTTTTAAAAGGAGCTTATATATGGTAAATATATATTTGTGCTAAAAGACACAGCAGAGTGTGCTTCATAAACTGCTGGGTGTTGCAAAGGTTGGAAAATCAAGTAGAATGGAGGTGTAAAGACTTCTGTATCCATAAAATAGATATTTCAACCACTACCTTCTTAGTGAAAATTGGCAAGTCTTGCTTCCAGGTTCTGCGATTACTGCTAATGTCGACACAGACTGATTAACTTTCAGTGCCTGCATGCAGGAGGCCAGCCAGTCAGCTATGATTGTTGTTGCGAATGTTTCTTCCAATATGTTCATGAGAGCGTTTTCAATGGTCTGTGCTGGGAATGTACCTCACTTCCTGTAACTGCAGATCAACAGGAGACTTGCATTAAAAACTAACTTGCTAACTGACTAACAGGAAAAGTGAGTGAAATTAGAAATTGCAGTTGCAGTTTTTGTTTTGTGATTTGGTCTCTTTTCAGTCTTATTTTATGTTGTTCACATGAACTCTTATGGGTCTGTATTTCAGCTGCTGTGAAGCCTGAGACAAAACCAGTGCCCTCTGAACCCATTCCAGGTACATTCACAATGACATTGTTTTCTGGTAAAATGGAGACACTGATGCATTTTAGAATGTAGATACTTGTCAAATATGTGAAACATGTATTGAGTATAATACTATATATTGTATAATGAGAATTAACAGTGATTATTTCCTATAAGGCTCCAGTGATTATAATGAGATCCTGAGCCATATAGGAAGGGTCGCTGGTTGTAAGCTGAGTTAGCTTGTTTTATTTATGGCTGCATGATAGGTGTTACATGTGTCCTTTGTATCTTTGTGCGATGGGAGATATTTGCCAAGATTCTTCCTCTTACAATACAAATTACCTTTCTAAAGCACCTTTCATGTTGGGAGGATATCTCAAAGTGCTCAACACTGCTTTGGGGGTGAGAGCCCAAGGGGAGTGAGGGAGGGGAAAGATGTCCAAAGGCTGAGTCAAAGAGGTACCATGAAGACAGACCTTGAATGACAGGAGGGAGCGAACGATTTGGACAGACTCTGGAATGGAGTTTCAGTCTGCTTCTGCCCTCTATTTGGTCTCATTTAAGGAAGAATACTTGAATGAGGAGCTATTAGCTTGCTCATAACTGTAGCTTAGCATAATCAAGTGGATTCAGAGCTTGGGAGGAAATTTAAAGGACTAGAAAAAACTCAGGGTTACTACAAGAACTTGGTTTATATAGCACTGGTCATGTAGGATAATGTCTCAAAGCTCCTCAGTGGTGGGGTTGTGCTGAGCAAGGAGAAGGACTGATGGCCACGGGCACATTGAAGAAGCAGGATTTAAGATGGGATTTAAAGACAAATAGAACGGGGTGAGGCAGAGAGTTAGAGGGAGGTAGTTCCAGAGATTAAAGGGTGCAATGACTGAAGGGTCGGTTAACAATGGTGGAGTGGAAGGGGTGGGGAATCACAGCAGGCCCCAGTTAGGAGAACAGATGAGTGGGGGTGGAGAGGATCAGAGAGATAGTGAGGTGCTATTCCATACTGTACCTAATTGTGGATTTTTCTTTACACAGTTCCAGTAGTTACTGACAAGTTTTCTGGATCAGAAATTCTAGAAAAACAGATCACTAGTTTAAATGTCAAGGAACCAATAATTGGTACGTACTTTTCCTTTGTGGTGTGAATTCGTAACTCTTCCATACAAGTCATCCAGTTTGTCAGCTTGGCTCAGTGGTAGCACTCTCACATCTGAGTCAGAAGGTTGTGAGTTCAAGTCCCACACCAGGACTCACTTTATTGATGGAGTGCTGGGGGTGTATTGCACTGTCGGAGGTACCATGCTTTGGATGAGGTTTTAAACCGAGGTCCTGTTTGCCTGTTCAGGTGGATGTTAAAGATCCCAAGGCACTATTCAAAAAGAGGAGGGAGTTTCTCCTTGTGTCCTGACCAACAATCCCCCGAATAAAATCGGTCACTTTCTCAAAGAAAAGAAAATTGGTTATTCATTGCATGGCTGTTTGTGAGACATTGCTGTGCGCAAATGTGCTGCCGCTTTTGGCAGATACACAGTCACTATATTTCACATTAAATTCTTTGAGACATGCTTCCAATGTGATATGACACTAAACAAAATGCAAGATTATTATTGTCAACATAAAACCATTCAACTGATACTAGTTGCTGAATATATTGGTCATCTTCAGATTCCTTTAAGGTCAGACAGTTATGTGGCTAGTTCTGCAGCCTCTATTTATATAGCCTATGTTTTAGATAATTCCACATTTTTTGTATTATAGTATTTGAATTTCTTTCACATTATTGCCTCCGATTGAGATTGGCTATTTGGTCATTTTATAAGTGCTTGAAGCTTACAGAGTAATAAATGTTTACTTCTTTGTGCAGGGTTGGATTTTTTGGTTGAATACCATTATTTGGGACAAACAGAAACAATGTACTTTTGCGAACTGTGCAATTTTGAATTGCCACTGCGGTGTATTGTATCACATCTCTATGGAATGAAACACAGGATTGGTTATGTGGTAAGAATATGAATGCCCCCTTCATTGTTTTACTTGACTTTCTCTTGACTAATTATGCATAATTGGCATTTTTAGGACATAATTAAAAATAGTTTATTCGGAGTTCAATGAATAATGTATAATTCAATTGTTTGCACATGCCGTCAGTGATCTGGCCTTAAGGGGAAATTTAGTGAAAATACTTTGTGCAGGGTCATCATTGTGAAATGATTTCTTGATTGGTAACTGGCTTTATGTACATGAATCACAAATTAAATATTTATTATAAGTAGCAGTACTAAAACAGCTCTGAACTATTACACAATACGGATAAATAGGTGTTTTCCAGGCAATGAAACCTTGCCACCTAATGTATTTGACTACTTCTGAAATGCATATTACAATTTGTTGATTTCCACTTTCCCAGTTAATGTGCATTTAGCCAACTGCATCTTCTGTTCTGAAGCCATTTGAGACGCTGTACTGGGCTTCTACCTGATGCAGGTGTCTATATCCCCTCTTTGTGCAGCTGCTGACCTTCCGGTCTTCCATTACTCTTTCATTTTTCTTCAATTTTTGTTTCTAGATGTTGGCTTGTTGCTGGCACAGATTGTCTGCCTTGTTAATCAATGTAACACTCGCTCCATTTCTTCTGAAATCTGCTTTGAGGCCATTAAGCTAATTCCACCCTTTTTTAAGAGCATGACATTTTTAATGCAATTTTCCAATATTTTCTTCGTAAGATGAGGCAAGGCAGAGGGAATGAGGCAGGATATTCCGGAGGTTTGGGGCATTGTGGCTGAAAGCACTTCCGCCAATGATGGAGCGGATTGTTCGAGGGATGTGCAGAAAGCCTGAGCTAACTGAGCGAAGTGGGTGGGTAGAGAAGTGGGATGTGATCATTTCTTGTTTCTAGTTGATTTAAAATCCTTTGAAGTCCAAATACCATGGACATCTTGAATCTTTTACACTTTCTCTGGTAACGCTTTTGGGGATTTTGACTGTATGACTGTAGGCTTTTTTTTATAATGCATAACACCATTGTGTTTGCATTTTATTTTTCAGAAACGGAGGCATCCAGATTTACTGAAATTAAGTGCAACAAAACACAAATTTATCATCAAAGAAAATATTTCAGAGATCGAAAAGAGAGATGGAAGAGGCAACGTTAGGGTAATGCAACATAAGTGCTTATTGGAAACCATGGAAATCTATTTTATCTTACCAGCACAACGGGCAAACTTATTAGCATAAACTTTTAAACGTTTCATTGTTATGCACAAATTGCCATGTTTGCCCACAAAACAATCACTGCACTTTACTGTGACTTGGGATGTTTTGTGACTGAGCACTTTGGGATGTCATTCCACTGTGAAAGGTGCTAAACCAAATGTATTATTATTAATAAGTAGCAACTTGCATTTATTTAGCACCCTTCACACAGGGTAGTATCCCAGCGTGCTTGCCAGGTAATGTGGGCGGGAGTGTTAAACTTCAGAAAGCTGGGGGAATGAGAAAAACATTTGTTTTACTGTTATAGTGAAAGCAGGTTTAATTTAATTATATTTTAAAACAGATTTTATTCAGTTAAGATTATGAATTTTCTAAAAAGTTACTTTATCTGAATTCCAGATTATCTACGGTCAAATTCAACATGAATATAATGAAAAAAGCACTGCTGTGAAAAGACCTGCTGCTGACTGTAAGCTATTACAATTCAGTACCTCGGTTTTAGATAATAAGCGGCTAATCAGTCTAGCGTAGTGGTGGCACTCTCACCTCTGAGTCAGAAAATTATGGGTTCAAGCCCCATGTCGGGACTTGGAATTACACAGTCTGAGCTGACAATCCAGTACAATGCTGGGGGTGTGTTCGGTGCTTTGGATGAGACGTTAAACCAAGGTCCGCCTGTTCAGGTGTTTGTTAAAGATCCCATGGCACTATTCCAAAAGAGAAGGGAGCTTCTCCTGGTGTCCTGGCCAACAATCCCCCAAATAAAATTGGTTAATCACTCCATGGCAGTTTGTGGGACACTGTTGTGCTTACCTGGCTACCAGGTTTTGCCCAGAAAATACAGTCAATCCACTTTACAGTATATTGTGTGAAGTGCTTTGAGATGTCTCAACGAGGTGACAAAGACACTACATCAAATGCAAGTAGAGTGGAATCTGCTTTAGGTGGACACGGTTAACCCCGGACGTTGGGTAAATCAGACAAAATGCCCGGCCCCGAATACTCCATGTTGTTAGCTGTTTTCAGTATGGCGGCTAATCCGGGCAATGCCGGGCGGTCACTGTTGAATGTACTCATTCTGTGTGTCCGCGACTCCATCCGTCCACGAGGGGAGGACCGAGGGCGGGAAGTCGGGATTGATTGACAGCTGAGAGCTGCTTGTGATTGGCTGGAGCCCAAACATTTATAATCGGCTGCAGCTGTCAATCACCTCAGCCATTGCTGATTGGTCCCCTTCCTGTCCAATGGAAACGGCAATGGGAGGGAGGCAGCCCCGCCCCTCTGCTGGGCAGGAAAGTAATGAATAGTTTGTAGGCAAACAGAGGCAAATATATTTTACTGAATCCTGTGAGAGTGTTTTAACTTTAACTCCGAGGTTACAGTACTTGGTGTCCTGTTTGGTTAGCTAACTTTGCTTCAAGTGAAACAACATTATTACATGTTATTATTCGGCATCGGTGACGCTCCTCTGCTGGCCAGGAATGGTATTTCGGTTAACCTCGGACACCTCTTAAGTCGGACAAACCCGCCGACCTGATGTGTCCATCTTAAACGGTTTCCACTGCATTGGTATCATCAAATTACGTTGGTATTTTTTACTTTCCTTTAGTATGGCCGTGGTCATACTATGTCCTTTGTAGTATGGTTATAAATGACACCATTGTATATCCTGAATATCACTGGGTTTGTTGAACCTGAGTGGTTGTGAAATCATTCCAAACAGCACAACCAATCAAATCTGATCATATTTATTTGACACATTACCGAATCTGATTGGGATTGTAACACTGGTCAGGTGGAGTTAGGTCATTATGTAGGAACCGCGGGATCAGTTCAATACTCTGTGTAAATGCTTCTAAGTGGAAGATGAACTTAATTGTACGCTAACTAACATCCCTGCTGCTCCAATCCCTTCCCCTGGTTCCCTGTCCAAGTTGTTCCTATGTGCAGTAATCTTTACATTTTCACAAACATTTCTATTTAATCTCAGATAGTATTTCAACTATCGTACTATCAGAAAAGCGGTTTCTTTGCCTCCTGTGGTCTAAGGGACTGAGGTTGTTTTCAGCTAATCTATATCAGGCAAGGGGCAGTATATTTGAGCAGTAGGTTTGTAAAGAGTATTTGTAGATTACCTCCTTTAATTAATGATGAATTAACATGTTTAAATAGAGATTTCACCTTATTGAAAGACATGAGGAAGATTTGTGATTAATGTAATAATGTATAATTTATCTTAATCACCAAGGATTGTTCCTTATTACATAAGTTGTGAACTCCTTGCGCTTTTTCGTATGCCTAGGTTGAAATTTCCCTAAAATACAAATAGAATGTAATCTTTGTTTAAATGTTACTGTATTTATCCAAAAGTATGTGATGTTTTCTTTATTATACAAGGAATTGGTTTTGGACAGTTATGTGTTGTTTATTTCAGCAAATAAGCAACCAGATGCTAAGGTTCCACGACAGAGCTCGACCACTGATAAACCAAACCAGAGCTCCAAAGATGAAACGTCTCAACGTTTAACTTCTGATTCTAAAACAAAAAAATGTAAAAGCAGCTGTTCAAAATGTCTTAGCAAATTGAAAGACTCCAAAGGTATGTTAATAATAATAATCCTTGCATTTGATACAGCGCTTTTCACGTCTTCTAGACGTCTCAAAGCGCTTCACAGAATAGACTGTAAAGTGAATTGACTGTATATTTATGGGTGAAATCATGTTACTACGATTTAATATTTAAATGCACTGCGGACACTTAATTTCAGATTTAAAATGCGAAATGTTGGTACAGATCTTTAAGAGCCGAGTGTATCTCCTTTGTCTTCAACTCACAATTAAGTTGTTTTTTTTCCTCCCCTCTCTCCCTCCACTTTCTGTGGTCTGTGAATAACTTTTTGTTTTCCTTGTAGCTAATTTCCCAATTTTATTTTGAGTGTTAAGAGACTTTTTTCTTGATATTGCTGTTGACCATTAATTCAACTCTAAATGCAATGATGATCTGAGATGTTCTATAGTGCAATACTCAGAATATAGGTTCCTGTGAGTTTGAGTAGGAATGCTGAAATATGTTCCCTATTCATATATTTAGAAAACGTGTTTTCCAGTTGTCCAAACCTATTTTCATGGAAGTTTCCGAATTCATCTTGCTCACTCCTCCATGGCTCCCATCCCACTATCCAGATTACTGCCACCCTATTGAATCTCTATTGAATATTCAATGGCATGTTACCTTTATTGTGAATTCTGATACAATTTGGTAGGCTAATTTGACCAATTTAAAAATCCATTAGGATAAGTCTCATCTTGCCAGTCATTTCATATATTAAATTTCATAGTTTTGTTGTGGCAGCCAAATTATTTATCCCTGAATGCGTCCACTGATATTTTTTTCTTATTTTCACTGACTCGTGAAACAACTGGTCTTTACATTTTCCTTTAGTGTAGTGTCAGCTGAACGTTGACAAGATGAAAGCCATACTCTGGCTCTCATCAACGTCTAAAATCACATGGTTCTCACCTCCTTCACCTACCTGATCTCCCCCTAAAACTCTCCGAATCCGTATGCAACCTAGGCGTCAGGTTCGACCACCAACTATCCTTCCTCCCGCACAATCCGATCCCTCACCAGCACCACTTTCTTGCACCTACGACGCATCACCTGTCTCCGCCAATACCTCACTCCAAAAGCCGCCGAAACCCTGGTCCATGCCTTTGTCACCTCTCGGCTGGACTATTCAAACGCCCTCCTCACCGGTCTCCCCTCCACTACCATTCATAAAATCCAGGTCATTCAAAGCTCTGCCGCCAGCATTGTTACCCGCACCAAACTTTGCTCCCCGATTACCCCAGTCCTTGCCAGACTGCACTGGCTGCCTGTCCCAGAGAGGATCGAGAAGATCCTCACCCTTGTCTTCAAATGCCTCCACTCCTCTGTCCCTCCCTACCTCTCTGACCTCTCTCTTCACAACAGTGCCCATTGCCTTCGTTCCACCGGGTCTGACCTTGTCCCCCAAGTCCTCCGCTCCACCATTGGCGGCCGTGCCTTCAGCCACTATGCCCCGAGGCTCTGGAACTGCCTTCTCGCTCCCTTCGCCTCGCCCCCTCTCTTCCTATTTTCAGGTCTTGGCTGAAGACCTTTCTTTTCGACCGTGCCTTTGGTCACCTTCCTCCCCCTCCTCCTGGCTCGGTCCCGGGATCCATTACTGTGAAGTGCTCTGAGACGCCGTTCGGCATGGAGGGCGCTATATAAATCCAAGTTGTTGTTGTAATGAATAGATTTGTTTTAAAACTTAACAAAACATTTTTTTTTAATTCATTGGCATTGACTGGAGTTGTGATTTGCTTTGGGTATAAATACCAGTTTTAGTGTGATAATTCAGTAGAATGCGTGAACCTTTTAATATTACAAAATAAAAGCTTGAGAACTGCACTATGAATAAAAATGTAGGTTAGCTTCATCTTATATTGTCTTAATTTATACTAACCTAGACATAAGCAGCACCAAGTTCCTCTTAGTGGCCTTGCACTGCAATTAAACACACATATGATCTACTTTATTTTCAATAAATTCCTTTGTCATAATTGATTGAATATCTTTTAAAAACTGATTGTTTATTTTACATTATTGTTCAGATTCCAGAGGTTTACAACGGGTTTCCTTGAGTAGCAGACATGAGGGCGATCGATTGGAAAGGTCCAGTTCCTATGATAGAGCTGGAGCAAGTTCAAGCCATTCTGGCCATGGTTATTCCTCCAGAGGTACGTACATTACTCTCCAAGATTTGGTCAAATTAACGGGAGATGATCCGCAAAAAACTGTCAGGACACTATCAGGACAATTATCTTCTTCATTTTGAGCAGGCATCTGAACGTGGTTCCAAAACAATAATGTAGATTCCTCTACAAAAGGAAAAGGACAAATCTTATTCACAGTATTTCGTGGTCCCCAACTATTTTTATGTTTCAGTCCAAGTATTTTCTATGTGAGTTCTGAATTTAACAATAGCTCTGAGCAATAACAACAAAATTATGTTTCTATAGCACCAAGGCGCTGGATAGTCAGTGTTTCGGATCAAAGCTGGGGTCAAGATTGGGGAAGGTGGAGGGCAGGCAGGGAATCAGGGAGATCGAAAACATGGTTGAAGGTGAGGGTCTTGAGATGAGTCTTGAAGGTGGTAGGGAGGGGGCTGAGGCGGAGGGATTGCGGGATGGAGCTCCAGAGGGTGGGGGCAGTGTAACAGAAAGCCCGCCCACCAATGTTGGGGTGGGCAAGGCGGGGGACATGAAGCAGGCTGGATTCCGCTGAGCGGAGGGAACGGGCAGAATGGTAGGGGGTTAGGAGGTCGCAGATGTAGGGGGGAGTAAGGCCATGGAGACCTTTGAAGGTGAGGACCAGGATCTTGAACTATATCCTCTGATGGAAAGCCAGTGGAGTCGGGCGAGGATGGGGGTTATAGGGTCACTGAGCCTGGTGCGGGAAATGACAGGCTTCAGAGTTCTGGATGATCTACTGCTTATGGAGGGAGGAGTTGGGGAGGCCGACAAGCAAGGAGTTTGCATAGTCGAGCCCCAATGTTTTGAATGCATGTATGAGGGTTTCAGCGGCCTGCGATGAGAGACAGTGGCGGAGGCGGGTGATGTTGCAGTGGTGGGGAAGGCAGAATGGGTCAAGGCACGGATATGGGTTAGAAGGGATAGTTGAGGGTCAAACAAGATGCCAAGGTTCCAGACTGGCTTAGTAAGGTGGCAATGCCTGAGTTGTGGAGGCACTGACGGGAGCCAATCAGGAGAGCCTCGGACTTGTTGACTTTCAACTGAAAAAAGTTAGCTCTCATCCAGGACTTGATGTCTGACAGACATTCTGTCAAGACAGCAGTGGTCCTGGAGTCACGGGTGGAGACAGAGAGATAGAGTTGGATGTCATCCGCATACATATGGAAGTTGACCCCACGTCTGCGGATGATGTCACCTAGAGGGAGCATATAGATATTGAAGAGGAGAGGGCCAAGGACAAAGCCTTGAGGAACACCGCACGAACGGTGCTGGGTCTAGAGGAGAAACCGTTTGTGGAGATAAAGTGGAGTTAGTGTGAGAGGTACAAACTGAACTAGTCAAGTTCAGAGCCGTGAAGGTTGAGGTGAGAGGAGAGGCGGTGGATGAGGATAGAGTAGTCAACTGTGTCAAAGGCAGCAGAGAGGTCAAGTAGGACGAGGAGCAAAAACAAAAGATTTTGTAATGATATGATTAAAAATAAATTAAGTGCAGTAGTATTAACTTTGCCGTCATGTCGTTTAGTGAGCTGGTCCACAGAATATTAACTCTTTTGAATGTCTGGAATAGGTAAGCGAATTGAATTGGATAGATCCTCAAAGAGGAAAAGAAGTGAAAGCAGAAGCGAGAGAGACCGAGACAGATATTCAGACCGATATATATCGAGAAGGCAAAGCAAATGGGAATCTGAATACAATTACAAAAGAAGGGAAACATTGAGGTAATGCAATGTGCTCTATAAACAATAATGTTTTACTCAACAGTAATGCGTTACTCAAATGCACTCCTCGCTGATCTCTCCAGCTCCACTATTAAACGATCCAGCTCATTCAGAACTCTGCTGCCTCCATACTGACCCTGACCAAACTCTGTACCCCCATCTCACCAGTTCTGGCCAGACTCCACTGGCTCCCCATTACCAAGCGGATCAACTTCAAGATCCTCACATTCATATTCAAATCCCTTCACTCTCTGGCACCTCCCTACCTCTCCAACCTCCTCACTCCCTAATCCACCACCCGGTGCCTCCGCTCAACTGGCACCGGCCTGCTGCTCGTCCCTCACATCCTCCGCCCAACCATCGGAGATTGCGCTTTCAGCCACTAAGCCCCGAAACTGGAACACACTTCCTCAATCCCTCCGCCTTGCCCCCTCTCCCCATTTTTCTGCCTGAAACCCTTCCTCTTCAACTGTGCTTTTGGTCACCTCCCCCCCATCCACCCCGCCCGGTTTGGAGTCAGCCTCCGCCACTGTTAAGCACTAAACAAACGGTAGCGGTTCAACTTGTGTCAAGGAAATTGGGGGAAATAGTTTTTTCTCTCCTGAGGGTAAGATGGAGTTAAGACATGGAGCAAGATTAGAGAATGTGATGCTGACCTAGGGTGGTGTCCTCCCCAGATAAAATTGGTCATTAACTTCATGGCAGGTTGAGAAACTTTGCTGAGTGCTAATTGGATGCTATGTTCCCCTGGGAAACATCGAATCCCAGACAATACCAGCTCCTCTGGAAGTGTGTCCCAATTCCACCCTTGCTCCACAACCTTTTACATTATCAGAGGTTTAGCCTTTCCATTTAAAATATTATCATCTCAGCTTCAAAGCCATTTGTGCCAACAATCTCACCAGGTGAACTGGTCATTCATCCCATAACTGGTTGTGAAAATGGCGGCTAAGTTTTCCTTCAAAAACAAAACACTTTGGTGTTTCAACGTACTGAAGCTCGATAGCAATGGAGCTTTTTCCTATCTTTTTTCTGCCTGACTTAGAAAGGAAATAAAATGGGCTAATTTCTCATGTCAATTATACTTGTGTGTAGGCAGCGATTGGCATACCAACCATTTAAAAAAAAATGCCAAAGTGGTGTGGGTCTGCTTTGATGAATTTAATACTTAGAGATCCGCTGAATGGAAGATGCTGATTCCTGGTATATTGTCTTTTGAGTCAAAGTTGGTGGGTTCAAATCCTGCGCCGGGACTTGGAACTCGTGTAGGCTAAGCTGCCACTCCATTGAAGTGCTGGGGTGTGCTGCATTGTTGGAGGTGCCATCCTTCAGATGAGACATTAAATTGAGGTCCTGTCTATTTGCCCGTCAGCGGTTTTAGGTGCTCTTACTTGGAGTAAGAGATCTCCCAAGTACACTTCTAAAATGTGCATCTTGGCAGGTTACTCTAGAACAGTGGTGGCCTGCAGGGATGTCATGATTAATGCCTAATGGTGAGAAGAGTAGGATATGGTTTGCTGAAAATGAGACTCATCATGTCGTATATATGCTGATGTTAATGCAGTATGTTAGTGATGAATTCAGTATAAAAATGCATTTGTCTTTCAGTTGGAGCTATCGAGATGACCGAAGATCTACTAGCAGTTATAGTACATCTGACAGTGATGGCAGCACATCTGATAGTGATCACAGATCTTACAGTAATCCCAGATCTGATAGTGGTCGCAGGTCTGATAGTGACAGCACATCTAACACAGATTGCAAATATCATGATGATGAAGAAAGGGTAAGTGATGATAAGAATGTTTGCAGTGTTCAGCTTTTCAAAGCCTTATACGTAAATCTGGATTTAATTTTCCAACATGTTAAGAATGTTGTTTGTGCTTTAAATGTTGTGATTAAATAAAATAGTTAAATCCTTTTCTCTATTAGAAGTACAGGTACCATAATTTTGTATTTCTTAACGTTTGCAGTTACATTCATATGAAGTGAGAACTTGTTGTTTTATAATTACAAAGTCCACATTCATGAAGTCGAGGTCCAAACAGTGAGGTGGTTTATGTTTAAAAAGGGGGAAATGCTGGGGTGGCTGGGGGGTTCTGGCCTACACGGACCTGTTGCTGAGCATCCTGGAAATGAATCAGTGTTATGGTGGGCATATCTATTTACCAATCTGCTCACAGGAAAACCTGAATTTAGTAGTTGATATTGAGTAAACATTTGGCATTGGATCTCCAGAATATCAAGATGACTGTCACATCACAAGTTGCCCTGTATAGGTCCTCCCACCACCCTGAATTCAGGGATCCTTTGAGTAGCTGCTGAAGGAATGCTGCAGTTTGGGACGACAGCTGCTGGAAAACATTACCTGCAATCTAAGTTCATGAACACACACTCGTATTCAGGGCTTGGTATGCACTTTGTTTAGTATACAGAGGGTGCTGGTTTGAGTGAGAGCTCAATTGGATGTCAATTTACCAATAATTTAACATTTCCTGGAGGAAGGGGGAGAGGAAAACTGCTTGGCTACAGAATGTCAGAATTTAGTCATCCCTTTGTAGTAGTTCTTGAGCTTGGAGAGTCAGCAGTACTCCAGGGCACTCCAGCCTGATTCATCATTACAATTTGGAAGGGCAGACCAGTCACTGGGAGCAGGGATTCTTTCCACTCAGCTCCCGTTAACCCTGCAAGCCACCTCACCCAACAGGTAAATTGGTCCTAGTTTGGCAGAGTGCTGTATTTGTGACCCCATATTTCTGTGTCAATCTAATCCAACCAGTTCTGAGGAGAAAATATTTCTTTATTTCCCAGCAAACTCATTATCAACCAAAGGACAGCATAAAAGGAGAGTTTATAGATTATTTGGTGAGTACAGATGTTTTAAGTCTTTAATATAATAATACTTATATTTGGTATAGCTGAGGACATTTCAAAATGCTCACAGGATATACTGTATGGTAAAGTGCAGCAACTGTTTTGTGGGTGAATGCAGCAGGCAATTTACATTCAGCAATGTCCTCAAAACAGCCAATAATATAGAAATTCATAAGAAAATGGAACAATTAAGAACTAGAATATTTGAAAATGGAGCATTTAATTAAATGGAGCACTTTTTGTAGAAGTTTAAAGATAGTCAGGAAAAAAGCCAGTTACGGACAATCAACCGATAGGATGTACTTAAAAATAATTCCAAAATGAATGTTAAATTCTACTTTGAAGAACACAGCTGAGCTAATTTAGAGATAAATAGACGCTGACCAACAAAACAGACTTTCAAACTAGTGGCTATTCTACAATTACGATTGGCAAAACTATAGCCCAGTTTTTTGTTTACAATCATTTGGGAATTATATATTTAAGACTAGTAATTGTCTTAACATAAAATTACAGAATTTTCTGGTGAAGAATGTTAAGTAGCTGCTATCTGCAATTATACAAAAAACTGAAGTATATTCCTCCAATTAGCTTCTGAATGAGAAAGCTGTACATCTATCTATTTATTATCATGCATTTAAAAAGTCCATGGGACTGTCCCTTTCCACACAAACAAGCCATGTATCCATGCATCAAAGTCCCACAGGGTAGATGTTCACCGACAAAAACACAGTCACTAAACTTTACAGTAAATCGTGTCAAGAGTTTTGAGATGGCCTAACAGGAAAGGTGCTACAACAAAGCAACAATAATAATAAAGGTGCTACAACAATAATAATATTATTATTTTATTATAGAAATGTTGAATAGTCTCGCAGGATACTTTTGGTGCTGACTCTTTAGTATTCTTTCTGGGTATGGGAAAATTTAGACTGTGACAGTTCTGTTCTCTTAAGCTATTCTTTTGATCTGTTTCTGTAACAATTTGCATTTATGCAGTAATACAATTGAGACAAATAGCAACATTTGACTTTGAAATCGGCCTCTACCTTTAAACACCCTGAGAACTTGTCTTAGGGGCTGATTGTGTGGGAAGGAACAGTCCTGTGGATTCTTTAAATGTTTGACAGTCAATGGATGCAGAGCTGGAAAAAAAACAACTTACAATGTTGCAAGGACAGACCTGGTTTATTTCACTTCAGATCTTTATAGGGCCAGAGACATGATTTTGAAGTATTGCCTAAACCGGTAGGAATGCAGAGCAAAGTACTACCTAAATGCAGCACAAAGTTGTTTCAGGAAGTGAAATTTCTACATATACATTGTAATTTCCCATGCATTATATTTCAGAAACATTTTCATATAATAAGTGATGTTGATGCCAAGCAGGTGGAGGCTCTTATGTATAAACTTAGCAATGGATTGGTGGAATATCGTCAAAAACTCCAGAACATTAAGGTATAGTTAAAGAAAAATGTTTCCTCCAGTATATTCATGTGGCTTTCTTTTTTTTCTCCCTTCTCTCTAATTCTGTCTCCTTATTCCTCCTCTCCTAAAATAATAATAATCCTTGTATTTGATATAGCGCTTTTCACGTCTTCTAGACGTCTCAATGTGAGTGCTCTAACCACTGAGCTACAGAGATAATGCTGGGGGCTGCTTTATGAGTGAGCCAATCCGTTGGCCAAATGGTCATTTCAGACATGAGCTTTGACCCTATCAATAAACACACAGTTCTATCTCGTGATGGGTAGTGATCAGAAACTCCTCTTTCCAAAGCAGGAAGCCACAGACTAAATGTAACATTTCATTATTTCAAGATATTTCAGATTTGCTTGATCTGTATTGATGTGTCCTACTATAATATGCATTCAACCATTGAGCTGTTAAGATGAATTGAGGTAACATTTGCATGCTTTTGTTTTGCTTAGCGTTCCATTCTGAAAATGTGTAAATGGTCTACAGTCTCAACACACATGTCCTACTCTCTCTGAGTTCCATTGCCCTGGTGGGCCAGGATAGTAGGCAGCCTGTTTTGTTCCTCTTGTCGATGTTACTGTTTTGCTAGCTGATGTGTGCTAGCCTGGTTCAACTAATAGCACTCTCCCTTTCATGCAGGATGTTGTGGGTTCAATCCCCATGTTAGAGACTTTGAGTTCACAGTCTAGGCTGTGCTGCAGTGCAGGGGGAGCACTGCATGGTTGGATGTGCCATCCTTCAAATGAGACTTTAAACTGCCTGTTCAGGTGGATGGTAAAGATCCCATGACATGATTCGAAAAGAGAAGGTAGTTTCTTCTGGTGTCCTGGTCAACAATCCCCCGAATAAAATTGGCCATTCATTTCAAGGCTTTTTGTGAGACAGTGCCCTGTGCAAATGGGCTTCCATGTTTGCCAACACAAAACTAAAATGTATATTCCCCCACTTAGCTTCTGAATGAGAAAGCTGTAGATTCATCTACTTTACGGTGTACTACACTTGCAATTTCTACATATATATTGTCATTTCTCATGCATTATATTGCACAGCGCTTTGAGATGACCTAACGTTATAAGACTATACACCAAATGCAAGGATTATTATTAGTTACTGAAGTTCTGAATGTAAACAGGGTGACTTTTCTTTCCTTATTATTGAATGCTCTTCTTGAATGTGAAGTTGATATGTTTATAGTCTTTGCTGCATCTGGTTTTGACACCTTTTCCTTTGCTTCATCTAGGATTCTGTAGAGAAATCAATCGGAGCTTTACAGAGTAGTGCAGGTAATTTATATTTAAAATGGTTGTGAATTCTTTGTATAACTCTGTATATTTAAGACTGGTTTCTGTTTCAAACTGGCTTATTTTGCCTAAGTGTCAATTATAAATATGTGGCGCTTGATAGTGAGTGTCCGTGAGCCATTTAACAATAGGGAGCTGAGCTAAGTATTGTCTTCATTTGCCATTCACACGCACGTGCCTCCAACGGATGTCAGCAATCTGGAGTGTGAAGCCTGGATTATTTTCTTCTCTTTAAATGAAGGGGTTCCGTGAGATTAACAGATGAGACCATCAACTTCATGATAGGATTCAGTCCTACAGCTGAATGCTTTATCACTTTATAGGATATTCTGTGCAGCCCTTTGAAATGTCTCAACGACGTGATAAGGCGCTATATCAAATGCAAGGATTATTATTATTGTCGCCTTTCTGAGAGAATCCCTATGCCCGAACTGACTTCAATTAGGAACAGTCCAGGGTTGATGGTGGACTGCCTGCCTGGCCCATAAATGAGACTAACTTTTGTCTTCAACCCTGAGAGCCAAGTGTGATTATAACTGAATGTGTACAGGTGTGCGAGCATTCAACTTCCAAAAGCTAATAACATGTCCACTTAATTGCAACACACTGAGACCAGGACCTAGAATCTATGCATACATGGATCATATTTCACGTAGATTTTTTTGGGCCCAATTATGCAGATCTCTAGAATTTCCATTGTAGATGGTATGCATGGAACTCTCGGTTTGATTTGGATACTCGTAAGCATGGGTTTGTGCATCTGTCAGACACCTTGCTAACCAAAAAAACTGCAAAGAGTCAACTGGAAGGAATATGAGAAAGGTGGTTAATGTGCATCAGAAAAAAGGGAGAAAGTCAGGAACTGTGGGGCACACTGGGAAAGATGAGGGCTGGTTATATATTGTATTTTGGATGATAATCTGATATCTGGACTTTTTTCTTATCTACAGTATGACAGGTTCCAATTAGTGAGCATTTAAATGGGAAACATTAAAAAATTGATGTTTGTATATTTTTAACATATTGGCTTTAACATCTTTGTAAATATTGTGAACGTGGCTAGATTCTTGCCCTAGCACCTCTTACCTGCTCATACCCCATTGCCCATCACTTTCACACAGCTGGCTCCGGTCTCCTGCACGTCTCTCATCCCCTCCGCTTCACCATTGGTGGTCATGCTACTACTACTACATACACATATATATATATATCCATACACACACACATATATATATATACACATAGAAAATACTACTACTACATCTACTCCCTGAAACTATGGAACTCTGCTTCAATCCATCCTCCTTCCCCACCTGAAGACCTTCCTGTTTGACCGTGCCTGCACTCACCTCCCCCCTCTCACAGCTCATCATTAAACTCTGCCACAGTTAAGTGTTCTAAGATGCCACCCTGTGTGAAGGGCGCTATATAAATGCAAGTTATTGTTGTTGAATGTTTTGTAATCTTAAATATTGCAGATGTTTCTGTGGTGCAAAATACTGATGGGTCAAGTTCTCATAACGTTCTGACCCCAAATCTGCTCAAGTCTTTCCACAATATGGATGTGAGAGCAATTACTGCTACCCTTACCAGGATGGCTGATAATAATCCAGCATTTGAAGGTAAACTATTTTCATAGCTTACAAACCTCAGCTTCTTGATGGCCTAATGGGTAAATAAGGCACATAGCAAATGTTTCTATGTAAAAGTCAAACGTCCTTTTTAAATGAAAATGAGTGCCTTTTTAAATGGGGAATTTGTCATTGTACATTGCAAACCTCCATATATATTGTGCTGTTTTGTCTTTGGCCAGTTTCTTGGGGTTCTGTTCAGCCATAATGTACACCAACAATTTTCATTATATAGCATCCTTCATATAAGGTAATGTCTTGGGAATGCTTACATCTAATGATCTAAGAAATGAATTTTCCCATGGGTATACTAAACTGCAGCAATTTAGGGAAATCCTCATTTAAAAAAATATTACTATTATGGATGAAGATGAGATCTAATCCATTGTTGCCTTCTTTCTAGGTATAAGGATTTCAACTTTGGTGACTGTGCTATTTAAGATGGGTATGCTTAGGAAACCACGAAAAAAACATCAAAAGTGATCTTTCCAGCTGTTCATCTACATAATATTTGGATATGTTGGGCAATAGCCATGAGATTCAATAACTGTTCACCTTTAATCCTGTTTGTATGGTTAGATGTGGAAGAAACTTTATTTTGTGTAATCCACACTGTTGAAATGGCTGTCTAGATTTATGTTTAGATTTGAAAGACTAAACTGGCAAATATTGTTGATTTGCATTTTAGTTGTAGTATACTTTTAATTTTATCTATAAGGATGCAGTTAAAGTTAACTGGCATTTATACTAGATCCTTTTTTTACTGTAATTATTGTATGGCGAGTGAGTAATAAGATACAATATCTGATATGACTGGCACTGTGTTTTCTATAAATGCTGAAAGTTTCGACAAGTAAATGGTGCCATCTTGCATTGGTCTACATGCAGTGGTTTGAACACTAACCAAGAAGAAAGTGTGCAACTGATAAATAGGTGCATCTGTTAAAAACTTTCTTTGGTTGTAATTGATGTTTAATTAACATGAGGAGTTAATAGTGTGGATAAATACCTTTTTTGAAGACTGGAGTAATTTTTGTAAATGTCAAAATGTACATTCTCTCCTATTAAATCTGTAAATTTCTAAAACATTGGTTATACCTCTTGATACAGGTGCCAGTCACTGTTTAGTTAGTCGAGTACTTGGGGTTCTATAATTTAGTGTATGTGAATATTACAAGATTAAATGAGAGAGATTTGTACAGAATTACAACCCAAAGTGCATGATGTATTTGGGGCTGGAATTCCTCTCGCTTGGTATGTAATTCTTGGCCATTTCTGATGTGCAATTAAAGTGATGTTTTAAATTATAATTCATATTTGTTCAATATGTTCTCATTGAAATTAAAGGATGACAAATTTTTAACAAATATCCCTCATTCCATGTCATTTTGATTGGAAAATAAAGTTTTAGCTTTGAAGACATATGCTCTAAATACTTCATACAGTTGATCATGCTTCATCCTTCCATTGGGACTTGTTTAACTAGTTTATTATGACTGGAGATTCTCAAAGGTTAGCTTGTACTTTTGAACAATTACTTTCAGTCCACTCTTGTCCATTGTCTTTGGACTTGATTCTTATCTTGATTGTAAGAGAGGTAAGCACCTACTGGTAAAGCTCTGCACTTCCAGTTGTTCAATGGGTGAGGGAGTGTCTGTCTGGAAAATTGCAACCCTAAACCTGTGTCCTCTTCTGCTGTGTCGGTGCATCTTTAAACATATTGTTCCAGGTTCACTTTTTGAATGCCATTTAAAATCTTGCATCTGTACCTCTATAACAAGGTTGTCCAATATATTACCCACATGTGGCAAATTGCGAATCCAGATTTGGTGAAATTGCATGATTAGTCAATAAAAAATCAGTTATAGACACCCTAAATGGGCATGTGATCTCAGTACTCAAATTTGCACGGAATATACATTTGTACCAAGACCTTTTTCTACATTTATTAGTAAAATGGTAAGAAAAGTAGCGTGTGTGCTTTACTTCCTTGGTTACGTGCTAAAGTAGTGTGTAACATGGGTGAAATGCCAGCTTTCAGCAGCAGTGCCAGATGGAAACACTAGCAATATTGTATGGAGAGAGCAGTCAAACATGGTCAGCATGACCAATCGGAATGACTGCTCCAGGGCAGCAGAACAACAAAACTTGCCCAAGGTTTGGCCCTGCTGGGAATCGAATGCAAGTCTCTCGCTTGCGTGGCGAGTGCTCTAACCACTGAGCTCCAGGACTCCTGTTTTAAGTATACATGTAAACATACATATGAAATATATTTCCCTACTAAACATGGTGCATCTGGCTAAAATGGTGTTGCTGATTAGCTACCGACATAGCTACAGCAATTTCTATAGGGGACACTGCTCTATAAGGTCTCTGAGATATCACTTGAGATACAATACAAATTGACATTTATAGATTGCTCCTTTCCCATCAGGACAATCCAAAAGCATTTGACACTGCAGGCTGAGCACAAGAGTGGAGGATGAGGGGAAATATGACAAGGTGTGGTTGAAGAGATGGACCTTCAATGAGAGGAGAGAGGGAGTGAGTTGGAGAACTCTACAATGGAGTTTCAGAGAGCAGGGGCAGAATTACTATACAGGTAATGAAGCATTGGCATAGTCAAGACTGGATGAGGGTCTCAAAATCCCAAGGAGAAGACAGTGCCAGAAACAGGCATTATTTGAGGTAAGAGAAAGTTGAACGGGTCAGATGACGTGGGGTTTGAAAGTTGTTTGAGAGCCAAATAAGACAATGGTTCCACACCAGTTCAATGAGATGGAGTCTGTATCATGCAGGTTTCTGACTGTCAGTAGTGGCAGCAAGAAGGCACTGATGGGAACCAAGCAGGAGAGCCTTAATCATGGTTTCAAACAAATCTTCCTGGTTTTAGCTGGGTAAACTCCAGCCATACTTTCTAGGTTTCATAGCCTTGGTTCTCACTAACCTACTCCTGATCTCTCTGGCATTACAGAAGCCGGCACATTCCTCCAGGCAGAGCACTCTCTAAACCAGACAGAAACTGTGGAACTCAGTACATTGTAGACTAAAGCAGAGATTATCAAACTATGGGGATCTCCCCGGGGAGATGCCACTTGTGTCCTGTGCTGTGTTTGCTGAGCACGGCTGGATTGGAGGTCGTACAATTGCTGCCTTTGTTTTCAGTATTGATTGCTATCCAAATACACTTTGCTGTAAAGTCTGCCGGAAACTGTGTTTCAGATTTCCAGCATCTATAGTATTGTGCATTTTGTTTGCTGTAAAGTCTGCTATGCAAACTCTTGAGTTGCAAGCGGTATGAGGGGTCTGCCGAGCACATTGCTCACAGTGAAAATAATGAGTTGTTTGTGAAATGTTAACACTTAACATGTTTCATTGGCTACATTCAAATACTCAATCAGCTTCATGCATCCTCCTGTCATCTAAAGTCAGCTTCCCTTTTGAGCTATAGTGACACCAGCCTCCCCTCAGGATCAGAAACTTTTGAGCTTGAGTTGCCAGAGGTCCTTCGTGCACACGTTGTTGTCCAGGGCAGACAAAAGCATCCTGGTGTTCCCACAAGGCACAGGCTGCACATACAACAAGGTTCAGTTTTCCTGCCATATTCCTAGAAGTTCAATTACTCTTTATTTTAGAGCCCTGAGTTATTTACCTAATTGTTTTTTGTTCATTGGCACTCCTTTCCCTCTCAGCACCGAATTCCCACTTTCAACACTTACACCAAATTCCTTTAGTAAAAATGTCACTGTTCCCACCTCCCGCGGTTTACAGGGTGGACTGAACTCTCTGCTCGAGTTTTGGAAAATGGCACTTACGTCACACAGAGGATTTTTTTGTTGGTTAAGGCGGGAGATTTTGAATTTGGCGTCTCTGAGCCATGCCCAACAGATACCTCGATGTCACTCACCGCTCGTCTACCGGCCTCGAATCGACTCTTAAGGCTGGTTATGCCGGTTCTGCTCCACTTCTACGAAGCTGTTTGGGCCTCGAAGCACTGGCTGCCCCGCCTTTATTTTCATTGCATGGCCTGCTTTCAGCAGCCATGGGGACAGAACACAATTTGGTTTTAAGTTTGATGAGCCACAATTTTTAATTCAGGTTTTTGGATTGCGATTTGCTCGAAAACCTGTTTAACAATGATGTAATTTAGAACTCCTTGTGAGGTGGTGTAAGATGGAAGTTAGTGTAGCATGAGGGGATAAAGGCTACAACAATTAGTTAAAAAGTTGTAAAGGTGACTTGAAATAAAAAAAACTACAACTTGCATTTAAGTAGTGCCCTTCACATGGGGTAGCATCAATCAATCATGATCTGGTTCCAGATGCTGTCATCTGAGGGATAGATACTTCTTGGAGTTTGTTATATTTGGGAATTATTGGGCCTTATCAATACACAAGTTTTGGACTAATGGGCATTGTGTTCGACAAGCGTAAAAGAGGCTTGATGGATGCAATGGCTTGGTGCCTTAATGTCTGGAAAACCATAAATTAAGAGATTTTACAACTTCAAGATGATTAAAAATGATTAAATGTCCAGGTGAACCTTTCACTTGTGTTATGATTAAAATATATACTGTATAATCAATCTCATAGTAGTTAAAGCAGTCCCATGAGTAAATGTAATCAAAGCAGATGTAAGCTGTTATCACTCTTATGAGTCAGTTTGTTGATTGAAGAATAATGAGGAGGGTACGGGATGCTGATTAGGGAGAAGGAACGTGGTATTCAGAGACCTTGGCTACACAAGAGTGGGAAGATAGCTGAATGATGGATTGCGGGCAGTCGAGTCTGAACAACAGAACCAAGGTCATGGTGTGGAGTGCAAAGCAGAAGGATGAGTGGGAAACAGGAAGCGGTTGCGTCCTGCACGAAGAAGAACCTTATATGGAGGACAATGGGACACTTAATTATAAATAAGGGAGAGACTGGAATTTTGAACTCGTCTTCGCTCGTGGGTTAATAGCTGTGAACGTGCTGACCATAGAAGGGGAAGTCCTCCAGTCATCTGGTAGTATTGTTTCATTACGCGTCTATTACTATTGCTGTTACTTGGGTTGCCCAGCAGGGAAACTGACTTATGAACTTTTTGTATTAAACAGAATTAGACTTTAGCTTTTGTCTAGTCTGAATTCTTTACACTTGGTGAAAGAATGAGATGAACCAGTCACATGACTGCTTGCCATTTTAATTCTCCTTCCCACTTACACTGTGACCTCCCTATCCATGGCTTCCTGCACCGTTCAAACAAAGCTCAAAGAACAGTGCTTCATTCATTTCCTGGGCACCTTACAGCCTTCTGGGCTCAGCATTGATTTCAATTAACATATCCTCTGGTTATTAAGACACGTCTGTTCATTTTATAATCCCCCATTGCCTTTTGTCTTGCACAATCAACACCTCTAATCTCATTATATTTTGTCCTCCCATCTAAAAATGTTTCCTTTTTCTTCCCCCACACCCTTCTCTGCTTCTTTTTATAATCTGCTTCCTTCTAATATCCCCCAATTCTGACTGAAGGTCATAGAACTGAAACATTAAACTAATTTTCCTCTTTCTATGGATGCAGCCTGACCTGCAACCTCTGTGTTTATACATGGACTAAATTGCAGTATAAGGGAGGGCAGATGAGCTAAATTCAGGGGAGTAAGGGTCAGCGATGGATCTAGCACCACTAACAACCACTAGCACTATTAACAGCACTCAGATTCTGAAACCTTCCCAGATGAGGTAAAACTTGGTAAAATCATCTCCTCTCTGTTCTCAAAAGGTCATGGGGTGTATTGAGGCTCAGTTGCGTGTAGTGCAAGATTGCATGATTTATTAAAGTTTTGTTAAACTCAATTCTGTTTAAAGTATTTTAAAAGTATTGCCTATGTACTATATTTTTTATATAGCTGTGCCACATTCAGGAAAGTTATTGTTTACTGGTACTTGTTGGAATAAATGAGAATAATTTAAGAGAAATAATGCTCGGGCCCCAACACCTGACTGTTCAGCGCTTCTGTCGTCCTCCCGACGTGAAAGGTGCTCTATAAATATAATCTTATTATTGTTGTTTGTGATTGGGTTTGTATCTTAGAAACAATGAGAAGTGAAGGATTGTGACTTTCAGAGCGCACCCGAAGAGCGTGGAATTCACACATAAAAAGACAATGAGTACCATGACAGCATGGTTATTTTAGCAGTAATAGCTTTCGTCCATGCAGCGTTAGCGTTACCTGCAAAAGATGGAACAGTAAAATACAGTGAAAGTCACTTAAACCAGACATCAGTTAACCCCAGATACTGGGTAAATCAGACAAAATGCCTGGCCCTAGTTCATTTATATAATAATCCTTGCATTTGATATAGTGCTTTTCACGTCGGGAGGACGTCCCAAAGCGCTTCACAGAACACACTGTAAAGTGAATTGACTGTATATTTGTGGGCGAACGTGGCAGCCAATTGCGCACAGCAATGTCCCACAAACTGTCGTAGATTGAAAATGACCAATTTATTATTTTTTGGTTTTGGAGGGATTATTGTTTTTGGTTTTGGAGGGATTATTATTAAGGATTATTATTATTTATATTCTCAGCTATTTAAAATATGCTAATTACTTCAGATAAAATGCTGGGCTGGTTAGCGCTGCTTCCACTCACTGTTTTCAGCAACTCCATTCAGCTTCAACCAGCCCTAGGATGGAGTTAAAACTGCAATTAATTGACTGCAGATTCACAACTGCTCTGGGCTGTCAATCAGTGAGGGAATGGGAAGAGTCAAATCCCATTGACTGACAACCCTGGAGTATCTTGTGAACGGAGCCTAAACATTCATAAGTGGCTGCAAGCTGTCGATTACTTCAGAACAGCTGCTAATTGTCCCCCTCCCTGTCCAACGGGAACTGCAATGGGAGGGAGGCGTCGCTGCTGTTCTGCTGGGGAACTGTGGTGAACCTCGAACGTCACTTAAGCTGGACAGAACGGCCTTAGCGGCTTCCACTGTATGTAATATAGTATGGCATAGATAATATCCAGCCAATCAAATAGAAGTTCAAAAGGTTGGCCCCAGCTTCCAAAATGGCTGGTGGAAGCTGGAAGAAAGGTATGAAACATTTGAAAATTAGAGGAAGATTTATTAGAAGAAGCTATTTCATTAGTACAATGCAGAACTAAAAAAAAGTTGGACTATAGAGCCATGAANTTTTTTTCAGACCTGCAGCAAACTGTTAAAATAGCAGAAAGGAAGCATTGGAAAAAAAAGGTTTTCTTCTCCCAATTTTATAGGTCTGAAGTGATTGGAGTTACCATCCTCTTGGTAATTCTTGAGGCCCTCTTGGTGGTTGACCAGAGAAATAAACATCTGGTCTATCAAAGTCTCTTGGTGGTGGACCAGACAAACGAACATCAGATCCTTGAGAATGTCTTGGTCGTAGCCCAGACAGCAGAACATTGGCTCTTTGAGAAGGTCTTGGTCCCGGCCCACAGAAAGGAACATTGCAACTTGGAGAACTTTTTGACAAAGAACCAGGCGGAGCTTCACCAAACATGTAAGATTCATATTTATCCGGTACCTCATCCAACAGAGGTCTCTTGTCTTGGGTCTGAATGAAAATAAAGCATTGCACACAACATTCTACAAATAATACTTGCATTTATAATAGCACCCCTCACGCACAGTACTGTCTCAGGGCACTTGATAATAGCACCTTTTATGTTGAGAGGACGCCTCAAAGCACTTCACAGTTCTTAGGGCAACGTGGCAGTCAATTTGCACACAGTAATATCCCACAAAAAGGCATGAAGTGAATGACCAATTTTATCTGGGATTGGTCAGGACATCAGGAGAAACTCCCTTCTCTTTTTGAATACAGTAAACCCTGGTTGCCAGCCACTGGGTACCTGAATTTCATATTTAGCTACATGCAAATTCTGGATAACCAGTGTCCAGTAAGCTAGAGGGTCCCTGTATTCGAAAAGAATGTGAGTTTATCCTGATAACTCCCTCAGATAAAATTAGTCATATATGTAAGATTATATTTGCAATGCTTAATGTTTAAGGCTTTCGAATGTAAAATACCTAGGATCCTTTACGGTCTGGCCAACTAATCTCATGATGGGGGCTGGTTGTCTCAAATGACTAGCTTAGGAGGTACAGATATCTTGGCTGGACCTGGTTGAGGTCAGTTTCTGATAACATTCTCTTTTCTTAAGGCTGAGAAACACAGAGGCTGCAGAAACAATTTCCTAAAAGTGTCTCATCAGTTCTTTTCTCATGGAAAAATAGTCTGCTCAAGGTCACTGGCAGCTTGAGGATGGAGGGGGCTGCAGCTCCATTTTCTCAGAGGAAAAACCAGAGACACAAAGGTAGGGAGGCTTGTGAATCAGACCATGTAAAGGGAGGCGGAGTTAAGAAACACATAAACGAAAGTAACACTGGAAAAGTCAGAGTCTTCGTAGAGGGTCAGCGCACTTCCCGTGGAATCGATACCAATTTTACTGTATCTGTGGTCTAAGTTTTAAGAATACGCTATTTGTACTGCTTAATAAACTTTGGATTATTATACAACCAATTGGTCTCCTCCAAATCTTACATTTATTTCATGCCTTTTGTATGGAAAGTTCCAGGTTCGCAGTGGAGTTCACACTCTCTCCTAGAGGAATTACCCAATTCCGGAAAATATCAGTCCCAAATTAATAAGAACCCAGAATGCACATTGGAGTACTTCTGGAATTTAATCAGCTGAAACCACTAAAATACCAACGAGAGCACCATCTGATAAGCTTCCTGCTGCTTGTCCAGCTAGGAACACTATCGTTAGAGCTCTGGCTTGCAGGGTTAACAGGAAACCAATAGAAATAATCTGTGTCCCAGTGACTACCCCTTCAAGAGTTTAGGACAATCCAGGTTGACCAGCAGTGCCTTGTAGTACTGTTGACCTGCCACCCTCCAGAACCCAACTATTGAGACTGCCACAAAGAGTTTGACTAAATTCTGACATGCCACGCCATTGCGAAGCATGTCATCTTGGAGCCAGCTCAACCCAAAAGAGACCTGGCTTCTTCAGGAAGTGAAGTCACGGCAACCTAGAAGTTGGCCATTACATAGTATGGCCAGTGCACAGGGTGGAAAAACTGACTACTAATTGTACCAAGCCATAACACTGGTTAGGATTTTATGGATCCCAACTGCTGTTTTATACCAAAGCTCTACCATATTTGCATTTTGAAAGATTTAGGTAACATGGCACATCACCACATGCACTGAAATAAATAAATGTTAACCACATTGGCACAATCTATTCAAGGAAGGATGAGTTTAAAACAGGTTACACAATTAAAGGGGATAAGGTTTCTATCTATGAGAGGTAATCAGATCAAAGCTGTAACTGATATTGATGGCTTTCTTTCAACTATTTTGTGAAAAGCCAATATTGTATTTAACTCTATTAAATCAGTTTTATATGGAATTTATTTTTGCTAAGGCAAACACTTACTAATCCAGTTATTGTCTTGAGGCGATATTCCATCAGTCCATCAGTGAGACTCTGTGTAACCTTTAGGGCAAAGCTGGCATCACGGTCATTCATTATTTGAAAATGTTGCTGAAAATGTAATGCAGAAACTCATGTTTGCACATACCCATTAGTAGTAATTTACAAAATCTGCAACATTGTTAGATCACAAAAATCTGAAGCAAAGTATTATAACATTGATATACATTTTCCTACATCTGAACTCATACGTGAATATTAAGCGATTTTTTTTACACAATTGGACAAGCAGCAAGACCACATAACGAATGGCAATTCACCAACTATTATATTGCATTATTCTTCAACAAAAGCACCGAATAAAAAGCAACAAATCCTGAAACAACTTCAGCTAAAGATCACATTTTAATGAATAAAAATCAGCTCTCCTTCCTCCAAGTCAAAAAATATTGCACTTTAGCAAGAAGCATTTTGCATACCCTACTTCTCAACAAATTTTTGTTTTGCTCTTTATCAAACATTAAAAATTATCATACTCACCAAATACTCAAAAAGTTCCTGGTTTAAATAGGCAGATCTGGAGGAACTTTCTGACTGGTAGGGTTCAAACTGTATTTCCAAGAGAATGAAAAAAGATTAACTCAGGAGTCAAACAGATGAAATATACCTTTGGACATCAAGGTGACCGTGATAACTACACATTTGGTATCATGGTTTGCACATATTTTTTCAAAAATAGAAAAGTAAAATTGCACTTCACAATACAAATTTCTATTTAAATGGACAACAATCAACCAACATTTTTGGCAAATTTTCCTATGTTTCGCAGTTATGCCACTTTTATTTGCATTTCTCTGTAGCTGTTGTATAAATTTGTAACAGTATAAAATATAAATTCTACATATATAGTATCCTACCTCATTCTGCATCCAACGATCATCAATATCAGAACCTTTGCTGTAAGCATCCTGGCGGTTCCTATATAATACAAAAAATTGTTGGAAGCCTAAACTTAGTAGGTTTAGAGAAATAATAAATTTGTTCAGAAAAAATCATGTGTAAATGAGCATACTTTGAAATATTCTAAACAAGAAATAAAAATGGTTACATCAAAACACGGTGAGATACCAATAAATAAGGCAAACCGGATGCTGGGCTATATTGCTAAATCAGTTGATCTTAGATCCCCAAACATCATACTCAGGCTGTATAGTGCTCTGGCCAATCTGCACCTGGAATACTGTGCACAATTCTAGTCACAGTGACAAAAGAGACCTACCAGGACCTAGAGGCAGTTGCAAAGGAGAGCAAGAAGGACGACAAGGATGTCAGAGGAACGAGCTAGAGCAATTAGACAAGCTAAAGCTCTTCAGTCTTTAGAAAAGACGTCCCAAAGAGGACTTTATAGAAATGTATAAAATTTTACATGGGATTGAAAAGGTAAACCCAGAAAATACTTAAAATTATATTGCACCAATGCAGTTGTACGAGGGGATTACAGTAGCAGAGGACAATATCAGGGGAGATACCCAGAAGTTTTTCTTTATCCAGAGGGTGATCAACAACTAACAGGTTACCAGGAAAGGTAGTTGAGTCCAAGATACTGGACTTANTTTTTTTAAATGGGATGATGGCGGGATGAGATCAGACTGTTTGTGGGACACTGCTGTGCGCAATTGGCTGCCGCGTTTCACCCAGAAATATACAGTTGATTCACTTTACAGCAGATTCTGTGAAGCGCTTTGAGATGTCTAGAAGACATGAAAAGCGCTATACAAATGCAAGGATTATTATTATTATTAGATGGCTGAACTAATCTTGTGATCTTCAGTGGCTTGAGGATGACAGATCATAATGGTCTTGGATGGTGGGAACACAGTAATCTAGGGATTCAGATTCACATGATTCTAAAAGTAGCAGCACAGCTGAACAAGGCCATAAATAATGAGAATAGAGTCCTTGGCTTTCTCTTGAAGTTAGACCACACATGCAGTATTGTAACATTGGAGAAAATACAGCACAGATTTACAAGAATGTTACCAAGGATGAGTGGATACAACTATCAAGAAAGACTGAAAGGGTTGAAGCTTTTCTCTACAGCTGAGATGATTGAGAGGGGACCTGATCGAGGTGATAAAGATTATGAAAGGATTCGGTGAATACTCATGGGCGGTATCCATTTGTTGGTAAGTCCTAAACAAAAGGGCATAAATGTAAGATCGCTAAGTAGTAGTAGTAGTAGAAGATCTAAAAGGGAGTTTAGCAAGAACATCTTCACTCAGAGGATGATGGAATTTGAATTCACTGTCAGAAGCTGTAGTTGAAGCAAAAAGCTTGATGCATACGTGAGGGAGAAAGGAAAGCGCTGCTTAGGAGAGGGAAATAGGAAGGAAGGGACTTCCATGGAGTACAAACACTGGCGTACAATAGGTGGTCCAAACAGTCCATTACCATATCATTCTATGTAATTGTATGTAAAATGTTGGCAGAGTTTCTCCTGGTGTCCTGGCTATCAATCCCCCAAATAAAGTTAATCATTCATCTTGTGGCTGTTTGTGGGGCGCCGTTGTGGGTAATTGAGCTATTGTGTTCGTTGACAAATATACAGTCGCTCCACTTCACAATAGTAGATTTTGTGAAACACTTTGGGTTATCTTTTGCGGGACTATGGTGCAAGAGCGGGGGAGTGGGACTAGTTGGTAGCTTTCAAACAGCAGCACAAGCACGATGGGCCTGCTTCTGTGCTATAAGTTTCTATGATCCCCAATATGATATACCAGATGTAAGGATTATTGTGAAATCATCAACTATGAAGGTTACATCAGCTAAACCCAAGTTAGTTTTCATGTTGTCTGCTCAGATATTTGAGATGTCTGGAAAACTTGATAAGGTGCTATATCAACTGCAAGGATTATCATTATATATTCCACATGCAGTGGAAGCCACTTAAATGGGACACACCGAGGCTGGCCGTGTTGTCCATCTTAAGCGGCGTCTGAGGTTAACCAAAGTTCCTATCGCCCAGCAGAGGAGCAGCAGCGCTTCCTCCCACCCATTGCCGGTCCCATTGGACAGGAAGGGGACCAATTCACTGTGCCCTCGAGGTGATTGACAGCCTGAATGGTGAATGGCTGGAGTCCGCTATTAATCAATTTGACCCCTCCCATTTCCATCCCGAACCGCTCTAGACAGGCGACCAGAGCAGCATTTTGTCCAAATTAACTTGCATATTTAAAAGAGCTAAGAATATAAATGAATTGGGGCGGGTGTTTTACCTGATTTACCTGGGTAGGTCCGGCTTAAGCGGCTCCCACTGTGTTTCATAGAGCAGTGCTCAGGACCTGCAATGCTGATTCTTGCTAAGTACGCAATTGGTTAACCGGAAGAACCCAGAGGGTGGTGGAACAGGGAATGTCATCAGACTGGGAAAATGTTACCAGTGGAGTTCCACAAGGGTCTGTTTTGGGACCTCTTGTTTAATATTTTTATAAATGATCTGGAATTAGGAGTCGCAAGCACAGTAGATAAATTTGCAGATTACACCAAGCTAACGAAGGTGGTAGATTGTGAAGCTGAACAAGATAGGTTACAGGAGGATTTGAACATACATAGGATATTGGAGAAATCGAGAAGATACAGAGGAGAGGAACCAAAATGATTGAGGGAATGGAAGGACTGGACTATGAGGAGCGACTAAGTGAGTTGGCCATGTTCACGCTGGAAAAGAGAAGATTGAGAGGCGACATGATTACTGTATTTAAGATTCTAAATGGGCAAGACAATATAGATCATAACAGGCTGTTTCAACTTGTTCAGAATAGTAAAACTAGAGGACAGGGCCTGCGACTGAAGGGGGTAAATTCAAACAAATCTACGCAAACACTATTTCAATAAGTAAATAGTGAACCAGTGGAAGAGGCAGGAAATCTTGATTCTTTTAAACACAGATTAGATTTCTTTTAGGAAATAACATTATGAGATATACTACATAGGTAGTTTGGGACAAATGTGCGCATGCGACCACTAGGAAGATGGAAGGCAAACTAGATGGACCTTGGTCTTTCACCTAGCATTTCTTATGTTCTTCCCAGTAACACAGAGGCTTACTACATCACTCCAAATATTACCATGGCTCAGGAACAACTACACAGAAAGTTAATGTTGATTAAGCACCACATCAGCTAATATATATTTTTAAAGCTAACTTTGTAAACTCTCATTTACTGAGATTTTGGTGTTGAAAAATTATCTTCAACTGATTTGAGATTCAATTGTTGGAATTACCTCACTTGCTCTTCTCTCCTGTAGTCATCACGGGAATCTCGTTTATCATCGCAATGCCAATCCATATGAAAGTTTCCTTCAGATCTGCTAGATTTCCCCCAATCATTTTGCAAAGTTTCATCAAATGACCTGAAATCTGTATAAAAATTACATTTTAAAGTTCTCTTTGGGAAGAAAGATTTACAACCAATTCAAATTCTGCCTCATTCAAAATACATGCAGTTGAACTCAGTTATAACAGGACAGTTGGGGTCCTTATAATCCCAACCTGCCTGTTAATGCCAGTCAGCACTTCCTGATTCACTGGACAAGTGCACAAAATCATGGCTTCCTTTCAGTGCTAAAGGACAACAGGGTACATATATGCAAGAGGTGATATATGCAGCAACCAAATGCCTTTCAAATTGCGCATTTATTAGTGCACAGGTAGCCCGACAGTGAGTGGCAATCCAAAATGCATGGCTTCTAGGTTATCTCCACCATCATTTCATAATCACACTGCATGCACACAGCGTGCATGAAGGGACCTGAGCAGTGACCCAATGACCTAGAAATTGGGCATTTTTAGTAATAACCTGGCTGGTGTTTTAAAATGATGCAACACATTTGAAGCCAGCTGGCAGGCTTTCTTTGTGCATTTAGATATTTTGGTAAGCGAGTCTACACCCCAAAAAGTGTACTCGTGTGTAATGGGGTTCTTCCTTGCACTTTCTTATTATAGGCCAGAATCTCAGCGACTATCCTACCTTGAGACCATGAGATTCTCTTTTCATATGAACTGGAACCTCTTGCGTTACCCCGCTGATCAAAACTATTTTCAAAGTTGCTATGCTGTGAAAAGTAGGGGTCTGATGGCCCACCTGAAACACCAACATTGATAGTAAGTCAAAAAATAATGCCGATGAGAACCATAGTCATTTCATTAAAATGAAAAAAAATTGAGATTCCATTTTCACTTTTAGACTCTAATCAGCCTTCTACATATTTCTTAACTTCACCAGTTTTTCTATTTACACGTCCTTACATGGATAGTAATAGCGGCAATCTGGAAGACAACCTTTAAGCACAGAAGGTGGCCTGTCCATGTCAGAAGCATATCCATAGAGCACCCTCATTAAAAGCAAACCCCCACTCCAGTGAGGATGCCCTGTAGTTTGGCTTGGAAGCTCAAACATAGTGGTGGGTTCTCACATGTGACAAAATATCCAGAGACCAAACATAAAAAAACTCAATTAAAGTCTCACGAGGCATTAGGGAGCACAATGAAAATGATAATAAGAAAGAATCCCCCTCCACAATCAATGCTTAAAGATTAATTTATCCTATTACTAAATGTAAAAGAAGCTGCATATAAGGCAAAGCACAAAGTATCAGTGCTGTTGCTTTTCACCTTCTGGATCCAGAACATAAAACTTAGTGCTTCACACTCTGGAAGCCGCCGCCTCAACGCCAAGCTGGGTAGAGAGGGGAGGTAGCCTGAGGCATGGTTGAAGAGGAAGGTCTTCAGGTGCAATCTAAAGACAGGCAAGGAGGGGGTAAAGTGGAGGGATTGAGGCACAGGGTTCCAGAATTTGGGGCCTTAGTGGCCACAAGTATGACCATCAATAACAAAAGAGAGTGGACAAGGGTGGTGCAGAAGGTCAGGGCCAGATGATTGATAGGGGCAGGTAGAGGAGTAGGGTGTAAGCAGATCAGAGAGCTTCTTGGGCCTGAAGTGATTTGTACACGAGTGTGAGGGACCTGAAATTGATCTGTTCTGCAATCGGGAGCCAGTGAGCCTGGAAAGGACTGGGGTGATGGGGCACTGGTACAGGTAAAGATATGACAATGGAAGTAATTGGATTTTATGAGTGGTGATACTGGAGAGACCAACAAAGAGGACATTGGAAAAATCAAGGCGGGAAATGACGAAAGCCTGGATAAAGTTCCAGCTGCATTGGATGTGAGGTTTGGTTGAAGGTCAGCAAAGCAAGATAACTTACACTCATCTTTACTTCTTTTTAACGGAGGCTTCCTTACATGTTTCAACTCATCAAGGACGATCTGAAACATTTAGAACACGAGTTAGCTAGTACTAATTCTGTCCAACAGTAACACATTAGTGGACCAGGAAATTGTTGCATTGTATAGTTTCAGAGAATTTCATCATTCCTAATTTTCAATCAATGTGACTATCCCATTAAAAACATTTCAAAATACTTTTCTTTTTGTGGAATGGAGAATTGCCTACAATCTTTAAACGTGCAAACCCATCACCCTGCTTAAGAATATCCAAAGCGAACTGTTCCATGCCATCTGCACATTGAAATTGCAATGTCCGGAATGGAAAATGCACCTCAGCCCCACCAATAGAGGGGCACATGCTGCTTGCCAAATTCCAAAGAATATTAGGCACAGGTTGACAAGAGCCAAGGCTAGGGGGACCCTAGGGTGCACTGGAGTTTAACTAGCTCAAAGTGTGCCATTGGCTGTACTGCTTCCCACTGCTTGTCCGGCTAGGTCTGTTAGAGCTGTAGCTTCCAGGGTTAACAAGAGCTGAGAGGAAAGAATCCTTGTTTTGCACCCCACTCTCTCCCTGGAGAATGCACCCAGCTTTACCCAATTCTGGAGAGTATCAATTATTGTAGATATTGAACTGTCTAGCATATTGGTACAAAAAAAATTAAGAGTCATTAAGGTTTCTTGGAAAACGTGTTGAAAATATGTTGAATAGTGGAAAATGAAATAGAATTTCTGTACAACAGGCTTCCATCAAATTCATGGAATTCTTATTTTATAAGCTTGGTAGCCGATGCTTTCTTGTTGCTAAATGCAAACATCAGTGTGAAATCAACTAATTGGTCTCAAGTTAAAGTGATTGTAATAATGATCCTTGTATTTGATAGAGAACGTACTGTAAAACAAATTGACCGTCTTTGTGAGCAAAATACAACAGCCAATTCCGCACAGTAGTGCTTCAAAAACAGTCATGGATTGAAGTGACCAATTTATTATTGTTTTTTTCTGAGGGATTATTATTAGGCTTGTGGAGTAAGGAAACTTTCCATTTCGCCCTGCTGAGAATCGAACCCAGGTTTCTCGCTTACGAGGCGAGTGCTCTAACCACTGAGCTACAGGACTCCACATATAATATTATTAATATATTATAATATAATATTATGCTTCACAAACACCTGTTACAGCCACCAGTTGCTGACAGCTTAAGATCAGAATCTCAGTAGAATGAAAACTGTTTTACTGCTCTTTAGCACTGCAGATGGAATGTACAGCACAGTGCACAAAATTCCTTGATCAGAAAAGGCTATCTATCGCAAGTTCAACTAAAGTTCTTGACCAAAACAATTTTTTTGATCAACAAATTTACCTTAACTTTCCCTCTTCCGTCAAGTTTTTCAATTAATGCGGCTTTTTCTTTAACCAGGGCATTCATTTCCGAATGCTTTAGTTTTGCTCCTTCAAGTTGTAGTGCTTCTGGATACTCTTTTGACTAAAATCAAAAGGGAAATGGTTACCCATGAGATAAATAGCTCCAATTTAACATTCTAAAGTAGATCATAAAATTGGAGTGTAAATAACTGACTCCTGAAACATTTCCACAATGGTTCTGATGTATAATAATCCAAGCGCTTCACAGAACACATTGACTGTATATTTGTGGGCGAACGCGGCAGCCAATTGCGCACAGCAATGTCCCACAAACAGTCATAGATTGAAAGTGACCAATTTATTCTTGTTCTTTGTTTTTTTTGGAGGGATTATTATTAGGCGTGTAGAGTAAGGAAACTTGCCCAAGGTTTTGCCCTGCCTGGAATTGAACTCAGGTATCTCACTTGCAAAGCGAGTGCTCTAACCACTGAGCTACAGGACTCCACAATATAAATCCTATATTCAAAGGAAACCATTTCAAGAAACAACTGCCTTACTATCTCAAAGGATTAAAAAAAGTAATTTACAGAGCGTGGCAGGCAAAGATCTTATAGCTAATTGGACACAACATTACTATCACTGAGGCGTATCATCAAATTATTACATATAGCCAAACTGCTTTATAAATTTATAAACCTGCGTATATAATCCTTATAATGAACTAATACATTCAATGGGTAATGGATGCATTTAATATTCCCACATTTGGAAATACTCTAACTGGGTATATTCCGGTATTTGAATGTCATTTTAATTTTTTTTGTTGGAAGCCCAAGTTTCCAAATAATCTAGCTAAAATACAAGGCAATTCCTTACAAGAATACACTGCGGCTTTTAAAGTTATTGGATTTCTGAAGACTGATTATACAACTAAATGCAGCAAGATTCATACAGGCTTAGGAAAATTTCATCTAAAACAAGAAATGCTTACTATGTACTTTAGCCGGTGTTTATAACCAAATAAATGTGACAGGAACGAGGAAAATCCTCCTCGATAGCCACAAAGCCTGCAGAAGAACAGTGGATCTGGTGCCCCCTCAGACTGATATTCAATCACATGGTTCAGTCCTGCATACAAAAACACAATCAGGTCACTTCGGTTAATTTCTATCCATGCTGATATCCAACACAAAAAGATTAAGACAAATGTTAGTCTTCAGCACAGAAAAAGAAACGTGGTTACAATGATTTCCTTTACTGGAACAAAGATATCAAACAAAGTCAATTTCTTCATACATTCCATTACTAGCAGAGAATAAAGGGTCATTTTGCCAATATAAATGTCTTTAAAATTCAAAGGAACTTCTATGAGAAGTGTTGATACATGTCACTACATTACTATGAAAAGAACACTCAATTTGTAACAATGTGGCTAGTGTTTCTGTATATTCAAGCATATTGAGAAGCAGAGTAATCACAAAAATTAAACTCAACAATAACCATCTTAATTTATGTAGCGCCCTTCATGCAGGGTAGCAGTTTGAAGTGGTTAAACGCACTGAAAGGGAGGAATAAGGAGCATACCAATCAAAGGAACCAATGAGCCCATTTCTTTTAGGCGTTCTTCCAGATATGATGACCCATATTTGTACTCTATAGACGATGTTGGTGCAGATTTTGCATCTAAAACAAACAAGCCAATGTTAAATTGTAGAGATATTAAGCATAATTATGGCAATACAGGATACAAACNAAAAAATTATGACAAAAAAATAAAACTCAAAAATTTGAATCATAAAACATACATACCAACTGAAGAGGCCTTTGCCCCCTTGTTTTTAGTTTCTGCTTTTGATCCAGATGGTTTAACTACAATTAAGATTCCAAAATTAAGAGCAATACAGTCAAGGAACACAATATTGTACTGTAGTCACAACAGTCCTTGAAAATTAAGCTTGGAATATAAAAGATGGACATAAACAGGAATAGTACATGTTTTTGATCGTCCTACTTTACCTTTCATGAAAATTTAAATATAGCATTTTGAATGTTATGCTATCAAGGTCAATGAGGCTTCCCCATATACTTCATGTTGTTCTGTATCACACGAGGAAAATGTCACAGACATGACAAAGAAACACATTTAGGCCTTAGTCTAAACCAGTGGCGGCCAACATGTGTCCACGCGGGGCCGTCAAGAAGCTCCCCTCCCCCCACCAAAACATCAACTTTTGCACGAGTGTAGTTAAGTCTGTGTTCGATCTTTAGTGTGTTTTCAGTTTTTTCTTCATTGAATATTTCTCGATTTATGCCATAAATCAAGAAATATATGATCAAGAACATTTAGTTTGTTGGCTGACCATAAAGGTTGGCCACCACTGGTCTAAACATTTCTCAAATGTTAAAACGTTTCCAAAAGTAAAACTGATTTCTGAACAACTGCCTGTAGCTTCTGTTTTAGATGTAATGTCAAGTCCTTTTTCATAAAGTGTAGCTCAAATTGTTGACAAGGCACCAAACTGCACCATTTTACATCAACTGAGATAATCAACATTGCTCCTTAAAGATTACTCACTTTTTAAAAAAAAAGTTTCAAAAATCCCTCAGCTGCAAAGCAAACCATGTTGGCTCACAAGGTCATTGGAAGGGAGAGTATCTCTCATGCCGGAACACCAAACTATGGTGCTAAAAAAGGGTGGGGAAAATGTTAATAATCTGAACTACCATTTATTCAAAATTGTTATCAACCATGGCATCATATAGTGGTAAATTTAGAATTTCTGAGTTGGGACAATCTATTTTTGGGAGGAGAGAGGGGAAAGGGAGAGAACAGAAAGGGAAGAAAGAGCAGAAACCTCAGTGTAATCCTCCAGAATTTTTTTAATGATATTTTACATATACATAAACATTTCTGTATACTACTTTATATGACACAAGACTTATTTAGATCGATTTAGGCTAAAACTATAATGACTCATGTTGGGTGTGGGACAAAAAACTTAACTCATACCCTGATCAAAACTCGATGGCGGCAATTTTCCAGCTTCTACCAAATTTCACATTTTAAGAAGAGCATCCTTTAGAGCAATCAGAGAGTCCTCATTCTTTAAAACTTGAATGAAGGTCAGTTTCCAAAATCATTTCAGTGATCAAAAACTACAAGCAATTTTGAAGCTATCACTTCAACCAAAATGCCACAGCCAACATACCCATTTCTGGCACATATCCTCCAGAAACGGGTAAACCCAAAGAGAAAAAAAAAACAAGAACCCATCTGTTATGTTATAGCAAGAGGTAGCTAATTTCAATGCCATAGATTAAATAATACACTTAAACACCGGCTACCCGGACTAGAGAGTGGGGCATCTAGAGGTGCCCAGTCCTGTAGATTTAAAATAAATGTCTTTCGGCTTTGTGCCTGGCGCAATCTACCAAAGTGGGGATTGTTATCCAGGATCTACTTGCAATTCCTCTTCTCCTTTACCACTCCCCAACCCCAAGACCAGGCCTGCTTCTAGGACTGTACATAATAACTGATATTTTTACAGAAGAGATTGATCCTTTCATGGATACAGAGTAACAAAAGTTCCTCCCTAAATATGCCATACCTATTGCAGAGCACATATGGAGCCACTCTGATGAGTTTCCATAGACAGTTCTTATACTGTTAAATGATTAAGAACAACCTTCAAATTTTCAAAGGAATAGCCACAGTGTAGGTCACAGCTCTCCCTGCAGACGCTTCCCGTGTTTGCCACAAATTTCACATCACTGCTCGATCCTGGATTTTGCAAACGTGTCAAACAAAGCCTTTCAGCTGCATCCCCAGGAGCTCGGATCCATAAAGGAGAGCTGTTTGCAAACAGGTCTTGTTTGCCACAAGCTTGACTTGCATTGGGACCTTGCTGTCCTTGAACTTACATTTACACAGTGCACTTCACATAGAATAACCTTGACATAACCTCTCATCCAAAGGAAGGCAACTCCAACAATGCAGCACTCCGAGCATTTTATTGGACTACCATTTGAGAGTGAACTCAGAACCCTGACATGGAATTGAACCCAAAATCTTATGACTCAAGAGGTGAGTGTGCTACCAGCTGAGCCAGGCTGACACTAGACACACAAGATGGATAAAAAGTGGCTTAGGCACAAAACATATGGCCACTCAATTGTACAAAGTAAATTCCCCAAGTTACAATTGAATGTTTCTGGTTTTAAGTCAGTGTACATGAGACTTAGAAGTGTCAGGTCATCTATAACATCTGCAATTGTGGTACCAAGATCCATTAGGAATCCTGCAATGCTTACCATCATTCAAGGCTTCCTTAGTCTGTCATATGAAGTTTGGAGAGAATCATCCACGAAAATGAAGGTGGGGGGGAAAAAAAAGTTAGCAAGACTGGCTTCTGTTGGGACATAAAACTGAAAGATTTCATTAACAATGAACCTTTGCAGATTTTTCAGCTCCAAAAGGACACCTTTTCATTTACTGTAAAGAAAAGGTAACTCTGCTGGATATTCTGCAAAAATTCAAGAGAGCTCTTTTTCATACTTTTCTGATAATTCAGAAAAGTTTTAGATGACCATTTCAAAAGGGGTCTAAGAAATACTTTGGTATTTCAGAAAATCGCCTCAAGTAAAATTACTGTAAAAAGTAATTTTACTGTTCAAAAATGTTATACAATTGCAGAGTTGAGATCTGTTAATCACACATTGCTGAATGTTAGAATCCTGTAAGACTTTCTTACATCACTGGGGCTTAAAGCAGTCTTGTACTAAGAACCAGAAACTGTACATCCACCGCTTTGAAGTCTTCCTTGCAACTTCCATTCAATTAGTGTATCCACATCTGAGTTCTAGGACTCTTTGGTTTAAAGAAAAAAACCTCCAAGAGTCCTTTCATGTACAAGTACACATTTTCTTCTTTTTAAAAAAAATACACACACACTATTTAACAACAGTGTGGGTACTACAATGTTTACTGAATTTTTGATAAGTGCTTTGAGGGATTCCTGAGAGTTTAAGTCAAGAAGTTCTTAGTAATAAAGATATCCTCTTCCACAGATATTTTAAATCTATACAAGCCTTGATGTTTCCAGGACCACTGGCCACTTAAAATAACTTTACCAGGACTGCAGGACTATGCCTTAAGCTTGCTGTCATTCCAATTTTATAAAGCAATTCCGTCAAGTTTGGTGAGAACATTAGATGTGGCAGTTTAATGGTTAAGAACAGACATTCAAGTCTGTACTGTATTTAGAAAGTTGCATGGTAAATGAAGATGTTGCTCACTCAGCTTGGCCTGATCTGGTAAAGCATTTGAAGAATTGCCACATAGCAATGTGAAAAGATCGACTCCAAGAGAGCTCTCGTCATGTCCACAGCGAGTTCCGTTGACAATCATAGTTGGAAGATCAATCAATTTGGATAAATGTTAAACAGATTTTTTCAGACAATGACCAAATTTGTAAATCATTACATGTTAACACAAGAAGTGTCAACATATCATGTCTACTGCAAGAAACAGAATCTTCAAACAAAACCAGAACACCACCAGCTAACATTTAGTTATAGCGTTTAGTGGAATTACAACAAAAATATCTGCAATCAATACTTTTGTCTTGGGATAACATCAATCAGACCACGTATCTGTTTAATCTCCCAAGATCAAAGCAATTGAGATTAAGAATCTCATTGCTCACTGATGGTCAAGTTTACAGGAAGTTCCGAAGTGTTCCTTTCTGAACAAGTACACAGTGTTATTACGATGTCACAAAACGTACGCTTCTCTTGAAGCAGGCAAATCATATGTTGGGAGAACATCACCAATGCAAGTAGATCATTGACAAACTAAGTGTTTTTAAAAAACAGATTTCATCTGCATTACTTTGATCATGAATGGAAAGAGGTTTGTTCTTTCAGTAAGCAGATCAACTAGAATCAGTTTTTCTTTTTTTAAAATTTCATTTCTGTATTTGTACAACAGAATTAAAAATGGTTGACCTAAATCTCTGTCACAGAATCTGTCTGTCAATAATTGTAGGCAGAGACTTTACTAGGAAGTATATACATATTCCACGGTTTTGAGTACTTCAAGGCATTCAAGCAATTCAAATTAGTCCAAGGTAGATGAAAAAGATTATAAGAGCTATTTCTGAAACAGAAAGCATTAGCTCTTTTCATTTCAAATCCCATTATGCAGTATTTAGTGCAAGAGATGAGTTTTCTTTCTACCACTGGATGAAACTCATACAGCATTTCTAATACCCATAGTGAATTGGGTTGTCTTCAACAGTAGGATGAAGGAAAGCACACTACATCTAGAAGTAGCACTGGGTTGCTTTGAAACAGCATTGTTAAGTTCTCTGAATAAGAGTTTTGTCCTTTCAAAATTAACAGCGAAATACAACTTTCATTTGACCATTACAGTTTCATGAAATGTATTCGAGCTGAATTTATGACAAAGGAAACAAGCGATTCAAACGTGAAGCCTCATCTTGAGGTGCAATAAGAAGAACTCCACCTGATCAGTTACTTGGCTCTTTACCCTCCACCAGGTGAGGTTGCAAGTTTTTCCAGTCTTCTACAATCCTTTACTTGAGTAGCCAGTTTTATGGGCGTCCACTCGTACCAACTTGAGTACCTAAACATTTGCTGACAAACTACAGAATGCAAAGCAAATTTTGGCAAGTTCCATCTTCTGTTCTCAAGATATGGTCATAAAGTTGAGTATGACTACATATTTTATTGACATCAGGCAATTTACCTGATAGATAGATAAATAAATAAAGGACCCAACTCTCAGGAAAAAGCAGCAAAGTTCCACTGCAACATCATTGCACTTAAACAATTTTCAAAAATACAGCAAGATTACCAAGGCAAGATTTTAAAAAGATCAAAAATGTTCATTAGCTTGGAAGCCCCAGTGGAATTTGTTTTATAGGAAAAGCAATCTGTCTGCCAAGAATTGACATTCAGCATTTAACAGTCTCAAATGTCATTTTGTTCAGCCTCCAGGAGTGGATCAAGACAAACTGCTGAGCAGTGCGTTCAGCAGTACAGGGTAATGGCATTTTTTAGACACACTGTCATTGGGCAACTCATTTGGTTAGAGAAGAAACAAGTGCAAGTAAAAACAGATACAGGTGTTGCCATATTTTGGAACAGCTTTCAGTGATGATACTGATTGTGATATCATCATTCTTGGGCTCACGCTCAGAGCCGAAGCCTGAAGCAACTTCCTAATTCAAATCCTATTGATCTATGCCGTAATAAAATATTAGAGTACATTACCATAAGCAGTTTGATCAATGTTTTCAGAGACTATATTGCAAATATCTCATCAATAACTTGTTCCCAATTCTATATTACCAACATATTACAAATCAAGATTTTTCAAATTTATTTCAGTTTAATAAAGTCATACTACAAATTAGTTCAGCTACATCAGTGCTCTTTATGCAAAATTACTGTTGTACTGAACCAAAAAGGTACTTTATTTGAACGTAGTGCTCTTTCAATTGTCAAAGCTTACTCTGACAGGAAGCATTGAAACACAGAAGACCCGTCAACAGGTCTGAATATATTTCAACCAACTGGGATAAACAAATATCAGGACTCTTACTTAGTAACCTTAGTGGATTCAGTAGGCCTATTTCTTCGATCAAAATTTGCAGGATCAGTTTATTAATATCTAATTTTTTTCAATACAGTAATGAATCATCAGGATTTTATATTTGTTGAAAGATTAGTTCATGAATGTAAGTAGCAATGGCTGCTCTTACCTTCTTATGTTTCATCCCAATCAAATGCATCTTAAGATTCATCTCAGAAGTACAATGGACATTACATACCTAGAATCAAAAGAAAATGGAGGATTTTCCAACTCAAGAGCAAAATGCTACAATACCATTCTTTAACAATAACTTACATTATGTAGCACTCTGCATGCAGGAAAGTATATCTGAGCACTGCACAAGACAGAGTTGGCCAACGAGCAAGGGAGAGGAGGGAGAAGGTGACAATAGGCATGGTCAAAGTGGTCTCAGGGGTTTGATCATGATGCAATGATTACCATTATATAGAATGGTCAGAACTACTATATTCTCAAAATCTCTTAACTATTGACATACAATATACAGCTTATTTAGTTTGACAACTGAAGTAAATTAATTGTTATAAGCATGATTAATTTGGTCAAATTTAGTAGAAAGCTTAAAAGCACATCTGACTTGTAAGCACATTTTTAAAAAAAATTCACACTGCATTTTAAACAGTTTTTCAAAGCACAAGAAGCTACTGCTGTGACAATCTGAAGGGTCTGACTTAAGTAAACTATCACTCCAGGATAGTCCAAATTACAGTCAACCAGTAACTGTCCAAATTACAGTCAAAATGGAAATCCCAAAATTAAAGCAGTTCACCCCTTTTTAGCCCATCCTGCAGGGTGGGGGAAAACACTCACAAAAGAAGCACTACCCATAAACCCCTCTATTCTTGAATGTTTTGCTAATGCTTTTCTTTGGTTGCAACTTCAAAGTATTAAATGGTTTAAAAGATAAACTAATATAATAATCCTTGCATTTGATAAAATAATAATAATCCTTGCACTTGATATAGCGCTTTCCACGTCTTCTCGACGACTCAAAGCGCTTCATAGAATATACTGTAAAGTGAATTGACTGTACATTTTTGTGGGCGAAAGATACTGAATAAACTGCGGCAAAGATCCTTTTCATTCATTTGTTATCATGGACATCAGTTATTTTATCTACCTACAAGCTATATACCCACAATCCCTTCCAAATACATTGGTTGTTCAAGATTAAGCGATTATTTTCAGAACCTTTTCATTTTTAAAAATATATATTCTTGTGATTTTGAACTTATCTTTGTTCATTCAGTCTCCAATTCTAAGTTTTAAGCTTGAATTGGTAATTTGAAAGCTTGCAATTTGTTACCGACAGCCGTAGTTGACTACTGCCATCATCTTTCCAATCAGAAATCACATTGTGCGCCTGCCTCTGACCGTACCTTATTCCAAACGTAGCCGAGACACTTGTCCATGCAGTTGTCACCTATCGCCTCAAATACACCGATGTTCTCCTCCGCTCCACTGTCTACAAAATCCAGAAATCTGCCATCTGCATAATCACCCACACTAAACTCCATACCCCCATCACACCAGTTCTTGCAGACTCCCTATCCCTAGGATTGATTTCAAGATCTTCAAATCCCTTCATGCCCTGGCATCTGCTTTTTCCGCAATACACTATCTGTTGCATACCTCGACTGGCTCTGGCCTCCTGCTTGTCCCTTGTGCCCTCTGTTCCACGATCGGCACCATGGTTTCAGCCACTATGACCCAAAACTCTGGAACATTCTCCTTCAATCCTTCTGTCTTGCCTCCTCCTTTCCTATCTTCAGGTTATGCTTGAAGTCCTTCGACCTTGCTTATGGTCACCCCCCACCTCCTGGCTTGGCATCGTACTTGACACTGTCAAGCGTTCTGAGACACTGACCTGCAGGTACAAGTTGTTGCTACCCATAAATTTTAAACAAAAATGGGTGTGGCATTAATGTCACAGAGTTTGTTTATCCAAACAGATAGATGGGATCTTGGGTTAAAATCTCATCCAAAAGAACAAATTAAAATGTAATCCATATATTTTTCTTTCTACCCATCTAATCAGGGGGTTCGCTTAAAGCACTTCACAGAATATACTGCAAACTGTCGTGACTGCACATTTAGATGAATGCTGCAACCAAATTGCACACAGCAATTTCCCCACAAACAGCCATGAAGTGAATGGCCAACTTTATTTTGGAGATTGTTGATCAGGACACCAGGAGAAACTTCCTTCTCTTTTTGAATCGTGCCATAGGATCTTTAAAGGACGACTTGGGAGAGGCAGACAGGACCTCAATTTAATGGCTCATCCAAAGGACATCACCTCCAACAACGCAGCACTCCCTCAATACCGTGTTGACATGTCAGCATAGACGGTACGTCCCAAGTCCCAAAGTGGGGTTGTGAACCCACAACCTTCTGACTCAGAAGTGGCAGTGATTCCAACTGAGCCAGCCTGACACACACAAGTTACAACACAACAGCCAATTCAGCCATTGCCATCTTATTGTCATCTTATTATTATTGTCACCAACACCCATGTCGCTGTCTGTACCCATTCAAAATGGCGGCTTGGGTCCGGCCTGTGGACAACCTGCACTGAACCGAGTCAGCGAGTCGACGAGAGGGAGAGAGAGAGCTGCGCCACAAAAGGTCCCCTTCATCAGCACTCACTCACTCACTCACTCACCTTACAGGTAAACACGTTGGCCGTCCCCGCGGTTTTGCTCTGGTGGACCGCTTGCTTTTTGTGCTGCTTCTTATCGGCCTCACTCATCGTCCTGACGCGCTGAAAAACAAAACCCAGCAGCAAATGAGCAGCAAATGAGCAGGGCCTGTCACACACTCCGCCCACACCCGGCAGGGCAGCCAGGGCAGGGCGGGCCGGGCAGGGCGGGGCAGGCAGTGCGGGGCAGTGCAGGGCAGGCAGTGCGGGGCAGTGCAGGGCGGGCAGTGCAGGGCGGGGCGGGCAGCAAAGCAGCACATCTTCTTTTAACGGGGTTCAAGCTTCGCGCTGCGTTCGGCCTCCTCCCCCTCCTCCCCTCCCCGGTGCGGGGTCTCCTCGATTTCCCTTTACATCAATAGGTTCACGCCCTTCACACACACTCCCGCGGACAACAGAAACGTACTTAAAATAAGCGAAGGGAGAAGCGGGTTGTGTTTGGTTTGTTTCTCGGAGAGCGTTAGAGGCGGCGGCGGCGGCGGTGATGATGATGATGATGATGATGATGACGACGACGGAGCTCGAGCCCCAACCGCTCGCGAACAAAACCGTTTTTCCTTCGGCGTCGACGGCGCCCGCGAGCTTCCTTTATTGCGTCTCTCTGACGCGGCGGCGGCGGTTATCACGTGGTCGAGCCGCGGCGCGCGGAGCGAGCGCTGACACGCATGCGCGCTCGCACCCCCCCCCCCCCGGGAAGGTGACAGCGGCGAGTTTCGTTCCTTCAACTTGGCGCTCGTTAGGAATTTTTTTTTCCTTCCCCCTCTCCCCCTCCCGCAAAACACTGACATCGGCAGATCACAAAGCTTCGGCAGCATTACATCGAACGGAGTGGCTCGTCCTCGCGAACCTGTCGAGCTCCTGACGTGACGCCGTCGCCGTTGCCAAGGGAAGCGCTCGAGGTGAGCGCCAGCCAGCAGTGACGTCAGCGCGGCCGCCGGAAGTCGTGGCCTGAGCCGAGGAAGAGGAAGCAGCGAAGGTGGTGGGGTGGGGGGGTGGAGGAGCCGGCCGAGCGGCTGCTTTGTCCTCGGTGCTCACCGCCGGCCATCGCCGACCAGTCAAGGCAGCGCTCCGGGGCCGCAGCACCGGCCCGGGCTCGAGTCGAAGCGGTGAGCTGCGCGCGACTGCTGACCCTCGCGCCGCGCCGCGCCGCTCCGCTCCGCTCACCGGGAGCGGGGATTACTCTACCGCCTAATGCGGGCTGTGGGCAAGTGGTCCATCCCTGCACCGGAGGGTTCACAGCGATGCTGGTCAACACTGCAGCAATGTGAATCCCGCTCCAGACACACACACACAGTCATTTCATGGTTATGTGAAACGGATCTCGTTTGTGGTTTTTAATGCTTTATTTATAACCTTTTACATTTTGATGGTAAAGTAGGAAGATATTTTTAACCTGTGCGGAGCCGGGCAATGCACATTCAGGACCGTCCCAGAGCTTCAGGAACGGTCTTCCCAATTCTCCCTTGGTGAGCATGAACCGTGAGCGGTGGTCAGGATGCTACAGTTGACCTCAGTGTCCCAGGCGTTGGAAAAGGGACAATCAGAATTCCTATTCATAATTGTTATCCAGTGATCCTATTGGAAAATTCTATTGCATGGATAGAAAATGAGAAGTTGAGCTCGGTTGTGAAGCCGCTTGAATTGGAATATCCGACAGACAATTATATGAGCTCCCAGGGATACTGTATGTAATGGTTTGTTTTTTCAAGAGGAAGGATGTTCTGATTTTTTTTATTGAGAAACGTTACACAAAATAGTAATATTTTGGGGAATTTGTGAATTATAGGTTGTTAAAGCACAGCATCCATCCAATCCGGTTAAAGCAATGAATCGAGCAGCATTTCCAACCAACAGTAAGTATACTTTATGTATGGTTTCTTGCATGTTACAATTCGTAATGTAACAGGAAGTTTATATGTATCTATTTCTGTCATTTTACATGTCTGGCCTGGCTCATGTGATGGTGGGGTTTCACTCATGACATCTATTTTCATATGTTGTCTGTTGCGTATTTGGTCAGATAAACCGATTCATGTTAGTCACACGTGGATGGTGGTGGATAAGATTGGGAGCCCAGCAAGCAGGGGTTTAGAAAAATCAAGCCGGGTCGAAACATAGAAACAGGAGTAGGCCATTCAGCCCCTCAAGCCTGTTCCATCATTGTATAAGATCATGGCTGATCTGTACTTCAAGTCCAATTACCTGCCTTTGCCCTGGATCCCTCAATAATACCCTGACCCAACAAATATCTAGCCACCTCAGTCTTGAAAATGTTAATGGATCCAGCATCCCCAGCCTTTTGGGGGAGAGACATCCAGATTTCCATTGCCCTTTGGGTGAAAAACTGCCTCCGGATTTCACTCCTAAATGGCCTAGCTCTAATTTTAAGACTGTGCCCCCTTGTTCTGGATTCCCCACCAGAGGACATAGTTTCTCTGTATCTACCCTATCGAATCCTTTTATTTTTTTAAAAACCTCAATCAGATCACCTCAACCTTCTGAACTCAAGTGAATAGAAACCAAGTTTATACAACCTGTCCTCATAATTTTGCCCTCTAAGCCCTGCTATCATTCTGGTGAATCTGCACTGCACCCCTTCCGGAGCCAATATATCCTTTCTGAGGTGTGGTGCCCAAAACTGAACACAGTACTCCAGATGGGGTCTGACCAAGGAGGTAAAGCTCTCCATGGCCTTGCTGCCCCCTACCCCCAGCTTGGCTCCGAAACACTGATTGTCCAGCACCTTGGGACGTCCTCCCGATGTGAAAGGCACTATACAAATGTAATTTTGTTGTTGTTGTAAAGGCATGGGTGAGGATTTCAGCTTGTCGAGGTTAACTTGTGCAAAAATAGAAGATGGAAAAACAGTCAGAGGCTGTTTGAGAGTTGAACAAAATGGTAATGTTTCTTCATGGCCTATGAGTTCGAATGAGGAATCAGCGTGATCAGTTCAGGAGATAAGAATGGCCAATTTATCTGGGGGCTTGTTGACTAGGACATGGGGAGAAACTCTCTTTGAATTGTGTCCTGTGATATTTAATTTATACCTTCTAGGGTCTCAATTCAACAGCTTATTAGATGGGCCACACCTCTAGCAATACAATGTTTCCCCTGTACTGTACTAGAATGTCAGTTGACACCAGGCGGCTCTTGGGCTGGCACTGGACCAGCGGGTGATTTTACGCGGCCTGCAAACCATTTCAGACTTCACAGTTTTATCACTCTCTTCTGGTCAGTCTGCGCACTGCAGCAGCATGAGGCAACAACAACAGAATTACATTTGTACAACGTCTTTCACGTCAGGAGGACGTCCCAAGGTGCTGGGCAATCAGTGTTTCGGACCTGAGCTGGGGATCAAGGAGGGTGGAAGGTAGTGGGGGGGGGCAAGAGAGTGATCAAGGCATGGTCGAAGAGGAGGGTCTTGAGATGGGTCTTGAAGGGGGCGAGGCAGAGGGACTGCAGGATGGTGTTCCAGAGGGTGGTGGCAGATTGGCTGTAGGCCCGCCTTCATGGCCTTCATGGGGCGGACGAGGCAGGGGATGTGAAGCAGGCCGGAGCCCGCTGAATGGAGTGAGCAGGCAGGTTAGTAGGAGGTTAGGCGGTCGCAGGGGTAGGGCGGGGTAAGGTCATGGAGGGTTTTGAAAGTGAGGACAAGGATCTTGAACTACATCCTCTATATGCTGTGGACAGCACAGAAACCAATTGGAGGGGTTCATAGAGGGAATGGCGGGAGGAAACAGCGAAGCTGGGACACGACTACTCATTCCAGGGCCTTGGAGAGGAATGGGAGGTTGGAGATGGGGCATCAGCTGGAGAGTAGGGATGGGTCCAGGGAAGGTTTTTTGAGGATGGAGGTGATGACAGCTGTTTTTAGGGGGGTGGGAACAGTGCCAGTGGATAAGGAGAAGTTGATAATGTCGGTTAAAAAGAGGGGCCAGGAGGTGGAGCTGGGAGGTGAGGAGCGGGGTGGGGATGGGATCAAGGGAACAGGTGGTGGGCTTTATTTTTGAGATAATGGAGGTGAGGGAAGAGGGGGAGACAGGTCGAAGGTATGTAGGGAGGGATGGGTGTGGGGCGGTGGGGGAGGTGATGAGGGGGTGTTACCGGTGGATGGGAGACAACTAGCTGAATGAATCCCCTCGATTTTGGATTCGAGAAGTCTAACATCTACTCGCAGTTGGAATTGGAGGAGAGAATGGGCGAAGCGTGGGAAGGTGGATAGAGGAGGCAGTTAGTGGTGTAGAAGAGGAGCCTGGGATTATCCTTGGCCGCCAAGATTATCTTGGAGTAAAAGGATGATTTGGCGGAGGCAAGGACAGAGTGGTAAGTCTTAGTGTGGTCAAGCCAGATGTGCCAATGGACCGTTTGGTTTGATTGGTCCAGGTGTGTTCGGAAGCCCGCACTTGTACCTTGAGGGATCAGAGATGGCTGGTGTACCAGGAGCATTTATGGGGATATCAGGCAGTTTGAGAGGTGAGGAGGGCAAGGGTGTCAAGGAAGGAGGAGAGGGAGAAGAGAGATTGAGGAGGGTAGGGCACTGTGAGAGGAGGGCCAGAAGGGCAGGAGTTCGGATGACTCCAGGGCAATGGACTGGGAGTGGGGGGAGATTTATTCCAAGGGCGGTAGGTGAAAGAAGTGGGTTGAGTAGGGGGAAAGGGGACGGAGGTATTAAGGGAGATGAAGTGGTGATTAGAGATGGGTTTATCAGTGATGGTGAGGTCTGAGAAGAACACAATTTAAAACATCATATTTCAATATGATTCTTTATATTTCTGGAAGGGAAAAAAAATATTGCTTGTGCAGCCTGCTGACATCTCTCACGTGAAATCTGGCTATCGACACCAAAAAGGTTGGTCCACCCTCATCTAGACAATGACCTCTAGTCCTGGTGATATGCAAAGCTAATAGCATTGCATTTGAGGTTCTTCTGAATCCGGGAGTTACTGGGTCTGTGGATTAGAAAGTCATTCAATGCAGCTTAGAACATTCTCTGCTCCTTGTGAGTCAATTGGTAGCATTCTACTTTACTCATTCAAGTTTCTTTCTTTTAGATTCTTGTGCTCCTTCTTAAAACATTTTCTTTTCACAGTTTTCTTGGATTTTTTTCTGTTTTTTTAAGAGCATACAAAGCTCTATTGTCTTCATCGAGGAGCCAAAGGTGATGTAGACTTTGGCAAATCTGTTCTGTCTTGGTGCTTAGGATCACCTTAGTTATGTTTTTGTTTCATTACGTTTTGCCCACAAAATATACAGTCAATTCACTTTACAGTATATTCTGTAAACCCCTTTGAGATGTCTCGAAGACGTGCTAAGGCGCTGTATCAAATGCAACGATTATTATTAGTGAATCCATATAAAATTCCTCTACTTGTAACACATAAAATGCTTTCGGTATGACTACAAACCAAATCATCCATAATTAAAGAATAAATAAATAGTGTATTGAATTTAATTTCTGAATACTGTACATTTTTAAAGCAATATTTTAAAATATTTGAACTTTTTGAATTTGCTGGAGTAATGGAAATTCAGCTTCTTCCAGAATGTCTTCCAGCTTTTCAAAGCATGTTCATACAGAGTAATGTATAATAATAATTCTTGCATTTGATACAGTGCCTTATGTTGTTGAGACATCTCAAAGTGCTTCACAGAATATATTGTAAAGTAAATTGACTGTATTTTGTGGGCGAAATGTTGCAACCAATTGCGCACAGCAATGTCCCACAAGCGATTGTGGATTGAGTGACTAGATTTTTTTGTTGACCTTGACGTCTGTTTGATTAATCTATTGGTGTTAGTTACTTGTACTCAATATATTTCATAACTTCTTCCAATTTATTGTTTGTTTTTGGAGGAGGCTGGCAGCAAGATTGGCAAACATCCCCCTCAAGGTCAGAATTAAATTTAATGGAAGAAATCCGAACAATCCGAAGGGGTGACCAAATTGTGAGCAATGAGATGGGCTATTCATCTGAAAGAAGAGATGGTGGGGTTCAGTATGCATTTGATGGCAGAGATCCGAATATGTATCCTGATTGGGGAAGGGATAGTAAAGTTTCATTCGTACAGAGTGCTGGAGCTTTAGATAGATACTCAGACATGAGAAGTGTTGATCGAGGACGACATGATGATGGTATTTCAAGTGGACATGGTGACTGGAGACGAGAGAGCAAAGAACAATATGTAGATGGTACCGTAAATTATGATCAGTACCCTAATCGCAAGGGTCCTGATCTTCGGTATCTTGATCAACAACACCCCGATCGTCCATTTCCTGATCAGCAACATCCTGAACATTCATATCCTGATCATCGCCATTCCGATCAGCAACATCCCAATCAGCAATATCCTGATCGGCGGTATCCTGATCAACAATATCCCGATTCTTGGCGTCCTGATCCTCGGCATTCCGATCAACAACATCCTGATCCTCGGTATCCCGATCAGCAACGTTCCGACCCTCGGTATCCCGATCAGCAACGTTCCGACCCTCGGTATCCCGATCAGCAATGTTCCGATCCTCGGTATCCTGATCAACTACGTTTTGATCCTCGGTATTCCGATCAGCAACGTTCCGACTCTCGGTATCCCGATCAGCAACGTTCCGATCCTCGGTATCCTGATCAACAACGTCCTGATCGCCAGTATCCTGATCAGCGAGATCCTGGATATCCTGATCAACTACGTTCCGATCCTGGATATCCTGATCAACAACGTTCCGATTTTCGGTATCCTGATCAGCAACCTCACGATCGCCGCTATCCTGATCAGCGAGATTTTGATCCTCGTTATCCCGATCAACAACGTCCCGATCCTCGATATCCTGATCAACAACCTCCTGATCCTCGTTATCCCGATCAACAACGGTCCGATCCTCGTTATCCCGATCAACAACGGTCCGATCCTCGTTATCCCGATCAACAACGGTCCGATCCTCGATATCCCGATCAACAACGTCCCGATCCTCGCTATCAAGATCAGCGAGATCCTGATCCTCGGTATCCCGATCAGCAACCTCCCGATCGCCGCTATGTTGATCAGCGAAACTCTGATCCTCGGTATCCCGATCAGCAACCTCCCGATCGCTGCTATCCGGATCAGCGAGACCTCGATCCTCGATATCCCGATCAGCAACGTTCTGATTCCCATTATCCCGATCAGCAACCTCCCGAACGCCGGTATCCCGATCATCCATATCTTGATAAGCAACATCCTGATCACCAGTATCCTCCTGATCTGAGAACAGAAGACCGAGGTCAATATGGGGATAATGTCCAAGATTCATATAGATATAGTGACTGGAGACGAGAAAACCCAACACACTATGGAAATAAGTTGGGGGATTTAGGCAGGCATTTAAATGATAAGCAAGGGCGCTATCAAGATGACGCCGGAAGTTCAGACTGGCGGAAAGATGACCAAAATCAATATGAAAATGAACACAGTGAAAGAGAACAGACTGGGTAGGTTTATATCGTATGTTAATAAATATAAATATGTACAATCATTCAGTGAAACAAACTCATAGTGTCAATAAATTATTTGAGTTTACTTCATTCTTCAGATTTTCAGCATTCTCAACAATGAGAATTTGCATTGTTTTGTAGAGATACTAATAAATTCCATCTTGTGCTTCTGCATGGATTGTTCTATGGTTTGTTTTTAGAATTAAATATGGTTGTATTATTATGATGTTATTCTAATATACTGTTCGTCAGTTATTGCTAAACACAAAACCAACACCAAAGCTCAACATTTTTCATTTGAATACTTTTCAGATTATAGTGACTGTATGTTTGAATTATTAAAACGTTTGAACTGTATTGTGGAAGTACAGATCTAGTTATTTTTGTATTACAGGAAATTTCATCACTGGAAGGTGGACAAGGTAGGTCAGAATAATTTCACTCCTAGTTTCAGATTAAACTCCTGTATTCCAAAGAATTGATGGAAAGTATTGAAAGGATCAGACCACAGCAATGAGGCCGATTCTCTGTTACAGGGTTGAGCAATGATTGCATAAATTGGTGCTCTAAAGCACTTAAAATCAATAAATAATTGAAATTATTGCCTGAAAGGGTGGTGGAATCAGATTCAATGATAACTTTCAAAAGGGAATTGGATATTTACTGAAAGGAAAAAAAGATATGCAAGGTATCTCTTTCACTAATTAGGTAGCTCTTTCAAAGAGCCGACACAGGCACGATGGGCCGAATGACATCCTCCTGTGCTGTAAGATTCTGTGATTCTATAAAGTCTCCAAAAACTGTTTATGAGGAAATCTCTTGGGGTTTATGCTTTTAGGTGCACCATGGTATCCATGCACAAGAGCATAATTTAAAGATTATGAGGGAAAATTTTAGGAGCAATACCAGTATATAGTTCTTTACACAAAGAAACCACTTGATGCTATTGTTGATATTGTAGAAGGATTAGATCAAATGAGCTGAAGGACCTTCCTCATTTGGAACTCTTGCAAGAAAAAAATCTGTTGTATGTCTCCCTACATCTATATGATTGACTATCTAGAATATAAAAAAGTTTTCACATTTTTAAGGCATATTTATGCCCATATATCCCCAGGCGCTCTGGGACGCTATCCTACATATATAAATGCAAGTTGTTGTTGTATGGGATAAATAATAAAGATGTGTGATGTACTCCACTTGTGACTTTGACCATAACTGAGACTTCTGAGTTTTCTTTCGTAGGATAATTATTCCAGGACAGAAAGTTTATCAGATGTAGCTGATATTAAAAGAAAGAAATTGTATGACTATTTGGTGAGTAATTTAGGTTTTATATAAGATGTATATTCATTTTGCTGATTAAAGTTAATAGTTATATCCAAATTGATAGTGAACTTTTAAAAAATAAGCAATTAACCTTTTTATTTTTCCAAGGTTAAATCAAAAAATGTTTTGTTTATGCATTTTGTCCAGTATATTAAGGTATGACTTTTTTTATTTAAGCAAAACTTTCAGATAAAAAGTGAAGATGATGCCAGCTTTGTTCTGAAAGTTACCAAGGCTTTCAAGGATGCAATAATCGGCTACTACAAACGGAAAGAAACTGTAAGTATTTTGAAATTGCTTTACTGTACGCAAGTTCATGGAACCAAGTGAAATGAATTGTGAAGATCTCTGTTGTTAAACAATTGTTAAGAATGAAAATTAATTAAGAATGAAAATTGAAACTTCATTAAAAGATTTTGTATTTTGTGGAATGTATTATAGATGCTGTTATGAAACAGCACAATTTTCCATCTGTTGAACATATCTGTCTTTGAACCTGCAATACAAATAACTACTTCTTAAGCCTTGGGGTTCTCATCATCTTCACACACAAACACACTGCCTCAGAGAAATCTGAATATCAGATATAAGCTGCAATATAAATTTGCAGCAAGTCTTTCGGAAATGTTGACTTTGCATTCAGTTGGAGTGTCATCTGGGTTTATAGCTTTAATTGACTGACTAGCAAGTAACAATTAGAGTAAAGTTACTTGCACTGAAAAATTAAGAATTCTGAAAATGTACTGTTGATGCACTTGATCATATCTGACTGATCACAGTTGGGGTATTACAGAGATAGTAGTTTGGGACGTCCTCCCGACGTGAAAAGCGCTATATCAAATGCAAGGATTATTATTATTATTATTAAAGGTAAGGTTCTTTTGCAGAGAAAGGTAATCAGGTGAGTCAGTACAGCTTGATTTGGGATATTTCTTGTTAATTTTGCCTTCGGTCATTTCTCAGTGATGCTGAGAAGAGGTAAAGAAGCCAAGGGGCGATTTAAAAAAAAAAGGCAATGAATAATCAATTTGAAGAATAAAAAATTACTTATCCCAAACTAAAGAAATTAAAATGTTTGATGTTTAGTGGTTCTACGTATCCCATCGGAACATAATTTAGCTAATCTCAAACCAGCTCACAGCAGACACTGCCCTTCAACATTGTCATTCTTACATGATGTTTGATGTAGAAAGTAAAAACAACAACAACAACAACAACAAGATTCCATTTATAGAGCGCCTTTCACGTCAGGAGGACGTCCCAAGGCGCTGCACAGTTGGGTCATGACCCGAGCAGGGGGGAAATGGTCAGGGTGAGGGAGGAAGGGAGGGAGAGAGGAGGGGGAAATGGTCAGGGTGAGGGGAGGGAAGGGAGGGAGCGAGGAGGAGGAAGAGAGTCGAGAGGGGAGCTGAAGGCACGGTCAAAGAGAAAGGTTTTGAGACCGGCCTTGAAGGAGGAAAGGGAGGAAGCAAGGCGAAGGCACTGGGGGATGGAGTTCCAGAGCCTCGGGGCTGAGAGGCTGAAGGCCCGACCACCGATAGTAGGGCGGTTGGGGCGGGGGACGTGGAGCAGACCGGAGCCAGAGGAACGGAGGGTACGGGCAGGTAGGTAGGGGGATAGTAGGTTGGAGAGGTAGGAGGGAGCAAGGCCGTGAATGGCCTTGTAGGTGAGGATGAGGATCTTGAAATCAATCCTCTGGGGGATGGGGAGCCAGTGGAGGCGAGCGAGGGTGGGAGTGATGTGGTCCCGAAGCCTGGTGCGGGACAGTACACGAGCTGCAGAGTTCTGAATGACCTGCAGCTTGTGGAGGGAGGTGGCGGGAAGGCCGGCGAGGAGAGAGTTCCCATAGTCCAGCCTTGAGGTGACAAAGGCGTGAACCAGGGTTTCAGCAGCGTGAGGGGTGAGGTAGTGCCGTAATCTGGCGATATTCCGGAGGTGATGGAAGGCGGTGCCAGTTGTGGTGCGGATGTGAGGGAGAAAGGACAGCTCAGGGTCGAACAAAACGCCGAGGTTCCTGACTGGCTTTGAGAGGTGGAGAGTGCAGCCTTGGATGCTGATGGTGTCAGCGCCTGAGGTGCGGAGGCGCTGACGTGAGCCAATCAGGAGGGCCTCGGTTTTTTGCACGTTGAGCTGAAGAAAGTTGTCTCTCGTCCAGGACTCGATGTCGGACAGGCAGGCTGTCAGGACATCGGTGGTCGTGGAGTTGAGAGTAGAGGAGGAAAGGTAGAGTTGGGTGTCATCCGCATACATGTGGAAGTTAACCCCATGTTTGCGGATGATGTCACCAAGGGGGAGCATATAGAGGGTGAAGAGGAGGGGACCGAGGACAGAGCCCTGAGGGACACCACATGAGACAGTACGGGGGGTGGAGGAGAAGCCATTCGTTGAGACGAAGTGAAGACGGTGAGAAAGGTACGACCTAAACCATTCAAGGACAGTGCCTTGAAAGTTGAGGTGGGAGGACAAGCGGTGGAGTAGGATAGTGTGGTCGACCGTATCGAATGCTGCCGATAGGTCGAGGAGGACGAGGAGACAGAGGGAGCCCTGGTCACAGATGGTCAGGATGTCATTGGTGACCTTGACCAGGGCAGTTTCTGTGCTATGAGCAGCACGGAAACCTGACTGAAGGGGTTCAAAAAGAGAATGGGTGGAGAGGAAAGAGCGCAGTTGGGAGGCGACAACTCTTTCCAAGACCTTGGAGAGAAAGGGGAGGTTGGAGATGGGCCGGTAGCTTGATAGCTGCGACGCATCAAGGGAGGGTTTTTTCAGGGTGGGCGTGATGATGGCAGTTTTTAATGGAATGGGGACAGAGCCAGAGGAGAGGGACAGGTTTATGATGTCAGTGATGTGTGGGGCAAGAAAATGGAGCTGGGAGATAAGGAGTGGAGTGGGGATGGGGTCAAGGGAGCAGGTGGTTGGTTTTAGGGATAGGATGAGTTCAGTGACAGAGGGTGGGGAAACGGGTACGAAGGTGTGTAGGGGAGGATGGGTAGGAGTCGGAGTGTGGGAGGGAAGGGGTGGGTGGTGGGTGGAAGTTGGAGGGGAAGTGACCGCGGAGCGGATTCCCTTGATCTTGGATTCAAGGAAATCCAGCATCTCCTCGCAGTGAAGGTTGGAGGAGATGACCTGCGCGGGGTGGCGGGGGGGACGGAGGAGTCGGGATGTGGTGGAAAAACGTCACACTGTTACAGCAGGGTGCTTTTTTAGAGTTCTGGGCTGAAGTAGATTTTTGGGCTAGAGTAGAGGGAACAACTTTGCTTTAAGTTTAGATGTGTGTTGATTGATACTACTGCTGGATCCCAAAAGGAGAAATGTATTTGATTTCATTTCCTTTCTGCAGCTCATTTTTAGACTTACTTTTTTTCAAAAAAAGAAATATTTTTTGCCTTTTAAAAAAAATCTAAAGGTAAAATTATTGTGAACATTAAGAATGATCCAACTCCTTTCCTGCTGCTTTAAGTCCCTATTTAAGGATAAAATTGTACAGATATTTTATTCAAAGTTGTTAAATAGGTTATGTAGAAAAGTGGAGGCATCAACACTGGTAATGAATAGACATTTTATCAAAATATTTTAATTAACTGTTTTGGCTTTCTCCCTTGCTTTTTCTTTCTTATTTAACAGATCAAAGACAGAATTTAAAAACTACATCCATTGTGAATAGAACTACACCAAGAAAGATCAACACTGTTCTTAGGATCCAGCAGGCTAAGGAGCCTCTCTTCAGTTATTTTTCAAGATAGGATCCTTCAAGTGAATATATTCACCATACCTTTAATCATAAACACATTTAGTATAGAAATCCATCAGTATTGAAGCTTTTCCTTGAATTCTTGGTTCCACAGACACTTCTGGACAGAAACTGAGCTATGCCTCAATCTCTGTCCTTGGGAATTACAATCTCAACACATAGAACCATGGCTAGCTGGCTACTGGAAGCATTTTAATGAACCCACCTCTTCTACACCTCTGGTTCTTTGACTTTTGGCTGGCTAGGAATTGTTTGTTCTTCATCTCATTTTTCTTTAACACAGATGTCAATTCTACTTAGCGCAATGTAGTGCCTGATATTGTTATCCAAGGTATTTGGTACAGACCTGGCTACTTTATTCTATAGTCTTGGCTGAACCATTGCTATGATGCAGAAATATTAGCATAATTCTTTCTGAGATTCTATCCAAATATCTCTTTTTTTTAAGGTTGGCCTTACCATGTAGAAACTGCTGCCATGCTTAAAACTATCTGAACCAGACTACGAGTTTATACATCTATAAATATGCCATCTTCAAATGGAAATGCCACTGTCTGGAATGGAATGTGCACTCTCTTTGGAGGGTAGTAACATGCTAATCTAATTCCAGAGAGTATTATGTGCAGGTTGGCAAGAGCTCAGATATATTTTGGGGTACTGCTGGAGTTTAACCAGCTAAAACCATACAGCATGCGATTGAAAGCACTGTCTGGCAATCTCCCTGCTGATTATCCACCCTTTCTATTCGGGCTTTAACTTGCAGGAATAAAAGGAGCTGAGGGGAAGAATCCATACTCCCAGTGCCTTTACAGGTCCAGCTAATAAGGCTGGCTGGTCTATCATCAGCAGTGCCCTGGAATACTGCACACCCATCTGGTATAGCTATAGAACTACTGAGACCACCACAGAGGATTGACTCGACTCTGACATTCTGTTGCCAAGCATGTCACCAAGGAGACTCTACACTTGCATTGCTCTCCTCCACCCCCACCCCTCCGCCCCTGAGGATTGTATCCCAAATATATATGGATTGCATAAAGTTACTAAAGTCTCTCTGGATAATGTAGCCAGTGCAAGTAATTAAGAGGCCTTTCAATGAATCATAAGTCTTAAACTTCTTTGCCAAAAAAGAAGTGGAGCACTGGTCATCTAATGGGTTCTGACTTGAAAGAAGGATGAGTACCTCTGCCATTCTTCCCAGAGTTTGTGGAAGATCCTTATCTGGATCTTGAGAGTAAGAAACCTGGAAAAGCATACATCTGTTGTGCCCCAGGTTTCAAGACACACACCAGCAAAATGACAGTCATGCTAATCATCAAGTTTAACTCAGCGTACTTCATTTTCCTGTTGTCAATTTTCCTGTTATACTAAAGAAACAAGGAAAATTGATCTCTGTACAGGCATTGCTATGTGACGAAAATTTATAGCTCTGGGCTTGTATCATGATGCATCAGCCTGAGCCTTTATTAGGACGCAGTGAAATCGCTGTGCGTTTCACAGAGTAGTCATTTGTTTCAGCAAGTTCAAGAAAAGCATTCTTTGAAAGATGTCTATTTAGTCTCAAGTTGCAAAGACACTGAGAGATCTATTCAAGTACTACTTTGATGTGCTTTGGGTAAGTTCTAACCAATGCAAATAATTTACCCATCACCATTCCTACCAATTTTGCTTACTTAAATTATCCTCTGTGGTACCTCGAGTGCACTCTATCGCCTAATTTTTTGATTTTGGGCTTCAGGACAAGAAAAATGCAACAACACAACTCCCTGGAAGGAAACCTAGAAGCTATAAATAACGTATGAATACTGGGTGCACTACCTTTTGGTTGTGTAATCAATTTTATTTTTTTTAAGAAAGGCATCAGTTACTTAACAGTTGCCTATCCTACTTACTCAAGAATATATTACATTAAATAATTTTCCTGTTGCAAACTGTTACAAAAGTTTGGACTTAGTGAAAAGATCAGATCCGTTTTGCACTTCACTTCAGGATTATATCAGTTAGTGACATACCAAAGCTCCATGCAGTTAAAAACTAGTTGTTTTTAGACTGTAAAGTGTGATCACTAAATATTGCTTCATATTTCTGATGACCCTTTAGACATTTTTCAATTGATTGTATCAATTTTGAAGAACAAAGGAATTGTTAGGTTTTCCATGCTTCTAGAGTTTTGTGTGTCATCAGAAAACATTTTCTAAGATTAAAGGCATTTGCATTTACATTGTCTATATGATTGGTTGTTGTTGACATATTCTCAAAAGTAACATCAGGATTTTGAACTTTAGGCTGCCACTCCAATGCAGTGCTGGAAGAGTGCTACATTGTTGGAAGTGCCATCTTTCACAATAAGATATTAAACTAAGATCTTTTCTGCCTGTTCACATTGAAATTACAAATCATGGCACTATTTGAAAAGAAAAGGGATTTCCTCCCTGTGACCTGGACAACAATCTCCCAGATCAAATCGATCACTCACATTGCTGTGTGAAAATTGCTGCTTTTGCCTTCAAAATACACAGTAACTATACATTAAATCCCATGAAGCTCTTTGAGATATCCTCCCAGTGGGAAAGTCGCTATGTTAAATATAAAGATTATTGTCTTTTTCAACATTTTATTCTGATCGGCAACTGGAAGAAGTTTGTTTTCCCACTAACTTAATATGTGGTTCAGCCAGGCTCTCAGTTCCAAATGGGATGATACAGTCAAATGTAAATGGCAGGAAATGCAAGATGTTGCTGGGTCCATGAAATAAGATATTGCATTATGTAGTATGGCCCATCATCGCTTTCATAATTTTGACGTTGATGATGTTGCTGAATGACGCATGTAGGACACCAGCTGAGAGCGCTTCCAGTGGTTGCCCGGATGTTGCTAATTCCAAGTGGGTATGAGAAGTTGCCCAGTCAGCACTAGAAGTCTGCCTATTTCCAGTATACTGGGAGTCCACAGTACACCTGTTTTCTATATAGAGGGGTGTTATAGTGATGAGTCCAACAATTAACTGTAAAGGACGCTTTTCTTCCAACTTGTTCATCAGTTGGAAGTGAAGGTTTTCACCTTCGTGCTTTGTTTCTTACGTGAATTTTGAAACGTGCACAAGAAAGGTTTGAACTGCAAATGGCCATTTGATCTCTTGTTTCCAGAAAACCTTACCTTTTTCATGTTACTCCATCGAGCTGTTTCTTAAGTGAGACCATTGCTCTGATCTCTACTACCCATCATTGTATCTTGTTTCAGCTGGCCCTGAGAAATAGTCGCCAGCTGAGGCAAGAGACAGCTGGTATAAGAAATACTTCCTTGTGTTTGCCCCAAAATTAACTTTCACAACCGTGGAAGCAGAAAATGTTGTTTGTTTCAAGAACAAATGACATAGATTTCTGTTAGAAAATAATATCTTGGAATACAACATATGGGACATGACATGTCAAGTGACTGCAAGGATGGTGGAAGGTGAACTGGGTGCACCTTGGTCGTTTTTTGCCTCGCAAATTCTTAGTTCTAATCTGAACCTCTACTCTCTTGGCCTCTGCCATGGTGCACCTGGGATTCTTAAGGCTGAAGAATCGTAGCCAATCTAGCCATTTTTATAGATCATCCCTGTTTTAACACTGAATCAAACTAGTTGCACTGTCTATGCCTGTGCAACTTCCTTAAGTTGTCACGTCAAGAACTGTACACAGTGCTCCAGATGCAGCCTGGCCCGAGTACTGTACAGTTTGAGCAGATTGACTTCTGGGGGATTTGAAATGAACTGATTTAGCAATAATAATTGCATTTAGCAATACAGTCCAACAACTTGTCTGCCTTGTTCATTTTAGCATTGGACATGGTGGGCAGTGAATCAACTAATGCTCATAGGTCGTTTTCAACTTTCCCCTTAGCAATTTGTATTTCTCTTAGTCTTACATTCTGTATGAATTAGCTTGTGTTTGTTTGTAGTGAGGTTCATTCATGTCTCTCTACATATGTCTGTTTGGACCTATATCTGTGTTTGCACTTGGATGCCAGTTATGGTCCTAATATGGAGAGTTTTGGAAGTTTTTCAAATCTATTTTTGAGTATTATACTCAAACTTCATTAATTATCATTGATGAATATAGCGAGAGAACCCATGAAGTGCTATTATACCTATGATTTTTGAGTCTAGCGTAATAGAAATTCTATATACTGTTTTCTTTTGAACTCTCCAGCTTATCTTGACAGCACCTATGAGGGAAAATGGTACTTCAAAGAAATACCCTTATTGCAAAGTTTTAATAAACAAACTAAAATGTTCATTCATTTTAGAGCTTAGCGGTTAGAACACTTGCCTCATAAGCAAGAGGACCTGGGTTCAATCCCTTGACAGGATGAAATGTTGTGTAAGTTTCCTTACTCCAATTCCTCTGTTTACAGAAAGTGGGAACCTGGTTGTTAGTCAATTGGCGGATCGCTTTCCCAGGGGTAATAATCTCTTTAAAAAATAATAATATGGTCACTCAATCCATGACTGTTTGTGGGACACTGCTGTGCGCAATTGGCTGCCGCGTTTTGCCACAAAATACACAGTCAATTCACTACAGAATATTCTGTGAAGCGCTCTGAGTCTCAAAGACGTGATAAAACGCTTTATAAAATGGAAGTATTATTATTTTAACCGTAGGATTTTATGTTTTTAGAATTCCACTAAGTGCGTCAAGTAGAGGAAAGTTACACTTTATTTATGAAGAATTGTCTTTCACCTTGAGAATCATTTTCTGATGGTCCAGCTTGCCTTCCTATCAAATGCTTTTCAAATAATTCTCCATTTTCAATTGCACTATTTGTAGGATGTCATGAGTGGAATGGAAAACTGGACATCTTTCTGCTTTCCTCTTTGGTCACTTTCCATGCCGTTTCTTGGATACTTAAGAGAATTTTTTTTTTTTTAAAAAGCAACCATTTAAAGGCTACAGTTCCTAAATTAGACATACGCTTGACATACACTTGAAAATTCAATTGCTGTGAAAGGTTTTGATTATTTCAATAAAAACAAGTCACAGATGTATTTTGTGTGCAATGGAGAAGCTGGACATCAAATCCATTTGGGATCTGACTTTGTTTTAATGCTTCTGTGAATGCTGTGATGTAATACTCTTCTTGGGATAAAGGTATTACATTGCATTGCCTTCGGATATCTTTCCGATGTGACAGGTGCTACATAAATGTAATTTTCTTGTTATTTTAAATGGATTACCAAGGTTACTTGAACTGTAAAAATAGCAGTGAACTTCATTTTCTGGTAGTTCAAAAATAATCGGTAATCTTAAACTATTGCTGGGTTTCCTTTTACATAAATGGATCTGAAATCTGTTTTATGAAACTGAACTGTAGTATCTGCATAATACTTGCTGTATTAAGTGGTATAATGAAAGGACCTGGGCATTGCCATTGAAAGATCTGCCAAGATCTAATACACTTTTGGAACAGGCTTGATGGGCTCAATGGTCTTCACCTGTTTCTGTTTTTCTATGTTCATATTGCGTTTCAAACATTTTTTCCTTGCCAACTTCAAAGGACCCACCAATGAGGTTATCACTGGATCAGGGAAATGCAAGATACTTCAAATCGCCGGATGACTATTCCAGATATAAACCTGATGTGTCAGCTGCAGATCTACAAGATTCAGAAAGCCGCAGAGGTAAATTAGATTTGAAAATTATCTGCAGCATCTGTTTACAGGTTTAACAAAAAACAGATTGCCTCTTGCACCTCATCTGTGCTTTTGCATTTATCAATCCAGCATTTTATCTGAATTTGTTCAATTTGGATTTCCAGCTGAGTGTGTTAAGTTTTCCTGTTGACGACATTTGAATGTAAGCTTCACCCGCCTCCTCCAGCCTGTGGCCCATTAAGATGCAAATTGCACTCTGCCGTTACATTGTTCTCAAAATAATGTCAATCCTTTCCAACAATTCCTGGAGTGGGTTCAGGCATGATTTCTTGAGAGCAGCACTCTCTTAATGTGGTTTCCTTCCTGTAACGAATGTATCATTTGCCGCCCCCATTCTTACCCGAACCAAACTCCGCTCCCCGATTACCCCAGTCCTTGCCAGACTGCACTGGCTGTTTGTCCCAGAGAGGATCGACTTCAAGATCCTCACCCTTGTCTTCAAATCCCTCCACTCCTCTGCAACCCCCCTACCTCCTTGACCTCTCTCCTCACAACATTGCCCGTTGTCTTCGCTGTACCGGGACTGGCCTCCTTTTTGTCCCCCGAGTCCTCCGCTCCACCATCGGCGGCTGTGCCTTCAGCCAATATGCCCGGAGGCTCTGGAACTCCCTTCCTCACTCCCTTCGCTCACACCCTCTCCTCACTTTCAGGTCGCGGCTGAAGACCTTTCTTTTCGACCGTGTCTTTGGTCACCTTCCTACCCCTCCCTGGTTCGGCCCCGGGTTCCGTTACTGTGAAGCACTCTGAGATGTCGTCCGGTGTGGAGGGCGCTATATAAATCCAAGTTGTTGTTGTATCATTGCAGACTCTCAAGAAAGTTCCAGACTGAGCTCACATGCAACTAGGCTGACTGAGGCAACTCCACAGTTTGCTTATACTTGCCAGTCTTAATGTTGCCATCTTAAATATCACTTGTGGGAAATGATTGTTCAGGTATCTGTGAACATTGTTCCTTGCAATCTCTGTTTATTCTTCTTGTGCAGTCACAACTTTTTAGTCCAAATCCCTAAAAGTTCCAACAGACAAAGGGTAGTTTGAGGGATGGTAACACCATTGGGGATAATCCAATTGCCTTTTCCCAATATCCTGGATACTTCTCATCAGCATGATTGAGAAAGAGCTTATCCAGAATTTATTCTTCTCAGTGAAGAAGACCAAGGTCATAATGCAGAGATGAATGTGGTAAAAGTTTAATGTCTTTTGACCACTTTAATGTACAAGTATTTTCAATCTTGAATTGGAACACCTGAGAATCCCAGACTGGGAGAAATTGATGCTGCGTGTGACCTTCTATACTCATTGAAGCACAGTTTTCTATACTTTGCAATGACTGTATTGATGGAACGTGTGGTTGTCCAGGAAGTTATACCTGGACAGATGGAGGAGGGTGGAGAAAAGCAGTTCCCTGGGAACCTATTCAATGATTTATTTTAAGGCTCTGTCAGCAGAATTCACTTCTGTCAGAATTTTCGCTGTCAAATACAAAGGAAAAGCCCATATTGTAAAGGCATCTTATAGCATTACAGTAATGTGATGCCTCTTAAATAATGGGTCTAAATTTTATTTGATACAGCATACTGACTGAAAATTGTTTCCCACTCGGTGGGAAAGATAAAATGTGGTTTCTAAGCACAATCTGCTTCAGACATGAAGAAACCACCTGGACAATATTATTCAGAGCTGAACTTGCAATTGTAGATATCAGTTGATGAGTGTAACTGGGGATATCAAACCACTTTGGCTAATTTTCCTACACTGCCATACTTGTGTGTTTTGATTCCCAAATGTTGCTCATAGCCTGATGACAGTTTGACCATTGGCAAGTGGCCTTTTGGAAGACGTCAAAGACTAATCTGCTGCACAGAGTTCTGAACCAATAAGGTTTTTGTAAAATGAGATGGCTTTGAGAAAATGGTTCCTTCTCTGTCAGCTCAAATACACTGAATTCAATCAAAGGCCCCTAAAAGAGAGAGATCCAGCAAAGTTGTGCTAGAAGCCAATACCGCTATTCAATTCCTTTAGACCTTAACGGATATTGCCACTTTCCTCTCTGTGATTGAAAACCAGTTTCGGTCCAGGAAACCATGATCATGAGACCGCGTTTGTCAAAGTCACAAACAGCATTCTCTCTAGCTGTGACCATGGCTCCCTCTGCCACCTCGTCCTCCTGGATCTCTCTGCTGCGTTCGACACCGTCGACCACACCATCCTCCTCCACCGCCTCTCCTCCCTCATCTACCTTAGTGGGACCGCATCGCATGGTTCGAGTCCTACTTAACCAACCACCTCCATTTCATCTCAGCAAATGGTTCTTGTCCCAACCCTGGCTGGTCACCTGCAGGGTACCCCAGGGCTCCATCTTTAGCCCTCTTCCTTATCTACATGCTCCCTCTGGACGATGTCACCCACAGACACGGTGTAAACTTTCACATGTATACGGATGACACACAAATGTACTTTGCCTCCTCCAGTACCAACTCCAGGTCTGCCAGTGTTCTATCAGCTTGTCTGGCAGATATCAAGGCTTGGATGAGTGTAAACTTCCTGAATATGGACAAGACAGAAGCCATACTCCTTGGCTCCTGTCAACGTCTTCACTCCTGTGGATCTAAACTCCTCAACCTTCCTAGGGTCTCCTGCAAACTCACCGAACCAGTGTGCAATTCAGGAGTCCGGTTTGATCCCCATTTCCTTCCTCTCCCACATCTGGTTCCTGACCAGGACTGCTGTCTTCCACCTCCACCAGGTTGCTCGCCTCCAATTGTACCTTACCCCAAATGCAGCCAAAACCCTTGTGCATGCGTTTGTCACCTCCTGCTTGGATTACTCCCAACACACTCCTCGCTGGTCTCTCCAGCTCCACCATTCACAAGATCCAGTTCATTCAAAACTGCTGCCCACATAATGACAGGGAACAAACTCCGTACTCATATCTCACCAGTTCTGTCAAGGGTCCACTGGCTCCCCATCACCGAACGGATCGACTTCAAGATCTTCACTCTCGTGTTCAAATACATTCACCATCTGGCACCTCCCTACCTCTCCGATCTCCTCCCTTCCCAATCCACCACCCGGCGGTTCTGCTCGACTGGCACCAGCATCCTACTCATCTTTCGCACCCTCCGCCCCACTATCAGAGGTCGTACTTTCAGCCACTACACTCCAAGACTCTAGAACACTCTTCCTCACTTCCTCCGCCTTGCCGTCTCTCTCCCCTCTTTCAAGTCCTGCCTGAAGACTTTCCTGTTCTACCGTGCTTACAGCCACCACACCCCTCCCCGCGGGTCGGAGTCAGGCTCCGCTACTGTTAGCGCTCTGAGACGCTACCCTGCGTGGAGGGTGCTATATAAGTGCAAATTGTTGTTATGATGGATTGCTTCTTGTATTTTGATGGGAGATAATGCAAATTTTAAGGCATCTTGCCTCTGATATTGTGGGGCTGGCCAAAGGATATGAAGAGAGCTTGGAAAGTTAATTAGACTTTCCATCATATCGAAATGGCTGAAGGGCCGAGCGGGTACAGGGTTTATTCCGGTATCTATTACTTGCCACGGAGACAGATGGATTTAAACCCATCTGGAATCTAGAGATGCAGAACAGATTCCTTGGAATGGAAATGTTCATTCAGGTCAATTTGGGCTTGTAACACCCTAAGACCACAACCTGAAGCCATGTATATGAGATGCAGGAAGTATCTTCTCTTTCAAATGGCCAAAATAAAGGCAATTTCTTTCATGTTGATGCACCGATTTCTTGTGTATCCTTAGCATGGCAACCTTTATCCAGTTCCATACACAGATGCTGCCCCTCATTGTGATCTTTCTAAATTATGCCAATGATCACTTGACAAGGCTTCCCTGTGAACAAAGTGATACCTGCAACTTCCCTGAGATATCATGTTCATTGATGCCTTTTGCCAGGTGGGCACAGGAATGGTCTCCTACATAACATTTAATTTTGTGTAACCTTTTGCGGCTCAGAATAGCTCAAGAGCATTATTACATAATTTTCCCAAAATTGTTTCAATCAGTCAAACTTTAGAAATCATTGGGTGGCAATTTCAGATTTCCTTTTTTTACTTATAGCTTTGATGCTTTATTAATTTTAAAGGATGATCTAACACTTTTGTTGGGTGTTTTTTGAGGGTCAGCTGGGTGTCTGACACATTCGGAAACCCATCAACATACTTAAGAGTATCCAAACCAAACTGAAAATTCCAGGCATTCCACCTAACCGTGGAAATCCCAGAGAGAGATTGTTGGAATGGAATGCACACTCTCTCCCTGGAGGGACATATCCTGCTTACCTAATTCTGGAAAGCATTCGGCACAGGTTGGCAAGAGCCAAGGCTTGGGGACCCCAGCGTGTGGTTGGGGTACTGCTAGAGTTTAACTAGATAAAACTGCATAGCCTGCCATTGACATTGCTCTCCGGCATGCCTTCCCAAGGCTTGTCAAGCTCGGATTACCCTATCCGTTGGGCTTTGTCTTGCAGGTTTAACAGGAGCTGAGTGGGATGATTCCCTGCCCTCAGTGACTGGTCTCCCTTCCAAGTCCTGCCAATGCCAGGGCACTGCTGATGACAGCACAGGCTGGTTGTGCTGTTATCAGCAGTGCCCGAGAATACTGTGTATCTGCCTGGCTCAGGGACCGAACTATCGAAACCGCCACAGAGGGCTATAGCTCGATTCCGACATTCCGTTGCCAAGTATGTCACCGTGGAGCCAGTTCATCTCCAAGGAGATCCCCCCACCCCACCCCTCCCTTGCCTCCCAAGAATAATAGTCACTCGTCCCTTGTTGATGCTGAAATTCCAATGAATATTTAATCTGAAGACTTGGAAATGCAAGTGAAATTGTCTTGTCCCTTTAAATGTGATGTTTCGGCATGAAGCCTGGCATTACAGTTCTTTCGGTATACCAAAATCTACTCAGCTTTTGTCTTGGTTTTCTGCATTCTGTATTTTCCAGGTGGCTGTGACTGGAAGCAAGATGCACCGGCAAATGTGAGACCTCCACTTGATCATCCATCATATGTTTCCTCTTCTACTTCTGCTAGGGATTATGCTTCCACTTCAAGCAGAGGCTATGAATATGATTTCAGATTTCAAATCCAGAAATAATGATTTTAACTGGGTCAAGAGCACAAACAATAGTTATTGTGGTCATTGAATGTAACCGGTTGGTGTATGAAGGTTAATGATTTGTTCGGAGTGGAAAGGTTCGAAACTGCCATATTCAATCTCCAAACGAACAAGGTGCCATGTAAACTGTCATTTGTATATTTACATATTCTCTAATTATCCTTTTAAATATACAGAAAGCCTTTTGTTTAAGCCTTTTAGAAATGGAAAGATCTGATCAGAGGATGTAATATTTATTACTGGTAGGTCACAAACTGTTCTTGTTGAGCTTTTTCCCAAATTATTCCAATATGCTACAGTGTAGTGATAAGGTATGCTGTGTTTCATTCTTTGTGGAGTATATTGTATTATACTGTTCTTATAGTGCCGATATACTCTGTAAAAACAAGAAGCAACAGAGAGAACCAAAGGAACAGAAGAGATGGAATGCTGTAGCATTTTGGTTAAGAGCACTCACCTCGCAAGCGAGAGGACCCGGGTTCAATTCCTGGGCAGGGCTAAACCTTAGGCAAGTTTCCTTATTTCACATGGCTCTGTTTACCTAGCAGTAAGTAGGTACCCAGTTGTTAGTCGATTGACAAATCGCTTTCTGGGGATTGTACCTCAAAAAAAAATTAGACACTTAATCCCCAACTGTTTGTGGGACACTCCTGTGCGCAATTGGCTGCCGTGTTTCACCCACAAAATACAGCCAATCCACTTTACAAAAATTCTGTAAAGCGCTTTGAGGCATTTCAACGACATGCTAAGGATTATTAATTAAATGACCCTAAATCTGCCTGCCTTTTTTAACTGGACTACAGGCAGATTATCTTGAAACTGATCCTTGTGGGCAAAAGATGGGCAAACCTTCCCCCCCGCCACCAACTATTTTCTTTTCAGAAAGTGGTAATTTATGCTTACACTATCAAGCCTTGATAGTGTCTCTGTGGTACTTGTACCAAAGCAGTAAATCTGAACCTGATCCCAAACTATTTTTGCCAAATAACCTGAGTATCCACACAGCAACAATTCGATTGCTGCCCTGGTTGAACTCTATTAATTCAGTACTCCACCGGTTGGTACATTTACTTGGTCATTAGGTTAGCAAAAAATGTAAATGCAGCAGGCATTAAATGGATAAAATGCACACCTACTGATATTAGCCATTACTCTGTATTGTCCAAAATAGAATACACTGCATTTGAAGCTTGAATGCATGTGTGTCTCTGTATATCTAATATATGTGTGTGCGTATATATATATATATATATATATACGCTTTTTTTTTTCCCTCAGACTTTCTCATTTGAGCCTGGTCTCTTGAATTTGTTGAAATGTTTCTCTATTCTTTTTGCTTAAAGCCAATGAAGGCTGTATAATTCGCATATGGGCAGTTTGAAAAAAGTTTTAAGTTATCCCCCAGTTAGTAAATAATACCTCAAGGAAGCAAACCACTCTCCTAAGAAGAAAGGGTGGCATTTTATACGTGTGGGCTTCAGGAGTAAGTACAGAATCTGTAGTCTCAAACTAATGTTCATAATTCTGTAGTTGTATTTCAAGCAGCTGCACTCTCAATGGATAGAGGTGATGCACCTAAAGCTGTTCATAGTATGGCTTTGCAACTGAACAAATAAGATTAATTCTAAACTCAACTTACAAGTAAAATCGATTCCCCTCTTTGACATTGGGGAGAGATGAGTATGAAAAAGGCATTTGTTGCTCGCTTGAACGTGACTAGATTGTAGCGGAGGTTAAGCAGTCATGATGCAAATTATAATACAACATAACTGGCTTTTGGGAAGATTGCCAGGTTACTTACTGTGTGGAACCTATAGAAAAAACCTTAAGTTTTCTTTTGAAAAAATAACAAGAGAAAAACACCCTTTGAAACTTGACAAAAATGAGCATGTCAGAGTTTGTCTTATTGTTTCTGATTAGCTTTTAATACTTTAGTACCTTTTAAATCCAATACATTGAAATAGAAGTGATCTTCAATGTTAATGGACTTGCTATCTGTGTTATCTTTTCACGTGTGAATGTTTAATTACCCCTTTCAAGTATTAAGTTTTCCTGATAGCGTTGAACTATTTTCTGAGAAATGTTTAAAATTCTGAAGTAGAATTGATAATTTTCTCCTTTTATGAATTAAAAGAACATAAAATTAAATTTTAGATTCTTTTAATTCATAAAAAATTAAATATTTCAAAAGTTTCTTCAAAACTCCAGATTTGAAACTGATTCATTACAGAGTTGGGCATTTTGTTTACTTGGTAAATTATACGATTGTTTTGACTTGAATGTGGTTAAATGCACATTGGAATGTTAATTGCCCAAGTCCTAAATTACATGCTTATGTTCTTTATTAACTGTAACCTCAATGAGTAAGGTTTCTAGTCCTGAATTTATGAGCTATGTTTGCTCAGTGCAGTGATCACCTGACGTTCTTGAGAAGACAAGTCATTTCTTGGAGCATATGACTACTGCAATGAGCATATCCATTATCATTGAGCTATGCTCCCAGTGACCAATGACTTCCATCAATGAATAGAAGACTGTTTTGCCCAATATTTCCTACATAGTATGGTCGAATCATTACCTATGTAATTGGGGAAACACCAATTAAATGGAAAACACCAATTTATTCCTTAGGATGATGAAAATTGATGGCCGAGGTTTCTTGGCTAACTGTCTTGTTATAGAAACCAGAAGCGGGCAAACTCCCTATTCCTCTTGGCTATGAAATGATACTGGAGACCGAGGAAGGGATAATATACAAAGTTTGGATGAAGTTAACAATTATTTGTTTGTGATTGGTAAAAGATTATATAGAATTGAACCGCAATTAAGGAGGAATATTTGTTTAAAATATTGCCTCCTCAAGAAACTGCACACACTCTTGTCTATCTCACATGCACTTCAGATTGGAAGATAACCAGAAGTAAGATATCTTTGACCTTGCAGCTTCAAAATTATACGACTGTTTCCAGCAACAGGATTTTTAGAGAATTACAGTACTTTTTCATGGAAAAATGATTGTATTTAAAATGGAAAAAAATACTTGATTATACAGCTGAATAGGTTAATTGATTTCATTTAAACGATATATTGGCAGTGTATTTGTGGAAATTACTTGTATTCTACCATACGAAAGCTTGGTAAGCTGACTCTCTGACTCTCTTCACTTGAGATACTGAAAATGCCAACTACGTATTTGGTATTCAGGGAGGGCTGATCATACAAGTTCTCTGAGTGGTTCAAAAATCTATTTCATCAATGCTTAAACATGGCTGTTACTTTTTAGTTTGTTGCTATAATAATAAAGGGCAAAAATAAACCCAAAATGCAACTTTTCTACAGGCCAGTATTTTTGCTTCTCTTCTTTGATTGCTTTTTGATGAGTAAACATGTTTAGAAGTTTTTCACCATTATGATGAGGTGGTGGGGGCGCGGGGGAGGAAAGTTGTGAAGCAACATTTCAGCTTATTCGTTTTCAATATCCTTCACATCACATTCTAGGATTGGAGTCTACAGTAATATAAAAATATTTAGGAATTTACACAAAGATAGACTCTTGGAAGATTAAAACTTTACCCTCATCTCCTCACCTGGCTATCAGATTTGGAGGACTCTTCTTCAAGGCTGTTTAGTTGTTGATAGAAGTTACTAGTTTTGTGTTTAGTCAGTCCATATATAGGAAGAAAGGAGAGGTGGTGGATATATCACAGCCATACTGATGCTGTTTTATATCATCTCTGTGGCAAGGTGAGGGGTGGACGATGACCGGGCGGAGGGGTGGGAGGTAGACACGAGACGGACTGAAAGAGTTTGCAATAGATGAGCAGTTTCTGCCTCTACAATACATAAATTTTGAGAACATTTATAGCTTCCCTGCTAACCACCAAGCAAACCTGTAAGCTTTAGGGTTTAGGTTCCCCAACTTAGATTCACTGCTTCTGGGGAGGCACATTTTTTATAATCCAAAATAGTTTCATCTGGCTCAGTGGCCAGACTTTGGTTTACCAACAACCAAAGTTACATTTATAATTATGTCGGCAGAACATCCCAAGGAGTTGGACAGTTAAAGTTTGCCCCCGTTTTTTAAAAAAAAATCCAATCCTCAATTCTTCACAAAAGAAGTGTAAACTTGGTTCAGTGAGTAGAACTTCCGCTTCCCGAGTCAGTTGTTATGGTTTCTATCTGCTGAAAGTACTTGAGTGTTGGCACAGCCCAGTCTAGGCTGATACTCCAATAGTGAGGGATGCAATTTTTGGGAGGGATAATCCTTTGGATAAACTGAAGTCCTGTCTGCTTCATGGCCCTTTTGCGGGATATTTTGTACAGAGTGGCTGTTGCATTTGTTTACTAGTCACAAAACAGTAGAATCCTTTGAAGCGTTTTGAGACATCTCAATGAAGTGAAAAGGCCCTATATCAAATCAGTGATTATTTTTTATTAATTAATTCCTTCTTGTGCTTGAGAACCTAACAATGCCCCCCCATTAACACTCACTAAAACCATGCTGCCTTCAATGAAACAAGTTTTATTTCCCTGCCTTGTTTCCCTGCACAAATGTAGGAAAAGAGTATGCAGTAATTGTTGGCCACTGAGCCCTGAAGTGCCCGGCTCCGACATTGTCTCACACATCTTCATTACAACAGCTTGACTATGCAAACTCACTACTTGTCGGCCTCCCCAACTCCTCCCTCCACAGGCTGAAGATCATCCAGAACTCTGCAGCCCTTGTCCTTTTCCGCACTAGGCTCCACGACCCTATAATAATAATAATAATCCTTGCATTTGATATAGCGCTTTTCACGTGGGGAGGATGTCCCAAAGCGCTTCACAGAACTATCACCTCCATCCTCGCCCAACTGCACTGGCTTCCCATCACACAGAGGATACAGTTCAAGATCCTGGGCCTCATCTTCAAAGCCCTCCACGGTCTTGCTCCCCCCTAACTCTACGACCTCTTAACCCCCTACCATCCTGTTCGCTCCCTCCGTTCAGCGGTCTCAGGCCTGCTTAACATCCCCCACCTTGCCCGCCCCACTATTGGCGGGCGGGCCTTCCTCCACTCTGCCCCCCCCTCTGGAACTCCATCCCCCAGTCCCTCTGCCTCACCCCCTCCCTCGCCACCTTCAAGACCCACCTCAAGACCCTCCTGCTTTCGATCTCCCTGCTTCCCCCCCCCCCCCCTCTCCACCCTCCCCCACTAGCGCCTTGGGACGTCCTCCCGACGTGAAAGGCGCTATACAAAGGTAATTTTGTTATTATTCAAACAGTGGATACAACAGCTGAACCAAAACAAGCATTGATGGATTTTGGCGCGAAACACGGCAGAGAAAGGGGTCACTTTCATTTATTGTCCTTGGAAAATGACCGACTCCTAAGGAGAGAAAATCAAAATACTTTACAAATGCACCAAACTGATTACTCCCACACACTGGATTTCATACACTGATTCTCAGCCTTCAGACAACTTTGGGAGCATTCCCTCCTTAGTTTAGAGCAAGTGGGACGACACACACTCTCCCAACTGAAATACAGAGAGGACAATTCCATGTTTAATCTGAATAACGTTCAGTTGTCTCATTTGGTTTTGACTTGGCAGTTCACCAGCCATGGGAGAGAGGAACAGGACTGATGGGCTGAGAGCTGCTGACAGTAGTTGGGTGAAGGGACTTTGCAGTAATAATAATAATCCTTGCATTTGATATAGCGCTTTTCACGTCGGGAGGACGTCCCAAAGCGCTTCACAGAACACAGAAGTGAATTGACTATATTTGTGGGCGAACGCGGCAGCCAATTGCGCACAGCAATGTCCCACAAACAGTCGTGGATTGTAAATGACCAATTTATTATTGTTTTGTTTTGGAGGGATTATTATTAGGCTCTGTGTGGAGTAAGGAAACTTGCCCAAGGTTTCGCCCTCTGCCTGGAATTGAACTCAGGTCTCTCACTTGCAAAGCGAGTGCTCTAACCACTGAGCTACAGGACTCCACGAAAAGGGAATGGACGTGTGTTGTGAAGCCTCCCCTCCCCTCATATCAAACAGCTTTCTGTACTCGCTCAGGAGGCTCACACGTGAAAAAACACAACCATTTCTGACCCACAAGCTCAGCCACCAACTATATATTTATGCCTCTCGTAAGAATTTTCTGCGCGTCGATAAAAAACGACTAAAAAATATCACTCCCACGCGGTCCCGCTCCACTGCTGGGATGAAAGACTACAATTCCCAGCAAGCTCAGCGCGCGAGGACCCCGGCTTCAACGCCGAGACGAAGCCACAAAGGTGTCCCAAGAGCAGAGTTTTCTGTGATCTTCCCGTGGTCAGTGAGGCGGGGGCGGGGCGGGGGGCCTGGGCTTCCCTCTGGCTCAAGCGCCTGCGACGAAATGAATTGGAAAATGTAGAGGAGAGAATTGCAGGCAGTGACCCGGAGGGCAGCCGTGGCGCGTGTGCCGCTCGCGAGGGAAGGTCCCCGACTCCAGGCGGCTCAGCCACAAGCGGCGGCGACCACAGCGGGGAAGGTACCCGCCGCCCCGGCCTCCCCCGCCCCGGCCTCTCCCCCCCCCCCCCCCGCCCCGGCCTCTCCCCCCCCCCCCCCGGCCTCCCCCCCCCCCGGCCTCCCCCCCCCCCCCCGGCCTCCCCCCCCCGCCCCGGCCCTCCCCCCCCCCCCGCCCCGGCCTCCCCCCCCCCCCCCGCCCCGGCCTCCCCCCCCCCCCCCCCGCCCCGGCCTCCCCCCCCCCCCCCCGCCCCGGCCTCCCCCCCCCCCCCCCCGCCCGGCCTCCCCCCCCCCCCGCCCCGGCCTCTCCCCCCCCCCCCCCCCCCCGCCCCGGCCTCCCCCCCCCCCCCCGCCCCGGCCTCTCCCCCCCCCCAGCCCCGGCCTCTCCCCCCCCCCAGCCCCGGCCTCTCCCCCCCCCCCCGCCCCGGCCTCCCCCCCCCCCCCCCGCCCCGGCCTCCCCCCCCCCCAGCCCCGGCCTCTCCCCCCCCCCCCCCCCGCCCCGGCCTCCCCCCCCCCCCAGCCCCGGCCTCTCCCCCCCCCCCCCAGCCCCGGCCTCTCCCCCCCCCCAGCCCCGGCCTCCCCCCCCCCAGCCCCGGCCTCCCCCCCCCCCCCAGCCCCGGCCTCTCCCCCCCCCCCCCGCCCCGGCCTCCCCCCCCCCCCGCCCCGGCCTCTCCCCCCCCCCCCCCCGGCCCTCCCCCCCCCCCGCCCGGCCTCCCCCCCCCCCCCAGCCCCGGCCTCTCCCCCCCCCCCCCCCCGCCCCGGCCTCTCCCCCCCCCCCCCCGCCCCGGCCTCTCCCCCCCCCCCCCCGCCCCGGCCTCTCCCCCCCCCCCGCCCCGGCCTCTCCCCCCCCCCCCCGCCCCAGCCCCGGCCTCTTCCCCCCCCCCAGCCCCGGCCTCCCCCCCTCCCAGCCCCGGCCTCCCCCCCAGCAGCGGGGAGGGTACCCACAGCCCCGGCCTCTCCCTCTCCCGCTTGTTGGTGCCCCCCATGAAGCGCGGTCTGGATGCCCATTCACTATTTATTGCAGTGCATTAACTGACTGTCCCCTTTTTTCACCTCCACAAATAACTACACTTTAAACCAGAAAGTAAATCCTGTGAAAGCGCTTTGAGGAGTCTGGAGAACACTTATATAGCGAACTCCACGTGAGGCCGTGACTCTGAGCGCTTAAGCCACGGAGAGAGGGGCGGTGACTGTAAGCATAGTCAAAGAGGACGGTCTTCAGGTGTGATCTGGAGACCCTCACCCTGTTCTCACAGTGGTGGTGGTGCTTATACTTCCATTTGAAATTACTTTACCAACCCCTCCGCCTTGCCCCAAGGGGTTGGTAAAGTAATTTCAAATGGAAGTATAAGCACCACCACCACTGTGAGAACAGGGTGAGGGTCTCCAGTTTGACCAGATATCATTATGGCCGACAGTCCTCTGTAGTAGCTACGCCCGTGAGTCCGGCCAGTGCCAGACCTACCCGAGTGTGAGCGGCCATCATGTTGCTCAGGAATGAGAAACGTGCCCCCATTTGTCCTGGGGCATTGAGACCAATCTGCCCCAAAACGTTGGCAGTGAATTTAAGAATGATTGTGTATTACAGAGTAAGGCAAAATGAGTAAGAAAAGAAAACGACAGGACGACTTTCAAAAGGTGAAGTTAAAAGTTGGTAAAAAGAAACCAAAATCAGACAATGCAACCAACACCAACTTTAAAACACAAGCTGTTCATGTTCCGGAGCAACTCAAGACTGATGCCTCTTTGCCAACGAATAATCGCAAACTCAATGTTAAGGTAAGGCCTATTCTTGGTCTGTTGCCAGACCAAACAAGGTAGTAAATGTACTATTCATTCTTGCCATTTTCTAAGGTTTTATTTTCCAAGAAGCATGGGTCTGCAAGAAATATAGTTATTTTTTGGAACCTGTGCTAGTTTTGATGTGAGTTAACTGTTATATTCAGATTTTCATTAAAGAGAGGAATGGACAAAGTATATTCATCGAAAATATGTAGGCAACATTTTTTGATTGTTTATTACATATTGTTACAACTTAGTTTTGTAGAGGTAGAACAGAGTGGCTGAATATCACCCACTGATAGTGGGTAAGAGTGAGTGGGGGACATAAAGCAGGCTGGTGTTTGCTAAAGAGGAGGGAGTCATAGAATAATAGAATATTACAGTACAGAAGGAGGTCATTTGGCCCATTGTCCCTGTGCCGGCTCTTTGGAAGAGCTACCAATCGGTCCCACTGCCCTGTTCTTTCCCCATATCCTTACAATTTTTTCCTCTTGAAGTACCTCTTCATCTGGCACTGTTCTTTCCGCCCTCAAAACAGCCACTATCACCCCTATCTTGAAGAAACCTTCCCATGACCCATCACAGCTATCCAGCTACCGGCCCATCTCAAACCTCCCGTTCCTATCCAAGGTCCTTGAGAGAGCCGTTGCCTCCAAGCTTCGCTCTTTCCTCTCCTCCCACTCCCTCCATGAACCCCTCCAATTGGATTTCTGTGCTGCCCACAGCACGGAAACTGCTCTGGTCAAGGTCACAAACGACATCCTGACCATGTGTGACCAGGGCTCCCGCTGCCTTCTTGTCCTCCTCAATCTCTCTGCTGCCTTTCACACCATGGACCACTCAATCCTCCTCCACTGCCTCTCCTCCCACCTCAGCCTTCAAGGTTCTGACCTTGACTCGTTCAGGTCCTACCTTTCACACCGCCTCCACTTCGTCACGTCTTCTCCTCCAGCCCCCGAACTGTCTTGTGCGGTGTTCCTCAGGGCTCTGTTCTCGGTCCCCTCCTCTTCACCCTCTACATGCTCCCCCTTGGTGACATCATCTGCAAACATTTGGAGTCCTGCAGCTCAGTGGTTAGAGCACTCGCTTTGCAAGTGAGAGACCTGAGTTCAATTCCAGGCAGAGGGCGAAACCTTGGGCAAGTTTCCTTACTCCACACAGACCTAATAATAATCCCTCCAAAAAACAAAACAATAATAAATTGGTCATTTTCAATCTACGACTGCTTGTGGGGCATTGCTGTGCGCAATTGGCTGCCGCGTTCGCCCACAAATATACAGTCAGTTCACTTTACAGTTATTCTGTGAAGCGCTTTGAGACGTCTAGAAGACGTGAAAAGTGCTAAATCAAATGCAAGGATTATTATTATTATAACATGGGGTAAATTTCCACATGTATGTGGATGACACCCAACTCTATCTCTCTGCCTCCGCTCTAAACTCCAGGACTACTGGCGTCCTGACCGACTGCCTGTCCGACATCAAGTCCTGAACGAGGGACAACTTTCTTCAACTCAATGTCAGCAAGACTGAGGCCCTCCTGATTGGCTCGCGCCAGTGCCTCCGCACCTCAGGTGCTGGCAGCATCAGCCTCCACGGCTGCACACTCAACCTCAATAACATCTCTATCAACCTGTCCTGTCACCTTCAAAGACTTGTGTGTATAAACCCCTAGATCTCTTTGCTTCTGAACCCCCTTTAAAACTGTACCATTTATTGTATATTGCCCTCCTCATTCTTCCTCCCAAAATACATCACCTCACACTTTTCTGCATTAAACTTAATCTGCCATGTGTCTGCCCATTTGACCAGTTTGTCTTTGACCGACCCTTGGGGAACACCACTGTATCCTTCCCTCCAATCTGAAAAACAACCATTCACCACTACCCTCTGCTTTCTGTCTCACAGCCAATTTCTTATCCATGCTGCCATTGTCCCTTTTATCCCATGGGCTTCAGCTTTGCTAACTAGTCTTATGTGGCCCCTTATCAAATGCCTTCTGGAAGTCCATATACAATACATCAACTGCACCTCCTTCATCAATCCTCTCTGTTATATCATCTAAGAATGTAAGAAATGCTAGACGAAAAAAGACCAAGGTCCATGTGGTTTGCCTTCCACTTTCCTGGCGGTCGCATGCACATATGCCCTGAAGTACCTATGTACTATATTCCATAATGTTATTTCCTAAAAAAAAACTATTGAATCTGTAAAGACCTCATTTGAGTTTGTCAGACATGATTTGTCTGGACTGTCATTAATTAAAATTTGTGTTGACTGTCATTAATTAACTTCTATTTTTCCAAATGAAATTTAATTTTGTCCTGAATTATGATCCCTAGAGGATTCCCCACCATCGATATTAGGTTGACTGGCCTGTGGTTACCAGATATATCCTCTCCCTTTTTTTGAACAGAGATGTAAAATTTGCAACTCTCCAGTCCTCAGGGACTATTCCCATATCCAAGGAGGATTGAAGCCTCCGCTATTTCCACCCTAACTTCCCTCCTGGACTTGTATGAAAATATAAACTTGTGGACTGATGCCTCTATGTCAGAGCAATCTGGCTTGGCTGTCAATCCTCTTAACTGGACCAGCATCACAAGAGCTGCTTCCACTGACCGATGCTAAAGAGGAGGGAGTGACCAAGGCAGTGGGGTCGCAGGGTGAGGTGAGGCCATTGAGACATTTGAAAGTGAGGTTGAAAATTTTGAATTTGGTTTGCTGGGGTTACAAGATTAGGTATCTCAAGAAATTTATCCTGGTAGCTAAGCGCACAGAAAACTGTGGAGAAATTGGACTGGGATAATGAGGATATAATACAACAGTGAATTACATTGAGACGTCTTCTCGCTTCATAGAATATACTGTAAAGTGAATTGACTATATGTGGGTGAAACGCTATAGCCAATTGCGCACAGCAATGTCCCACAACAGTCGTGGATTGAGTGACCAAATTGTTTTTTTTCTTGAGGGATTATTGTCAGGCATGTGGAGTAAGGAAACTTGCCCAAGGTTTCACCTTGCCGGGATTTGAACCCAGGTCTCTTGCTTGCAAGGCAAATGCTCTAATCCTTCAGGGCCATGCATGAGATAGACAACCAGTTGACAGACTGTGGGTGAGAGTTCCTCAGGTAGTTGAAAGACTGAAGTTTCATTAACATTACCTCCAGCTTTTTGGATTGATATAGAATTTACAGGTGTAACAGTTTAAATCAGTGGAGTGGGTATGTCCATCCAGGTCACTATGCATTTACTATGGAGCTTTTCATCAAATGTAAAACACAAGTTTACACTTGAGAAATTAACTTTTTGTTTTTCTTTTAATAGGATCTGCTGACACAGTTGCACCATTATAATTCAGGGGTTAAACAGAGTGCACTGACTGGCCTGAAGGACCTCGTCTCCCAGCACCCATCAGTAATTACCTCTCATCTCTCCAATATTCTCAGTGATGTCTCAGCTGTGTTCACAGATAAAGACCCCACTGTGAGGGCAGCAGCTGTCCGCCTTTTACACTTCCTTGCTCCCAGAATTTCTGGTGAACAAATGGCACCCTTTTATCCCCTAGTTAGTGCACACCTTTCAAGTGCAATGACTCACATAGTGGAAGGCATACAGGAGGATGCATTGAAGGTGCTGGACGTCCTGTTGGAACATTACCCAGAGTTGCTCACTGAGAGTAGTAACGTGCTGCTGAAGAATTTTGTGGAGCTCATTTCACACCAGAAGTTTTCGAAAGAAATGAAAGCTGGAGGGAAGACATCGTCTTGGATTCTGTCCATTAATCCAAATCGCCATATCACCTCTCAGCAGTGGAGGCTTAACGTCCTGACCAGGTTGAAAAAGTTCCTGCAGACAGTGGTTGAGGGCTTAAGCCACTCGGTGGAGAATGAAGCTATTTTTGAGACGGATGACAGAACTGGGTCTGAATACATGTCCACTTTAGAAGTGAATTGGGAGCAGTATATAAATGGACAACAGCAAATACAGTTGTATGAGCACTCTGGGTCCCAACCTTGCATAGCAGCTCCATTCAGGCTCAGGTAAGAAATGCTGAGCAAACTTATGTATTTTGGTTGATCATTTGCGCCAAAACATAGTATACTGTAAAAAAAACACAGGAAGTATACTGGCAATATTATACACATCACAGTAGTAGTTCTGCAATCTTCTGCTACCAGCCTGTGCCTCCCCCTTGGTGACATCATCCGCAGACGTGGGTCAACTTCCACATGTATGCGGATGACACCCAACTCTATCTGCCTCCACCCTCAACTCCAGGACCACTGCTGTTCTGACAGAATGTCTGTCGGACATCAAATCCTGGACGAGGGCAAATTTCCTACAGTTGAATGTGAACAAGACTGAGGCCCTCCTGATTGGCTCGCGCCAGCGCCTCAGCACCTCAGGCTCTGATAAGATCAACCTCCATGGTTGCACACCAACTCACCAGCCAGTCAGGAGCCCAGGTGTCTTGTTCGACCCTCAACTGTCTTTTCTTCCCCACATTCAAGCCATGACCCGCTCTGCCTTCCCTCACCTCCGTAACATTGCCCGACTCTGCCACTACCTCACCCCTCAGGCCGCTGAAACTCTTGTTCATGCCTTCATCACCTCCAGGCTCGACTATGCAAATGCCCTGGTTGTCGGCCTTCCTAACTCCTCCCTCCACAGGTTGCAGATAATCCACAACTCTGCAGCCCATGTCCTCTCCTGCACCAAACTCTGTGAGCCCATCTCCCCCACTCTCGCCCGACTCCACTGGTTCCCTATCCTTCAGAGGATCCAGTTCAAGATCCTGTCCTCACCTACAAAGCCCTCCATGGCCTCGCCCCACTCTACCTCTGTGACCTCCTAAGCTCCTACCAACCCGACCGTTCCCTCCGCTCAGCTCCACATACCCCAACCCACCCGCCCCACCTTTGGTGGGAGAGCCTTCAGCCACTCTACGCCAACCTTTGGAATTCCATCCCGCCTCACCCCCTCCTTAACCTCCTTCAATTCCCACCTCAAGACCCTCCCCTTCGACCATGTCATCGGCCATCCCCCTTCTCCTCCCCTGACGCCAGCTCGGGTCTGAAATGCTGTACACTGTCCAGCACCTTGGGAAGTCCTCCTGACGTGAAAGGCACTATACAAATGTAATGTTGTTGTTGTTTACATCATTGTATGAATAATTTTACATTACCACTAGTTGATAAATGCAGCTCTGATCTTCCCCGTGCTCACACTTATGCTTGGTGGTCTGAAAGGATGAGATCAAATGGCCTGAAGGCCTTTAACGGACTGGTTTTCCTAATTTTAATGCCTTTTATTAATACATTTCTAAATTTTTTCCCTTTTTTCACCCAAGATGTATTACTTAAAATACAATCTTTTTTCACTCATTAAGAGTGGGCTCAGATAACTTATTGCGAATTAGATTACACTTGTTTTATAAACAAATGATTTTGCCTCACCCTCCTTCAACCTCACTGACTAGCTGCTCGCTTCATTCAGCAAGCACCAGTCTGCTTAGTGTCCCCCACCCTATCCACTCTATTATCGGTGGTCAATTTTAGCCATTATGTCCCTGTTCTCTGGAACTCCCAGCTTTGAGTCCCTCCAATTTGCTTCCTCCCTCTTTCAAGGTACGTCTCAAACCGTAGTTCTTTAACTGCATTTTCGGTCCTCTTTCACCTTCCCCGCCTCCCTAGGATCCCATTCCCAGCTCTGGTGCTCAAACAGCGCTGTGAAGCACTTTGAGACATCCTCCTGATGTGAAAGACGCTATATAAATGTAAATTGTATTTGTAGAGAGAGAAACCCAGGATGGCACTGGTCCGTCTATAGGGCAAATGTACTCAGGTCACATATTAAATAAATGCATATTATGGAAAAAAGAGATAAGGAAATACAGGACTATGAAGGGAGGCTAGGAGAGAGGGATTAGGATGGGTGGAGGCTCGTGGAGTATAAACACCAGCACAGACTGGTTGGGCTGAATTCATCTTTTCCTCCACACTAATGTGCACCAGGTTCGGTGCCCAAGTACTGAGAGAGCTTTAAGAAGACCTGATGTGTGAATGTGCTGTATAAATGTAAATTGTTGTTGAAGTGACTTCACTAGTTACCTGATGATCCAGTAAACCGTGATTTTTTGCACTTCATTTTAGCATGGGGCCTGAGACGTTGTACCTGGATGACCATGTTATAATGTTGTATGTTGTATATTGATCATTCTGTGCAGCATACTATACTGGAATGTATATCCCTTCCTGATAATGTTTTTAAAATTACTATACCCAGATCACTTCTAGGCATTGGTGTTGGTACAGAAGATGGTTTATCCTCCATAGAGAATCTAAAGGCCTTCATTAAGACGTTGGTCCCTCTACTTTTGGACTGTTGGGTGGAAGCTTCTCCTTCTCAGCTTGTTGCCCCCATCCCTGGTAACCTGCTTGAGCCTGAAGCCATGATGCTCATGATGCAGGTTCTCAGTATTATCCAACTCTTGTGGAAGCTGATGCACCAACAGGACGAGACTCAGAAATTGGTAAGGAAGGTACTCCTTTGATTTTATATTGAGGCTAACATACTACAAATTTTAGGAAAAGACAGAAATGCTTTCTTCATATAAAAACAAATTGGGTGTGCGGAAGGCCTAAAGAAAATTAAAATTTGATGGAAATTGTATCACATACGGAAGAGAGTAAATGACAACAGCCTGAACTCCGAAACATTGCTCGACTCTGTCACTACCTGTTGGGTCGCTGAGACCCTCATCAGTGACTGCTCTGCTCATTGGACTCCCCAGCTATTCCCTATACAATCTCCAGCTTGTGTGAGTAAGAGCAGGGAGTGCAGTGAGCAGATCATGTAGTCAAGCCCGGACGTGGTAACTTGGCAGTCATTGTCCTCTCCCTCCAATCGCTCTGCGAATCTAATACCCCCATCTTCACCCTGCTTCACTGGCTCCCCATTCTCCAGCGGATTGAATCAAGATCCTTGTTCTTACGTTCAAATCCCTCTATAGTCTCGCTCTACCTTACCTCTGTTGGCTCCCATCACTCAGCAAGCACTAGCATGCTTCATGTCCCCTGCTCTATTTGCCCCACCATTGGCTAACGATGTTTCATGCATTCTGCTCCCACTGTCTGGAACTCCATCCTGGAGTTTCTTCAAATTGTTTCAAGGCACATCTCAAAACATACCTCTTTGACATGCTTTTGGTCATCTTTCCCCTCTCCATCCGCTTTGGCTTCCATCCCCTGCTCAGCTTCCAGTAATGCGGTGCTCTTTGAGATATCCTCCCTGCGTGTTAAGGAGCTATATAAGTGTAAATTGAATTGCAAAGACCTATTCCATCAGTTAGAGCAGAAAGCAAAAATTATTGAATCTCATATTGAAGAATTAAAATAATACCATTCAATAGTTCAGAAAGGACTTTATCTGTGAAATGCCAACTGGAGACATTCTAGTATGTTGGGGAAGAAACTCGTATCTCTTGGCCAGTTTTGGGAAGCAGTGGCAAAATTCTGAGAGCAGGATGCATCCTGTCTTCATAGCAACAGAAATCTGAAAGCCAAAAGTACTGGGTTTGAAAAAAATATTTTTAGTTGAATGAACCATGGACAGTTACTGTGATGTCCTCCCGATTTGAAAGGCACTTTGAATCAGGCAGGGAGCTGATCTGAATCTGCCTAACTAACCACAGCTGTAGTTAGATACACAGGTTATTTCAAGATTGTATGCCCCTATGGCTCACAAGTAAGTTCAAAAAGCTGCCCTCCCCCTATTCCACTGAATGAAGCCAGGCTGAGATGCACATTTCAGCTCCCTATAACCAATGACCAATAAAGCCACTTTTTAATTTATGAGTTAAAAAGAGTAAAAAGTAGAATTTTTTTACCTATCAACTTCACCAAAACCCTTGTATATTTATTACTACTTTAAAGGGCTCTACCCAAAACTGCCTTTGCTAAACAGCATGTCTTTACATTAATTTTATTTTCTATCAGATAATAGTTTGAACCTATCATTTCAAACACGGGTATGGGATCATTTTTTTCTGAAGCAACTGATTTTATACATTTTAATATCTATTAATAATAAATTGCACGTTAATGATTGGGATTTGTGATGGCATAGGAAAAATATGAACTTAAGCATGTTTTTTTTTTCTTGAAGTTCATTGTTTAGAAATTGAGTCTTTTTTCCCCACAAAGAACAACTTCATTATATACTTTTGTTTCTATGTATGATTTTTCTGTGTAATCAAAGTAATATCCATGATAGAGCGAAGATGTAAATGGAATAAACTGTATCCACTTATTCTGTGTTTTCCAGGAGTCCTGGCTTCGAAATCAGTATCTCAATGATTTTAAAAATCATTTCATTAGAAATTTTCCATACTCTGTAATGGAGACTTTGAAACCAAAAAAGAAAGATGGAACTAAAAAGTAAGTAAATAATGGTACTCTAATGGATTAAAACTGTAGATAACATAAAAGTGACTAAAGGGCTTCGATGGTATAAGTGTTTGAAAATTGTCCTTTCACCTTTGGAACAAAACAATTTGTGCTTTTGATGTAGCATAACATCTGGAAGTGTTCTATTGAGATGGATGGAAAACTTGATCATGGGAGGGTGGTGGAGAGATAGGTAGGAGGTTGATGACTGAGGGATTTGTAGAATGAAGAAGTAGCCATTTGTGGGAGTAGGGTGAGAACATGGGTTCAGGTTGTGAGGCAACCTTGGTGAGGGAATCCTGTTCATTGGCTACCTCATTCACCTACATATTTATTTGCATTCACTACATTTTACAGTAAATCTTGTGAAATGTTTTGCGATGCCCTCTTGATGTGAAAGGTGTTAGAGCAAATGAAAGATTATTATTAAAAGGGTTTAGGCAGTGGTAATACAAGTTTCAACAGGACTGTTGTCTACATAACAAAACTGCCAAGAATGTCCAATAGTTGTCTCATTTGAGACGCCACACACTCGAGTACATAGCGAGAGTAGGAAATAGGAATATTATGGTGAAGCAGGAATTATAACAGTTTGAGAGTAAAAGATGTAGAAATTAATCTATCTGTTCTACATTTTACCCGGAAATGCTTGATAATAATAATGATCCTTGTATTTGATCACTTCGCTGAGACATCTCAAAGCGCTTCCCTGGATATATTGTAAAGTGAATTGACTGTATATTTTGTGGGTGATGCTAATATTGGGTGAAATTTGGGTTCAATTGCCCAGCACTGACAACTCTTTGATAGTTACAAATTCATTAAAATTACATCTTATCTAAAGCAAATACATGGTGGACAGAATGAAGTTCATACTTCCATTGCAACACCATTATAACTATAACAGGCTGCTGCATTTCAGCACATGCATCACTTAAGTCGTGCTTCACTTATGTTTGTACCCCACAACATGTAATAAACAACAAATATTGTTCCCATCCATCTCTGGGAAAGCCACTTTGCTTCAGTTATTTATTTTACTAAAATATAAAGCTATTGGAAAATAATGATACTGAAACAGAATAGCTGCTATTTTGAGTTTGCAGCTAAGTAGAATAAATACATCAGGTTTGTTTCAATAGCAAATGTGCATTTGTGTTTTTCATTAAATCTGATCTGTTGGCAACCAAACAATATACAGTAATAGGTTCAGATTTCTGAGGGATGACTGTTTGCAGATGGTCAGCTTATACACTTCACTGAATAAGTATTTTGAATAAAGAACTCAGTCATCAGGATAGCTTTATGACGGTATTATTAATCCTAACATACTCAAGCAATGAAACAAAATTTATAATAATAATCCTTGCATTTGATTTAGCTCTTTTCACGTCTGGAGGACATCACAAGCACTTTGTTGGATTTACTGTAAAATGTAGTGACTATTTTGTAGATAACCGCAGCAGACAATTTGCACACTAAATGTTCAATTTAACTGAAAATAAACATAACAAAAGTTTAGCACCCTCTGCATTTTTTTTCTTCTATTAGCTTTTCCTTAAGACATTATTTCCCTTTTTTTTCTAGCTATTTCAATACATTTTAACCTATTTCTAATTTTAAAATCTGTGTGGCCTTTCTTTTCTGCTGTACCCTATTGAACATTTTGAAAAGTAGGAGCTTTCTCCTAATTTCATTATGTACAGCTTTTCAGCCAGCCTTTGAGATGTGGGGGGAGGGGTGTGTGTGGCAGAGGTAAGCGGGGGCTCCTTGTTGCTGAGCTGGCTCCAAGCTGATGTACTTTGCAATGGAATCAAGTCAGTCCTCTGTGGCGGACTTGGTAGCCTTGTTCCTAGCCAGGAAAATTTCCTCTGGGACACTGCTGATAACAAACCAGTCATCCTGACTTATCGACAGGACTTCGAGAAGCAGTCCTGGACTGGGAGCAAGGTTGCTTCCCACTCAGCTTCTGTTAACTCTGCAAGTCAGAGCCATGATAGGTAAGGGTGGTCCTGGCTGGACAAGCAGCATGAATCTAGCCAGACAGTGCTCTCGATGATGAGCTGAACATTTTTTGGTTAAAATCCAGCAGTACCTCAACAAACCTTTAGTTTCCCCAACCGTTGGCTCGTGTCAGCCTGCACCTAATATTGAGAGTCTTGACTGAAGGGCTCCAGGACGTCACCAACTTTTGCATCCCGGGGCCTCCACCGCACACACACACAGGCACACACACACACAGAGAAAGAGACAGACAGAAAGACACACACACACAGAAAGACACACACACATGCACACACAGGGAAAGAGACACACACACACAGACAGAGAGAAAGAGACACACACAGACAGAAAGAGACACACACACACAGACAGAGAAAGAGACACACACAGACAGACAGAGAGAAAGACACACACACAGACAGACAGAGAGAAAGAGACACACGCACACAGAAAGAGACACACACACACAGAAAGACACACACACACACAGAGAAAGAGACATACACAGACAGAGAGAAAGAGACACACACACACAGACAGAGAGAAAGAGACACACACACACAGACAGAGAGAAAGAGACACACACAAACAGAGAAAGAGCCACACACAGACAGAGAGAAAGAAACACATACACAGACACACACAGGGACGCGAACACTCACAGATAGAGGCACACACACTCACATAGCCAGAGAGACGGACACTCACATAGTCAGAGAGAGTCATACACACACAGACAGAGACACAGAGAGAGACACACAGACAGACAGACAGACAGAGAGAAAGACACACACACAGACAGACAGAGAGAAAGAGACACACGCACACAGAAAGAGACACACACACACAGAAAGACACACACACACACAGAGAAAGAGACATACACAGACAGAGAGAAAGAGACACACACACACAGACAGAGAGAAAGAGACACACACACACAGACAGAGAGAAAGAGACACACACAAACAGAGAAAGAGCCACACACAGACAGAGAGAAAGAAACACATACACAGACACACACAGGGACGCGAACACTCACAGATAGAGGCACACACACTCACATAGCCAGAGAGACGGACACTCACATAGTCAGAGAGAGACATACACACACAGACAGAGACACAGAGAGAGACACACAGACAGACAGACAGAGACACACACACACATACAAACAGACAGAGGAGAAGGACACACAGACAATCTCAACAGAGGGACCTCGGAGTGGAATGAAGCCCATTTCCCACTCGTGTCACACGGTGCATGCCTGTTTGGAGCCGCTCCATCCACAGTAGTGTTGAATAAACAGCCGGCAACAGCGCCAGAGCCCAATGTGTTTGTACAGGTTTTTAGCAGTGGATGTTGTAGCAGATTTCGCAGAAAAACTGCGGCCGCACTTTTCTATTGGCCTTGGTCTTCACCCACTCCTTATTCCCTCCCGGACCTTTATATTCCCTTCTTCATGTGTACATCTAACTTCTTAAATGCATCTTTACTATCTGCTTCAACCTCTGATTCTGTCACCAAACTCCACATTCTCACTACCCTCTACATGAAGAAGTTCCTCCTATATTCTCATTTGGATGCCCTTATCACGATGTCAGTGTTTCACACAGGTATATGGCACAGTGTTTTGTGGGCAAACACAGCAACCAATTTGCATGCAGCAATGTCTAACGAACAGCCATGAAGACAACAACCAATATCAGCATGAAAACATGCTAAAGAATGATTTGCAGCTAGTGCAGAGTGTGCAAATAAAGCTGACCCAAAGTCCTAACAATAAACAACTGATAAAAAAACCTGTATAGTTTGCATCTTAAATGATTTTTGGTGAATTGCCAGTATGACAGCTGGAATCTGTTAAAAATAACTACAATTTTGTGCCTTAATAACAACAGTCATTTTATTTTCATGAGGGATGTATAATAGTTATGAGTTATATTTTTCTTCATTCCCAGGGAAAAGCAAGGAGCAGCAGTTTTAAATGGTGCAGATCATATTCTTGCTTTGAACCTGGCTCTGTGTCAGGTTATGGTGTTGCTCACCAATACTTCGACGGTCCATCTGGATACCGAGTGGCTGGAACAAATTAGAAAGTTTGTGACCGAAAGTTTATCAGATGGCAGGAAGCTGAGCTCTCATCAGCTGAGTGGACTGTTAATGGTCGTGTGGCGACTTGTCCTCATACAGCGGAACAGAGGTGAAAGAAATGATCAACAAAACAAATATTCTGAAGTCTTACATTTGACAGATGAAGTTTTGACCAAAGTACACATGAAGCACACATTATATATAAAACATGTTAGTAACTTCATGGTTGAGAAGTTTGGACTGATTGCTGACTCATCATGCAGTGTTAACAAATATTTTCTAAAAATAATAATATAATAATAATCCTTGCATTTGATATAGCGCTTTTCACGTCAGGAGGACATCCCAAAGCGCTTCACAGAACACACTGTAAAGTGAATTGACTGTATATTTGTGGGCGAACGCGGCAGCCAATTGCGCACAGCAATGTCCCACAAACAGTCGTAGATTGAAAATGACCAATTTATTATTGTTTTTGGTTTTGGAGGGATTATTATTAGGTGTGTGGAGTAAGGAAACTTGCCCAAGGTTTCGCCCTCTGCCTGGAATTGAACTCAGGTCTCTCACTTGCAAAGCGAGTGCTCTAACCACTGAGCTACAGGACTCCACAATAAAAAATAACTAGTCCCAATGCTTATTGTATTTTTATATATTTCTTTAAATTGTGCTTGAGGCTTCTTGTTTCCCTCTTCCACCCAAGCACATTGCCACAGGCACTGAGCACCTAAGTGAGTATTAGTTGTGTGTGAATTCTGACATTCTGAGTATTAGCTGGCTATTCATTCGTTTAATGCATTAAATGGTATATATTTGTTTGATGCATTAAATGCTATATAAATCGTCAATTTAAATTTACTGTGAAGAAAATGTGATAGAATCAATTTCAGCATTAATTATAGTTGAACTGCCTGTATAAACTTGGCTTTGTCTTAATCAGCAATTACTTCACAAACCTTTGCTCATTTGTTTTCTACTTGTCCTTAGGTGCCTCAGAGGAGCTGCTGAGAGCAGTTTATACACAGTATCAGCAACAAGGCCTCACACTCTCAGTTCGCACCCTTTTGCTCCATTTCTTTAGTGGTCTTTATCTGAGAGAGAAGTCTTCCAACCTGTTGATTTCTAGGTAATCTGGTTATTTTTCCTTATCCATTGAATGAATGAAACCTTTTCCTTTCTCCCTAATATATTCCAAGTTTTTCATAATGTTTTAATTTACAGCATGCTCTCTGTTTTGGAGATCCAGGAAAGCTCAGTGTGAATTTTGTCATAATGAGGATAAAGTTGTCAGGAGGTTTAGTTCAATTGTCTGAACAATTTCCTCTGTCCCAGAGAAGGGATGTCTTCATTTTCAAGCTATCACCTCTCTTTGAACAGTTCTCTGCCCGCTAAGAACTATGCAGTTGTTCGGAGGAGCATGAGTTTGGACCATCATGAAACTAATGAGATCAGAATTCCCAATACTATTCATTGAGGGAGACCATTTTACTTGGGCGTAGGACTGCTGAAAGCAAGAAGGCCTGCCTTTCTATGATGGAGATTGAAGACCCAACTCACTAAAGTATCTATTTTAACACGCATGCAATACTGTGAAATATCAACATTTTTAGCTTGTAACCTTCCCTACATCCCATCCATCACAGCTGATATTTTGGTTCATCAATTTTCCTATTTATTTGCCTTGTTTTAAATGTTTTTAAATAGGAAATGTTTTCTCTCCCTCGCATTTGTTGGAAGTTGTTATCAAATTACTTCAAAAGATGCGAACTGCAGGAATCTAACTACAGTCTCACCCCATTATAACAGTGTATTTGGTGATTTTATGAATCCCAAACACCAGGTTACAACAAGGCTCCACTGTTTTTAGTACTCAAGTCAGGCACTAATACATGTGTATGTGTTTCAAGAGTCCTGTTTTTCCAGGTTTTCTTCAATAGCACCTGTGTTACTTGTAGATTGTTGATGTTTCTTTCCCCCTCTGTTTGGACAGAAGCAAGTTGCTGACTCGTTGGCTAGCAGGGTTGCCATTACAGCTTGCTCAACTTGGTTCGAGAAACCCCCTTCTGTCAGCACAGCTTATTAATGTAATACATGCTGCAGCTGCTCGTGCAAACAAAGAGCTGCTTCAGAGTCTTCAAAGTAATGTCTACAGATTGTATGGTAAGTCTGCTTTAAATCTGTATAGTATTGTAGGAGCTTATTATTGTGTGCCAAGAATGAAAAGGTTACAGTTTTTATATGACTTGCAGAAAAGTTTGCGAATCACCTCTACCTTTTATTCATGTAAATGTTGCACGCTTCATCCTTCAGCCTGGAGGTCAGTGGTTTGCATTTCTGCAGTATGAAATTGACACGTCTAAACTCCAAAACCTTTAAACAACAATCTTGTTTGGTGCTAAAGGCAGCATAATAAGGAATAACTAAATGAGATGTCTGAGAATGACTAAACTTCTGTGCCTAAACGAGGCACAGATGTACTAAGTCCTATTTTATTTTAATTATTTTTATCATATACATATCTCAATATTTTACTTTGGAATTGGCCAGATCAGATGGGGTCATTCTATTCCTATGTTCCTAATAGAGCTCTGGGCGCTACCCTGTGTGAGGGGTGCTACGTAAATGCAAGTTGTTATAATAGAATCTTAAGGCACAGAAGGAGGCCATTTAGCCCATCGTGCCTGTGCCGGCTCTTTGAAAGAGCTACCAACCTGTCCCACTGCCCCATATCCCTACAAATGTTTCCTTTTAAGTACCTATCAAATTCCCTTTTGAAAGCTACTATCGAATCTGCTTCCACGCTTTGAGGCAATGCATTCCAGACAGTAACAACTCTGGGCAAAAAAATATTGTTGTTAAACTACTACTAATAATAATCCTTGCATTTGATATAGCGCCTTATCACATCTTCAAGACGTCTCAAAGCACTTCACAGAATATACTGTAAAGTGAATTGACTGTATTTTGTGGGCGCAAAGCGGGAGCCAATTGCTCACAGCAGTGGATTTTGTGACCAGATTATTATTATTTATTTTTTTGAAGGAATTATTACCCCCAAAAAAGCGATCCGCCAATCAACTTAACAACTGGGTTCCTACTTACTGCTAGGTAAACAGAGGCGAGTGGAGTAAGGAAACTTGCCCAATGTTTTGCCCTGACGGGAATCAAACCCAGTTCTTTCACTTGTGAGGCGAGTGCTCTAACCACTGAGCTACAGGACTCCAATTATTACAGCATTGTTTCTGTAATAATTAGTTTTTAACTAGTACTAAGTTCCTAGGTTCTAATTCTGTACACCATTCCTGTGCAGCATTTTTTTTATAGTTATTTTCTTTGCTCGTCTTACTGTTTTTTTTTAAAAAATATAGTTTTTAAGTTTCCCATTTAGTCTTGTTGAAAGTTGAAAGAAACATTTGCTCAAGGCTTGGCTCAATATACTTAGTGGGTTTCTGTGAAGTCGGGAAAATTACAGGGTAATACATTTTTTTTCTGTCAGTTGTATAAATACTAACATGTTTATCTAGGCTGTGAAAAATATTCAATGCTACCACATGGAAATGGTGCTCTTTAAACTTTAGCAGACTTTGTCAACATTTTTACCAAACCTCAAAATTCTGTTTAGACTATAAAGTATTTATCCTTACCGCAGAGCTTTTGAAATGGATTTGGTGCATTGGTGCTTCATTGATACATTGTTTAGGCAGAATTAGCCACTACTTTCGTATTGATTTGATCTGACCACTTCACATTTACTCATCATACATTAACAACAACAGCTTGCATTTGTGTAGCGCCCTTCACTCGTGACAGTGTCTCGGAGCTCTGAACAGTGGCGGAACTTGATACTGAGCTGGGAAGAGGGGGGAGGAGGCAAGACGGAAGGATTGAGGAAGAGAATTCCATAGTTTCGGGGAATAGTCTAGTATCCCATATGCCCTTTTTACAGCCTTATCTACCTGTCCTGCCACCTTCAAGGATTCATTTACCTGCACCCCTAGGTCTCTCTGTTCTTTTACCCCCCTTAAGATTGTATTACCTAACCTACATTGCCTCCCCTTATTCTTTCTACCAAAATGCATTACTTCGCATTTCTTCACATTGAAACTCATCCGCCATGTGTCTGCCCATTTTACCATTCTGTCTATGTCTTCCTGCAGTTGGCTCCTATCCTTCTCACTGCTTACCACCCTACCTAACTTTGTGTTGTCTGCAAACTTGGAAATGGTACTTGCTATACCCAAGTCCAGATCATTTATGTGTATTAAGAAAAGCAGTGGTCCTAATACAGATCCCTGGGGGACGTCACTGTAAACTTCCCTCCAGTCAGAAAAGCAGCCGTTCACCACAACTCTCTGCTTTCTCTCTCCCAGCCCGTTCTGGATCCATGCTGCCACTGTCCCTTTTATACCATGGGCTTCTATCTTTCTTACAAGTCTTTCATGTGGCACTTTGTCAAATGCCTTTTGAAAGTCCATATAAACTACATCAACTGCACTACCTTTATCCACCCTCTCATTACCTCATCGAAAAATTCTAATAGATTTGTTTGACAAGATTTGCCTTTACCAAATCCATGTTGGCTGTCCCTAATTAACCCATATTCTTCTAAGTGAAGATTTATTCTGTCCCGGATTATAGTCTCCAGGAGTTTCCCCACTACTGATGTTAGGCTGACTGAGCTGTAATTCCCAGGCTTGTCCTTCTGACACTTTTTGTACAGGGGAGTCATATTGGCCACTCTCCAGTCCTCTGGCACCACTCCTGAATAAGCAGTATACGGGTATAAGCAGGTCAGAGACGTACAGGAGTGCCAGGGTATAAAGTGATTTGTAAACGAGTGTGAGGATTTGGAAATCAATCTGTTCTGTGATAGGGAGACAGCGGAACCTGACATGAACTGGGGTGATGGAATTTGGTGCTGGTGAGGATATAGGCAGTGGAGTTTTGAATTAGTTGGATTTTGTGAATGGTGGAGCTGGGGAGAACATCACATTTATCCAAAACCTTTTTGAGTCTGTGTGAAAATTCAGCAATTTCCTAAATTACAGTAAATGAAATTTGTTATTGAAATATTTTATCATAATCAACTTAAGAACAAAAGATAGCTGAGCAAATTGTTGTGTCCTATAGCTCAATGGGTTGAGTGTCTTGCCTCCCAAATAGGTCTTGAGCGAGACTACCAGGGCCAATACAGCAGAGAGAAAAAAATGAATAGAGTGAGCGAGGTTCTAGGCTTTTTCCTTTCCATCAGAAAATGCCATAAACATTCATTTTCTAAGGGAAATGGCCAGAACTTAATTTGCTCTATTGTAACAATGTCTCCTATGGGTGATTGAGAAGTGGAATTGAGAGTGGTGTATTACTATTCTGCACCATTGCACCCTCTTTAATGAAGAGAGTTGAGAGTTAAACCAGTACTATATTCCTAGTTTATTTTTAAAACATCATTGTTTGCCCGCATTCCTCTCTCAAAGGCAATGGATTGTTGGTTTGTTCTGGGGTTTGATTACACAGTCACAGCCTTGACCAAATTGCCATTTTTGTGAGAATGGTGAGTGGTTTTAATGTTTGCAGTTGCAATTGTACGTTAATACTGTAATTTTTGTTTAGATCCACAAGATGGCACTCTGGTTCTTCTTCCATCTGACATGCAACATTGCTTGGTGCAGCTGGTGTACTTTCTACCCTGTATTTCACCAGAATTATTGTCCTGTTTAAGTCGGTGCTGCACCATGGGAAGGCTGTCCTCCAAACTAGCCACATGTCTTATCCGGATATTACACACAAGGTAGGAATGCAATTTCAAATGTGGAGATGGGAAATGTGCTATCCTTTTGCTGTGTCGAGTAAAATATTGCTGAATTAACTTCAAAATAATTTTATTGTCTTGAGCCCATTCCGTTGGTGCAACTTTGAATGTTGTAGAAATCTTTTATTCAAATGAGATTCTGTGCAATAATGTACGTTGCATGCTAATTATCCATCCCAGTCATATATGGAGGAAATTGAATTGATTTTAGGTGTTTCTTTGGGGTTGGTTTGTTCATTGTCCTAGTTCGCTATGGTTGCTTAAAATTGGTTTGAATTATAATCGAACAGAAACTAAATTTGGGCAGAAAATGAAGTTGGATAGTTAGGGTTAACATCTGACAAAGTACTTGCAATTTTATTTAAAGGATCCAGATAGAAAATGTGTCCACTTGTTAACCAAATCACTTATTTTCAGCTGGATAGATGTGTAGCCTACTTGTTGTATCTTGCTCCCAGCATGTGGACAGAATTTCGAGGCTTGTCGTCTTCAGTGTAGGTTGGTGCTACCCATAACTGAAAGGAGCTGCCCTGCTTTGAATCTTATACAAGTTTATATAAGCACCTTTCACGTTGGGAGGACGTCCCAAGTCACTGGACAGCCTAAGATTTGTGCCTGAGCTTGGGTTGGGCGTAAGTGGGTGAAAGATTGCCCACAGCATAGTCAAAGATGAAGCTCTTGAAAGAAGGTTAGGGAAGGGGTGAGTTGAAGGGACTCCAGCATGGAGTTCCAGAGAGTGAGAGCAGATATGCTGAAAGCTCGACTGCAAGATGGTGCAAAGGGGATTATGTTTGATGCTCTGAACTTCCAAACCTTTTTTTTGCATAAGTGAGGTGTATAAATATAGTTGTAATTGTGCATAAATATAGTCTAAGTCTACATGTGTATGAATACATATTAGGAAAGCACGCTTTCATCTTACAGACTGCCACTGGCACAATCCTGACATTAAAGGAATATTACTTACGAAAGTGATTTAGTTCATTGTACATCTGTCGACAATAACTAAGCCTGACTTTATTTAGGTAATGTCACTTCATTCTATTGATTTTTTTAATCGTGTTGAGGTAAATCTGGTAGCTGCCTCCATCACATGCAACTTTTCAGTGACGCCTTTTCGCCTAAAATCTTCAAGCAACAATGTGGTGAGCAAAGCTGAGGTGATTATCCAAAGGGAGGGAAGGAAAGGTAGAGGGAATTCAAATAATTTCCACTGAATCATTTTAGAATTTTCTACCTTGCCAGAAACTGAATGATGGGTAACGTTGGAGAGGAAGAATTTAAAGCATTGCGTAGAAGGAAGGGGATCAAAATACCGAATGTTAGTTTCTGTACTTTATAGAACATTATAGCACAGAACAACAACAACAAGATTCCATTTATAGAGCACCTTTCACGTCAGGAGGACGTCCCAAGGCGCTGGACAGTTGGGTCAGGACCCGAGCAGGGGGGACATGGTCAGGGTGAGGGGAGGGAAGGGAGGGAGCGAGGAGGGGGTAGAGAGTCGAGAGGGGAGCCGAAGGCACAGTCAAAGAGAAAGGTCTTGAGACCGGCCTTGAAGGAGGAAAGGGAGGAGGCAAAGGCACTGGGGGATGGAGTTCCAGAGCCTCGGGGCTGAGAGGCTGAAGGCCCGGCCACCAATGGTAGGGCGGTTGGGGCGGGGGATGTGGAGCAGACCGGAGCCGGAGGAACAGAGGGTACGGGCAGGTAGGGGGATAGTAGGTCAGAGAGATAGGAGGGAGCGAGGCCGTGAATGGCCTTGTAGGTGAGGATGAGGATCTTGAATTGGATCCTCTGGGGGATGGGGAGCCAGTGGAGGCGAGCGAGGGTGGGAGTGATGTGGTCCCGAAGCCTGGTGCGGGACAGTACACGAGCTGCAGAGCTCTGAATGACCTGCAGCTTGTGGAGGGAGGTGGCGGGAAGGCCGGCGAGTAGAGAGTTCCCATAGTCCAGCCTTGAGGTGATAAAGGCGTGGACCAGGGTTTCAGCAGCGTGAGGGGTGAGGTAATGGCGTAGTCTGGCGATATTCCGGAGGTGATGGAAGGCAGTGCCAGTTGTGGCGCGGATGTGAGGGAGAAAGGACAGCTCAGAATCGAACAGAAATAGGCCATTCAATACTAGTCTGGTGTATATACTCCATTCTTCTTAATCCTCTCTCCTATATCGCTCTGTTCCCTTGTTCCTCGTGTTATGCATCTAGTTTCCTCTTAAATAAGTTGATGCCTTTTTGCTTTGAGTACAGCTTCCAGCAGAGAGTTCACATTCTCACTACTCTCTGTGTAAAGAAGTTCCTCCTAAACATCCTATTGGATTTGCTTCTCCCTCCCATATGTATGCTCCAACAAGTGGAAACATCCCATTAATGTCCATCTTATCAAATTTCACCTTACTGAATCGTGTCCTCCATATCAAATTAAATAATGTTTGAATAAGTAACAAAAGTCCTTTGTGTGTTATAGTCTCAAAAACTAATGTTTTGTCAGTGTACAATATCATCTTAAAAGACTGACGAGTAATCTTTGGAGACAAATGGTGTAGGACAGATTGAAAACTGAGTCATTTACTTATTGTCAGGGCTGACTTTTACGCATTCATTAATAAACACTGGTGGTCTTTAAGCTAGATTTCACTTTATAAAGCTTAATGTGCTTGAATAGTAAGCTCTTGTCTGTTTCACATACTTTGTAGCTGCTGGTACAACTTGCAGCCTGAAATTTGAAGCCAGTACGATAGGCGATCAGGTTACAGCTTCTAAAAATACTTGAAGTGTTGAAGAGGGGATCCCTTGAAATGACAGCTGAGCATAATTTTAGAGACATTGACGTCAGCAGAGATACAAGAACCGATCTGAAATTAGAAATTCCATGACCGAGTGCACTGCATATAAAACGTCTTTGTCTGATAGCAGATAAATCTTTCAGTGGGCATGGATTACCTGGAAAACCTGTACTTCAATTTCAGTACAATGACTGACTCTTAGCCAGCCAGGTGGTTTGCTATTTTGTTTTTAATCTTGCGATTAGCATGACAGTTTGACAGTGCTAACAGTGAACAGGTTTTGTTGATTGTTTTTGTTTTTCTACTGAGCATGTTAAGAGTACCTAGAAAAAAAGACATTGTTTTCTAAATCGTAACCATTTTTTCATCAAGGAAACCAATCCAAATGATTTAAGTTTGAAGAGAAGTATTTCTTCTGTCCTAAAGCTGCTCACTAACACCATAAGTGCTGGTGGTACTCAATGCCTTGCAAGAGTGTGTGCACTTGCATCTCGCCACTCATTCTCTGCTTTTGAAATTCCATCTGAAGAACTATCTCTTTGACTGATCTTCAGCCACCTCCTCTCGTCTTTCCCAGTTTGGGCTCCCGATCTGTCTTTGTAAAGCACTTTAAGATGTCCTTCCTATGTCAAAGGTGTTGCATAAGTGAAAATTGTTGTTCTAAAGGGTATTAAAATGTTTTATAGACTGTTTTGATATCTGCCTCTTTGGTAGTCCAAGTCCTCCCTCTTTTTTACCAGGACTCTACATTCATCTGTTCTGAATGTAACCCAAGTACCTCGTAATCATGTTGATTATGGCATGGTTATTTAGCTTTTATTACTTCTATTTTCTAAAGGTCTCTGAATTCTCAGTTGAGAAATATCTGTAGAAGAGCTTCCTTTATTAAAAAAAATTGGTTGTTTAATTATTTTAAATGAACTATTTTCTAATTTTCTCCCCATTAGCAAATGTCTGCTCCTAAACCCCACAGATATGGTTCCACAGGTGCTGGGTACCCTGATACCCTGTCTAAGTGACCATTGTTCATGTGTAAGCCTTGACAGTGAGTATTGGCGGACCACTCGACTCGAGAGAGCATCACAACTGAGCCTGACCTCTCCTCAACTGGCTGTCACACATGCAGGTTAAATGTAATAATCCCAGCATTTGATATCGCACCTTTCACGTTGAGAGGCTGTTTTCCAACAGCACTACAGGATTCACTGCAAAGTGCTGTGTCTGTGTATTTGGTTGGCGAGTGCCAATAGAGGGTGCTCTATGGAGACCAGGAATAGCAAAACAATCTAGTTTTCCCCTTCTTAACTTTGGGAAGGCTGGGCCAATTTATCCTCCCCGTGCAACCAGGCTGAGTAAATAAACTTGAGAAGAACTTTTCTGAAAGCATCAAACCTTTAAAAATATCCAAAAATCTTTATAATGAAGTTGCTATTTCTTTGCCAGTGTGAAAGCCTCTTGTTTGGCCTCTTGACTGTACAAGTTTCTTCTATTCCATTCCCAATCTATCTATAGTAGTGCAAGGTATAGGATGAAAAATGTACCATTTACAGTAAACACCCGGAGTTCCTATAGATGGCAGTATTCTCTTTTTAAATCACATTGATCTAATTTGATCAGAAGTGTTTTTCATACACTTATGAGCATTATGGCTATTTTCTTGTCTGGCAGTTTTGTGGTATGTTTGTAGTGTTTGGTAAATTTGTGTACTGATACATGCTGGATTTAGTGTATTTCTGTTTCTTCCATGTAACCAGACTTTGATTTACAATAGTAAGACATTCAGGGTTCTGCTAATTTGACAGCTATTTTAACCGTTATAATCTTGTGGTTTTGTTTTAGCAATGCAACTGTAAGTAGTCTGTAAGGTTGAAACAACTTTGAACTCCTTGAAGTGCTTTAGCTTAACCTCCTTTTTATTTTTTTTTAAAAAATGCCTGGAAGACTAATGAACCTTATTTAGTTTTGCTGTCCTCCTCACTTTGGTGTGATCAGTGAAACATCACATTTGTGTGACAGTTTGTTAATGAAGTGCCTGAGGGATTAGAATCCATTAGAATTTGACTTGGCCTTTTTAAGGAGTGACACGCTGGGATTGTTTTATCTTATTTGTATCCTAATATTTAATGGTTTGATTCTTTTAAAAAAAAAGTTTATATAATCTTTCATGAATGTGAACATTGTTCATGTGAATAAAATTATAAAGCGGATTCATATATTTAAGTAATGTTTCTCATTTGGGCGCCCTGATGCCTTGGTTTCCAAATTGTTGCATCTTAAAAAGCCTAGAATGACGTCTTTCATTCATCCTTATGAATAGAGTAGGCATAGATTTTATTGGTTTGTTAACGCTTAAGCTAATTATAAATGACGGATTCGGCAGATTGTCTTCTAAACAGCCTATGTAGCTGTTTAGAAATGCAGTTGGATGCAAAGACATTTCTTATTAGATTGTCCTCGTTAACTTAAAAAACACAGAATTTTTAAAAAGATAAAATCTTTCCTCAGTACACTTGATTTTTTTTTGTGTACTGCTTCCAAACTTTAATTTTCTTCTTCTCCTGAGTATGGTTGCATAAGGACCTGCTGTTTCTCAGTACCTCACCTGAGTGGCGTTATATACTGTTTTTACTGAATTCTGTTTTTAGTAGAAAGTTGAACCTAAGGGTATCTTGATATGCATATACATAAACCCTTCCAGCAAAATCTATCTTCACCTGACATGCACACACATCAGAGCCCACTGGATGACGTTCAGAAATGGGAATGTGGAATTTCTCCTCTACCTCACTTAGTGTTAACTGTGGTTAAGGGCTTTTAATACTATATCAACAGACGTCAATTCATTCAGATTGAACCTAAGAAGCTTCTAGTCTGCAAGACTCAGTTTTAGACTAGGTAGTGACCTTACCAATGTTGAGCTATTGAGAGAGCTGTTCCCAAATTTTGTGGAACCTAATGCAATACAACAACAACTTGCACTTATATAGCATCCTCCATGCAGGGTAGAGTCTCAGAGTAACAGAGCTTGACTTCGAGCCAGGGAGTGTGCTTAAGCATGGTTGAAGAGGAAGGTTTTCAGATGGGACTTGAAAAAGGGGAAAGAGGGGGCAAGGCAGAGGGATTGAGGGAGAGTATGTGGAATATTATTTTCTTAAAATGCATTTTTCAACTCCTTGTTTACACTAGACATTAATGAATATTAGCCTTGTGAATGTTGGTCTCTGACAGAAGATGGTGGGTCAAGCCCTTCATTGGCTGATATTCCAGTGTGTGCTGGGGGAGTCCTGTATTGTCAGAGTTGTCATTCTTAGGATGCCATGGGATCCTTAATGTCCACCTGAACAGGCAGACAAGACCTCAACAGAATGGGAAGGGAGTTTTTCCCAGTGTTTGGCCACCAATCCCCCAGATAAGATTGGTCATTCAATTCATGGCTGCTTGTGGGACATTGCTGTGCACAAATTGGCTGCTGCACTTGCCTATAAAATACAGTCACTACACATTCCAGTATATCCTTGAGACATCAATTTAATAATCCATGCATTTGATATAGAGCCTTATGTCATCAAAGTCTCAAATGCATTTCACGTTATATATTGTAAAGTGTAGTGACTGTTTTGTGGGCAAATGCCCCAGCCAATTTATGTGTAGCTATAGTGAGCGCAAGTTGTTGTTGATTTGTACTTTCTCCTTGGCTTTACTTGAGCTGTTCCTGATTTACCGATTCAGGTGTCACAAATTTCAAAAGACTTCATTTCTAGCATTGTCATCATAATGATGAGATTCAAATATGTTTTATTTAAAAATAAAAAGATTGTCAATAGTTGTTGATCAGTGCTATTCGCTAATAGTCAACAAACAAATAGAAGCCGTTTTTGTTTTTCTTTGTTTATCTGTTCTTTTGTGTTTGTTTGGGTCATAATTGTGTTTTTATTCAGAATGTTTGACATTCCCCATCTTATCTATTCCTCTTGTGCATGTGTGAAGGGCAAGGATTTGATATTGGTGGGGGAAAAGAAAATATCAATTTTATAAACAAAATGCAAACAGTGGGGCTGAAAGCAAATTGAAGTCATGTTCCTCATCCAGCATTAAAAATGCAAAATCAATTTTTAAAAACCCTTCTAAAGGTTTTGCTAAATTTAGGATAAGGCAGTAGGTCAAAAGTGGAGTTAACTGAGCGTAACAAAAAAGTTGATTTGTTTTACAGTCATTTGCGTTGATTTCAATTTGTAGAGCGTTAGTTAATGTCCTGCCTTTACCCCATTTCCTACATATCAGAAGAAGATATTGTGTGTCAGGCCGGCTCAGTTGGTGACACTGTTGCCCCTTGAATCAGAAGGTTGAGGGTTAAAGCCCCACATTGGGACTTGAACTCGTGTGGTCCAGCTTGACCGTGCAGTGCAGTGCAGTGCTGGGGGTGTGCTGCATTGTAGGAGGCGCTGTCTTTCGTTAGGTTGCTGTGTATGCCCAAACTAGGAAGTGATGTTGGTGGTGACCTATTAAACTAGAGATGTTAATCTGAGGTCCCACCTGCCTGTTCAAGTGGACATTACAAAATCCCATGGTACTATTTGAAAAGAAGGGAGTTTCTCCTGGTGTCCTGAACATCTGGTTGCCAACCTCCCCCTTGTTGTTGACCTAATACGTCTCACTTCGGGAGGCCATCTCAAATTGCTAATCTGCTATGCTAGAATCTTTACATAAGTGTTCCACTTAACTTACGTTGTAAATTGAAAAATTGTTTTAAATATTTATGTGGTATAAAAGCCCAAGTTTGCAAGTTAGCAAATGTCTGCAGCATGGAAGACATTCTGTAGATTTTGTATATAACGTGATGATGAACTTGTGTAAATTGTAGTGTTTAAATTTGTTTTTATGATGCATCAGCTTGTTTTCTGCTTCTGGTCAAATTAGCTTGCTTTATTAACCAGTGATACATTTTGAAACCAGTCTTGAGCATATCTGGAGGACTGTTCTTGTTTCTTTATCTCTCATTTAGTGCTCTGTTCTGATGATCTCATTGTTGATCCTATAATTTTATAGGTTCCTTTCACAGATTAAAACGTTTTGCAAATGAATGAATGTTGCTGGACACTTAACATTACTCCTTATTCCTTTTTAATTATAGGTCGTCTTTCGGTGGATGGACGACTTCACTTCAAGACAGTGTTGTGAAGGATGTGGATTACTTCAGCTTTCTGTTTTCTACACTTACTGGTACCTATTGATGATATAATAATAATAATAATAATCCTTGCATTTGATTTTGCGCTTTTCACATCTTCTAGACGTCTCGAAGCGCTTCACAAAATATGCTGTAAAGTGAATTGACTATATATTTGTGGGCGAAATGCGGCAGCCAATTGCGCACAGCAGTGTCCCACAAACAGTCGTGGATTGAAATGGCCAATTTATTAATTTTTTTGAGGGATTATTATTTAATTTACAGTGAAATATTAGGAATATTAGATTGAGTTGTCAATTCTAGAGATTGTCAACTCTTCTCAAGTTATGATGTAGATTTTTTTGCTTTTGGTACAGCCACCTCCTAATTCTATTCACTTATGAATACTTCATGAGCCCCTTGTCACACAAGTGAGATACATTTTCAAAGCTCTTTTTAAATGATTAATGTCATCACAATCTTTGTAAAACTGTAATAGTAGGGGCTCCCCTTGTAGTGGGATTTCTATTAGTATGATAGTAGAATACTTTTAAAAAGTTTTATTTTTTTTGGTCAGCTGTGGGTCTGACAAGTATACAAATCCATCACCATGCTTAATAGTATCCAAAACAAACTCAAAAGCTTCCCATGGAAATTTCCGTGTAATGGAATGCACACTGTCTCCCTGGAGGGATGCATCCTGCTTACCTAATTCCTAATTAGGCAAAGGTTGGCAAGAGCCAAGGTTTGGGACTCCAGTGTGTGTGATGGGGTACTGTGGGAGTTTAACCAATTAAATCTGCATAGCTTACCGTTGAGAGTACTGTCTGGCAAGCTCACTGCTCTCACTGCTTGTTCAGCTAGGACCCCCTCCTATCCATTAGGGCTTTGGCTTGCAGGGTTAACAGGAGCTGAGTGGGATGATATCCTGGCCCCAGTGACTGGTTTGCCTCTCCCAAGTTCTGTTGATGAGCCAGGCTGACTGATCTGTCATCAGCAGTGGCCTGGGGTTGTGGACCTGCCTGGCTCAGGAACCTGTCTATCAAGACGGCTACGGAATATTTTATACTCAAACGTGAGTTAAAACTGTATTGTAATAATGGGACAGCACTTTGGAATACAAACATAAAGCTCCAGGGTAGAGGGAGTGCAGGTTTGATTCTTCATGCTGCTAATTACTTCTCGGTCATCCTGTTTGCTGGTGGTGCCAAGATCCCTTTGTAATGGGATCAGGCAAAATTAAGTGGAGCGTCTTTCCCCAACGGTTACTGGGCCCCTCCAAATGACTGACTCAAATTGTCATTGGCCGAGGTCTGGGAGTAGGTTCCCTCTACTCTGTGGGCTATACATGGTGCATTGGGCGGAATGAGAGGAGAGAAACCAAAGGAGCTCAACCCCTACTCCTTTTCCTCCCTCTACCATAATACATTATAATAGACCAAATTTCTCTTTTGTTTCAAGCATACTTCCACTTGGTTTGTTAACATAAAAGATTCAATACAGAGTCGCTGTACATGCAGCCATAGTAAATGCCCTACTAAATGTCAGAAATTGTTTTGGCTAACCATTCTCTGTATGTTAGTGCAAAGCCCTCGAGTAAAGAATCATTTATGAATGGGAAAAATAAGATTTATGACTATATAGCAGGTCTGTTTATATGAGGTTGTTAATGGTCAGTGTTGTGCTCTTGTTGCTCACCTGTATTCTAGGATTCTCAGGAGACGAGTTGGCCTGGCTCCAAAACAGCAACAGTAATCCTCATGTAAGACAGACCCAGTTTTCACCCGTCCGCCTTTATGTGACTGACCTGGACCAGTTTGTACATCACTGGACTTTGACTGAGGTAACATTAACTTTGCAGTGACGCTAATACTGAATGACAGCAGGCTGATCCGCGGCTTTATGGTATCCCTTGATATTGGCAAAGGCACTGTGCCTTAGAAAGCACTTAAACCCTTTTTACTGTCAAACTCTTTAGACTTTGTTCTACTGTCAGTAAGCTCCACAGAATGTGTTCTTAACCCTTTAATCACTTGTGAACTTTGCAGCTTTTAAGATGCACATGTTTGATTAAACACATGCATCTCATATTGAAAACTTGTTTTTATATGTTTCTCTATCAGGAATTGGTAATTTATGAGGAAACATTACTACTTATTTAATCATGTGGAGAGTTTAAGAGGAGTTTTTACAGAGCTGAGGGGGTGATGAGGAGAATGTGGCCCTCTCTGACAGAAGCTGCAGAAACCATTAATACATCTACGAAGATGTATTAATGCATGGGGTAGAAGAGAATAGAGGAGTATGGAGGGGAATAAAGAGAGGGGGTGAGGAGGGGTGGAGGCTCCTTTAGAATAAAAGCACTAGAACGGACTAGTTTATTGTACAGTTTATATAGTTCTGTGTTTAGTTGGTACTGTTACAATGTGAATTCAATGTCAATGCTGTGGTTAATGTCACAATATCGTAAAATTATTGGTCATTCACAGCGTCTTATTTGTGCTCTTATCTGTAAGGCAAGTAGACTATATTTGTCCTAGTTCATGTGACTCCATAATAATAATCCTTGCATTTGATACAGTTCCTTATCACTTCTTCGAGACTCTTCACAGAATATACTGTTAAGTGAATTGACTGTCTATTTTGTAGGCAAAACGTGGCAGCCAGTCGTGGCCAATTTTTTTTTAAAAGGGATTATTACCCCAGGAAAAGTTGTTTATTCAAAGCAATATCACATAGGTAACTCATCCCACAAAACATTTGCAAACATTTCTGTATAAAAGTACTTCAGACGTATTACCATATCCCTCTCCACACTCCTACTGAACAGTTTCTCCTTCATCAACTGAAATGTTGAAATATGGCTGGTTAACACTATTTAACATTTTACTGTACACCTGAACTTTACAGTCCACCTGAACTTTACAATCCACCTGACAGGCAAATGAGACATGATTCATAGTCTTACTTGCTTCCAAAAAAAGCAGTGCTCCCCCACCACTGATTTGGTGTGTCCAGCTAATCTATGAGTTCAAAGAGGCCTTCTGTAGAGGAAAGAGTTCTACCAATTGAGCCAGCCTGATGGATAAAGATACCTGTTGCTTGAGCAGAAAAGTCAGTTACTGAGCTAATTCCAAGAACAAATTGGTTCCTGGTTTCCTAAATTTATAGGTAGCATTGACCAATCTAAAAATTCTTTGAAGGAATAACAGAAATTGAAATAAACGCAGTCGATTTGAGTTACATGGATTTACGAAAAGCGTTTGATATGGTACCGTGAGAGATGCTTATGGCAAAGGTTATGGAGAATATGGACACATAAATTGTGAGATGGTTGGAGGGCAGAAAGCAAAGAATAGAGGTAAAAGGAATTGCTTTTGGACCAAGAGGATGAAGTGAGGGATGTTCCACGGTGGTCTGTTAGGGCAATTCTTATTTACGACGGATATCAATTATTTAGACATGGATTCTGAGGAACCGTGTCCAAATTTGCTGATTATGCCAATTGCTTTCAGATTTGGTATCCTTGTAATTAAGGAACATTTCTTAGTGTCCAGTTTTTCTTTCTGAGGGCAAGACTTGCCATATTACAGCTTCCTTTCTCCCTGCTGCATATCATCTGTGCCAGGAGAATAGTCAGTGATCACTATCATTGAGGTTTCTGTTCCTATGCAGTATATTAGCGCCCAGTAGGTGCGTGTTCGAGAGGAAACTTGGGATGGAACAGTAACTCAATATTTGGTAAATCACAAATGTGAACACTTATTCTACCTCTGTGGTGGAGACATTTGTATTAACATTTGTATTAACTGTGCCAACCACTGCACTATGTTCAGTGGCTTGTGCAAAATCTTTTTATTTTGTTAAAACGTATTATGTGATTAATTCATTCTGATCCTTCTTGTTTTTTTGAGGTATTTTGTTTTTTATTGTGTTAATCAGGTCTATAGCCCAGGGCTATGTGAAACATTGGTTGGTTGATCCTGACTGTATGAAATTAAGCAGTTAAGCACGGAATACTGATTCAGATGAATTAGCAACAGTGGCTTAATACTGATCCTACTGGCCCCAAAAATACAGCAGCCTCCTTCCTTGGTTCAAATACTACTGTGAACCTCATCAAGTTTTATACTAATTGTGCTATAGAAAACAAAACATTGAATAGAGCAAGTTTCTATTTTGTTAATGCTTGTTAAATGAGAAAGTAGTACTGAGAGATGAGGAAGCTGTGTTCAGTTGATTTGGCATATTAGATGTATGATCGAATGGTTCAGATTACATTGGGTGTTATCTTCCATTATGGTTCATTATCACAGCGCCTTCCTTGGGGGCTTACTCATATGAAGCCGTTGATAATTTGTTATAGCTGATAGGAGGAAAGTGGAAAATCAGTTTCCATTGCATCTAAGCTCAACGCATAAAATGCTTCAGTAAAACTGTCACATTCTCCTGTAATTGAATTGCACTCTTGGTGTTAAATGCAACAGCATCAGACAGACTTGAACAGCTTAGCTGGGCAAATGCGATAAATCTTGTGCTTGTGAATAATTTCTTTCCCGCTGAGCCTTGAGGCTTTCTCCACCTTAAGAGGAAAATAAACCTTAGGAAGCTTTTGGAGTTTTTAAACTACGCCTGCCAATTTTTATTTTAAAAAAAGGAGAGTGTTACTATAGAGAAATGAAGGGTTTTGCACAGTATTACATATACTTGTGCGTGTCAAATTCCACTTACTTTGTAGTTGAACTGGTGAAATTAAATTCCATCTGAATGTGCGTGTGTATTTCTGTGTGTATATGAACTAAACGGAGATCATGAAAGGCACACGGAAATAATGACTGAAGGAAATGTGTTCCTAAAAAGGACTCAAATACTATCATGAACAAAGTTAATATTAACAATAATAATACTTACATTTGTTATAACATCTTTCATGTCAGGAGGACTTACCAAAGTGTTTCACAGGATATACTGTAAAATGATTGTTCTGTGGGCAAACACAGCAGCCAATTTGCACACAGCAATGTCTCACAAACAGCAATGACGAATTTTATTTGAGAAATTGTCAGCCAAGACAGCAGGAGAAACTCCCTTCTCTTTTCAAATAGTGCCATGGGATCTTTAATGTCTACCTGAACAGGCAGATGGACCTTGGTTTTCTGCATCAGGATGGCAGCTCTAACAATGGAGCACATTATCGCCCAGCACTGTATTGGAGTGTCAGCTTATACTATGTGAGTTCAATTCCTGACATGGGGCAACCTTCTGACTCAAGAGGCAAGAGCCAGGCTATGTTGGGGTTAGGAGGTGGGGCGGGGTTGGATCTGCTGTTGTTTGGATTAGAAGCAAAACAATATCCCATCTTCTCTGGGAATGAAACTTTGTTCGAAGCAGTCACACTTCATCAGAGTGCTTCTTACTGTGAGGTGAAATGGTTGGAGAGTTTTGTACTGAATTAGAATATATGACGGTTTTTAAAAAGAAACGTTGTCAACAATAGCAAAACAAATTGCATTTAAACAGCTCCTTTCACGTTGGGAGGAAGTCACTGAGCTCATGTTAACCTTGTAAATCAAAGCCCCAACAGGTAGCAAGGTCATAGCTAAAACAAACCAGTGGGAATAATAATCATCTTTGGATTTGATATAGCACCTTATCATGTCTTTGAAACGTCTCAAAGCACTTCACAGAATGTACTGTAAAGTGAATTGACTGTATATTTGGTGGGCGAAACAAGCTTGCCAGCCAGTGCTTTCAAATGCAAGCTGTGCAGTTTTAGCTGGTTTACGTAGTATGGCTACTGTCAAGCATGGTGATGAGTTTCCTCATGTGTCAGAAGCTATCCCCCCAAAACTGAAAAAAGTACTGTTTTTACTTTTGGTAAAATCTTAAATTTTTCTATTGTGTTTATTTTGTTTACTGCTTTTAAAGTCAGGTTTTGTACATAAAGATACCTATTATAAATGTATAATATTCATTCAGAATTAAGTTATTTTTTTATTTGGAAAGGAGCTGATGTGATTGTTAATATATTTCCGTACTTATTTTGTGGCGACTGAAGAGTGATTTCCGTGTTTTATTGTTAGCCTGGCTTATTCTGAGCTTGATTGTTTGCATCTCTGTAAACAGCGAGTCGAGTCAGAAGGCTCAAAGTCAGGTGCAGCTGAAATTTATAGTGACCAAGAAAGGAACTTCTCAGGTTATTCAATAGAGATAAGCAAGACAGTTGGGAAATTTGACAGAATAGATTTGTTTTGCAAAATAGCCCTCCAAAGAATTATCTTCAGATTGTTGGATTTCATATAGGACACTATATGCCAGCAGAGACAAAATGTCTAAAACTGTATGGAATTAAATAAAGTGTAAAGGCAAAAACTCCTGTGTACATCTGAGAAGATGCATCTGGAAGTTTCCAAAAAAATAACTGAAGTAAACATGTTAAACTGTATGTAACAGGCTATCCAGCAAATGATGCTCATTGCCATTAGCGAGGGCTGTATTCACACCAAGCCCCAAAGCTGAGAGAACAATGTTTTATTCCATTGGGTCATCCTAATGATTTTTTCAGATTGATGTGTCATCGTTGCTGCTGTATTTTATTGTTATGTTGAAATTTGCTCTATTTTACTCATTTTTCAAAAATAAAGACTGTTAGGGCATAAAGTCTTCATCAAAATTTGTTTACCGTGCAATATATCTCCCAGGTTCTGAATTGAAAGTGCCTGTTATATGAATCCTGTGATCTGTGCAAAGCCCCTACAATGAAGACCTCTTGTTATCAGCGACTTACACGAGCAGCTAAGACTTGCTAATATTGGCCTGTCAAACCCATTTACTTCAGATAGTGTAAGCAGCACCTAACAGTATATGTGTTGTGGTAAGACAGGGAGCCCCACGGGCAGTGAGACTGGCTTTGGGAGCTAAGCTTCATCAGCTGCTCCATCACCTGGAAAGTTCCAGCTTGTTGTAATTCCACTGAGCATCATATGCTGGATGGAGCCTCTGACCCACTGGTTAACAACATGTTTACACCGGCTGCTTCATAGGGTCTTTTTAGAACTACACAGGAGTTTTGACTTATTTTTTATTTAATTCTATACTATTTATAGACATTTAATTTGTTTCCCGCTTAAAAAAAACATTTAGTAATCCATTTTAGACATTGAACTTCATAAATTTAAAGATTATTTATGAAATAAGTGCTGTGTACATATATGTACCTGTTAAACTATCCTGACACTTGGACTTTTATTAAACCTCTGAAACGTATCTCATGATTATTAATTACATTTTCAGCATAAAGCATTTAAAGGGCTAAGTTAAATACAGTGGTTTCCCCAAATTCAAGCATAGAACAATAGACACCAATAGAAAGATAGGGTGATGATTATTTATTATTATGAAATAGAGAAAGTATTTGTTGTATATATCTAGTAATATTAGGTGATTTTAAGTTATCAGTTACAAATAATCAAATTGTCACCAAAATTATTCATGAAACATCCAGGAAACAAGACTGTAAGCTCTTTAACTGATTCTGCACTTGAGTACTAAATATGATGCAATTTTGTTTTTAGTTGTAAGTATTTTATAAATCATTTTATAAAGCCTTAATGGCTAAAATCCCAAATGTCCTTGAAAAATTTCTAAACTTATTATTTTATTCCTCTGCAATTGATCTTCTTACTTCCTATCCACTGGAGTACCATGCTGACAATGCACCATGTTTAGTGACACTTCCTCGTCTTTTCCTCCAAAAACCCATAGATTCTATATCCAACACAAAAGAAATGTTGGATCTATTGTTTTGTTGAATTTTAATAATTTACAGGGACTACAGGGACCTGCAAGGAAATAATATTTCAACTTAATATTTGTAGGATTTTTAAAACAAATTACATGATGCCTAAGGAATATAAGCCTATGATAAAATCATCCCTTTTCCATTACAATTAAATATGTCTGAACCAGTGAGACTCAAGATTTGTTGAATGACATACTGCTATTGAACACACACTAATTACAGGTTCAAATTAGTTCAATCTATCATGTTGCTATTTATCTATTTAACATGGTCCATACTTGTCTTTTTAGCTAAACTCTAAAATAATGTAAGCAACAACGGTTTTTATTTTTTTTCATAAATATAAATGTAATTTCCCTCCTTTATTTAAAAACTTATTTTAAATTTGGTGGAAAGCATACAGGTGGTGCTAAGTGACACAAACATTTCCCTGGCCTGTCATGCTTGGTTCTGTGTTTTTCATCTCAGCCTTCTGTTAAGTTAACCTGTTACCCTGTTACTCCTGTTAACCCTGCAAGCCAAGGCTCAAACAGGAAGCGGGGTCCTTACTGCATGGCAACTTGTCAGACAAGTTCTCATAATAGCATCTGTTTGTTCAGGTGGACATTAAGGATCTCATGGCACTGTTCTAAAGGAGAAGGGAGTTTCTCCCGGTGTCCTGATAAACAATCCCCCAAATAAAAATACTTACTGCGAGGTAAACAGAGGCGTGTGGAGTAAGGAAACTTGCCCAAAGTATTAAAAGTACAAATACAGTCAGCAGTTATTCAACATTGATCATCATCTACAAAGAAAGCACTTTGAGACATTTCTATAGGCTCTATGTCAAATGGAGTCCTGTAGGTTAGTGGTTGGAGCACTCGCCTCACAAGCGAGAGACCTGGGTTTGATTCCTGGGCAGGGGGAAACGTTGGGTGTGTTTTGCAGCTACTTTGCATTGTGAGGAATTAGACTAAAGTATTGAAATGAAGCTTCAGATAAGTAATGGTTCTCTTATTAGCGATTATTACATGAAGCTGATTTTAATTTACTTCAAATTAAGCAAACCTTTGAGTCTGATCCCATGAGCTGGTCGACAGGAAGTAGATAATTATTCTTCAGTGACTGACACGGTTATCAATCAGATACAATTAAACACATCCCACTTGATAACTAATTGGGAAGCTATTAACTTATTGGCTTTAATAGGCAGGAGATGCCATTTCTGGAGGAGGAAGAATCTGAAGGAGGTTACATCTGGCTGGGAAACCTATCGTGTGGGTCGTTGTAAGAGTGCCAGATTTTATTTGCCAGCCAAGTTCTGATGCGCACGGAAATCCCATCACCATGCTTCAGCGTATCCTTGCCAGCAGATTCCTTTTTAGTTAGATACCTATTCTTTCTGTGCCAGAGTCTAGCAAAATATTTAGTAAATACCATAAATTAATGATCACTGGAGCAAGCAAGACTCTAAATGAGATTTCTCAAATACTTTGCATCAAGGGGGCATGAATTATAGATGGGAGTTTAGCACGGGCTGGAGTGGGTGTGGTATGGGGGGTGGATGGGTTGCAGTGGGTATTCAAACACAGAATGCGAAGGGGTTGAGGGAGGAAGTTCCAAAGTTTTGAGGCGTAGTGGCTGAAGGCACGGCTGCTGATGGTGGAGCGGAGGATTTGGGGGACACGGAGGAGGCTGACCCAGTAGAGCCCTGGTCACAGATAGAGAGGACATCGTTTGTGACTTTCACGAGTGCTGTCTCTATACTGTGGGCAGCGTGGAAACCAGACTGGAGGGGTTCGAGTAGGGTGTGGAGGGAGAAGTGCGCGCGAAGTTGGTTGGCAACAATGCATTCCAGAGCTTTGGCAAGGAAGGGCAGGTTTGAGATAGGGCGGGAGTGGCCGAGGTTGGAGGAATAGAGGGTAGGTTTTTTAAGGAGGGGGAGTGGGACTAATCCTGAGGAGAGAGACTGGTGAATAGTGTCTGCCAACGTGGGCAGAGGAGGGGAAGCTGGGTGATCAGCAGTCGGTGGGGAGGGGTTCATTGTGGTGATGGTGGATGAAAGGGAAGGAGAAATGGGGACAAATGAATGTAGGATGGGGGCCATGGTAGGAACTGAGGGTGGGGTGGGTGAGGGAGACGGAATGGGAGTGGTGGTAGGCGACATAGGGCAGAAGGATGAAGGTGCCAGGTAAGGAAGTCCATGACCTCTTCGCACTTGGCATTAGATATGATTGAGGGTGCTTGAGGGAGCGCATGGAGGAGGTGGTGGAGAATAGGATTTTGGAGTTATTGTTGGTCTCCAGTATGATGTTTGAGTAGTGCGCAGTTTATGTTTGCGACAGAGAGTGGTGGTAGGTGTGAAGATGCTCGAGCTACAGCTGGTGGTGAGCCGTGAGGCTAGTTTTCTGACACCTGCGCTCGAGCAGCCGGGTTTGGGATTTTAGAGAGTGAAAATGGCTGTTGTACCAGGGGGAGCGGGTGGGTTTGGAGACGGTACTGGATTTCAGGGGGACCAGGGAGTTGAAGTTAGAGGAGAGGCGATCATGAAGCAACTTGACGGCTGCTTCGGGATCACTGCGGGTGGAAGACCAGAGGGATAGGAGGTGAGAAGATGAGAGGGTCTCGGGGAGAAGTCTTTTCCATGGGCAGAAAAGTTAGGTTACAGGAGACAGCAGGGCTTTCTCTCCTTTTGGCTAATAAACGTGTTAACAGCGGTCTTTATTTTTAAAATCTGCATAGCAAACCCTTTCTGCCAAGTGATCAGTTTTCTGTTATTTTACTCCTCTGGTATCAGATATGTGTTTGATTGTGCATCTCTAACATTGCTCCTTGGTCTAGCTTGGTTTTATACCATTCTAGATCTATTTTTTTTGTCAGTTGCACGGTTTATTTACCTGGGAACTCGACTACTGCTGTACAAGTAGAACCTTACTTTGTGTACAACTCAGTAATAAGGGCAATTGGCTCTTCAGGCCACTTTTCTGTTTTTTTTTTCAATTTGATGGTGAAGGTGACCATAATCCCAAACTCAGTAAGGCGATACCAGTATTAAGAGCAAAAATGGGCAGTCTGTCTGTAACAGTCTATCTGTAACAGCGAATTTCCACTGTATTATGTGCACTTTTTTTAAAATGGAAGTTACAGTAACCAATACTGTAGTTGACAAAATGAATCTCAGAGATGTACAAGATCATTGTTGATATTTAGCTAGTGTTTGTTCTCCATATTCTGGACAAATGTTCCCTAAACTAGGCAAGTATTCTGTACATCTCTGTAATCCTTGCATTTGACATAACATTATCAGCAGTGGTCCCACAAACAGGCGTGGTTTGAATGACCTAATTTTTTTTAAGGGATTCTATCCTTTATATGTAATTGTTTGTAAAATCCATACAGGTTTGGTTAACGTTTAGTCCAAATGCCAGTTGCTGTTTTAGGAAACTTAAATAGCATTTTGGAGAACGTCGAAAATTAATAAATCCCTTCTGTCAAGTTATACATAAGGTATGTATGCTTGGACCATGTTGTTAACTATACTTGTATTATCTATTTCAGGTTGTGTGCCATTGCCTGTCATCTATACCTTCCCGAATCCAGTGCTGTGACATCTTGCAAAGTGCCATCTGCAAACATCTGGTGAGCCCAGTAACCCTATGATGGCTGGACAGAGAGGTTGATAGCGTGATGGCTGACAGAGAGGGATATAATAAAGGCTGGACAGAGAGAGGTTATTGTCAAGGCTGGACACAGAGAATATTGTCATGGCTTGAAAGAACTGCAATTCAACATCTTGGTGTAGGTTTGAGTGAAAAACTGGGAAAGAAATCAGGGATAATAATGATATGAAGCTTTGAATTAGGCAGTTGTGAGGAGACAGCAGATTAGAATCGCAGATAATTGCTGGGGTTTGGCCCTCTGACCTGTACAATTCTGTATTCCTGCAATTTGCCACTAATTGAGCTTATTAGACAATAAATCTTCATGGGAAACCTTAACAGGCCTTGGAACAGGGGCGTCTCCAATCGCTGGCTACAGGCAACACAGAAGCAGTGAAAGTTTCCAAAGGTATTCATTTGTCTGGTAGTAAGGTTGTCACAGTTCAGGTTCACCCGTATGCCCCTCTACCGTTGATTGTTGGTGAGGTGATCGGAATACACAGAGAAATGGAACAAAATGACCCACGTTCTTTTCTATTTCTAACCTCCCTTGTTCTTTGCTGCATTTTAAAAATTATAGTCCAGGAAGTAATAAAGGAATAAAGGAAATAATACTGGAAACCGTTTTCAGGCCACACAGTAAATTATATCTTGTCAAGTTAGAATTCAGCCTTGTCATGTGTGGTATTACCTTGATAACTTCTGAACCCCTTGGGTCATTTAGCTGTTTAGCCTTGAATTACAGTTGTTAGTTGTGTGAAGAATGTTACATTAATACTCTTGATTTGTATGTTTATTTCACACAAGTGTGAGGGATCTATTGGAAAATCAGTCGCATAACACTTCTAAAATCCACCTGTTTGTGTAATTCTGTGCTGGTGTTCTATTTGTTTCCTACATAAGTCAGAAATCTGCTTTGTTAGTTTGGTTGAATGGTTATTACAGTATAATAGTATCAATCTGCAATGTTCTGTGAAAATGTACTGACTACAGGCAACACAGAATCCATGACTGACATAGATTAACACCTGTTAAACAAGCCTTTTGAATGGAAGCCTAGGATTTTAGTTTCCAGGTCTAATCTCATTCTCTCATATCATTTACGATTGATGTATTATAGAAATATCTAACGTTGGGTAAAATGGATTCCTTTTCACTTTCTCATGTTTTTGATTTGGTTGGCTATGTTTAGTTTAAACTAGAACATTTATTTCAGAGTAATCAGTTGATTCATAAATTAACTTTGACTTCTGTCCCGCTTTAGGTGGGTGTGAATCTCTTGCCAGACAGCACGGCAGGATCTGTCCTGACAGCTGTTAGCCAGCTCATAGATCCAGCCTTTATTCCCAATGAGTGTCTGTTGAAGTTTCTCGCCAGTTGTTGCTACAGCCTCCTTTACTTCATACTAACCTTGGAGAAGAACAGCAGAGGGAACACACAAAAGTGGTAATTAAAATTCTCCTTGGGTTTCTGCTCCTATTCCTCTTATATTGAACTATATTATTCCATAGCTCTGTTGGATCAGGTTTGTTTTAGAATTCTCTGTTGACTGTTGTTTTCTTACTGGTGTAAAAGCGCTATATCAAATGCAAGGGTTATTATATTATTATAACATAAAAAGCCTGAACTTGGCACAATTGAAACACAATTGAAACTTTCTGCACGGAACAGATTTTACAGCTACAATCTCACTTTAAAAGAACCTTTTATTCCAGTTTTTGCTGAAGATTCAATCTGTGAAATCTGGTTTTATTTCTATCAGTACAATATTTATTTCAGCAATTGATCATGTAAGCATCTTTCCTCCCTACTGCCAATTTTTAACAAAGGCAGGAAAATCCCAGCTCATCCAATTTCATAACCGAGCTTCTTCAGTCTCCATCCCAAATGAACATCACATGAACACCAAAGATCCTCTAGCACTCTCTGTTCTACTCTATACTCTTTTATTCAAAAAGAGAAGGGAGTTTCTCCTTGTGTCCTGGCCAATAGTTTCTCCCTCTCCCCCCCCCCCCCCCCCAATAAAAGTTGGTCACTCACTCCATGGCTGTTTGTGGAGAATGGTCTATTGTGAGCAAATGTCTGCTATGTTAGTTTACATTAGAATATACAGCACAGACACAGACCATTCAGCCCAACTGGTCAATTTGTATCAGGGTTTATTCTCTACATATCTCACCAACTTCCCTAATCCCCTCTCCCATACTACTTTATTTCCTTCTACCTCCCATACTATTTTATTTCCTTCTACCTCCCTTATCCCTCCTTCCCTCGTTTAGATTACGACTGAAGACCTTCCTCTTTGATCATGCTTACAGTCACCTCCTTCCTCTGCCAGGCTCCGCCTGTTAAGCACTCAGACACTGCCCATGTGAAGGCCACTATATGCAAGTTGTTGTATGCATCAAATTCCCTCTTAAATATGTTCATCCTTTTTGCTTCAACCGCAAATTCCGACAGTCTGTTCCACATTCTCACCACCTTCTGTGTAAAGATGTTCCTCCTGAACTCCCTTTTAGATCTGCTACTGGCTATCTGATTTATTCCCCCTTGTTTTGAATTCGCCAACAAGTGAAAACAGGCAATTAAGAGCACATAAACCTAATGGTCTTCAAAAGCTCAAATGGAGCGGAAGATTCTCCAGTTTCAGCTCAAGATAAGGCCCGGGATACCTCCCGTCATTTTGGGTTCACAGCACAATTTCTCACACCCGATTGGCAACCAATCAGACTGTCTAAGCTGAAAGGGGAGGCCTCTGGATATAACACTGTGGGACTCTAACCCTGAGAAAGGCCAAACTTTTTTTTAAACCTTGCGACACGATGCACAACCATTCTCTTGTCCCACTTGTTTAATGTGTGAAGGGTGAACAGTGGACAATGCACAATGAATGGGTTATGCGTATACTTTTTTTCTGTATTCTGGACTTTTTTTTCTTTTTGAAACACTCCTAGGAAAATTGCTTGTAAATGAAATGACGAGCTAAGATGTGTCAAACTGGATTTGTGTCCACTTGTATTGTGACCCACAGCTAAACAAGTCGATATGGTCTTGATTTAATCATCTGATCACATTTATTAATAGAAAATTCTCTTCAATTAGAGAATCCTTAATAAGGAACTTTGAAAAAAGTTCCACTATTCATGTAAATATATATTTACAAAATTAACAAGTTGAGAACCGAATATACTTTGCAGATTTCAACTTTGCAGGTTTATATATTATAAGAAAAATGTAGCTTTTGTTTTCATTTTTAATTCAACTCCCAAAACAGAATTAGAATCTTGAAATTCTCCATGAATTATATTCTTAAAGAGAGCTTTTTTAAAAATATATAGTTTTCCAATGAATTTTACACTCAAAACTAGTGAAATATGGATGTTGAATATTCCACTTATGAAATATTTAATATTCCACTTCTGTCAGAATTAAGTCCTCTAAGCTCAAATATAATTGGTATAGTTGCAGCATGAACGTCTCTTATGTTCTCGCTACCTCGCCCTGTAATGTGTCATCTCTAGTTTCAGAAGAAATTGTGCAGTAAATTGTTTCAGTACTTATATCAGGCATCTTTAGAATCTTTCCGAAGACTGCCAATATAATAATAATCCTTGCTTTTGCTATAGTGCCTTATCACATCGTAGAGACGTCTCAAAGCACTTCACAGGATATACTGTGAATTCAGTTGACTGTATTTTGTGGGTGAAACACAGCAGCCAATTGTGTACAGCAGTGTCCCACAGTCATTTTTTAATTTAACTTTAATTTTAATTACGGCTGATCTGTGTGGTGGTCTTGTCCTCACTTATAATGGAGTTGAGAGAGCCCAAAATTAATAATAATCCTTACATTTGATATATTGCCTTATCAGATCTTCGAGAAGTCTCAAAGCACTTCACAGAATATACTGCAAAGTGAATTGACTATATTTTGTGGGCGAAACACAATCTCTTTAATGGAATTGTTACAGAATAAATGCATGCAGTTAGAAAAGAGACTACTTTCATTTGATCAATATAGACTACGTTTAAAACTGGATTTCGAAGGAGAAAGTTCAAGTGTGATGTGATGGAATTATTTAAGATACTGGAAGGGTTTCAGTTGGTCAGGGATTCAAGGACACGAAAATGGTCAAAGGGGTACATTTTGAGATTGCTTTGAATGGAGAGAGGAAGCGAGTGAGGGACTCGGATAGAATCCAGAGAGCGGCGGGAGAATGGTTGAACCCCTACCCACTGCTTGGGACGTCCTCCTGACGTGAAAGTTGCTATACAAATGTCATTTTGTTGTTGTTGATTGTGGGGCAGATAGGATGGGGGAACATGAAGCAGCCTGAGCGAGGAAAACGAGGCCTCTGTATGGTTAAAGGAGTGAAAATACAATAGTGATTACAACTAATAGGCATATGAAATGGAGCTATGAACTAACTAGCTGTTTTGGTTTGTTTTACTGTGATATTATCTCTGTCTAACACACATTAAGAAATGAATGACTGTTTATGCAGGGATTTGCTGTGGTCCTCGTGCCTCACAGCACTGATCCACATCCCCCGTCTACTGCGCCTGATGCTGCAGGGTGTGAAGGTGAACGGCAGCAGCCAGGAGGAGCTCCCTGTCATCGCACAGGTCCTTCGTCTTCTGCTCAAGCAGGCACAGCTCAGGCAGCACATGGTGGCAAACGCTGCACTGTTACAACAGGTCATACAGGATATCACGGTATGTCAACTCTCTGCATTCAGGACTCCATCAGCTGTTGTGTCTTTCATTTGCTTTTAACAGCCTTTTTATTGAAGTGTTTTCCCAGATACTGTAAATACTTGTCAGGAGTTGCAGGTCCCACCTATCTCTGCACACCAGCTCCAACATCTGATAGCTTTGCTACTTTCTATTGTAGGTTTATAAATACAGTACTGTATATGATTTAGATGAGTATTTCATGTAAGGATAGATTATATAATGCAAGAGCTGCAAATAAAATGTAGTTCATCACTAAATCTTATACAAATACTGAAAAAAGTAAAGAGGAAAACTACTTTTTACCTTGCAGCAGTGTTTCTATGGTTTATTTCCAAGAAATACAAGACTAGCGCGAGTTTCACAAGGCCATCCCCCATCCTTGCTCAGATTCATTGGCTCCCCATCACCCAGGGGATAAAATTTAAAATTCTCATCCTCACTTTCACATTTGTCTGTGGTCTCACCCAACTTTGCACTATGATCCTATTCCCCTGACCCCTCCCTCCACTCAGGAAGCCTACCCCACCCATTCTGCCCCATTGGTGGCTGAGCTTTCAGCTGTTCTGGAGTTTCTCAACCTTCTTCCCCTCCCTCCCTGCGATAAGACTCATCTCTTTGACTACATGTTTGACCACCTTTCTCCCCAGTTGTATAAATTTGCAATTAATGTTTTGTTTTTAGTTAAGTGAATTTGAATAAATCGTATGGGTTAAGGAGAAATTAGGTAACTCTTTGGAAAACCTGTTGAGAAAGGACCTTATGACTTCTTTCCATGACATTTTAAGTCTGAATTACTTTTTGGTTTTTTTAGAACTGTAAAACGGGAGATGGTCAAGAACAGTGGCTGACAGAACTTCATTACTGGTTCAGTATCTCCATAACAGCACGGCCTAGGGGAACCACCAGTTTGCCAGTGACTTATTAAAATTTGCTGAATCCACAAAACAGACACTCACTTGTAAATCCTTGTAGTGGAACACATTTGAGTCATTGGACCACTGCTCAAGCAATGCTGAAGATAATTCAAGCCGTAATTTGTGAATAAGAATAAAAACATGTTGTGCTGGACCATTTTCTCCTTGCCTTTCCAAATAAAGTGGAACCCACACATTTGTTATGTGAAGAGTACACTTAAAATGTAAGCATATCAAATGCAAGGATTATTATGATACTCATTACTTTGACATGTAAGGGAGTATTGAACTGGGACAAATGCACTCCTGTTGAAGTTTGCATGGGGAGTACCCTCGCTGTTTCCACAAAGATTGTGGAAGTGTGAAAATATTTTATTGATTAACATGCAAAAACCTCTTACATTCTACAAAGATCAATGTTTTATTTGTTTAAAAATGTGCCATTAGTGCTTTTGCTTCTCCTTGGATTGACTCTGAACATTGTAAATACAATGACATTCAGATTAGAAGAATACCTTGGCATTTTTCTAAGCATGCACTGCAAATCTCCACAGAATATTCTACTGTGAACATGATTGTATACGTTCAACTCACACCTGTTTCTTTACAAGATATGTTGGGTTTTGTTTGATCATTTATTTTATTACCAAATAAATCCCAGAAAAATATTACTTTCTCCAAATCTTTATTGAAAACCGTATAATGTAGTAGATGCATTTATATAAAAAAACTACAAAAATAAATGTTACAATGTGAAGTATTTGATACAAAATATGTTTATCTACAGGATGGATACATATTTTACATACATAGTTCAACAAAGGTGAATCATCATGTAATAAATAGCAATGCGATCTTGTAAATTGTTGAAACCCATCATTGAGGGTAGATGAGATGGTTGATAAAGCTCCAATGGATGTAAATGTATTATTTGCCTTTGTGTGACAGCACACACCGGAAGCTGCTTGTCACAAAAATATGGATTACTTCATTTGCATTGTTTTTTGATACTGAGCATGTGGTTTCCTCTTGCAAACAATCATCATTTAGATGCTACCAGGGACCTTACAGAGTTCTGATTCAGTGGCATATTTCAGAGTTCAGAAAATTAATGTAAATGGCTGCTTACAGGAGTCATTTTAATGACAAATCTTGGGTTTGTGCTATTTATGTGCAGCAATAGTAACAGAAGGAAACTTGTAGCAGTTAACAAATACCCATAAGTCTGAGTACCTGAGAGACCTTTAACACAGTTATGTGGAACATGAGTAAAGTTCCATGCATTTTGTTTATACACAGATTATAAATAATATACGTAAATTATATTTGTGACCAGAAATGCTTTTGAAAGAGGAGCTGAATTCCTGAAAAACAATGGATGTCCTGCTAAGAAAATACCTTTTTATATACACAGTGGAAGCTAGTTAAGATGGACACATCGGGGAAGGCTGTTTTGTCCGGCTTAAGAGTTGTCTGAGGTTAGAAGAAATATCATTCCCACCCAGCAGAGGACCAGCAACAGCTCTCCCTGCCGTTGGACTGGAAGTGGGTGGGGTGGATTAGAGGTGATTGACAGTTTACAGCTGTTTGTGAACGGCTGGAGCACAAATATTCACAAGTAACTCAGCTGTCAATCACAATTCCCCTCCCTTATTCTTATTCCAAGGTATCTGAAATGTTTGTGTTGTATCCACTTGAAATGTGAAGAGAGTTTGAAGTATAATAATAATTATAAAAAGGTCACTTTCAATCCACGACTGTTTGTGGGACGCTGCTGTGCGCAATTGGCTGCTACGTTTCGCCCATAAATATACAGTCAATTCACTTTACAGCATATTTTGTGAAGCGCTTTGAGACGTCAAGAAGACTTGAAAAGCGATATATCAAATGTAAGGATTATTATTATAATCCTAGATCTTGCCCTTTCAAACAGATTATTTGGAGAGAGCATTCTAAGCTTGTATAACACCAGCCTTCTATAAAACTGGGTGTACGGGTTTGTCACTGCTTGTGGTGGGAGTCATTTGAAGTGATTAAAATAGCACAAGATTATTGGTACAACCTTCAAGCACGTTGACTCATGTGGATTGTTTTTCCTTAGTATATAATGCAACCAGTAACAAGTATAGTCTGTCTTCCATCTTCATTCTTTTGTTCTGGCTTTGTGGGTCTTTGTTGAAGTGTGTGGCCTCATGTTGTACGAGAACTCTTTGGACTTCTTTAGGTTTACCAATCGTTGAACATGTTGCAAGTCACTCACTGTGGATAGAAGACATATTGAAGCTATCACACCTGCTTCTCAGACTCCAGAATGCATCGGCAGTTCTACATTTTGTCCTATAACTTAGGGCATTTTGTTTTCTCTATCTTATTTTGAAGTAAGGTTTTTAAGGTTCATTTTCCTATTCCAGTTGGGTCTATTCTGGCCTCAGAAGGCACCCTGCTTCCAGGCTTCTACCACTGTATCTCTGTATAAGGACCAATTGGAGATGATAATATCCCAGGTTCACCTCTCTCCCTTGTATAGGGTGTTGTCAGGACAACCCACCAAGCTACTGCTTTGTATCATGCCTTGCTTGTTTGAATCTAACTTGCCACTTTATTTATAGATAATATTGTAATCACAATAATTTGATCCAAACGAATCTGATACACGTGAGAAACTGATGCTAGTTTCCCAATGTGTATACAATTCAGAATAACTTCATGAAGTCAGTTTACAGCACAGAAGCCATTATATCTGCTGGTGATAATTTCTGACTTAAGTTATCCACTTTAATTCCATTACATAGTTGCACAGAGTTATACTGGATGGAAACAGGCCATTGTGGAGTCCTGTAGCTCAGTGGTTGGAGCACTCGCTTTGCAAGTGAGAGACCTGAGTTCAATTCCAGTCAGGGCGAAACCTTGGGCAAGTTTCCTTACTCCACACAGAGCCTAATAATAATCCCTCCAAAAACCATAATAAATGGGTCATTTTCAATCTACGACTGTTTGTGGGACATTGCTGTGCGCAATTGGCTGCCGCGTTCTCCCACAAATATACAGTCAATTCACTTTACAGTGTGTTCTGTGAAGCGCTTTGGGACGTCCTCCTGACGTGAAAAGCGCTATACCAAATGCAAGGATTATTATTAATTGCCTGTGTTTATACTCCACACAAGATATTCCCCTCCTATCTCTCTAAATCCTCCCTCATGTATGCAAATGACGTGCATTCCCCTGCTCTGTTCTTATACCCTTTAAAATTTTAAATATCATAGTGTCAATAAGATTGAAAATATCAGGTATAAACATAATTCATTGTGTAAAATAACAGAGCGGGACCCTTAAAAGGCTCTCCCAACATGCCCCATTTCTGACGAAGGGTCGTGAACCCATTGACTCAATTTCCTTTTCCATAAATGCTGCCTGATCTGCTGAATTGTCTTAAAAGTCCTGGTTTAGGGATGAACCTGCACCTGATTTATGCAGAAACAAATGTCTGAAAAAAGTTTTGAAAGATTTTTTGTTCTATGATGGTTTTCACAGGATGAAGATGATGACTGAAATGGTTGTTACAAGTATTTTATATTGTGCTGCAGTTTTGCAACTGGACAGATTGTATGTTAGAAAGTACTTTTGCAGATTTTTTAAAAATAGCAAAGCATTTCTGAATCCTATTAAGGTAAAATTTACACACATATTTGGTCTTTTAGCTATGATCTGCTGTGAACTTTTCAGTGATCTGTCAGAAATATGCAACATATTAAAAGTGCAAGGATAATTAGAGGAAGAAGAGATGGGAAATAAAAGTAAAGATTAATTGTTCTTTTACAATTTCAGCTCTGCAGTACATAATGCATTGCAGAAGACCAAAATGCCATTCAGTTCATATTGATTTACACTGTGCCCAATTTACATAATATCTGAGGTGATGTAGTGAAATACTGAAGTTTCTCTGGCCACTGAAAGTCCTTGAGGAGTTTAATGCTTATCCCAGCAGAAACAAAGTAGTGATGTAGAACATCATGTCTGTCACAATGTGTGAGTGTCCAAACCAGATACAACAATTTGCATTTATATAGCGCCCTTTACACGGGGTAGTGTCCCAAAGCGCTTCACAGTCTGACAAAGAGCCAAGGGTAGAGGGAAGTGACCGTAAGCACAATCAAAAAGGAAGGTCTTTCGGTGGGATTTGAAGGTGGGAAGGGAGGGGGCAAGGCAGAGGGATTGAGGGGGAGAGTTCCAGAGTTTTGGGGCGTAGTGACTGAAGGCATGACCACCGATGGTGGAAGGTACGAGGGAAAAACAGGAGGCTGGAGCGAGTGGAGGCAGTAAGGTCAGATAGTAGGAAGGTGCGAGGGAATGAAGTGATTTGAAAATGAGTGAGAGGATCTTGAAGTCGATCCATTCGGTGATTGGGAGTCAGTGGAGCCTGGCAAGGACTGGTATGATGGTGTTACGGAGTTTCATGTGGGTGAATATCTGGGCAGCGGAGTTTTATATTAATTGGATTTTGTGTGGTGGAGCTGGGGAGACCAGCGAGGAGGGCATTGGAATAGTCTAGCCGGACAAAGGCGTGAACGAGTGTTTCGGCTAAGGTGGATGATGGAGGACAATGGCGTGGTTGACTGTGTCGAACACAGCAGAGACGTCCAGGAGGATGAGGAGGCAGAGGGAGCCCTGGTCACAGATAGAGGATGTCATTTGTTACTTTGATGAGTGGTCTTTGTGAGTCTCTGTGCTATAGGCTGGGCAGAAATTAGACTGAAAGGGTTCGAGTAGGTGGGACAGATGTGCGCGAAATTGGTTTGCAACAATGCGTTCCAGGGCTTTGGCCAGGAAGGGCAGGTTTGAAATGGGACAGTAATGCATGAGGTTGCAGGGATCAAGAGTATTTTTTTAGGCAAGGGAGTGATGACAGTTATACCTGGTGGGACACACACCGCTTACCTAATTGCAGAAAGTATTAGGTGTAGGTTGGGAAGTGCCAAGGCTATGGGTCCGCAGATTATGTGTTGAGGAACTGGTGGAGATTAACCAGCTAACCCTGCATAGCTTGCCATCGACAGCACTGCCTGCAAAGCTGTGTTGCTTATCCAGCTATAAGATGATTACCCTCTCTGTTAGGGCTTTGACTTGCAGGGTTAACCGGAGTCAAGTGGGAAGACTTCTTGCCCCCAGTGATTGGTCTGTCCATCCCAAGTCCTGTCAATGATCCAAACTGTCTGGCCTGTCAGTGGTGCCTTGGAGTACTGCAGACCCTCCTGGCTCAATCAAAACTGCCTCAGAGTCAACTCAATCCCGACCCGATCCTGACATTCCATTGCCAAGCGCATCACCCAGAGGAGAGGCACAAATTGACTATATCTGCCAACGGAGGCAATTGGGTGACAATGTGTGAAACAATGTCACATATGAAAGGATAATCAGAGGATGAAGAGATAGAAAATGAAAGTAAAGATGAAATGTTCTTTTACAGCTTGAGCACTGCACTACACAACATAATGCAGAGTAATTACTGTTAACATTAATAAAAACTAAGCTTCAACTACACAATGACAATGCTGATCCTATGTGCTCATCACTTTCTGCCTTATTATTGTCCAAAGATGATGTAGTGCAGTGCCCTGCACTGCTCCCAGTGTGATACTTAAATGTGAAACCAACTTTGGTTCTTCATCAAAGCACTCATTTATTCAGCAGTTTGAATACGGATCAAATAATAACTATAGGCCAGTCAGCTTAAGGGTTCTGCTTGCAGTCACTTTCAATCAGCTGCCCAAGTTATCTGGTAAACTCAGCTGCTGCTTTGTTGCAATTCAAACAAACAATCTGAATAAGAGTATGTTCTGGGTTTCCCTTTACTCTGCCCTCCAAAAGGTGCATATTTTTGCTACGGTACAGCTCCACAGGTAGTGGTTGCCTTCTGGTACCATGCTCCAAGTATAATAAGTGAGTGAGGGGTTTCATAGCCAACCTTGATCCTGTCCTTAAATGACATACACACACGAACCTATTTTTAAACGGATTTGCTGGTTAGACTCCACTAGTAACCAATGCACACTCTGAGGTCCCCAAGCCTTGGTTCTTGCCAATTGGTCCCTAATACTCTCCGGAATTAGGAAAGCAGAATGTGTCCCTCCATGGAGAGGACGCATTTCATTCCAATAAACGGAAATATCCATGTGTAAGAGGCATACATATGTGGAATTTTGTTTGTTTGTTTTAGATACTCTTTAAGCACGGTGATGGGTTTCCATGTCAGACACTTTGCTGGACAATAACAAAATAATTGTGTCTGTTAATAGTGATTAAGTGTGGAACCTGAATTGATTTTTCTTTCCCTAGAGCACAGCCGATTTTCGTGGTCCAATCGCTACCCCTGCTGAGGTCAGTTAATATAACAAAGAACTCAAATAGTTCAGATCTTTAGGTCTCAACTTTCAGCCCGGGGAGGGGGGAATAAATTACGTAATACTGAATGAGCCAACAAACATTTTTCTAATGATATTTGCGTTATCTATTGGAAAACATCTATAGGAGAAAATGAATTTTAAAAAGAGCAGATTGAATTCGGTATTCAGAGTTAAACTAAGAATAGTGCATTGGGAACAGACAGGATATTTCTTTGTGTGTGTTACTTTTTGAAGGAACCACATCCGAAGATAAAATACCACTTCAAATACAAAAATAATAAATCCAAGAACTGTAGTTTGACGTTTAGCCCAGAAACCACATTCTGTGCACTGGTTAAAGAGGGAACCAGCAACTAATTTAGCCACAAGAGCAATTGAAAGGATAAGGAGCATGATACCCAAAGTGTCTGTAAGGCAGGCTAGGGTCAAGGGTCTTTTAGAAAAATGTCCCTATGTGACTTTAAACATCTTCCTACATATACTGAATACTGCCTAAAAAGGTATTGCCTTTGTGCTTTGCTGTACGAAGGGCACTATATATGTAAGGGCACTTTCTCAAGCAAGTTATTGTTTTTTGTTAGGACAATGCAGTTTGTTTCACAGCGAGTTGAAAATTCAGTTAAATAATAACTTTCCAACCCAGGTACAGTGCTTTGCTCCTCAGTTGCAACGTTACCAACTCACCCACGTTTAGTCTTATTGACCACTTGTGCGATTAATGCTGAAAACCTTGTGATATTTGCCACTATGTTAATTAACCTGGCCTCAGTTCCCATGACCTTTGTTAAAATGGGAGGTTAATCTTCTCTATACTAATAAAATGACAATGTCTGTCTGTGTGTCAGCCAAGATCTCAATAACTGATTGATGTAAAGACATGATTTCTACCTCATCGGAAACGCCTTGCATTTGGAAGTATTATTGGCATATTTGTTTTTTGGGGATCTCCTAAACAAGTCCATCACACATAGAGCAGTTTTGCATTGCAGTTACACCTGGTGGCCGAGGCAACTACCAGTGGCGTTGCGGCATCGTGCGGTCACACAGCAGCTCAGACGAAGCCAAGCGATGGGAACAAGATAAGGATGCCTAAGCGATCATCAAGCCTTTCAAATACAAATAAAAATGCCAGACAAAAGAAAGGACGATTAAATGAAACAGAAGAACAAAGAATAGCATGGCTGCATTGCAATAACTCGAGGGCCTGCAAAGGGGTTCACACAGTCTACGACTCTTCGTCAGAACTGGGGCATGTTGGGAGGGAGAGGCTTTTAATAGCCCCTCTCTGTTAGCCTTTAAAAGCCTCTCCCTCCCAAAATGCCGCAGTTCCGTCGAAGGGTCATGCACCCGAAACGTTGACTCACTTTCCTTTCTCCATAGATGCTGCCTGACCTGCTGAGTGCTCCTAGCGATGTATGTTTTTGTTTTATGATTTTGTTACATTGAAACTGATGATTATCCACTCTAAGCTTGGCAACTCATGGGTTGGAGCACTTTCCACCATAGGGAAACCTTAGTGAAAAGCCAAGATCCAAGTGTAAGAGAGAACAAGACGACAACAATCAAAAATATGTATACACATGTGTATGCATGTATGTATAAGTGGAAGTGGAGGAGGGGGTTAACTGAATAATTCCCTTCTATTGTAACAATCCATACAGCAACAGTAAAAAAAATAATTTCAATAGACAGTGAATATCCTCTCCTGAAAGGATTACAGAATAATATGAAACAAGGAATTCATGAATGCGGAGGAAGAGGACATCAGTGTAATTGTCTTGTATTTTCTCTGCTCATTAAACCAAGATTAAATATAATCTAAGAATTAAATGTCCGATTAGTTTGGTTGATGATGCTTAATAGTTGAGTTAATTACAAAATAAACCAGAGCTAAAGAAAAAAACATCACAGTACTGTCCAAACCACACCACTGTTCCTTGCCTGGGAACCTCCATATGCATCTCACCTTCTACTCCTGAACCCTGCATACATATTAGTTTACTGATTATGGATTCTAAAGCATAATATTCATAACAGGAAGTTAGAAGCAGAAGCTCCTCAAGTTATAATATTATTACATTGTTGAGACACCTCAAAGTGCTTCACAGGATATAATGTAAAGTGGTGTGACTGTATTTTATGGGCGAATGCTGCACATCAGCTGTAAGTGTCTCACACACATCTGCCAACTGTTCCTCCTTGCACCTTCTGATTACGAATATGGTATTTGCATCACCGATACTTTCACTTGAGATCAGATCTCTAACTGTACTCTTAAGGAGTGATTGCTTAACGGGTATAATTGGAAAAAGGTAGCATTTCCTCAGCTTGTGGATGTATTCCGAGTAAGATACATAATTCAAATAAATATGTTGGGAGTTGTTTTTCCCACAGAACGAAGTACTTACAGTGAGTCTGGCGAAGCATAAGTTGAGTGTGGGTCCTCACATTAAGAAGGGTGTTGCAGGCTGAGCGGTTTCTTTGAAATGTATCTTTCACATGGGATTCAGCTGTGGCAATACAGAATGAGAAGACAGTCACAAACTGTACCACACAGCTTTCATTACCTTTCAACAACAACTTGCACTTTTATAGCACCCCTCACACAGAGCGCTTGACAGTGGCAAAGCACGGCGTGGAGATGGGGGAGGTGATCGAAGGCATGGTCAAACAGGACCGTGCTTTCGTGGGGAAGGAGGGGGCAAGGCGGAGAGATAGAAGAAGAGTGTTCTAGAAGTTCGAGGTATGGTAGCTGAAAGCGCCTCAGAGATCTGTCATGTCCATCACCAAACCACATTCCAATACATCAATAAAAATCTGAAAGGTTTATTAAGTGGAACAGATCTCTTAGCATTATACTACACCACATCTCTGCTACATCACTGCTTGTCTGGCAGAGTAATATGAAACTGCTGATCAGTGACAATTCATACTCAGCCAATTAAACTTTGAACAAGATTATACAAAATTGGTCATTCATAACTGAATAGGAACAAGGTCATAAAAAGTGTTTGTATTGATTAATATGGCTAGCAGGTACACATTATGACTTGGTATAGAATAGACCAATTGGTCAAGACTGTAGCTGTTTTATAAACTTAAAAAGTGTCAAAAAGTATAAAATAAGATTAAAATTACAACAACTACTTAATTCAGTTCTGGGTCCTTTGTTTCTGCTGACAGGGGGTCAGAACAGATGTTGATTTGTCACCGATTTATGACAACATTAAGATTAAAAACTGAGATGTCAGTTTATTGAGGAAGAATCTGCTAATGATCAAAGATATGTGCAGGACATCTTACAACAATTCTCCAGCCAAAGTAAAAGTAGACTTGCAATAAACGCAAAGTGCTTCTTGCCAATTAGGTGAGGTTGATCCAATTACACCTTTGTGAAAGACCAGAGCAGCTCCAATCACACTTTCAAATGCAAATAATAACAGTATAAACAGTACCTCAGTTCCATAAAGTAGTCTCAAGCTTTGCTTGCTTAAGACTAGTTTCTCTGTTGCTACAGAGAAGAGAAGATTACTGTTGTGTCCTATATACCTACTTTCTGATAACGAATATGAAACCCAAGGTTACCTTTACTGACACTAGATTGTTCTGGTGAGCTAAATGAAAGACTCCAATATTCATTCAATAGAAACTCACACACACATACCTAACACAGAGCTAATTATATTAGGGGCAATCCCAGGAATCATGAGACGAATGCTCAGCTTTAAATATTTTAACACATCTCAGCTTTAAATATTTTTCATCCTGTGGGAACTGACATTTTCCTCAGTGACTTAACTGTGAGCAAATTCCCCAGAAGAAATGGTCTGAGATGGGACATACAATATAATAAGTAATCGATTCTTACAGCATTCATGATAGAGAATGCTGATTAACTGATTGAACCCTAGAAAACTATCTACAGTGAAGGTAGCCAACTTGTCAAAATGCCAATAAATATACTGCAAGCTTGAATTTGCCACATACAATACACACCATTGCCATATATAAAGTTTTACTTTTAAAATTACACGTTCATTACACAAAAGTAACAATTAAACAGATATTGCTGATAGATCAAATAATTTAATTTGTTGGTCAGTACATTGAGGAAATATATTTTATTCCTAGCAACAGCTGAATAGCAAAGGCAAGCAGATTTCCAGGATGCCTCGGGGCCATTGGATCTGTTCAGTAGAAATGAGAAAATCTAATTGCTGTATAAATGGCATCTGGTATCAAATAAAATATGCAGCTTCTCTTTGGCCTTATTAACACCGGAGGGTTTGACAGTTTGGTGCAGGACAAATCACATTAGTTTTCCCTTTATGTTATCCAGTACTGTGCAAACCGATTGTTATTGAATGCCCCATATGATTATTTAAATCGAATATTTGGAGCTGGGTCTCATTCAGTGTGACGTCAAAATGTTACTGTACAAAATGCTGAAGGCACAATCAACAAGGAAGTGGTACAAATAACTCGTCTTTCATTTGTTTGAGCCAATACATCTGTCAATTGCTGATTCAATAGATAAAGATTAAAAGTTTTCAGTCCGACTTGTTAGCCAATGATACCAGCTGCAGTGTAGGTTCTGTACGAGCAGATCAATGCAGATGAAGTACTGAATTTCCCATATTGGCTACTTCAACGATAAAACATTCACAGAAACAATGTAGCCTTTTACACAACGTGTAGGTTATTTTTAAATGACCAGCTGTAAATGCATCACTACACAAACAGTTAAAGCAGCACTCGAACATGGTGAACATTCTCCAATGCCCTCCTCACTGGCCTCCCCAGCTCCACCCACAAAGTTCAACTCATTCAGAACGCCGCTGCCTTTATCCTCACGGGTACCAAACTCTGCAGCCCCATCATCCCAGTCCTTGCCAGGCTCCACTGACTCCCAGTCACAGAATGGATTGATTTCAAGATTCTCACACTCAACTATAAATCACTTCAATTCCCTAGCACCATCCTACCTCTCCAACTTGCTCACACTCTTACCATTCTAACCCGCCTCTTCGCTTGGCTGGCTCGGGTATGTCCCCCGACTCCTCTGCTCCATCATTGACAGCTATGCCTTCAGTCCCAAACCTCTGGAATTCCCTGCCTCAATCCATCCAACGTGCCCCCTCTTTTCTATATTAAATCACAACTGAAGAGTTTCCTCTTTGAAAGTGCCCGTCACCTCCCCTTTCTATCCGCTTCAGCGGCAAACTGCTATCATTCAGCGCTTTGAGATGCTTGCTACCCTGCGTGAATAGGGTACTTATTTTGTAATAGCAAACAAGTGCGAAAGCGACTGCACCAAAGTGTAATAAAGTTATTTTTTCCCTTCTTCTGTGAAAAGTTTCTGAACTGTTACAAGTTTCATTGTGAAAAGACACAGTGATCCTAAGAATTTAATCATGTACCAAGCATGAAATAGGCAAACATTTTGCAAATACGATATAACACATTCAAGACTATTCATTATAGCAAAAAAAATCACAATTAGTCAAACTGTAAGCCATCACTGCTCGTTTAGTAATACTGCTAAATGAAGTGCACAGTTACTCCCCAAGCCTGATGCATGAATTGACATTACTTGCTGTACAAGCTTTTCTGGTTTTGGTGTTGTAATTTTTTTTACAATGAGCACAGATCATCAGGAATTGTATGTGGCATTACTATTGACAGCCTTGAACTTTTCAGACGGTTCCTCGTGCTGTCACACGTGACTACGGTTGAAAGGAACTCCAAAATTCTGCTTAATACAGACCGAATGCTTCCCGGGCTTCAGTTTATTCAATATAACCAGTGGATTGTATCAGATGTCAGCAGATTCTCTTCACCAAAGTCCTATCATAGTTATATCAATTTTATCTTTTCAAACATCAGGCTGCAATGACTACAGATACTAAAATTTCCGAAAATATATATTTAATATATTTTGTCAGTTTCTCCCTATTTATATTTATCATCTCATGCTGTTCTCCTTTGAAAAAGGAGCTAGGAAAGTGGGGGCAAGAAAATTATACTAATGTCATATGATGACATGGTAGATGATGCCGGTTACAAACCTGGGATATATGCCCAAAATGAGTGAAAACAAATCATTGGCAGTATACTACATACAGCATTATTTCATCTCAATGTACTGTATAGGGGTGAAGTTTGTCATGTTTAAAGTTTTACTTTTGTTACTTTACACCAGCTAACAACCGCTAGGTGGCAGCAGATTCCTCCCTGTACCAGACTCCATTTTTTAGACCAGATCATCACCATATTACTGAAGCGAGACATTTCTCCTGTAAATTGTAGGCCCCAGAGTAGCTTCTAAGTTGACTGCTTGACTTCATATTTATTTTTTAAGGTTGATCTGCTGATGAGGGGCGGAATCCACACTCCCACACTAACATGACTGTGACACTTCCTGACTGAGGACAGTAGAGGTTTACACTATCGCTCTGATGCAACTTCAACTAACTTGACATAAATATCTGGTAATTGGCAGTAAACATCTGGAGCAAAGTAGTCAAGTCATAACTGCACCAAAAAGGAAATCAGCTCTTCTAATCTCCGGCAGATACCCGTTTACTACTTTGGACCCTTCTTAAATAGGACATAACAGAATTTGATCTGTCATGATCTGTTTATCTGATATTATCTGAATTTGATAAACTGGAAGTAAAATCAATCTCTCAAATTTATATTTAATTATTTATATTCATAATAATGATTCACTATAAGGCAGCAATGAACACTCAGTGCATCAGACATAAATGAAGTACATATTGTTTCAAAGTCTGATTTTGAAAAAAGAAAACACTTCGAAGAGTTATCTTAAACACCTACTAGCAGTAAGATCGATAGATATTTGTTTGGTAAGCATATCAAGGGAGAAGGAATGAGGGCAGTAAGACAACTGAGGTACAGATCAGACATGATCTAATAGAATGGTGGAATAGGCTCAAGGGTTTGAATGGTCTCCTCTTGTTCTGATGTTCGTAATCTAATAATAATAATTCTTGTATTTGACATAACGCCTTATCAGTTTTACTTGTGTAAGCAGTCATTGAATATTTATATTAAATCTGATTATGGAAGAAGGATGCTATCCATTAATTAACCAAAACATAAAAGTTTGAAAGATCTTTCTGGTGCAATACATTTTGCTGGAATAAACTTTTAAATATTTAAACCAATAGCATAGGTAGTAGAAAGTAGTTTATATTGTAAGCATGGAACAAGATTTCTTTGTATTACGAAGTCCTGTAGCTCAGTAGTTAGAGTAATAGCCTAAAAAGCGAGAGACCTGGGTTTGATTCCCAGCAGGACCAAACCTTGGGCAAGTTTCCTTACTCCACACCTGATAATAATCCCTCAAGAAAAAACCCAATAATAAATTGGTCACTTCAATCCACGACTGTTTGTGGGGCACTGCTGTGCGCAATTGGCTGCCAGATTTCGTCCACAAATATACAGTCAATTCACTTTACAGTTTATTCTGTGAAGCGCTTTGAGACGTCTGGAATCGAACCCAGGTCCTCTCGTTTGCAAGGCGAGTTCCCTAACCACTAAGCTACAGGACTCCACAATAACAGGCCTCCCCAACTCCTCCCTTCTTAGGCTGTGGATCATCTCATCCTGAACTCTGCAGCTCAAGTCCTCTCCCGCACCAGGCTCTGCAACCCTATCACCCCCATCCTCGACTGACTCCATTGGCTTCCCATCACACAGAGGATACAGTTCAAGATCCTGGTCCTCACCCTCAAAGCCCTCCATGGCCTTGCTCCCTCCTACCTCTGCGACATCCTAATCCTCTACCAACCTGCCCGCTCACTCCAACCAGCAGCCCGCCCCATCATTGTCGGGCGGGCCTTCTGACACCCTCTGGAACTTCATCCCATAGCTCCTCTGCCTCGCCCCCTCCCTTGCTGCCTTCAAGACCCATCTCAAGACCCTCCTCTTCGACCGTGATTTTGATCACGCTGCTTCGCCCCCTGCCCTCCACCCTCCCCAATCGCCCGAGCCCCTGCTTCGGTCCGAAACACTGACCTTGGGACGTCCTCCCGCTGTGAAAAATTACAAATGTAATTTTGTTGCTGCACATAATGAACAGCACCTTAACAAGCAAAGGTGGTTACATTAGAACTTTAACTATATTGGGTAAACAGCTACACTGTTTACAATTCCTTCCATAGAACATCCGCATTTATAGCCTGAACCTGTTCTCTCCCCTCCTTCACCAGTGCCAGACATTGCTGAATATTTCCTCTTTGCATTCTGTCCAGAATGTGCTCGTGCACAATGTCAGCTATTCAGTGAAAAAGAAAGTTGACAGATGAGAGCTAATGACAATGAACTGGCATGAACAATATTTTTAAAGAAATAGAGATTTAAAAAATTATTTGAATCAATTGTGCTCAATCAAATCCTGGTCCTCACTTTCAAAGCCCTCCAGGGCCTTGCTCCTTCGTACCTCCGTGACCTCCTATCCCTCTACCTACCTATACGCTCCCTCCACTCAGCAGGCTCCGGCCTGCTTCATGTCCCCCGCATTGGCGGGCGAGCCTTCAGCCACTCTGCCCCATCCTCTGGAACTCCCAACAGTCCCTCTACTTCACCCCCTCCCTTGGCTCCTTCAAGACCCTCCTCTTCGACTGTACCTTTGGTCACCCTTGGCCTCCTGCCTGTACCTCGTCCCTTCTGAAAAGGCGCTATATAAATGCGGGTTGTTGTTGTTAAAGAGGGAAAATACAACAAATGTTATTCATCTTACCTTTCATCTCTTAGTTTAAAAACTTACATTAATTTCTTTTTAAACTATCCAACCTAATTCTATTCAAAATATCTTGAAAATGTGCAGAGTTTCATTGGATCTTGGTCTGTATGTACATTTTTAAGTAAGACAAGAGCTATCTAAGATTGTCACATAGCATTAAAGCAGCAACAATCATTTTATATTTTTGCTGAACATGGTGAAATGAAAAACAAAAAGCAAAGACTCAGACCAAACGGGAGAGGCAACAACAACAACTTGTACTTATACAGCACCCTTCACGTTAAGAAGTCGGAGCAAGGCTAGTGAGGGAGGGAGATGTGAACATAGGTACAGTCAAAGAGGCATGTTTTTAGGTGGGATTTAAAGAGAAAGAGGGTACATGGTGGACAGATAGAGGTAAGCAGTTCCAGAGAATGGGGGCATATTGACTGAAGACTCGGGCACTGATGATGGTGTAGAAGGGGCGGGGACTGTATTAGCTGTATTTTTTTTGGTCAGCCAGATGTCTGAAACATGTGGAAAGCCATCACCATGCTTTTGAGTATCCAAACCAAACAGAGTTCCATGCATCTCACCTACATGTGGAAATTGCAGAGATATTCATTGGAATGGAATGCGTACTCTCTCCCTGGAGACACATATCCTGCTTACCTAATTTCAGAGAGTATTGGACACGGGTTGGCAAGAGCCAAGGTTTGGGGACCCAGAGTGTGTGTTGGGGCACTGCTGGAGTCTAACCAGCTGAAACTGCATAGCTTGCCATTGAAAGCGCTATCTGGCAAGCTTTCCCGCTGCTTGTCCAGCTAGGATCACCCTACCCATTAAGGCTTTGGATTGCAGGGTTAACAAGAGCTGAGTGGAACTGCCATGTTCTGCTCACAAAATATACAGCCAATTTACGGTATATTCCTTGAAGCACTTTGAGACTTCTCAAAGACGTGATAAGGCGCTGTATCAAAATGCAAGCATTGTTATATTAGGCAAGATATTAATTTTGTGGTTAGAGCACTCACCTAGCAAGTGAGACACCTGGGTTCAATTCCAGGCAGGGCGAAACCTTGGGCAAGTTTCCTTACTCTACAAGCCTAATAATAATCCCTCCAAAAAACAAAAACAATAATAAATTGGTCATTTTCAATACACGACTGTTTGTGGGACACTGTTGTACGCAATTAGCTGCCGCATTTTGCCCACAAATATAGTCAATTCATTGACTATTCATATTCTGTGAAGCGCTTTGAGACATCTAGAAGATGTAAAAAGCGCTATATCAAAGGCAAGGATTATTTATTATTATTATTATAAATGAGTGTGAAAAATCCTTGCTCCCAGTGACTGGTCTGCCCTTCCAAGTCTTGCCGATGTGCCAGGTTGGGCTGTCATCAGCAGTGCCCTGGAGTACTGTGGACCTTGCTGTCATAGGAATTGACTACCGAGACTGCCACAGAGGGTTGAATTGATTCTGAGATTCCGTTGCCAAACATGTCATTTTGGAGCCAGTTCAGCTCCGAGGAGATTCCGTTTACCTCTCCCCCAAGGAGGAGAGCTAACTGAACAATCAGCTGTGTTAACTAAACAGAGGCAAGATACACAAAGTGAGAAAAAATGAACAAAAAACAAAAGCAGTTCAGTGAGAATAAATAAGACATTTAAGAATAATTTACTTTTTTTAAAAAAAGCACAGAATTAGAAACTTATAGGGTTTTGAAGAAGGATCACATCTAAGTCTTTAACCTTTTTCAGATGCTGATCCACATGCTGTAGATGTTAACCATTTTATTGTTTTTATTTTAGGAATAAAGGTAGCCTGATGCTTTGTAGCTCTAACAAACTGTGCTAAAGTAGATGGATGTAGTAGGAAACAATTTTTTTTCTATCCAGACACTTGGGAGAGATTTTGCACAGCTAGAATGATTAATGAGGCAAAGGGGGAGATGAGATCAAAGGAGATATAAAGACTGAAAAATGTTCTTTCATTCCATATACTTCTCTAAATCTTTAGATTCGTTTTTGTATGTTCTATGCAAATATATGTGAATTTTTAAATCAAGGACAAAGTACGTACACAAAGGCTATGGAAAGCCTTAATAATGCTGATTGGATCCTTAGTAATATACAAAAATCTGGTTGTCTGCCTTTCTGAACCAATTCTGTGAGAAAGAAAAGATGAAGGATCAAATAAGGAAATAAATTGGTGATAAGCATAGAACTGAGTGAGGCAGATTTCAATAAATATTTAATTATAAATTCTTTGCTCACTTTTTAATTTTTTTCAGAAAAAAGTTGAAAGAGGGATTGCCTCAATTGGGTAGAGGATAGTGCTGCAGTTTACTGACAAGGAGTCTGTTGGTTTGAAACCGAGTACCTGTTGAGTTTGCTAGTCTCATCTGGGCGGGGGGGCTAAATTAGCCCCACCAACCCAAGGTCCAAGGTTAGGTGAGGGAGAACCAGCCAGGCTGTGACTCCTCTACAGCCGAGTGGCCTGTTAACCCTCGCTGCAGAGGTTCACACATGAACAATGGATAATTGTGCAAGGGTACGAGAGGGCAACGAGTACCTACGGAACTGCACCCGAGCAAGAGGTGCAGAGAATCATATGCCAATGGGGGGATAAGTATAAAAATAATTGGACACACTAAATCTATTAAAAAAAGGAGAAATCACAGTTTTCAGCCCAAAGTTGCACAAGTGGTGTGAAAGGAATGATGAATTAATTAAACTGCTAAATCATGAACAGATTATCTAAAAAGAAACAGTTTGCATCAGTACTTACAGGTTCCTTGGAGCTGAACATAGACTTGTCCGCTCCTTAAAGTGGAAGATCGCCGGCCATTGCACCCTTTTCCATTCTGTGTATTTCCTGATATTTCAACATAAGCAAATCATCAAATTCCTTGTGCATACCCCACAAGTTCTATCCGAATTCAAGTTCCTGGCTGCTACGGTACAGTAATTTTCACACAGATACCATACAAATAAATGTGCATATGGCACTACATCAATATCCACATTTACAGGACTATAATCATTCTCCAATTGAAAGATGATCATATTTTAAAGAGATTCAATCTGTCTTTTTGATCCTTTTGCCCATTACATGCATAAATGAACCTCATTAACATAATGTTGGTGAAAATAAATTACCATAAATTTGCTTTAAGACTGTGTGTTGCTTGGCTGTCTTGATACGGGAACTCTTGTTGCTGAATGTTTTGATGTTTTGGGTGGAAATGACATGCAGCTCATTGTCATCCAGATACTTCCTCCAAACCAGCTGGACAGTGAAGGCAGCCAGCTCCTGTTTCCATGTCTCATCATCATTACCACTGACCCCATTCTTCTGACGCTCATGGAAGATCTGTAACAGTCCTTTATGTATCTTGTAACTGCAAATGTGAATAAAAATAAAATAATAATCCTTGTATTTGTTATAGTGCAGCTGTATCAAAGAGCTTTACGGGATACACTGTAAAATGCAGTGCTAGTATATTTGTAGGTGAATATGTGCCATTTGAGCACAGCAATATCCCACAAAGAGCCATGAAGTGAATGGACAATTTTATTTGGAGGATTGTTGGCCAGGGATCAGGAGAAACTCTGTTCTCTTTTCGAATAATGTCATCTTTAACATCCATAAACAGGCAGATGGGACCTTAGTTTAAGGTCTTATTCGAAGGATGACATCTCCAAAAATGCAGCACACCCCCAGCAGTGACTGTGATTATCAGTAGACATATTATAGCTGTGAATGTCACACAAGTTTCCAAATTAAAAACAAATTATTGTATAGCTTCTTTCGATGGTACATTGCCTAGTGGGAAACAAAATATACTAGACTAGTTTAGATGAAGAAGGCCCTTCAGTCCATTTGATCTCATCCTTCAGATTATCCACCTTGCCATCTTTCTGTGATTTTTGTTACAATGTCAATTAATAAATAATGTGGTTGCAGATCTAACCAATCTTCAACAGGAACCTATTGTCAAGCTTACTGCAACTACAGTATTTATTAATTGACATTGCAACAAAAAACGCAGAGGAACTACATCATGTGAGCCGCCTTTCTCCCACAAAGTACACAGTCAATTCACTTTACAATATATTGCTGTGCGCAATTGGCTGCCGCGTTCGCCCACAAATATACAGTCAATTCACTTTACAGTGTGTTCTGTGAAGCGCTTTGGGACGTCCTCCCGACGTGAAAAGCGCTATATCAAATGCAAGGATTATTATTATTATTATTATTATTATATATTCTGTGAAGTACTTTGAGACGTCTCGAAAATGTGATTAGGCGCTATATTAAATGCAAGGATTATTATTATTGTTATCATCAGTTTAAAGATAAATGAAATGTACCGTTTTGGATGTAGGATTCTAATCACCACTGAAACAGGTATAACCATTTTGTTTCCAACCGACATAATCATCCTGCTCAATATTTAGTCAGAAAATACTATTAGACCAGAACAGATTTTAGTCCATTGCTTTCAAAGCTATAAGTTAAAAGTTTAAGAATTTTTCAAATTATGACTGAACTGAATATTGTGAATATCTATTAATATGAATATTTGGATATTCCATATATAATAATCAGCCTGCTGTGGTTTTGAGTTGGCAGATATATCTGTGCCCTATAAAGTGTAAAAGGCTTTCAGGATTTAATATTATTCTATATCTTTGCTGAAAAGTAAACAAATTTGGGGGCTTCAGTGGACTACAATGCGACTTGGCAGATTTTTTTTTGACTACAACTGCACGCTTAAAAGTTTTATGTCAAAGAAGATCAAACAGCAAGTGACAAGATCTCCCTGGAGCTGTCCTGGCTGGAATAAATATGCACTTGAATCATTTCCCTTGTGTTACTTGCTACTATTCTAAAAATGTGAACTGAAAAGCACAGCTGTTCCACAGCAATTTTGAAAAGGATTCCGAAATCTCTGTAGACATTTATCAATGGGTTATAATGAATGCAGTTTTGTACATCTGGGTAAAACACGCACAATGTTGCTCCTGAATTATTCTGCTCCCATCCTCAAGCTGAACTATACTTTCCTGATGTGTCTCCATTTTAAGACTCAGCTTTGGGATATTCATGATTAACAGGAACTTTGTTTACCTACAGAGTTGGTGATCCAGGGCAAAATCAGGGTTTGGCACTTTGGACTTGGGCATATTTTTGATATAATCAGCTGAAGGAGAGAATAGCGATTTAATCAATTTGTATTGACAGGTTCCAAATGAAGGCCATTCAATGAAACTCAACCAGACTGCTTCACCCTGATCGTTTTAATTCACAGAAAGATAAAATTAAATTGCTTTATTGCCGTAACTGATCCTACATCACGCACACCTGGTTGGTTACGTTTAAAAGCAGCACTTAGAAAAGTTATTGTACTTTTCCTACAGTGCATGCACATACAAAGCCATTATATGAATACCTGATCAAAGTACCTTAACTAATGTCATCTGTTACTAAAAGACATGGTTTCAGTAACTAGATCAAAGAAAGTAAACCTGCCACAAAACACATTTATGAGTAAGACCCAGAAAGACATACTGGAAATCTGAAAGAAAAACAGAAAATGCACAGCAGCTTGATTGGCATATGAAAGAAAAAGAAGGGCTTCACGTCCCCCAACACACATAGGCATACCATCAGTGGGGGAGCTTTCAGCAACTTTGCTAGCTCCTCTGGAACTATCCTCTGAAACCCCTCTGTTTGCTTTCAAATTAGTCCACAAATCTTTCTTTGACTGTGCCTTTGCTCTTCCCCCTCTCCAACTCATTCTTTGTAAGGAACTGAGATTTTTTCCCTTTGTGAAAAGTGCTATAGAAGTGTAGGTTGTTGTTGGGTGTGACCTGAAGAAAGGTCAACCCCAGAATGTTAATGTATCTTCCTCTTTCAGATATTCATGAGTAACATGTAAAAACACCTTGGAACAATCTACTTGAAAATTTCTTACGAAAATATGGTATAAGATACATCTGAAACGAGAAATTACCACATTTTCCATCCTACTTAGATCATTGTCTCGTTATTCTGATTGCATAATGTCTTCCCTCAGTAATTTTGTCTAATGAAAACAAGCCCATTCGTCTGCATCTTTCTTCATAACTTAGTCCCCATAAGGGATCAGCCTTTTTACTTGGCAGAAAAGAACCATCAACCTAGACCTCATTTTCCAATCAAGTCATTCAGACTATTTAACATGTCATGGTGCACATGTAGATTATGCTGCAATTTATTCATTGTGCAAAAGAGTTTTCCATATACTAATAATAGTAAAATGGCCCATCACTGGTTTGGCAATAAAGCGGAGACATTACCTAGGAAACAAAGTTTATCAGAGAGAGATGTTGATAGTGAGTGTAATTATTGTACACTTTGTGAATTAGTCTATTTCTCTCAAGATGTTTTTCTGCATATTTCTTTCTCACTTCATGTTTTTGTCCCCTTCTATATGCCTATTCTATCTCCCTATGATTACCTGCCATCCACCTAGAGAGGGCTCAAACCTGCTCGGATGTTAAATGACCGACTAGTCCTCCTAAGGGATGGGGATGGTAAGAGGGGGCTCGTTGGAGCTGAACTGGTTCCAACGTGACATGTTTGGCATGTCGGAATCAACCCTCAGGTTGTCCTTGGTCGTCCAGTTCCTGAGCCAGCACAGCCAGCCAGGCTCAGTGCAGTATCTGAAAGGGCAAGCCAGTTCATGGGGGTGGGATTTTTCCCACTCAGCTACTGTTAACCCCGCAAGCCAAAGCCCTAATGGGTAATCCTAGTTGGACAAGCAGATGGAAAGCTTGCCAGACAGGGATTTCAATGGCAAGCTATGCATTTTTAGCTGGCGAGACTCAAGCAGTACCTCAACTTACACTCTGTGGTCCTGAAGCCATGGCTTCTGCCACACTGCACCTGATAATAATACTAATATCTCCATGCTGGTTTGTTTTATCTATGTATTCACTCTGTCTTTTTTCTCTCATTGGTCTTTCTCTGTGAGTCTTTGCTGGTCTCAGTCTCCTGGAAATTGTTTGTCACACTCATTTGGTCTTTCCCATCTCTTTCCTCTCTCAAACTTAATCTTCCCCATTCTCACTCTGCTGTACCTCACTCCTCTGATCTGCAGAAATTTCCAAGATAGATTTTTTTCTAATAGGCCTATATTTCCATATAGGTATAGCTATTTCCATTATCCAGTATAGGTATTTGTAGGCAAACACGGCAAGAAATATGTGCACAACAATGTCCCAGAAACAGGCATGAAGTGAATGACAAATGTATCTGGAGGATTCTTTGGCCAGGGTAAGAGTTGATCAGGCCTGCAAGGCCACCATTTAATGTCTCATCCTAAGTCTGGCTTTCCTACCTACACCAAGTGCCAGTAACATTAGAAGGAATAATTTGATCTGAGTAGTAAATTGCCTTTCACTGCAATCACAAGTGTATCTGAAACCATTAACTCCTCCTAAATCTTTTAATCCAACAGATTTGGGCTGCATTAAATAATCCTTTCAGTTTGTGCTCAATTAACAACATTCTTAGTACCACAAATATATTACACATATATTGCTTAAATTTCTTTTAACGTCAGGTTGATTCAGTTGGTAATATGTTCATGACTTAAGCTCACAGTATAATATTGACTATGCAATGACATTTCAATGTGAAAAGACCCTATAAAACAAGACCTTGTTTGTGTTTTTACACTGAGAGTCAAATCATCTATACTTTACTTTCTCATCCTCCTAACCACTTTGTGGATTTCCAGATCAAAAACTTTTTTTAAGAAAAGTTGCGGTGTGAAATATTATGCAGATATTTAATTTATAATTCTTGTTCCAATTAGAACTGAAACAACATAATTTCAGGCAAAAGAGGGTTAACTCCAGCATGATCTTGTGACTTCTTAAGCTATGGATAAAGAACATTTTCTGTCTGCATTGCTATTATCAACAACAAATGAGGGTGTTTTTCTGGAATCAGTATCAGATGTACTTTACAGTGATGACGAATTTCAGTTTTAGGATATGTAGGTTCATGTTTAGGCGGTGACAATAGATTGTGCCGCAGGGTGGAAACGTACTGTTACTTATAGTCATGTTGGCGACGGTCCAGACTCTCATGAGCAGGATGTGTTTGCAGCATTTTGAGCAGTGCACGGGAGGCAGAAATGTAAAAAAAAACCTTCCACTGAATATGTTTCACAAGAAATCTTCAGAAAACATCTTCAGAAAAGTAATTTTGTGAACAACATAAAACAGACTGTGCAAGGTGGGAATTTTCATATAGAAGGGAGGTGATTGAAGGCCCAGTCAAAGATGATTTTTTTTTTAACAAGGGTTTGAAGACATGGAGGCAGTGAGGCACAAGGACTTTGGAAGAGAGTTCCAGATAGTGGTGGCAAAGTGGCTGAATCTCTGCCGCCAATGTGTAGTCGGGTGACGGATGTGCTCCAAGTTTGCAGAGTGGAAGGAGGGATGGGAGAATGCGGCTGGAGGAGACTGCAGAGTTGGGAGGGATAGGGCAGGTCGAATTTGAAGGTTAGAATGAAGATTTTGAATGTGTAAAGGAATGCAGCAAACTTCATTCCTCAACTTTACCCTGGTTTACACTGTTAATCAGGCTCAGATTGCTGAAGTAAAAAGCACTCGATCACTGAAGTAAGGTATGCTTCTCGACTATTAGGTTTCTGTTTCAAACTGACATTGACTTGTAATATTAGATGGATAGCTTTTAATATCAGAATTAAAATGGTCTTTGTTGAAATAACTAAGAAAGACTGTAAAAAATATTATCAAATAAACAAGCCGGAGATTTTGTTTTATACAGGGCAATATTTAGGAAAGCATCCAGGAAAATAACACCTACATTTCTCATGACAATATCAGCAGTGTACTGTATAAGGCTGGAGGACGTGACAGAAGCATAGGGAGACACAACTCAGACCATTCTTGCAATGTGAGATTGATTTCCCTCTCACTATACTTGTAAGGACAAAGGTTTTGCAGAATAAGCATCTTTGAGATTTTGTTCACATCTTCAGAGCAGGCAGCTAAAATTATTGATGAAAGATCCCATTGACTTCCAGATAAAAATCTAAGAAGTGATCTAAATAAGGGGCACAATTCTGCTGCTATTCCTTCAATTCAAGTAAACACAGAGTTCTCATAGAACAAGTACACCGTACAATGCTTAAATTATAGGGAGAACTGCATCTATTTAATTCTTGAGATGAAAGCTTGACCACTGGGAGCACTAGGAGCATAATTGCAAGTCCCAAAGTAAATCAAGCATTCAGCGTTTAAACTGGAAAAGGCAATCGTATTCTTATGCTTTTGAACCTCATTGATGTGGCAGAACAATCGGTGGGTTGTGATGAGTTTGTTACAGTATTTAACTAGAGATCCTCTGAGAGCTGCTGAACTGACTGCATCTATTTCACTGTTACTAAGTACACATGCAGCCAGGAGAAGATCTATTACTTTCATTGCTTGCTAACTCCCAGCATCATACTTTGCACATGAAATGGGAGAATGGCTTAATTTAAGTGAAGTATTCATTAGTCTTCAATATTTTATATTAAAAAAAGATTGTGGTCTTAGCACTAGAACTATGAAGCTCATGATAATTCTATGAAAAGATTGTAAGCAGGAGGATTTTGGAAATCATTCAAAATCTGGTTCTCAATGAAATGTGAAGACTGCAGGACAAGAGCTATCAAATATCACTGCAAACGAGAGCAGTAAAAATAAATCACTAATGTAAGTCACTGAATGATGATAGCCTGCACAGTATAACTGATGATTGTTTGTGTTGATTTGGTCCATTCAATAGTTATTTAGATTAACCACTAAGTGGTTAAACCTGCATTAAAAACTCCAATTAAAGAGTTGGATGACAGTGAAAATTATGAGATGTAGGCACCCATACATCATTCGCTATACAGCACACATGTGATTTGTGTGCAGGCAGCCCCCTCTAGCATCACTTCCTATGCATCAACATTATCCATGCCGCCAGAGAGCAGAACACAGGAAGTGATGTCCAGCCCCACTGAGCAACCGACATTAGGAAGAGATTCTGTCCTTTTCTGATTGTTTTGAAACACAGCCCCCATTTTCAGCATAGTCCTGCATCTAAAAATGTTTTAGAGTGGCAAATCAGTCACATGCACAGACAATTCGTAACATGAAGAGTCATCTGTGAAAGGATTTTTAAAGTTATCCATGTGACAACTAATAAGACGGACAAAATCAGAGTAAGGCAAGTCGCATGTAAGGACTGGTGCAAATCCAGCAAGCCTCGTTAAAGTTAGTCAGATGAGAATTTGGGATTTGTGAACTCATTGCTTCTGGAAGATCTGTCAGAAACATTGATTTCGGAGCATGCCTGTTAGCAACAGAAATCTAGAGTCTGATTAAAGGAGATCAATCGTTTCTCCAATTCTGAAAAAAATCTCATTATGTTTTATTAAATTACTGAGATGACACGTCGGTATTCACAGCACACCGACAGATTCAGACTCAACATACCCATTTGGAAAACAGAGCACTTAAAATAAATTATTTTTGTGAAGTTTTGGGGATTTAATTTGCCTATCCTCCACTTTTAAAATTACACCTATGCTACTCACTAATTTCTTTGCCAAGGAACCCACTGATACCTCTCCCTAATCACGTATTACAAGCTGCTGAGGTTCACTCAATCCCAATTTCCCATGGCCACAAACACCACAGTATTTCCCCTATTCAATACACAGTGGTGCAAATGTTAGGGGGCATCCAGATTGGCAAAAGGTCAATCACCAAGCCACTTCTTCTATAGTTGTTTTTTTTCAAATCATAAATGCAGCATTTGACCTCAAGCATCACTCACAGGGAATCAAAAATGCTGAAAATGAAATGTTGCACGTTACCCATTTTTTGTCACTAGATGTCACTGGAGGACTTTACAGACAACACTTTGGCCACATCTCATAAGTTTCTGGAAACAATAAGAAGGGGGTACACTGTACACCATATAAATTGTTCTAACATGCTGGGTCACGCAGCTATAAGGTAAAGCATTTGTTGACAATTCCCCAAACACCAAATTTCCTCATTTAGTTTTGGTCAGCTGGGTATCTTCGACACATGCATTGCCATGCTGACACTCCAATGCAGTATTGGGGGCGTTTTACATTATCAGTGGTGCCATCTTTCAGATGAGACATTAAACCGAGGTCCCATCTGCCTGTTCAAGTAGACATTAAAGATCCCAAGGCACAATTTGAAAGAGAAGGGAATTTCTCCTGGTGTCCGAGCCAACATTCCCCCAGATAAAATTGGTTACTCACATCATGGCTGTTTGTGGGGCACTGCTGTGTGCAAACTGCCTGCCACATATACACAGTCACTTCACCTCACAGTAAATCCTGTAAAGCGCTTTTAGACCTCCTTCTGACATGAAAGGCACTGTGCAAATGCATGGGTTATTATTATTATATTGAGTATTTAAACCAGACTCAGTGATATATATTTTTGCCACTTACACATGGGAATTTCCCCCTAGAATGGAATGTGCCCTTTATCCCTGGAGGGACACACCCTGTTTAACTAATTCCAGAGATTATTATGCACAGTTTGGTAAGGTTTAGGATCCAAGTGTGCATTTGGGCACTCCTGGAGTTTAGCTAGCTAAAACTGCAAAGCTTGCAATTGAGAACACTGTTTGGCAAGCTTCTGCTGTTTGTCCAGCTAGGGGCCCCCAACCCATTAGGGATTTGGCTTGCAGAGCTAACAGGAGCTGAGTGGGAAGAATTCCTGCCACCAATCTGCCTTTCCCAATTCTGCTGATGAACTGAGCTGGCTGATCTGCCATCAGCAGTGCACTGGAGTACTGCGAGCCTGCCTGGCTCAGGACTCTAAGACTGCCACAGAGGGCTGGCTCAGTTCCAACATTCAATCATCAAGCACTTCACCCTGTAGCCAGTTCAGCTGCAAGGGAATTTTGCTTATCTCCTCACTAAGAAGGATAGTCACTAGCTTGCCAATTGACATCCGTTGGGAGGACATTTCAAAGCACTTCACAGGATATACTATGAAGCATTGGTGGCCAACCTGTGGCCCGTGGGACGGAAGTGGCCTATCGGGCTGTCAAGAACCCCCAATTTCCACCCCACACCGAACATTCGCATGAGTCCAGATGAGTCCGTATTCAATTGATAGTGTATTTCCATTTTTTTCTTGATTGAAAAGGTTGGCCACCACTGCAATAAAGTGCAGTGACTGTGTATTTTGTAGGCGAATGCAGCAGCCAATTTACTCACAGAAGTGTCCCACAAACAGCCATTATGGGAATGACCAATTTTATTTGAGGGATTGTTAGCCAGGACACACTCCCTACTGACCAAAACATCAAGATAAACACGTTTTTGTGTTTTTTAAAAGCTTCACGGGATTCTTAAAACACCCCCAGAAATATATTGAAAAGAAAAATAAGATAAAACAACAGGAATGAACATCTGAGCACCATATGCCTAAGGCAAGATGTAGCTTTTTTTATTTTCTCATCCTCCCTTTGTTAAAAGCATTTTAATTATAAACGATTAATTGTACCTTCTCCATGCCTTCTGTATCACTGTAGCTGCCTGGTTCTTCTTTCGAAAAAGCTCCTTTCTAATTCTCTCCTTTTCCACTAATCGTAACCGGACTTCCAATGGAATAAGCTGAATATTTAAATTGTGTCTCTTCACGGAAATGTGAGGGTTGTCTTCTGTGAAAAGAGATTGAGAAATGCTCATTCTGTCTTGTGCACTTTCGTTGGTACCATTTAGGTAATCATTGGCTGGTATGTTTGGTGTAGAACTGTCAAGAACAGGAACATTAATGTCAGAAGTCTGGTTACCATTATGCATGGTAAAGTCAGCAGTATCAACACTATTTAGGACAACAGGTTTTGCACTTCCAGGCCGGCTGGAGCCAGCAGGTGAGAACCGACCACACTTCAGTCCTGTATCAGGTCCTCCAAGTCCTCGTGGTATTCCTGGTATATGGTATCCATTTTCCATTGATGGTGATGCACTTGGCGGTTTGACCATTTTTTTCATTGTGCTGGCTGACCTAAACCCAGCACGTTTGGGATTCCTGCCTTTGAGTCTATTAGTAGTTTTGGAGAGTGTTCTTTCACTCCCAGTCCTATCACTTCCACTTTCTGAAGGAATCAACTGTCTTGAAGAATGCGGTTGAACAGAGGTGTTTTCTGCACAGGTGGGTTGGTGATCAACGATACAACTGCTCTTGGAGTAACTTCTGGGTCGCTCTAAATTAATGACAAATTAACTTTGTTTTAAAACCTCAATGATAGTTTATTACATTTTTGTAAAAGTATCACTAACTACAATACAATAAAAATGACAAGTAGAATACTTTCGAAAAGGGAAGCTAAACCTATTCATGAACAAATGTGACCGATGCTGCTACTGCTAGGAAGAAAGACAAACACTCACTGAATCATAGTCATTTTTTTTAACACAAAGATTAAGAATGCGAGAGTGCTCAGTGCTGGGAAGAACAACACTCTGGCACTCAATGTCAGCTTTACCACCTCCAGGTAAGGTATTGCATTGGTCAGATGGCCAAACAACATAACAACAACAACTTGCATTTATATAAGTCCTTCACCCAGGGTGGGGTCTCGAAACGCTTAAAATGTGGTTGACATTAGAATACAGCCTATACCCATTGCACCGATGTGGCAATTCTATAGGGTGTCAGCAATCCACCCTTGTAGTCTTGTAGCTCAGTGGTTAGAGCACTCGCTTTGCAAGTGAGAGACCTGAGTTCAATTCCAGGGAGGTCAGGGGGAAACCTTGGGCAAGTTTCCTTACTCCACACACCTAATAATAATCCCTCCAAAACAAAACAATAATAAATTGGTCATTTTCAATCCACGACTGTTTGTGGAACATTGCTGTGCGCAATTGGCTTCCGCGTTTGCCCACAAATATACAGTCAATTCATTTTACAGTGTGTTCTGTGAAGCGCTTTGGGACGTCCTCCCGACGTGAAAAGCGCTATATCAAATGCAAGGATTATTATTATTATTATTATTTATTATATGGTCACTTTGAGTGTGATTTACTATTCAGTGTTAATTGATGGTAAATTGTGGACAAATTTGTCTTGGTGCCTCATATCAAATAGATACTAGAATGAACCTGCCTGAACCCATTTCATACAGACAGAGAGGCGAGACATTCAACCTACTAGAAAAGGCCAGACAACTTTTAAACTCAGGTTCCAAATCGTAAGAAGGCAGCTTTCTAACCCGTGATACCACCCAGCCACAGATTTAATTTTCATCTGAACCAAATATATGTGTTACAGTTGAAACAGATGATCCCCAGATCGAACACAAATACTATGTCACAAAAAATAGGGCACCAAGTCATTAAAAGAAAATATGTTAACACTAGTCGGTTGTCTGTTAAGGTTTCCCTCAAGGAACATGTTTTACTGCACAATTGCAACACTGTTTACATATGGGCTTTTCACAGTTATGAAAGCTCTTCAAACTTACTGTTACTAGTGCAAGATACACAACTGAAATACACATGTATAATATTTAGTTCAAACACAAGATTTTCAAACGAACCCCTTGACACTTTATTTTCACCTCCTCTTCAGAGGGTGTAATGCATGCTGGTGTATGGTTCTACAGGCACAGAACACCATTTAGTATCTTGCCTTAAGTGGCTATTTTTCATGTGTGAGTCTACATTGTGAATGTTGGCTGGCCATTAGGTACCCGATATAAGGAAAGACTGCTGTACTTGGAATTGTTCACATTNAAAAGAAGACAAAAGGAAGGTCTTATTAAAGTATTCAAGATCTTATAAGGATATAGACAATATGTTTAACATGGACAAAATTCTAGAATCAGACCCAAAAAGAAAAGGTGATCAGACACTTCTAATTACTTTACACGAGTGGTGAATATTTGAATAAACTAGTTAGCAAAGTGGTGAAGGCAGATTGTGTCAACTAATTAACGAAAGAACTAGTTAGTTGTTTGACAAAAGTATTCATTTAAATTTATGATTTTTTTAATAAACAAAATTGTACTTTGGAACCAGCTAGATGGACCAATAGTCTTTTCTTATGCCATCATTCCCATGTTTCAACCACATCCAAATATCCACTTCCTATCGATGATCCGGAACAGGAAATCTTGCTGATATCCCCTTCCTTTCTCAGTGACCCTGATGCTATTTAGATCAGTTAACTCAGTACAGATCTAGGACCCATTTCTGGCTGATTTGCACACTCAGCATTAGTTTTATTAACTGAGCTATCAGGCCATTTTTTTCTAACTTCTCTGAAGCATCCAAATGAAAACCTGAACAGAATGATCAATTTCTATCTGGGAAATTGGATTCTCAGTTTTCAGTTAGTTACCATGGGCACAATATCCAACAATGAACAGCAAATTGTTGTCTAAAATTATTGTGATAAAAGTTATTTATCAGACTGATTTCCACATGTGTAGATTTAGAGAAGGGTCAAGCATTATTCTTACATACCATGTATACCCAAACATTCTGATGCACAATGCAGGTACAACACATTGTCTATCAGATCCCAGGTTATAACCTGGGCTATAGAAAAGTACGGCTGCAACTGTTCCGCTGAATCTGCTAAAGCGCCACCCTCCACTACAAATCGCTAAAAACTCTAAAAATGCAATGTGTTTGGCCCTAGGCTTCTGCACGCAGCTGCCACCTGTTTACTCAATGTCCTCTGTGCGTTTCCTGGACAGAGGGAGTTGCCTCTGCACCTCCTCCAAGCCCTCAACATCATTCCTGAAATGAGATGCCCCAAACTGAATGGAGTACTCCAGTTGTGGCCTACCAATGATTTGTACAAACTCAGCATTATTGCATTGCCTTTATAATCTATGCCCCGATGTATAAAACCCAGAATATTATTACTTTTTTTGTATAGGCCTTTACACTTGCGCTGCTACTTTCAAGGAATGATGTACCTGCGCTCCCAAGTCCTCTGCTCTGTGCAAGACATTGCCATTCAATATATATTCCTTTCCCTAGTTTTTTTCTAGGGAAGAATGATCAATTTCTATCTGGGAAATTGGATTCTCAGTTGTCAGTTAGTTACCATGGGCACAATATACAACATTGAACAGCTCAAAATGCATCACCTCACATTTCACTTAATTAAACTTCATCTGCCACTGATCTGCCCATTTTGCCAATCTATTTAAGTGCTTCTCCAGTCTCTTGCCATCTTCCTCACTGTTGTTTCTAATTTATTAATCTATACCTTGATTTTTGTAAGGTACAAACATAAGCACACGTGCAAATATATTTTTAAAAATTACATTGCTGGACAGCCTGCTTTTTCCTCAGTTTTCCTCAAGTAGTATTTAACTTAATCATTTATTTTCAATACTCCAGGTCTGTGCATTTGTGTATAAGTTATGTGTAACAAAGTGACCTTACCTTTTTTCCTTTTCGTCTCCCCTGTCTCAGTTTCTGCAGTTGGAGGTCGACTCTGAGTGGTGCCTGTAGTCTCGAGAGATCGAAGTGGAGATTCTGTGCCAGATGTTTGCTGAGATCGGCTTTTAAATAGTCTGTTGGATTCGGTCCCTATTCTCAGCTCCAATTGGTCACATTCTGAAGTGGAGCTGCAAAAGTTTTTCCTATTCAGAGGAGGGCAGACAAGCTCCAGATTCCCAGGTGGTTTCTCTGCATCCAATTGGGATTCTAAACTCCTTTTTTCCTTCTGAAGCGCTGCCTCTTTCCTTTTCTCTTCTCCACGCTTCCTTCAATAAATAGACAAGAAGAAAAACTATGATTTTTTTTTTCCCCTTCCCTTACTGCCTCCTGCTGAAGGTGTTCCACAGGTGCTACATCAAAGGGATTATTCTAACTGACCTAAGTGAACCAGGCAGTGAGTGTCATTCCTTCCTGTGTTCTTACCAATATTCATCAACGTTTCAGCAGGGGATACTGAAATGCACTCTGGCTGATTTTTCCACTCTCCAACCTAGGGATGCTGATGTGAACTATTGCTTCCATATTGCTGAACTAGAGATTGGCTAACTCAGCACATGCCAATGATAAAACCTGGCACCTTCTTGGACTCAGTATTACACCAGTTACTGCATTAATCCACAAACAATGAAAACATGTGGTTTAAAGAACAAAATAGATAGCAGAGCAGTCAAAGGATAGTTTTAACAATTTGATATGTCTTTGATCAAATGTCAAAGCACTTTAATAATCAAAGATATTACATACGCATTTCCTATACTGTCAGAAAGGACTATATAAAACAACATAGTGAATTAATGTACATGTGTGTTTGGGGAATGAAATCTTCACTGTAAAAGACCAATTATTCTCCAAACAGATTAAATCAAATTAACCAATGCAATGTTTGAAAGTGAATCGATTCAGTCTGAAAACATTAAATCTAGTAAACCGAAGATGTGGAGCACTTCAGTTTCCACACTTGGTTATATAACCCATCATCATAAAAAGTGCAATGCAAATATTTAATTTTCTGGCCACATGCCATATTAAAAGAGAATCAACAAGATTGAATTAATACAGAAGAGTCATGCATAATTGATGTTAAACCATGTCTATGAACCTCCAATCTCGGTCTGCGCTACATTTTACACAGCACAGTTCTTTGACTGCACTGCAGGAGGTATGTGCTTGCTAATACATTTGGAAAAAAAAGCATACACATCGCAATTTAATAGGTGTGCTTCTGCCTTTAGTACTCTATAGCATTTCTTGCAATTCATCACTGACAGATGGTATGTGTCATTATGTAGAATTCTGTTGTCCTGGCGAATGATTGATTAATGCTGGTATATCGTATTTCGACTGTCACCACATTAGCACAAACCACAGCAAATGACAACCTACTTATGTAATGTGTCACCACCATTTCCCAAGATCCATGTCAATGACAGCTGATGTCAGTTCAGTGTTACCTGTCAAGGCAGAGTCCAAACTTTATCTGTCATTGCTATCTGATCTTACCTTCTCCATGGAGGGGGACAATTAAATCTTGGTATCTTGATACCAGCCAATTGATCTCAACTTGGGTGTCTGGCAGTTGATGCCGTCCACCAGTCCCTGTGGTTCTGATCAGAATGTCTGCCGTTATACAAACTATTGACCCGATACAAACAGATTGCGATTGTCCTTCCCATTGATATGGAGGGTAGACTCGCAAGCTTGATCTCTTTTTTGTCTATCAGTGAAATCAATCTCCAGTACTTCCAAATGAGTCTTCAAATTGAGACAGAAACAAAAAGCCTGAAGCTAAATGGATTCCACACGAAAAGATAATGCATAAATAACAAGACCAACCTATGAACATTATCTCATTTGGCATGAGCTAAATATAGTAATGAAAGATAATTACCCATAACAAATGCTCACATTGAATACACTACTGTTTAAGCCAAACAAGGCCACAAACTAATCACCCGACAAGCTGATATCAATTTTGGATTGAAAGTGGTCTGAGAATCTGGTTCCTCATAAAATTCGACTTGTGTGAGCTTCCCACAAACCTTTCAGCTGTCAGTCAGCTGTCTTTGCTTCGAGAGCTCTGTAGCACAGATCAGTGTAACAAGATGCTAACTATCGCTTTGCCAGCTGCCAGATATTGCCCCTTCCACTCTCCCCAAAAATACTACACAGAGAAAAATGATTGCAAATTGGAACAAAAATGAGTATGAAAGGTAAAGTATTGAGTTCCAAGTCCCAATGTTCAATATAGTTAAGATGTAGGTTTGCACTTGCCATTCCTGCATGATGATTTCTTATCACTTACCTGAACAGGAAAATAAAGACCTCGGTTTGTTACATACAAAAGACAGCCCTTTGATAATATAAGGCTGCTGCCCCCCAATACTCCACTGCAGTGTCAGCTTGGACTATTGGGTCTAAATTCCATGCAATTCTCTATCAACAATACAATTTGAAATTAAGGGAATTTGGGGGAAAATGTAATATGTATTTCATTAAGATACACACATTAAATTCCAAAGACATTTTTCGCAGTGCAAAAACTTCCACATTATTAGGGTAAAATACTAAATGGGTTCTCATTAACAGGTGAGGTTCAGACCAACATTATTTTCTAATTTAAATTATTTTCTGAGGCATTTAACACCAATGTTAATATAAGCTTGCAGGCTACTCTCCCCTTATCAATAGATTTATTTTTCAATTCAGAACAACGAGATTCTTTATTCCCACTGAGAAGCCTTTGCAATGTAGAGTTTACGACCTCAAAATCAAGCTACTATTGATAACACTGTTTCATTACCTAAGTTTTAATATGTATGACATATTCAGATACTAGTTCACAATTTGTTAGACACGTGAGGGGGAGGGGGTGATATGCTGAGTCTTTGTTCAAACTACCGATTTCTGTAAGTAGCCATTTTGGAGGGCTGCTAGAGCTTTGAGAAAGCATCTGCATGACTCGATCAAAAAAGACCAGAGCGAATACTCTCTTTTGACACAATGCACCTAATGAAAATGCCTCAACAACAAAGCAATGAAATTATATTTAAGTGTGTGCTGGCTGTTTTGTTGGAGGCAATAGAAAAAATAATTGACCCTCTTGGTAGGCCAAGACTTTCTTTCAAAATGTTCGGCGTCACTCAGGGTCTAACGGCTACTTCTAGTGCTTCAAATAATGGCACATACCTCAACAACCAGGGACTGATGGCTGCTTGCAAAAATGGTATTTTAAATGGGCAATCTTCCCTTGAAGATGCAGAGGATGATCAGCCTGCAAGTGGAGGAAGGGTTCCAGCCAGCATGCATGGTGTACATCGCCATATTTTTGGTAGAGGCACGTAGAAACAACACTTCTTCACCTTCTTAAAGTGCAAACTTCAAACTGAAGCTGACTATGAGGATAAATTACTTTGATTAACCGCACTGCTTATGGCTGCCACCTCTTTGCCTTGATTTACAAGCTCCTTTACAATTCACAGATTTCACAGACATTTGCATTTTGACAGTATTGGAAAGGTATATTATCTAAAAAAAATCCAACAATAGAATTCTGCCGTATACTCAACCACATTAAACACACTTCCCCCCAACACATCAATTCTCGCTAGGCTCCACTGCTCCCTATCACAGAACGGATCAATTTCAAGATCCTCTCACTCGTCTACAAATCCCTTTACGCCCTTGGACCTCCTAACTTTTCCAACCTGCTTTCTCTCTACTCCTCTACTGGTTGCATCAGCTCGGCTGGCTCTGGTCTCTTGCTCATCCCTTCGCCTCTCCGCGGCACCATCAGCGGCCATTCTTTCCACAATTATGTCCCAAAGATTTGGAACTGTCTCCCTCAATCCTTCTGCCTTGCCCCCCTCCTTCCCCTCTCTTAGATCAAGGCTGAACACCTTCCTCTTCAACTATGATTATGGTCACCTCCTCTCTCCCCCCAGCTTGGTATCAGGCTCAGCCACTGTTAAGCGCTCTGAGACGCTGCCCCACACGAGGGCACTATATAAATGCAATTTGTAATTGTTGTGATGCAGATATGATGCAGATATGGGGATACGATGGTGTTATAGGCATTATTTATTCTACTTTTAATTAACCAAGAATGTATTATTAACAATTAAATTATGCCTTTAAAGATCATCATTGTGCCATGCAGTTCGATATTGATTACTTGACCCCCTCCATCGTTGTTCAGTGACAGGAACATGTTAATCTCGCTCACTGGACAGAAAAAGCCCTACATGTGATGGGCTGTTTTACTTTCCACTTGCTGGAAGTTTCTAGGGAATGTGTAGCGCCTCTCTTAGAATATTTCAGCATTATTGAATCATAAACTTAATTATTTCAACAGAATTTGGGCCCATTTAGGTTCAAATCCTGAGGTGGGAGCTGAATCAGAGGGGAAAGTGCTACCTATGTCAATGCGGAAAACTAATCAGCAAGTAGAATTTAAAGCAGGCAACAGAAAATAGTTTAGGCTTGTGTTGTGTAAAGGAATCATAGAAATTAGTTGCTAAACTGGTCAAAAAATTCTCAAACTAGTTGCTATGTCCAGATTCTGTTCTAAAAAAACAGCAACATGTGGTGTGTGCCGGTGCTGCAACATGCATCAGGGGTCTGTGCATATCAAACTTCACTAAGTGTATACCGTGGCAGTTGGGGATCTTTAAAATGAGACCCGATGTTATATCAGGTGTCACTATAGTGCACTCACTAGTCAAAACTTCCAGTGTCATCAGGTCACTGCTGATGTCACTGAGCTAGACTGCATGCACACAATATGCAGAAAGCTGAGCAGTCAGTGGTGAGTTAATATTGGGAGTTTCCTCTGGGTTTGCCATGCACAGGAAGCAGGCCATTCAGCGCTGGAAGCAGGTTGCGTACTGCATTTCCATCTAATACGGATCTACTGCACACCCATGTTATAACTGAACCCGCCGTATAACAGGGTGCACTATATTTAGTGATCTCAGCCGTGGTATCCTGGGAACCCATGAAAATGTCCGCAGTGGAAGCTAGGAAAAAACAGACATGTTATGGGAGACAAGAGAACAGGAAATGGAGACAACAGTAAATATCTACCCAAAAATAAATATGCAAGATTAATTAGTTCACAGAAATTAATCACAAAAACATGTACACATAAAATTGGCCAGATAACAGTGTCTTCCAATCTAAGTGAAATCAACAATTGGACATTATGTGCATCATATAAATAGGACCATTGAAAATCATGTCAAGGCTTTTTTTATATCTGTGCCATGTAATGTCTTTCTGACTCTTAAAAGCTTTAAAGGAAGACAGTAGCTTTAGGCACTGAAGCATCTGACTGCAAGCCAAATAGCCTCAGAAACTGCCCACTGAAACAAACCAGATCACAAAACAATATAACATTCAAATGAGAAGTATGAAATAAGCCTTTCTGAATTAGGACTAAGCTAAATCACTGAAAATTTTCCACCTTTTAAAATTATAGAACCGGAGTAATTCATCTATTTCTTTACTGCAATTCTGATCTCAATGGTTCTTTAGACATCAGAGCATTTGATTATTAGTTCTGCTGCTACATTCCTTATTTGGTGGCGTAGGAAATTGACACCCCAAAATATGACATTTTTGTAAACTCATAACTAAAACTCACTTGGCAGCGTCTTTCCTCAGTTGTTCATGCTTCATGAGCAGATTTTTTCTCTCCTGAAAAGCTTTGCGGACTTTGTAACCTTTATACACAGCTTGAATTTTGGAAGCAGCAATATCTTGAATTGCAGCAATAGAGAGAGCTCCATGTTCCAGCATGTACTGGATCACTTCCTGATGTTCTCCAAGCAAGGCATAATCAAGGGGTGTGTACCTGGAAGGCCAGAGAGAAACACTCAATGACATATAAGATGACAAGATTGTTTTTGGCTGAAGAAGGCCTTTCAGTCCATTTGATATCAGCTTACCAACTCTATCATCTTACCAACTCTACTTTCTTGCCATCAGAGCATCAAGCTTTTTTTAAAAAAAGTCTAGTGTGCTGACCTCATCCATCCTGCCTGGCAACCTGTTTAGTCATTAATTATAATAATCATTTCATTTGATATAGCGCCTTATCACGTTGTTGAGACATCTCAAAGTGCTTCACTGAATATACTGTATATTTTGTGGGTGGAACGTGGCAGGCAATTGCGTACAGCAGTGTCCCACAAACAGTCGTGGATTGAGTGACCAAATTATTAATTTTTTTTGGGGGGGAGGAATTATCAGCCGCGGAAAGCAATCCGCCAAACATTGAATTCTTTGAAGAGTAACAGAAAGTGTAGAAAAGGGTAATGCAGTAGAATGTAATATATTTGGATTTCCAAAAGGAGTTCAATAAGGTACCGCATAATAGACTAATGAATAAGGTCAGAGCATATGGAATCAGGGGGAAAGTAGCAGAGTAGATAGCAAGCTGGCTACAAGACAGAAAAGAGAGAGTAAGGGAAAAGGGTAGCTACTCAGACTGGCAGGGGGTGGGCACTGGTGTTCCACAAGGATCGGTATTGGGACCACTGTTGTTCACAATTTACATTAACGATTTGGACACGGGGATCCAAAGTACAATTTCAAAATTCGTGGATGAAACCAAATTGGGGGGTGTAGTTAATACTGAGGAAAAATGCAACAAATTACAAGACATTAGTAAGCTTGCTGAATGGGCATTTAATTGGCAAATTAATTTAAATATAGATAAGTGTGAGGTGGTACATTTTGGTAGGAGAAATAAGGAGGTCACATACTGCCCGGAAAATAAGAATCTAAATGGGGTAGAGGAGCAAAGGGGTCTAGGGGTACAGATACACAAATCCCTTGTGACAAGGGAGCTTGATAAGGGTAAGGCTATGGATGTTGAATATCTGGATTTCAGTAAGGCCTTTGATACAGTTCCTCTTGAGAGGCTGATACTGAAAATAAAGAAAGCGAGAATCAATGGAGGTATATTACAATGGCTACGCAACTGGTTGACTGGAAGAACCCAGAGGGTGGTGGCACAGGGAATGTCATCAAACTGGGAAAATGTTACCAGTGGAGTTCCACAAAGGTCTGTTTTGGGACCTCTTTTGATTAATATTTTTATAAATGATCTGGAACTAGGAGTCGCAAGCACAGTGGTTTGCAATAAATTGAAGCTCTCCCAACAATGGTCTGTTGCAGTGAGTAAAGCAAACCAGATGTTGGGATGTATCAAAAGATCAATAGCAAAGCCAAAATAGTGGGGTAATCCTGCTACTCTATAAATCATTGGTGAGACGTGAGACCATACTTAGAGTACTGTGTACAGTTCTGGTCGCCACAGTACAAAAAGGACATTGAAGAAATCGAGAAGATACAAAGGAGGCCAAAATGATTGAAGGAATGGAAGGACTGGACTATGAGGAGCGACTAAGTGAATTGGGCATGGCACATGAGCGGCGACATGATTGCTGTCTTTAAGATTCATTCTATAGGGGCAAGACAATATAGATCATGGCAGGCTGTCTCAACTTGTCCAGAATAGTAAAACCAGAGGACACAGCTTGATTTAGAAGAAAGCATTGTTTCAGTGAGCGAATAGTGAACGTGTGGAACAGGTTCCCGAGGGAGACGGTTGAAGCAGTAAGCGTTGATTCTTTCAAACACAGATTAGATAGTTTTCTTTTAGGAAATAAAATTTTGGGATACAATACATAGGTAGTTTGGGACATACATGCATGCGACCACCAGGAAGATGGAAAGCGAACTAGATGGACCTTGGTCTTTTTTCATCTAGCATTTCTTACGTTCAAATCGCTAAAAGTAGCGATGCAGGTTAATAAGGCCATAAAAAAAGCATACCAAGTGTTGGAGTTCATTTCTAGAGGGACAGAAGTGAAAAGCAGGGAAGTTATGCTAAACTTATACTGAACCTTGTTTAGACTCCACTTGGAGCACTGTGTACAGTTCTGGTCCCCATATTATAGAAAGGATATAGAGACATTGGAGAAGGCACAAAGAAGATTTACAAGGATGATACCGAAACTGCAAGGTTATACCTATCAGGAAAGCTGAACAAGCTTGGACTCTTTTCTTTCGAAAAAAAAGGTGAGGGGTGACCCAATGGAGGTCTTTAAAATTACGAAAGATTTTGATAGGGTAGACATAGAAGATGTTTCCACTTGTGGGGGAGACCAAACCAGGGGACATAAATATAAAATAGTCATCAATAAATCAAATAGGGAAGTCATAAGAAACTTCTTTACCCAGAGAGTGGTGGGAATGTGGAACTAGCTACCACAAGGAGTATTGAGGCGAAAAGCATAGATATATTTAAGGGGAAGCTAGATAAGTACCTGAGGAAGAAATGAGGGTTATGCTTGAAGGCTTAGTTGAGGAAGGGCAGGAGGAGGCTCATGTGGAGCAGAAACGCCAACATAGACCAGTTGGGCCGAATGGCCTGTTTCTGTGCTGTATATTCTATGTAATCAACTAACAATTGGGTTCCCATTTACTGCTAGGTAAATAGAGGGATGTGGAAGGAAAGTAAGGAAACTTGGCTAAGGTTTCGCCCTGCCCGGGAATCAAACCCAGATCCTCTCGCTTGCGAGGTGATTGCTCTAAATATGCTACAGGACTCCACAACTCCACAAGGTGTTCTTTGTCCTCTGGGTAAAGAACAACTTCCTGGTGTCTATCCCAAGATTCTGGGTTATTGTTCTGGGTATACATTTCAATCCCATTCAAAACGTTATTCAGCCCTATAAAGGTCTCCTCTGAGAGGTCTCTTTTCAAGATTGAAGAGTCGTAGCTTGTCTAATTATTTGTTATTTTTATTTACTTGCCCTCCTGATCACCACATTCCCCCAATTTAATAGTTCTAACCAGTAAAAAGATAACTGTTTAACACTAATCTATTTAAAATGCTGACATACTAAGCATTAGAAAAGGACAAGAGGTTACTGCTGAGAGGACAACTTGTTAAAAACATTGCTTGGCAATGTAGCTTGTGCCCCAGTAAACTCAAGTCAAGTTAACTTAAGTAGGGCCATCAAGTCACTTTCATACTCTACCTCTCTTCATTGGTCTCCATATGATTGGGAAAAGAATCGTATCCCAGCAACAGCTTCACAGCATCCAGGTAACCATTGTTGCAGGACCAGTGCAGTGCCGTCCGTCCCTTAATAAAAGACAAAAATTTCCTGTCATCTGCTGTTGAGTTGCACATTTGAGAACAGAGACACTTAAAGAACCACCACATTGAAAACACAACAAACCCTCGGAAGCATTGAAACAATAAACTAATAGCTAGGATTATTCTCCTTGGAGCATAGAAGGTTAAGAGGACACTTAATAGAAGTTTTCAAAATTATGAGGGGATTTGATAAGGTGAACAAGGAGAAACTATTTCCACTGCCGGGTGGGTTGGTAACCCCGAGGACACCGATTTAAAATAGTTGTCAAAAGAAACAGAAGAGGTGAAATGGTGAAGGGAAATTTTTTCACACAGCAAGTTGTTCGGCTCTGGAACGCATGGCCTGAAAGGATGGTGAAAGCCGATTCAATTACATCTTTTAAGAGAGAAGCAGATAATTACTTAGGGAGGACACGTTTGTAGGGCTATGGGGAGAGCGCAGGGGAAGTGGGATTGAATTGGATAGCTCTTTTCAAAGAGCCGACACAGACACAATGACCTAATTCTCTGCTTCTATGATAATTCCACAAAAGCAATGTTTCTCGGAAAGTGCTTAATAATACTAACTCCAAGATAGCTAAATACTCTCATCACTGATGAGTCATCAGTACACTCATCATTACAAACTATCTTGGCGCAAACATAAAAAGTAAAAAGATAAATTGTGGGACACTGGTGTGTGCAATTTAGCTTCTACATTTCGACCACAAAATGTACAGTCAATTCACTTTACAGTATATTGTGTGACGTGCTTTGAGACGTATCAACAAGGTGATAAAGGGCCATATCAAGTGCAAGGATTATGATTATTATTAAATGTCTCAAAGAGTTTCACAAGTAACTGCTGCCATTGAAAATGTTTCTATGTAGTCAGGTCTTGTTTACACAGTTAATGTAAGTGCGCTGAGATGCGTGGAGGGCGCTATATAAATCCAACTTATTGTTGTTGTTGAGGAGCTTTAGACAATGTTCACTTTTTTTAGTCTCCACACTTCACAATCCATCCTTTGAAGTGCTTTAAAATCTCCTCCTGGTGTGTAAGGTGCTATATCAAATGCAAGACTAATTTATTATTAAGGCAAAAATGGCAGCCAACGTTTGCAGAACCTGACCACAGTCATGAAGTAAATAATCAATGTATCTGGAGGATTGTTGGCCAGGACATTTGGAAAACTTTATACTTTTTTGAAGTCATATGTTCTCTCAATGTTCTTTTAAAAGAATTGAAACTTGTTCATTTAGTGCTTAGTGGAGTACAAAAAAACAAAAAGTACTTTAAAGTACTTTGTGGTTTACTAAAAGCACTGAGTAAACCTTGTCTCAATAACTCATTCCTCATTCTATGCCACAAACTGTGCACTCAATGTCATCCAGAAGTTAATTATCTTGTAAATCATGGAGTCCTGTTAGTTACCTTTGGGTAATATACAAATGAAAGTTGCATTTCTCCAAATGCTCCCATAACATTTCTGATCTAACATCTGGCTACGTGACAGAGACATACTGAGAAAAAACATGGGGACTGTAATGGCAATGTGTCTACTCTATCATGTTAATTATATTATAATACTGCTTGTACATAACATCATAAACAGGAAATCCATTGCTAATAAGAATAATAAAATAACAATAATAATCCTTATATTTGCTGAAGAGCTTTTCATGTCGGGAGGACTTTTCAAAACACTTCGCAGGATATATTGTAAAGAGGAGTAATTGTGTGTTTTGTAGGCAAGGGATAGCAAAGAGTAGCATTGCATGAAATTAGAAAATTTCAAAGATCTCACAGGTAATTCAGAAAACTTCTTTGTTAAATCACTGCAATACATGTGGTACAAGAGCATTCTCAATGTTAATAGATTACCTCTTTGTCTTGTATGTTGGGATCAGCTTTGTTTTCCATGAGGACAGCCATGCAGTTGATGTAGCCTCCATAAGCAGCACACTGCAGAGGGGTTCTCCCAGCATAATCCTGCACATTGGGGTTAATCTGATTCTGAATCAATATCTGACACACATCTGCATTTCCTCCAAGGGCAGCCCAGTGCAAAGGGCTGTGACCATCCTGGTCAACCAGGTCCACTCTGGCACCACCTGTAATACCATAATAGTTGCACAGTTTAGAAAATTCCTGCAATAGTTAATACAACGACATGCATTTATATAGAGCCCTTCACACAGGGTTGCGTCTTGGAGCACTTAACAGTGGTAATTAATACTTGTTCATATAAAACAGTCCACTCTTATTGCCAATTACTAAGCGGGGTCTCCTTGGTGCTAAACTGCCAAATATGCCAAGTTTGGTATGGAATGTCAAAATCAAGCCAACCCTCTGTGGGCTCTGCTTCACGCCCCCACCACTGCCCATCGCTGGTCAGGCTTTAAACCTATCTGCCCCCATTCTATGGGGTGTAAACCCCCGACTGTACAGCATCTTGTGATGCCCTCTAGATGCAACAGGCACTATGTAAATGCAATTTGTTGTTATAATCTAAGGATTTCAGTGCAGAATACTAGTTTATCTCAATTTTAAACATCATTAGCAAGGGAGAAAATTCTGATGATGTAATCATATCACTGATGATAATTCTCACATCAAATGTCAGTTTCCAGCATCTAAGTACTTCATTTTTGAAGTACTTCTGTTACATTTGATTCATCCAAGTTTGATGCAATCTATCAAATCATTTGAAAGTTGCCAAGGGACAGATCAGTAATTTTTAATCTCCCATCAGCTTGAACCTCACTCTACCAGATCTCTAATGCACCAATGTAACCAGGAACCAAGGCTATTTATATAGACTAAATATGTACTTTACATTTTCAAATCTTTATTCTTCCCATGTTATTTTGATATCTTGTTTCTATTTATTGTACATGAACGAAAACATGAGCAGCATAACATCTATGACAGGAAAGGAAAGTGTAGACTGATTTGTATCAAGAGGCAGTAAAATAATGATTATATTTTTGGCTTTCAGAAAACATCCTTGTAATTCATACTTTGACACACTATTTGGTGCCATCCAATGCATAATGTGACGGAAATCAAACATTTTCTCTCTGACTTTGATTTTCAAGAAAATTCCAGAAACACCTGTAAATTTTCACTTAAGTTTGTTCTCAGCCCCTTTCTGAAGTTGATTTATTGTGTCAATTTTGTGCTTTCTCTTACATATATATACATCCACAAATATTCTGTGAAGCACTTTGAGACGTCTAGAAGATGTGAAAAGTGCTATATCAAATGCAAGGATTATTATTATTAATAATCCAAATCCTAAAATTAAACATTTATAAATAATACTAAAAAATGTATTACATTTATAATTGTTCAAACTAACAGACACGTGGTATATTATACTAATGAAACTGGGAGCCTTTCACAACTTCAGGCTGCCCATCACATGACTGACTCCAAGGAGTTTGACTGGCAACATCCCTGAGCTGCTTGGAGGGTGCTAACTGGTCACAGGCAACTTGGTTTGATTTATCAAGCTTGGCTAACTATAATAATCCTTGCATTTCATATGGAGCCTTTTAGGATAAGAGGATATCTCAAAATGCTGCAGTCACTGTGTTCAGCGCCTTGGGACGTCCTCCCGACGTGAAAGGCGCTCTATAAATGGAATCTTGTTGTTGTTGTTGTTTTAGGCAATTGCAACAGCTAATTTGCATACCTCAACATCCTACAAACAGTCATGAAGTGAATGGCCAATTTAATCTGAAAGATTGTTAGCCAGGATGTTGCGAGAAACTGCAGGAATTTTTTTAATGCCCTCCATAATGTCATCCATAACTGGAAAGGCATCCAAGACTTCGCAGCCCGATCTGCACCAAACTCCATATGTTCATCACCCCAGTCTGTGCCAGGCTCCATTGGTTCTTTGTCTCTCAGCTGATTGATTTCAAGATCCCCAACCCCAAGGTTTAATTCTTCCTACATTTCTTTCTAGAAGTGTTATTTTCCTCAGATGTGAGCCCTCTATACTGGCAAATTCCATCTCCTCCTCTTAATTGCCCAAGTTATCTTCCTACTCCCCAGCCATGACAACAAGTTCTTTGTTCCAAAGTTACAGGGCTTGTTTGAGATGTGGATGATTCATATGTGGGGATATAAACACAGGAACTCTGAATCATAACTTTGTACTGTGCATCATCCGAGATTTTTGAACTCAGTTTGCTATCCTTTCAGAAATGCACATTCAAGCAAATAATGCTTTAACTCATTCTTGACAATAACTGAGTAGTGTACTTTAATAGGTATATACTTTAATAGGTATATCTGATTGTGTAAGAATACCACTTAAAGAGTCCTATCACTTCCACACATAAGACCATTTAACTTTACTATTTAGCATTTCATATTTCTTTCCCCGCCTTGAGCTTTCTCTCCCTATACAACTTGGCTTTTATCTCTCCTCCTTCCATTTCTCCCCATATAACATTCTTCCTTTCTTAAACTGTGATACAGGTTCTTAAAGTTTCCCAATGTATACATGTTTTTGTGATAACCATCTCAGTTCTTCTCACATACTTCATTTGTATTCCACACTATTTCCACTTCATATGTAGTAAAAAGAGAAATGTGCAATATATTTTATTATTGTCATGTCACAGCCACATTCATGCACTACGAAGCCTGTCTAAATTTCAGCTCGAGTTAACCAGGTATTCCATGAAGTGGCTTGAAATGCCAAGTCCTGCGAATAACAGCAATAAAGGTGGCATTGAAACCTTCTAATCGTTGTGTTGAAATCATGCAAGTAAACAGTCTTTAATTATCAAATTATATCAGATTTGACGTGTTATTTAACACATCCCAGCATTTCATGATCTTACCCCACTCTAACTGCAATCTCCTCCAGCCCAATTCTTCTGCTTGTTCTCTGGTCTATTCCCATTCATCACTACCTCCCTATTAGTGAACATCTTTCAACCATTATGCCTCTCTATGGAACTCTCTCCCACTTCAAGATATTACAGTGTGAAAAATAAACTCTACAAGTGCAAATTATTACTCTTGGATCTTTATTCAACTCTTCCTGCGCTAATTCTCATAATTATATATGTATGTCCCATGTATTTCTACCAATGTGCATAGTTTTACATTTATCAATGTTAAATATCGTTTGTATGTGTCTCCCAAATTCCAAAATCAATCTAAATCCCTCTGGAAATCTTTTGCTGTATCCTCTGTCTCTACATTTTCCCCCTATTTTTATATTGTTAGGAAATTTGACCAGCTTTATACTTGTAATATACAGTCAATTCACTTTTCAGTATATTCTGTGAAGCTCTTTGTGATGTGTTGAAAACGTGATAAGGCGCTATATCAAATGCAACGATTATTATTAATAAAGGTTCAAGAAATGAACCTAGTGAGATTCCAGTCTGATATATATCCTGAAGTATAACAGAGTTATTTGTTGTACAGTGGAATTGAGTCAATAGATTTGGAACAACTGAAGAGAATTCCTGGCTCTTCTGGCAGCACTCAGCAATTCCAAAGGTGTACTGACCACTCTCCATGCCACAATATGAAAATACAGTTCAATCAGTTTGAAGGAATGGAGCTGCAATTCTTGGGTCTTCTCGAGATGAAAGGTGCTATTTAAATGCAATTTGTAGTTGTTGTTTGCACTTGTAACATCTTTTCAACATGTTCTAGCAAATTACTAAAGTCCTCCAGTTCCCTTGCTCCTTTCTTCGTATAATTGTTTTTCCTAATTATTTACATTCTAGTTGATCTACTTACCCATTTTAGAGAATGCTTAGTTTGTACATATTCTGCCAATTCACTGAAGGAGTTACTATCCTTATACACTATATTCACCTTTTATGAGTGTCTGGATAACCTCTCTGTGTCCCATCTCACAGGCCCGGAAAAGTGGTGTGTGCTTCATCACGTCCAAGGCATCTACCTGGGCTCCGTATTCTAACAATAACTTCACTGTGCTGACGTGACCTGACAGTGCAGCAGCATGCAGAGCTAGATGTAGAGAAATAAAAAAATAGAAGCTTTGAATTAGACAATTAGATTTTCAGCAAAAATGTTTACGCTGCTTGAGCAGTCTGACATTTCAGATAATAACAATCCTTGCATATAGCACCTTTCACATTGGGAAGGACGTCTCAAAGTGCTACACAGGATTTACTGTGAACTTATTCAAAAAATATATAAATATAAAGCACTTAGGCAATTCCAGGTAACGTTTAATATACATCAGCTTCTTTTGTTTAGAGTCCTGATACAAACACAATTTATCATTCAATTGTGGGTGTAATGTTTGACTCATTAAATGGCCGTTCTTTCCTCACTCGATCTTTCTGAATGTCAGCTTTAGTTTGGCTCGATCATTCATGCAAGTCATTATCAGTTCTTTTTATAATTTTCAGTGTACAACAGTGCAGACTATGTCCCAATATGTGGGATGGAGAAATATCACCAACTCAAGCCTGCCTCAGCTGGTTCAACTTTTGGCCTTCAATAGAAACTAGCAATTGATTTGAAAATTTGCTTTTGATGTGGATCTTTTCAGTAACTGATATCCACAATGAGGTAAAACGTATGACCTTGCTTAACCATTTTCCTTGTGCTAATTAACACAGCCGGACATGGAATCAGATCTGCTGGGTTATTAGAAGGAAAACGGGTTGGGTAAGTAAAGGCCTCAGGCATGGCACTGATCACACAAGATCACAAGATTAGTTTGGATGAAGAAGACCCTTTGGTCCATTCAATCTCATCCTTCCAGACCACCACCACACTGTTCTTCACACACCCCCCATCCCCACCCCACCCCATCACAGCATCAAGCTTCTTTTTCAATGAGTTGAGTGTCCAAGCCTCTGCCACTTCCTAACCACACATGGATGAATATCTAATGAATAGATATGAATTGGTGCTCCCATGGCTAGAAATAATGGCAGGACTCAGCTCCTTGCTCAATAAAAAAACATGTTGGCAAATGGAATATTCAACAGGACTGGGCGTAGCATCCTGAGGTGGTGATAGTGGGAGAAATAATATTCAGGACCAAATCAGTTGCTAATGATAGGTTTTAAGATTTTAACAACATTTTCTGTCCTGGGGATGATTTTGGACAGTTGGGCAATATATAAATTCTCATTTGACAATTTCTTATTTTTTTTACTGGAGGATAGAAATATTAGTCTAACAATGATCAGAATGTCAGAACATAATGGCTTTCAGATATCCACATTTCTAAAAGGAGAATAGAATTGTACATTTCCTCTAGGACATATCTAATTCAATTTTCACCTCTGTGGTAATTAAATAGCATCCTTGAAACCTGCACCTCTGAGAGATACATTAATGGGATCCTGGGTAGTGTGAAACATTCTAGCTCTGTATTTATAACTATCTCTGTATTTGTATTAAATAACAGTTTGGTTTCCTTGGGAGGTTAATTTTCACATTAGTGCACATTAGACTGTGTGAATGGATAAGGAAGGAGGATAAATGTCAGGATGCTGGGGAAAAAAAACAAGCTAGAGCTGGAGAGAAATAAAAGCAAGTCTGCATTTGGAGGGAGAGATCAATTTGTGCCAGTTGTGAACGATTGTGAACTGTGACATTTTGAAACTGCCTTCTGAAACTGATAAATTATTTTGTGAATAAATCCTTTTAATATTTTTTTCACCTTTTATCAATTATTTCATTCTTGAACTGTATGTACTGTATTAATAATTTATTCTGCAAAATTAAAGATTAATGATCAAAAATCATTACTGATTGAAAAAATATTGATACTCAGAGTCATTATTATTGCAAGTATTGATCCTGATTCATAAGTAGCGTAGCTGCTGGAGGCATCAATAAAATGTAACCAAGACATTAAAATTGTGGCAAAACCAGAAATTAATATTGTGGCGCTAATAAGTATCACATATCTCACTCCCTCTATATTCCTTTTAAAAAAAGATTGTGTATTGGTGAGTACAATCTGTTTCTTCAGGAACACATGACGAGGGACAGATGTCAACATGATTGACAGGGGTCTGGATATTTACCTCAGAAGTATGTTTTAGAAATCATTGAAACAACAACTTCTGCGATCCACAATACCCAGAAGGCCTTCACTATTTGAGATCTCTAAGTTTAAAGAATTACAGTACATTCCAGAGATTAGAAGAACTGAATGTTTGGCCACTGATGGTGGCCCAGAGAGGTGGTGGCTGCACAGTAAGCCTAAGTTAGCTGAGTAGAGGGTGCAGGCCTAGGAGTACACAAGAGGAGATTGGAGAGATAAGGGAATGCCAGAGAGTGGATGGATTTGTAGCGGATGAGAATCTTGAAATCAATCTGCTGGGAGAGTGAGAACCAGTGGGGACTGGGTGGGACTCTGGTGATGGGCTTGCATAGTTTGTTGAAGGTGAAGACGGGGCTGGGGAAGTTTTGGATGCATTTTGTGAATCCTGGAGCTAGGGAGACCAGCAAGGAGTCCATACACACCTGGCTCAAATCCAACCTAACGGTTCACTGCCAGATTTGGCTGGACTGCATCAAACCTATCGCTTCGGCCTTGCCTCTGCCAAATCATACTCCAGGTTTGTCCGGGAGGCTAAGGACATCTCCAAGCTCCTCTTCACCACAAACCAGCTTCTCATGCATCACCCACCTTCCCATGCATCGCACATCCTCTCCTGACAGATAGCATTAACCTATATCTGTCCACCAGCACAATTCCCACCCCTTTAAAAACCACTGTCATCACCCGGACCCTCAAAAAAACCTTCCCTCGACCCATCTCTATTTTCTAACTACTGTCCCTTCTCCAACTGTCAGCCTTCCTAACTTTTCCCTCCACAAGCTGCAGATCATTCAGAACTCTGCAACTCATGTCTTCTCCTGCTCTTGGCTCCGTGACCCTATCACCCCCACCCTATCGCCTGTCTCCATTGGCCACTCATTCCCCAGCGGATAGAGTTCCAAACCCTCATCCTTGCCTCCAAAGCCCTCCATGGCCTCGCTCATCCCCACCTCTGTGACCCGTTACTTCCATATACATCCGCCCGATCCCTCTCCTCAGTAGGCTCCAGTCTGCTAGATGTCCCCTGCCTGGCCCACCCCACCATTGGCAGTTGGGCCATCAGCCTTTCTGCTCCTACCCTTTGGAACACCACTCCACAGTCCCTTTGGCTTGCTCCTCGCTTACCTCCTTCAGGCCATTCTCAAGAGCTCAATCTTCGACCGTGCCTTCGATCACCCTTCTACCCCCAAGCTCCCTGCCTCCACCCCTCCTGATCCCAACCCCCAGCTTGGGTTCAAATCCATGATTGTCCAGTTCCTTGCGATGTCCTCCCGATGTAAAAGGCGCTACACAAATGTAATTTGTTGTTGCTGTTGTTGTCCCATCTCCAACCTCCTCTTCCTAGGTTCTGCAATGAGTCATTGCTTCCCAGCTTCACTCTTTCTTTTCCCGACACACCTGCATGCACCCCTCCAATCTGGTCTCCATGCTCCTCAATTTTCAGTCAAAGTCACAAATGATATTCTGTCCACCTGTGACTAGGGCTCTCTCTGCCTCATCATCCTTCTTGATCTCTCTGCTGCCTTCGACAACTCTATTCGTCTCTACCACCTTTCCTCTCAGCTCCACCTTCACAGTTCTGTCGTTGCCTGGTTTCACTCTTACTTTTCCCATCAATTCCACTTTGTATCTGCCAACTGTTTCTTCTCCAGATCTTTCAATGTCATATGTGATGTTCCTCAAGGCTCCCTCTTGGCATGGGATTAACTTATAAATAATATAATAATCCTTGCATTTGATATAGCGCTTTTCACGTCTTCTAGACGTCTCAAAGCGCTTCACAGAATAGACTGTAAAGTGAATTGACTGTATATTTGTGGGTGAAATGCAGCAGCTAACTTCCATTAGCATGCAGGTTAGCATGCAGATGACACCCAACTATCTCTCAGCCTCCATTCTAGACTCCAGGACCGCTGCTGTCCTGACGGATTGTCTGTCAGACATCAAATCCCGGATGAGAGCTAACTTTCTCCAGTTGAATGTTGGCAAGACAAGAGACCCTCCTGCTTGGCTCCTGTCAGTGCCTTCCCACCTCAGGCACTGACATCATCACTATACATGTATGGAGCCTCGGTGTCGTATTCGTATCTCACCTGTCCTTTCTACCCCACATCAATGCATTGGCCCATTCACCTTCCCCCACCTCTACAACATTGCCCGCCTCCACATCGCTTTAATCCAACCCTCAGCTCAGGTGCAAACCCTCAACTGTCAAGCGTCTTTGGATTGTCCTTCCCACGTGAAAGGTGCTATATAAATGCAATTATTTGTTGCTGTTAAGAAAGTCTAAGCGGGATGTGGAGAAAACGTGAATGAGTGTTTCAGCAGCAGTGGCACAACACATTTACAAAAAAAAATTTACAAAATTCTTTTCTGTCCTTTACCATTCTGCAGAGTACTATTTTTAGGCCTTGTAGAAATACGAGATATTCAAACAGTGTTTCATTCTTCTCCTGTTTATCATGTCCTCGTGCATGTCATCAAAAATGACGTTCGTCTCCTGATAACATCACCCTCAACAAAATAGTTAAGTCTCCATATGAAAGACAAGTGGTTATTCAATCACTGAGGACAGATATAGACACAACTGTACAATGTTGTGTTAATGCCAAGTTGGGATAGACCAAGTCAATATTTACGTCAAGTAAATTTGCCTGTGATGTTGTCCACCAACCTCCAATCTATAAAGGTTTGCAATCTCTCTTCAGATGCAAATGTTCAGTGTTCTCTCTGCTTGGCATCCAGCAGGATGTCTGTAAAGCACTCCGAGATTTTACGTCTACGTAAAGGGCACTAAACAAATGCAAGTTGTTGTTGCCTTGGTTTGCTAATTACATCGAATCTGTGCTTTGGCAAACAACAACAACAAGATTATATTTGTATAGCTCTTTTCACATCGGGAGGACGTTCCAAGGCGCTGAACAAATAGTGAAAT